CAATTCAAAACATTAGAGAGTAGAAGAGAAAGCTCACGCTCATGGCATTACGGTTCAGTATCCTGGGCTATTACTTGTTCCTCCATCATAATGTCTTGTTCATTTGTCTATACAGCATTGTGTACTGTTCATCATCATCATCATCATCATCATCATTTTATTTGTATGCCACCTTTCCATAGTTAAAACAGTGCTCAAGGCAGCTTACAACATGACAAGATGTACATAATTACCAACATAACAAAAGTCACAAACAATAAATAAAACACATCAAAAGGTACACAACCAAATGGAAAACAATTTCCACATAAATCATAAAATCTAAAACTAAAAATACAACATTAATATCAATTACAGTTTAAAATGACATAGATAAAAAATAAAAACTATTTTAAAAAGGAGCCCTCTCTGTCGAGCAGCAGCAGCAGCAGCAGGCCTTTATGAAGCCTGTCAGGCCCTGCCCCAAGCCAGGTGGAGAGAGGCAGGGCCTTTCAGGCTCCCAGCAGGTCAGTCCTCTGCTTCGAAACCAAGGAGATCCTGGCACACAGGTTTTGAAAGGAAACTTGCAGGTGATTCCTTTCAGGTCCTGAAAAATCAATTAGTCCTCTCTCAGAATAAACCTCTAGTGCTTGCCTGTCATGAACTGGTTGGATGCAGAGGAGTTGATGGGAGGCACCAACTGGGGAACCCCCAGGGGAAGAAGGCCCAGAGCCAGGGGGATGAGGATGTGTGGTCAGAGGGAGCAAACAGGGAGGAGGAGGAGTTGGAAGCTGAAGAAGTCACAGGGCTTAGTGAGCAGGAAGAGGCTATGGCAGTGAGCAGTCCAGAATCGGAGGCTGGAGAAGAGGGGAGCTAAGAGGGAGAGATATAGCAGGCTGTTGAAGAGGCCAGGGGGTCTCCCTCTCCTGCTGCGACTAGCTCCCCTGTCCCCTGGTCTCCCAGAACCTGCAGAGGTATGAAGAGGGTGGAACAGAGACAGACAAGGAGTCAGAGTCTCAGATTGTTTGGGAAGGGACTGGGAAGGAGGAGCCTTAAGATCTGTGGAAAGGCGGGGACTTCAGTCCTCGAAACTGCCTCATTTGAGCAAGACCTACTGGGAAAAGTTGCTGTGCTCACTAGGCCCAGGTTTTGTTTCTCTGAATAAAGAGTTAACTTTACAGACACCTTGTGAGTTATTGCTGACCTGCTCCCAACACCCACCTTGACATTGCCAAGACACTCAGCTTGCAATCCTCATCCCAGCCTCCCCCAGTTTTTTTCCCCCTCGGACTACAACTCCCATTGGTCGCAGCCAGCGTGGGGAAGGTTGCACTAGAAATTCAACCTTTCTAAACTTGTGGGTAATGAAATCTCTGTTGCTGTGCATTTGGGAGAATGCTGTGAAAATGTTGTATACTGTACTCTGTCAAGCGGACATACACATGCTGAAAAATATATCCCCAAACGGTTGGAAAGGATGTGAAGGGAAGCAGGCTTGCCTTTGGCAGGAATGTTGGCAGGTGTGTGGGAGGGGGTGTTCTGGAATAAGGAGCTACCAGAAATGTCTAAATGATAGTGCAAAGAATTGTGAGAATTTCCTATTATGGCTTTGTGTGAGAACCCTATTGTAAAATGCTGGCAGTTTGCATTGTTGCATTTTGAACCAGTTAAGTTTCTGAAAAGTTTTAAACAGCAGCCTCACATTGCATTGTAGTAGCCTAAATAGTAAAGGTAAAGGGAACCCTGACCTTTAGGTCCAGTCATGGACGACTCTGGGGTTGCGGTGCTCATCTCACTTTACTGGCCGAGGGAGCCAGCGTACAGCTTCCGGGTCATGTGGCCAGCATGACTAAGCAGCTTCTGGCGAACCAGAGCAGCACATGGAAACGCCATTTACCTTCCCCCTATGTATCTACTTGCATTTTTGGCATGCTTTTGAACTGCTAGGTGGGCAGGAGCTGGGACTGAGCAAGGGGAGCTCACACCGTTGTGGGGATTCGAACCGCCGACCTTCTGATCAGTAAGCTCTGTAGTTTAACCCACAGCGCCACCCGCGTCCCATAGCCTAAATATTACTAAAACACAAATGAGGTCTGTCCTCTCTAGAAAAAACCATAGTTGCAAACCAATCTAAGTTGATTAAAAGCATTCCTGGCAATCACTTCTATATGACTATCGAGAAATAGCACCAGAACCAGAACCAACCCAAACGACAAAACTGATTTTTAAATCCAATAGATGGTAGTCTTGAACCATAATCCTAAACGGTATGCCTGGAATTAAGTCCCATTGTTCATGTGGTACATAGATTTTCCTAACTTTGCATATTTGTCATAGCAGGGCAAGTTTAATATTTTATTGCTAATTGCTAACTTGAACAGGGTTCATGGAGAATATGCACTGCAAGAGATTTGAATGGTAATTGCCAAAGCTATTGAGATTAATTTAGAACTGAACTGGAAAAAGTGCTTGCGAATATCCTGTAGGGAACAGTATTGTGCTGGCAGGGGGCTGATGAGCTAATAGATTTTCCCATCATTATATTATATGATTACCCATTTTAATAACCTTCTAGAGGATCGGTAGCATTGGTTCACACCTTGCATTTCTTTATTTTAGCATGATAGGATTATACCCAAGTGCTCATGTCAGCAATGACTTTATTACAGATCTCCAACACTGCAACAGTGCAAAGGGCTCAGGAAGTAGGGCTACCATACATCCAGGATTTGGAATTTGGCCGCCAGAAACAGTGTGTGGGCGGAAATCACTTAAATGTCTGGGAACATCCAAATGTATGGCAGCTCATGTCAGAAGTGTAGATTTTTGAGATTTTGGAAAAACAGAATCACAGCTGTGATATTGTATCTATGTGGGTGTACAGACAATTCCCGTTTTAGGTACGACCAATACGTGCACAATTGCAAAAACACGTATAGCACCCGGAAGTAACCTGGAAGCAGTGCTTTTTTTAAAAAAATTAATGTTTAGGCGTAATCTCATTTTCCTACTCATACTGAAATACTGCCCCTCAACAAGGCCAAACTTAGAGTCAAAAAATGTTTAGGGTATGCGTACCCCTGCGTACCCTCAGAAAAGAAAGCACTGCCCGGAAGTATCATAATAGATGTCACTAAAAGGGCAGGGTGAGGTGGGGCAGAGCTGGGTGTTTCAATTGCACACAACTTCATGCAAGTGCACAATGACCTGGAACACAAGCCCTGTGCAAATCAGGGGTTTCCTGTAATCATGCACTGTAAGGCCTAACATGACACACAAGTAGATACGAATGCAATTTGGTGCACCCTAAGGCTTAAGTCATGTGAATAGCTGAACTGCCCATAATTTCTTCTTCTGACTAGCTGCTCCAGGAATGCAGTCAATCAGAGTGTGATCTACAGGGCTCTGGGCCCAATAGATATGGAGGGAAGGAACACGGGAGGAGTATTGCCAGTCTGCATTATTTCCAGAATGCCAGGAACAGGACTGGTCCAATTGCAAAAGTATGATAAAAAAGTATTAAGTCAAAACATAATACAGTGGTACCTGGAGTTACAAATGCCTCAGGTTACAAACTCCGTTAACCTGGAAGAGTTACCTCGAGTTGAGAACTTTGCCCCAGGATGAGAATGGAAATCATGTGCTGGCGGCGCAGCGGCAACAGGAGGCCCCATTAGCGAAAGCACGCCTCTAGTTAAGAACAGTTTCCTGTTAAGAACGGACCTCTGGGAACGACTTAAGTTCGTAACTAGTGGTACCACTGTACTGTGGACAATGCTCCTCAATCGTTCATAAATATACAAAACAAACATATTTTGCAGTCATTGGAAATTATGTACTTTATTATTTAATCAGAAGCTTGTAATTAGAAGTATGAATAATCTGATCAGCCAAGCATGGTATAAATCAGGGATGTAGGAAAGATGTGCCCCTCTAGACGTTGTTGGACTCCAAACATCATTAGCCCCAGCTAGCACAGCCAATGGGCTGGACTACAACTCCCATCAGGAATGATGGGGTGGTTGGTGACAGCACCTGAATCTAGTGATGGGAGCTGCAGATCCGTAATATCTGGACAGCCAAAGTTTCCCTGTCACTGGTATAAATATTAGAAGCCCTTGCCTGATTCATAAAGCAGTACCTTCTGTCTGCCGCACTTCTGGCTCCAGCAGATTGACCACAGGTGCCTTGACCTGAAGAAAATAAATCCACAACTGGACACAGATATGGCTGCTAACAGCTGCAGCCTGGCTCTAACACCTTTTTGCTACAAAATTTCCCTGGAAGCTTGAGTTTGCTTTCTCATCCACAATGACCCCCCTCCAACCCTTTGCAGCATTGCTTCTGCTATTCACTCACTTCTGATCATTTTGTTTTGGCATGATCTGTGAGAGCAGTTTCACAGATGCAGATATAGCACTTGGACTCTCATTACTTGATCCCTCAACAGCTAATGGCTCTCAGCAGAAGGTGCAAATGCTTCCACTGAAAAATGCTGTCTGTGTAGCTCCTTTTATACGTGAGGATGAATCATACACAGAACTTGGGCTGGAGGAGTGAGCCTCTAGTCTCCCCACCAAGGTTGTGTGGCACTGTTAGATCTGCCTCCAACATCCATATGTTAAGCATCAATGTCTGCAAGTGAAATTCTATGCACAAAGAAACCTCTATGCACCTAGACTTTCCCCATCATTCTGCAACCTTGCTTATTTGGGATTTCAAAATATGGAGAAAGTCTACACCAGAGGTTACCAACCTGTTGATGTCACTGTGCTCACCAGTATCTCCTGGTACCCACGTGAAGACCTCTTCTACACCGAACACACACCCTTAAACATGTTCACATTTCATTGTTTGTCAGGATTGGATGCCCACCCTTCCGTGAGTTCTGAACAGAGGAAATCTGGCTCCAGGCCGAATGCACTGCAGTGTGTAGCGCCAGCCAACTTAAATGGGATGAGAGTGGACCAGAGTGAAGACTCCTGCTGCACGGCTCGCACCCTGAGCCTGCTGCAGATTGGACAGATTTAAAAATTGGGTTTGGCAGAAACCCAGGATGCTCTGCAATGGCTGGGGGAAGCACCAATGGACACAGGAAAAAATGATGTGGCTCCAGGAGGATGCAGAGCCACCGTGCCGGATCACAACCACCGTCCACCCTTGGATCGGGTAAACGGCCATTCTAAACAGAGGAAATGTACAAAGAGCTTCTTTCTGTGAGCGAGTGCAGTGGTGGCTAATGTAGCTGTCTTTCTCCTCACTGATGGGAGAGCACAGCTCTTTTGGATATACAGTGGTACCTCAGGTTACAGACACTTCAGGTTACAGACTCCGCTAACCCAAAAATAGTACCTCGGGTTAAGAACTTTGCTTCAGGTTGAGAACAGAAATTGCGTGGTGGTGGTGGTGCAGCAGCAGTGGGAGGCCCCATTAGCTAAAGTGGTACCTCAGGTTAAGAACAGTTTCACATTAAGAACGGACCTCCAGAACGAATTCTTAACCCGAGGTACCACTGTGATAGCCATTTTATACACACATAGAACAGCCATTTTGTGACTGGCACCCACAGCAGTTCTTCATGATGTTTTATTATGTTATTTATTGTTGGTAACCCGCTCTGGGGATTCATTTGAATGAAAAGTGGCACAGAAATTTAATCAACCAACCAAATGTGTTTAGCTTGAACATGTTGGCGACCCCTGATCTAGGTACACCTTTCAGAAACAGGAGTGTAGAGTTTGGGGAAACTGTACTAGTTGGTCACTGGAAATCTAATGCAGGCTGTTACCTACGCATAGGAATATATCTGTTAACAGTTCCACCAAAGATCTATCTGTGTTTTCTCCCTCTGAATACCACCCTTCCCAATCACATGTTCATGCAACTAGGAAAAATAGGGGTTATTCCTCCCTCCCCTTTGAGTGCTTGTACATAAATGCCACATAATTTGTGCGATGTCACCTTGAGAAGTGTTTGCATACGTCAGCCTCTTTTACCTCAGGCATGAGAATGTATTTGTATCTCATGAATTCTATCCCATGTTTTCCATGTCTGAGGCCAAATTCCCCCTGGGGCTGCCTGTAGTCTCCACTAAAGTCAACAGGAGCTTGCGAGCCGCCAGAGAAGGTGGGGGCAGCAGAAGTAGGCCCCTAATCTCTGAGCACAGTTTCTATTTGCAAACTGAGAATTAATATTTTACAGCTTAAGAAACAGTAATTGAAATCTGCCCTGCACAACACAGTAGCCAGTTCTGTGCATCATGTATAGCCCTGCTGCCTAGCAATGTTGCTAAGCAACACGGCACCATCCAAGAAAATCCAGCATTAGCTTGGAGTGGCTGGTGGGGCCGGTTGGACGTGACACTTTGCAGATCGAGATACATAGAAATGCACACACTTTGCTCAAGGGAATTTGGGGTGGGTTCCAGATATTATTCTATTTTATAACTCCTTGAAGATGTGTGGAGCTACATCATATTATACAACATTCTGTAATTATTATTTGACTGAAAACAAATAACCATAGTCTCTTAAGTCCCCATAAACCTGATTTGGAGAGTAGTGGAATTTTACAGCTTAATCCCATCATGCTTTGTCTCAGTCCCCTGGCCTGCGTATTACCTCAGCCTAGCCATAGTCAGATCACAATGATGTGACTCACTATTGCAGCTAAAGATAGACGCTGCCAAAGCAGTCCTCAATTCTGCATGCTAAGTTTGCTTGTTTTTCTGCTCTCTTGAAGTTCGCTATGACATTTGGAGGTTTTTCTTCTAGGCTAGTGTGTGGGTGAGTAAACAGGTACTTACCATAAATATTTCCAGAAGACTGGGGAGGGGAAAGGCATTCAGAAGAGCCAAATGAGCTGAGAAAGGGCTGGGACTTGCACAATTAAAGTGGATTTTTACAGATTAAAAGGCCAACACTATTTGCCCTCATGACAGCCCTCATGAGTGACAGTGTGCCTGCCAATACTTCCTATTATGCCTACGAAAGGTCTCAGTAAATATTCCCTCAAAAATCCACAGTACATGAGATTGTTTGTTCTTTCTGCTCAGTTCCTTCTTACACTGATTCGGCCTCTCCTAAGCAACCCCATGGCAGCCATTTTTGTTATGCCACACCTTTACTGGCAGCCATTTTGTGACTGACGCCCACATTGTTTAAACAGAAGTAGAATCAAGCCTTGAAAGCAAATCCTAATGCTTCAATGTAAGGCTCTTCCGGTGGCTAAACACAGTAACATTTAGCTACCCCATGAATCTTACTGAAGAGTGAGGGTTGTATATGCAAGAACATTGCAAAATAAATAGTTTTCCCCAAATTGTTTCCTCAAAACGATACAGTGGTACCTCGGGTTAAGAACTTAATTCGTTCTGGAGGTCTGTTCTTAACCTGAAACTGTTCTTAACCTGAGGTACCACTTTAGCTAATTGGGCCTCCTGCCGCCACGCAATTTCTGTTCTCATCCTGAAGCAAAATTCTTAACCTGAGGTACTATTTCTGGGTTAGCAGAGTCTGTAACCTGAAGCGCCTTTAATCTGAAGCGTCTGTAACCCGAGGTACCACTATATTTGTTTGCCCATTATCAGAGGTCCTGTGTAATTATACCCATCCATCATGCCTCTGTGGTTAGAAGACTGCAAGCAATTAGCTATTTAAGCTGTACTTCTGTAAGAAAAACACTGGGGCCTAATTTGAATAGTAGAGTGCATGGTATCTGGTGGGCGGGGCTTATGTGTTTCTCTGGAATCAGCTCATCCCTTCAGTGTGTGTTCAGTAAAGAATGTCAGTTAAGGGGGACCAAGTGCCTCTTCTTGTTTCTTGCCTCATGTTGTTGTATTTACTTTTCTCTCATTATGTTATTTTGTTACAGTTTTCTTTATTATTAAAGCTTAGTTTACATTTACTTGAGCCACTTCTTCTTCTCAAAGAAAAAAACTCTGCTGAAGAATGATAGAATATCCTAAACCTGGGTGAGTGAGGGGATATTCCCAGTTTGCCAGGAAGATTGATTTTGTCAATCATCCCCCGCCCTCCACTTCCACAACAGCTTCTTCCACATTAAGCCAGGTAGGTCTCACTCATCCACATTCTGTCTACGAATTACATCCACGGGAGGATAAGAGAGCCAGTGGGGGGGAAAGACTTTTATTCCTTCCCACCTAGTACAGGAACATAAGGGGCTGCCAGAGAAGGGACAGACTGCTCTGTTCCTCTTCCTGCAGCTTGTTTAGTTTAAGAGCTGGTCAAGCTGAAAGAGGCTCCTTTGCCTCCCTGCTCAGCAACCTGCAGGAAGAGAGACAGATTGTTCCATCTCTTCTTTGATTGGTTGGTTACTTAGTTCCCGTGAAAAAAGTGAGGGCGAAGTCATAGGTCAGAGAGGAATGTACTGTGGGCCAGATGTGACTCAAGGGCTAGCAGTTCTCTACCCCCTTTTAATAAAAAGAAACTGAAACTGCTAAGGCAAAAGCAGTTGCAAACAGAACAAAATAAAAACACCACACATAATTGATCTAAAACACTTCACAAATATTATTTATATGGTTATCATCGCTGCATTTCTACAGGCGGAAAGATTCTTGAACCCATATCTCAGCTAGGATCTCAAATGTATTTCTGCATATCCACCCACATTTTTCTGAGAAAAAAATTCTCAGAAGTTGCCACCACAGTCATCACCAACAACTCTTTAAACTTCCCTGTTCTGAAAAAGACATCTAGGGATTTAGAGTGGCAATGTTTTAAAGGGTTAGATAGCATGCACTATCTTTTCATTCTGAGGTTCCCCTTAAAAATCTCACACCATCCTCCCCAACTATTTATGGAGCACAAGGAAAGTTAAATTGTAGCTGGGAGGTTCTGCAGGGGAAGTCTCTGAGAGTTTCCCTTTCAGGAAAAAAATATATGTGCACTGGAATGCTCTTCAAGATTATGGCCTAGACCAAGTGCTGGTACATGTCTGATACATGTGTACTGGATTTAACTGGACTGTTCACTAAGACTGTACTGCAAAGGACAGAAATGCAAAAGCACTGCATAGCGTTTCAGTACTTTAATTTTCATAACTCTGTATTTGCATTTAATGAAACATTTGTTTGAGTTATGGGAAAGGGATGTTGTCCACTGATCAAGAAACACAATGTAAAATAGGTCTGTGTTTCACTGCTTCTTCTTGTGCAACAGCAAGGGTATAGACAACATTTTAATGTTTAATATTGCTGTGTTTTTAAAGCTTATTATTAGTTATTATTATGTCATTCCACAATTATGGCAGCCAAAGCTCAACAGTAGCATTCTGATATGCCAAGTTTTGAAGATTTCCCTAGTTAGTCAACATTTCTAAATGTTTCCCAAAGCTAGCAAATATTCTGTGCTATACAGAGGAGCCGTAAACAGGCCCCTTCCTAAACATCAACATTTCAGTCCAAACACTTAACACCACCCAAAACAACTTATCTAATTAAATAATTGACAGCTGCTATGTTACACCCCATCCTGTTGCTGGAGAAGCTTGGCACTGGCTATTTCCTGGGTACACATGAGAAAAGGTTGTACAAGAATGTTTTAATGCGTGCACCCAATAAGAACACTAAATACATCAAGGGTCATGCTTCAAATCCCATTTGATTATAATCACAACAGAGGCTACTTGCTCCCTTGCCCAAAATGTTCAAGCTGCCAGACTTACTTGGTGGCTGCTCTACTAAATGTTACTAGATCAGCCACAAATATCCAAAACGTTGATGCTCATCTTAAACAAAAAGGCTTTATTTCTGAAGCCAAATGACCATGGGATTTGTTAAAAATATTTACGCCTTAGAAGTCTGAGAGCATTCAGGTCAAATGAGGGGGAACAGAATTTTCAACTTACTAGATTTAATATGAGCCAAGTTTCCCTCTGCGTGTGAGTAGGCTGTTCAAATTCACCAGAAAAATGATGAATATTGTGCTGTCCTAGCTTTCAGCTTCATACAAGCTGCTTGGACATTGCCGGCAAAACCATTAAATGCAACTTACACTACATTCAACAAACATTATCTTTAAGTGCCCCAATGCACATCTGCCTTAAGGAAATAAAGTATTTGTCTGGACAGGGAGACAGGACTTGTTTTAGTATGCATTTTTTCCTCTGGCAATGATAAGAAAGTCCTGTTTCCAACACATATGTGAAATATAAGCAATATATAAGGCCCAAACCCTAGCTACACATTCATACTTCTTTGATGTTAAATGTTTGGGTTACTCCTTCCTCTTGCTTTACACATGAGTAATACAGATACATGAACAACAAACATAACTGCTACTGGCATGTCTAGTCTGTCCCTAACACCCTTCACAGCCTAGGACCAAAACACCCCCGAGAGACAACTAATCCTGTATAAATCCTCATCCCAGTAAAAATCTTCTGATCAGGCCTTGTTACATGAGCTAAAATGAACAACAGTAAGCTGGGCCTTTATGGCACTAGAACAAGGGGAGGGGGACCCTTTGGCCTTTCAAATGTTGTTGGACCAAACCACTGCTAATTCTAAACTGTTAATTCTAATCTGCCTACAGGGATCAGGATTAGCTCCTCGCGACTGGACTTAACTGTCAGGGGTCCTTTACCTTTACCTTTTTATGGCTCCCTGTGTGGTAGCATGTGCCTGACAAAAGTTAGCACATACTATCAAAGCAGGGCTTTTTTTCCAGTCAAAACGTGCCGGAACTCAGTTCCGGTCCCTCTCAGGTGGGCGCCATTGCCATTGTAAGAGAACAAGGGAGATGTTCGTGGTGAGTTCCGGCACCTCTTTTTCTAGTAAAATAGCACTGCAATCTTCCTTTATTCTTGGCCAACAATCTGTCACTTCCTGCTGTCTAAAACCATTTGAAAGATGGGAAAGAGAAGCAGGCAGCTGAGGGCAAGCATGCTAAAGGAAGACGGAAAACAAGTAGGCCTCACAACCATGCATTACTTCCTTATTCAGGTACTGGCTACAGAGGATATGCTTTTAGCAGAAAGTTGCAGGTTCAATCTTAGTACAGTTGGCAAAGGGCCCTGACCAAGACCTTGGAGACAGTACTGAGGTAGGTGGACCCATGGTCTGATGCAGTAGGAGTCTCAGACTTACACCCCACACGTCAAGGGGGACTACAGGGGTGCCTGGCAACCATGCCCTCCAGGCCACCAACATGTGCACCAGACCCTCCTCCCTGCTGGCACACAAGGGGCCTATGCATATAGGAATATATGTGCACAGAACTCTTCATGCAAGGGATTTCTTTTGTGGAGGAAGCTCTACATGTGTACATTGATTCGGTACACATTTAGAACTCCTCCTCAGAGTCTCTGAGCACATGGCCAGCAGGGGTCAGGGCTACCCTCTGTGGCCCCGCAACCACTTGTGCATTGTTTCAGCATGTGAGAAGGTTCATAGGAACATAGAAAAGCTGCTCTCTACTATGTGAGACCAACATTCCATCTCACATCCTCAGCTCTACCTGGAGATACCAGGGATTGAACCTGGCAACTTCTAAATGCAAAACATGTGCTCTACCACTGAGCCACAGCCCTTCCCATTAGTATAAAGAAGCTTCAATTTCTCTCATGGGTCACACACTAACTTCGATCTCTTCTTGCCTCTCTACTTAAAGCTGCTACATAGATGAGAGGGGAAGTGATGGATAGAACGACTAATGTCCAACATGCTAGCTGCTACCTATAGCGGAGAGGCCCTAAATTATTCGCCACTCCCCCTGCATTTACATCAAGGCTAAGGTATTACAGTAATGTCATCTCCAAATATGGCTCTGCTAGTTATCAGGCCTCTCAATCTGTAACAAGAGCAACATCTAGTGTTCAAAGTATCTCCTGCACAATTTACACCATGCAATTTGAAGAAATGCAGACCTCAGACCAGAATTAAGGCAAAACAGCCCACCTCTGCCACTCCTAAGTTGTTTCATAACAAATACATGTCTGATACACATGTATATGGAACACAATGTTTATATATTGCTAGCTGGGGGTGAAGAGGGATGCTGGTTACATTAGGATGGCATGGAAGGATAATTACTCACGTTGTCATTGACTCTTGCACCCTCCACCCACAAAATCCGTCACATACTATTCTGTTATTCCTAAAGCACTTGGCTTTCCTTCTTAAGCAAAGCCTTCCCAACAGAATGTCAGTGCTTGTTAAATGCTGAAGCTGCTAGTCACTTATTTTTCACCTGGTCATTTAATTAACAAGACTCCATGATGGCTTACAATGAAACAACAAAGCTATATTAAAATCTAGTAACAAAAGCATAACTGATCATTCAAACAACAAAAACAAAGTATTTTCTAACAAAGACTAGGATGCTCTGCTTTATCAGGTTAAATGGGCTGGTAGCTATGGGGGCAGCAGGTGTTGGGTTAAGAAACTCTGTGAATGCATGAGGGAGTGGAGCAAGGGATGGTGTCACAAAGGAAGAGAGAATCATTTTCCAACCCGTACTACAACCCCTCCACTCACTATAGCTTTCAGTAGGTAACTGCTTGTATAATCATAATATTATTCACTATGGAGAAGGAATTGTATAGGTTTAGGAATTCCAATTTAGGAATTACTGACACCACAATACAACATTCTTAAGCAAATTGGTTGTGCGTGTGTGAGAGAGAGATCATGAAGTTTACAGAAAACAGTACTAAAAAAAGTGGTTTGAACTACAGTGGTACCTCGGGTAACATACGCTTCAGGTTACAGACTCCGTTAACCCAGAAATAGTGCTTCAGGTTAAGAACTTTGCTTCAGGATGAGAACAGAAATCGTGCTCCGGCGGTGCGGTGGCAGTGGGAGGCCCCATTAGCTAAAGTGGTGCTTCAGGTTAAGAACAGTTTCAGGTTAAATATGGACCTCCAGAACGAATTAAGTACTTAACCTGAGGTACCACTGTATAGGTATTGATCCAGGACACATAAAGGCACTTTTAAAAGGATTAAACCAAATGTAAGCATTTTGTGAAATTAGCATCACTTACAGACCATCTTGGCATATGAGTCCATTATGCCATCCACTCAATATTTTGCAACCGCATTGCCACTTGATTCTGATGCATGTGTAGACAAGATGTTACTCTGACAAGCGATATAACACTCTACAACATGCTTTCACTCAGGCCCAGGATGATTTAAGCTTTAGGACTGGAAAGCAGTCTTTCAATCTAAGAAACTTAGATGAAAAAAGGGGCCTGGCAGTTTTGGCAAGCAAAAAGCTATTATTTGCTGAAAACAGGAGTCACACCAGTGAGAAAAATAATGGTTAAAGGAAACCAGGTTGGCAACACAGAGAGGATCTTACCAGTCACCTGATAAACAAAATGAAAACTTACAACACGTTTGAGAAACGAGCGTGCTAATATTAAGTACGACCGCAACGTGTATGCCTTCATGCGTAATAAGCATTTAACTCCGCTTCAAAAAAGGCACGTAATAAATTCAGGGTAGCTTATTATTATTATTATTATTATTATTTATACCCCGCCCATCTGGCTGGGTTTCCCCAGCCACTCTGGGCGGCTTCCAACAAAAGAATAAAAATACATTAAAATATCAGTCATTAAAAACTTCCCTAAGGTGTAAATTACGCTTATGCATTAAAAAAAACACAAAACTTTTGCCTTGCTTCCTTTAAGCACACTTTCTTCTCTCGGCAGTTTGCAAAGCAGGATACAGTACTCGGAACACGAAGCTGCATTCCCCGGAACCTTACGATCCCAAGAAAAAAATAATGTTCCTTCTCGCATCCCAAACTCGCACGTGCCGCCCTCCACGCAAACTTAAGGTCTTCCGCCTTGCCTCTTTCCGCCCCGCCCACTCGGGCGCCTAGTTCTACAGAAACTACGATTCCCAGAAAGCCTTGCGCCTGCGTGCCCGGAGTCGAGACCTTGCGCCTGCGCTCCTCTCGCCTCGAGGACGGGAAAGGGCCCGGCTTGACCTACAGGAGGAGAAGATGGCTGCTGCTGCTGCTGCAGGGTTGGCTCAGAAGGTGAGCAACGACGCCTTGGGAAGGAAGAGGGGGTTCTGCTGGGGGCAGGTCTCTTACCTGAGGATGCCTCACTTGGCTTCCGAGACTGAAGCCTGGAGGCTTTGGGAGAAGGAGGAAGAGGAGGAGAGGGGAAAGTCTTAAACCCAAGTGGCCCCAAGGGGACTTGGAGGGTTTCCGGGGCTGCTGTGTGAGTGCCTGTCTGCAGCCTGGGCTTCCCTTGATGCCAGAGCTAAGGAAGGAACCTCAGCAAGCCAGGCTCCTCTGCTGCGTCCTCCTGCCACTGGAACCTAGGAAGGGGCCTGACTCTGAGTCAAACCATTGGCCTATCTAGAGCAGTACTACTACTACTACTACTAATTTATTATTATTACTACTAATAATAATAATAATAATAATTTATTATTTATACCCTGCCCATCTGGCTGAGTTTCCCCAGCCACTCTGGGCGGCTTCCAACAGGCGATTAAAAATACCTTAAAGCATCAGTCATTAAAAAGCTTCCCTAAACAGGGCTGCCTTCAGATGTCTTCTAAATGTCAGATAGTTGTTTACAGTGGTATCTCTGGATGCAAATGGGATCCGTTCCGGAGCCCCGTTCGCATCCTGAAGTGAACGCAACCCACGTCTGCGCGGGTCGTGATTTGCCGCTTCTGCGCATGTGCGTGACGTCATTTTGAGTGTCTACGCATGCGGTAGCGACGAAACCCAGAAGGAACGCATTCCATTACTTCCGGCTCGCTGCAGAGCACAACCTGAAAATGCTCAACCTGAAGCAACTTCAACCTGAGGTATGACTGTATTCCTTTGACATCTGATTGGAGGGCATTCCACAGGGCGGGCACCACTACCGAGAAGGCCCTCTGCCTGGTTCCCTGTAACCTCACTTCTCGCAGGGAGGGAACCTGAGTAGTTTTTACAGTTACATCAAAAATTACTGATTTGGTTATACTGTACTATTAGAAATACCTAAACAGATAATTATGAAATTATTGTGAGGTTTAATAAGTTAACTGTTTATATTTGGACAACTTTTCTGCTGTACAGTTCTTTACTGGAAGGAGAAAAATAATAATTTCCTTAGTAACAATTTAAACAATTTATTTAACTAAAACAATAACATTATAGCATATGTATCCATGTTTGTTAACTCACGTGGTTAAACAGTTTTTTAAAACAACCTTAGAAGGAGTTTCACCACACATGAAAAACTTAAAACAAATCCTTATTTCCTGATTAATAGCCTTTGGACTATAATGTAACTTAAATAGAAAACTATATTTAGAAAGATTTTTCCTCCAAAAGCATTTTCTTTTAAAAATCCAATTTAAATAAAAACATAAATTTAAATAAAAACATCCATTTATGACTAATGTTGAATTTCACTGCTTTTTAAAATAATATAATGTAAATGACAACTTTTTCGTACTGTAGGTGCGCCACTTCAGCACCTCCCTAATCAGGCCAGCATCAAAACTGATACAGGTAAGTTTGTTTATTTATTTTACAAAACTGTGCAGATTAATTGCACCAAGTTGCAGGTGGATATTGTTGCAGGTGGCAAGTGTACAGGAGCAACCTGATAAGAACCTGAAAATGTTTACCAGGAAAGAGGCTCAATTGCAGTTAGGGTGATTTACTTCCAATTAAAGATCAGGGTTCTAGATAAATATATCTAGATTGCAGAATGCAGGGCCTTGTGTGCCACTTAAACTAGTGTCAATTATAGCTAGCAATCATGTAGAATCTAACCTCAATATGATAGACGCAAGCTTTATAATGTGGCCAGTCACAATTGAAAATCAGCTCTTAGGGTCTGTGGCTGCAGCTGCTGTGTAGTGTGTTTAATGAACCATCTTATGCCTCTGCATTGTCTTACTGACCAATTTCCAGTGGATCAGCTAGCACCTGTCAGTTTCTGGGATTTCTGGGAAGGCTGGGGGTTTGGATGAATCTTGCTTTCATTTGCTGGATTTCTCTTACGTTCTTAAGCAAGAGTACAAATTGGCAAATACTTAACACAAATTAGTTATGCCTTAATATTAAGAGTTCCTAATTATGCATTTTTGTTTTGTTAAAACACAGCAACGGACTATGGGAATTTTGTTTTTTTTAAAAAAAAAAATCTGGTATTACACCTGTCACTCTATTAGCAGTGCTGGCAGGGTGGGGTGCCAATCTTTATGTAGCTAAAACAGCACCACTGATGTACAAGAGGAAAGTATTGCCATCCCTGGGAGAACTCAGAAGTTTACAGAAATACACCAAAAAAATTGAAATTAACTTAAGAGAGAACCCCACTCCCCACAAAAAGGGGACATTGAGGAATGAGTATGCTTGCTAGGCAATGGATCATTGAGAATAAATTGAAATAGTTTTGTCTTGTGCATTAATTTTTATACCTTGTATTTTCCCCCCTCTGAAGCCACCAATTCAAGTATTTGGGCTGGAAGGTCGATATGCCACTGCGCTCTACTCTGCTGCTTCTAAGCAGAAGAAGTTGGACCAGGTTGAGAAAGAGCTGACTCGAGTTCTGGTAATGTGATTTTATATAGTCCTATTGCACACCACTTAGCATCCATTTCCACTGAAGATGCTGATGCAAGTCCTTTTTTTACTTATGCTGTTTCCTTGTTAGGGCAAAAGTCTTTTCTCTGTGGTTTGTTATATTTAGTTAAAAGGGCAACTTAAATACCTTTATGTTCCATTATAGTTATGTTGCTCTGACTAGAAGCAAATCTGATTTTGACCAAGAGATGCTTTTCTTGTTCCAAATCCAGACACTTCTGAAGGACCCTAAATTATCTGTCATTGTCATGAATCCTCACGTAAAGAGTGCAGTAAAGCAAAAGACCGTGAATGAAATTTTAGCTAAAGAGAAAATGTCACCTGTCACTGTCAACTTTATCAGTAAGTAGTAGCAGTCTCTCTGTGGATGAACACAATAAAGTGGGTTGAGCTTGACAAATGGGCTTCAAATAATAGTACTGTAATATTGTAAACACAGTTTAGACTGGAAGATTTTCTTTGTAATTTGGCACTGTTTCATTACCCTTTTAGTACAGTTTGAATGTACATAATGTAACACCTGCTCAATCTTTTCCCAAGATTTGCTTGCTGAAAATGGTCGCTTGAAAAACACGCCAGGTGTAATTTCTGCATTTGCTAAGATTATGAGTGCATTCCGCGGAGAAGTTTTATGCTCCGTAACCACTGCTCAGGTAAGCAAATGGCATGCAAAACTTCATTTAGAGGTTTTGCGGGCTTCAGGGTTTCTTAGTCTAAAGCCACCTTCCCAAGCCAGATGTTCTCCAGTTGTTTTGGAGCACTACTTTCATCCTTCCCATTGACCAGGAAGATGGAGCTTGTAGTCTTAGCATCGTCTACAGGACCGCAGTCTGACCTATAGTGTAAAGAAGTTGGGGAAGGGTTATATTTGCAAAATGAATGGTACTTTGTTTACTAGCACTTAACATATGTCTGAAAAAGGGTTATTGGAACTTCAGTATTTATGTCACATTGAACTGTTGCAAGCACTTGTTCCTCTTGTGACTTTAATCTATTTAGCCCAGTCAAGTATTCTTAAATTCATCTGTACAAATAGCTAGCAAACATAGTTTTTCCTGTTCACTTTATATGCTCTCTTAATTTTAGGTAGCAAAATGTTCATATTCTGAGACAGGACCAACATCTTGCTTTTTTGGTAATAACTGAGGACAACGCTATATAACACTTGGATTAGTCATTAATTAGTACTCCTGTTTTCAGCATTTTTTCAACATTTTCTAGCTTCTCTGAACAATTCTGCCACTCCATTCCTTAGAGCTTTCCTAGTTTTCAACTCTTGTTCTCTGCAGTGGAGAGGGCCACAAAATGAGACAAGGGAAGAAGTCATCTTATTTTTCGCCTTGCTTGTAGCATTGGGATTTGTGAAAAAGTCTTAGCCAAGTTTTTTTAAAAAAAATAAAAAATAAACCATACTGCAGCCTAACTTTAATGTTAGTCCAGACCCTATACTGAAAACATCATTGCGAGTGCATGGTACATCTTAAAACCTTTTTTACTCAGAAGATGTCACAGATTAAAACACATATTGCAGACATTTTGACTCCTAAAAAGTGAATTTCAGTTAACTTGTGTAAAATATCCAATTGCTATTTACTAAGCCAAGCAAGAATGCTGCCACTTTCTGTTTCCAAGCAGAAAAATGCCACAACCTTATTGTATGTCAGTCAGTCATGGGGGCTGATCGTTTAGCTTTCTGTTACATCGTTGCTTGTTAACTTTCTGAAGCTCTCTATTTTTGTCTCAATACGTTAAGCCCTTGGATGAAGCTAATCTTACGGAGTTGAAGACAGCTTTGAATGGCTTTTTAGCTAAAGGAGAAATACTGAAACTGGAGATAAAGGTATGGTTACAGCTATGTAAAACAGAAGACTCTCTAATAAATTAAAAGTGACTAAGAAGGGCCATCTCAACAATCTAGAAGAACTTCCCCATCGGCCATAGAAAGATTCCCTTAAAGGAAAATACATCCTCTTCCAGATGTGGATAAAGCGTATTGGGCAGCCTAGCTGTCCAAGCTTATCATAAGCCAGGGATGAGGTATCTTTATGACTTGGCAGGTCACATCACTCTGTTCCCACCCCCTTATGTCAACATTGGCAGGCGGGACAACTAACCTTTCAGTCACCTGACCATTATTCAACCGTGTCTTCTGCAGGGAATACCTGCACGGCTGAGGTCCCTACAGGGAGCTTTGCTGTACAGCAGATCCAGCCACATCTCTTTATCTGCCCCACATCGGACATCACTTATTATGTCAAGTGTGGAGCAGATGGGCATGACTTGGGGAAAGAGCTTCATGGACCAAATTTGGCCTGATGGCTGGAGCTTCCCCATTGCTCTCATAAACCATAGGGACTTGGCCCTGAATCAAGGCTGCTGGCTTGCTGTAGCCACTGGTTTCAAACAGGCGCCCAAAGAAATGTCTTCCTATGGTCTGTTGGCTGTTCAATTGCTTTAGACTTAGAATAGCCAATTCAATTGGAAGCAACAAGCAAAACCCATAGGGACAAAGAGGCATAAGAGCCGTAGGGTGGAATCTAATGTAGCGCTAATCGTAATTATAGTATTTCTTCTGATCTCTGAAAACTTAAACATTGACAACAGAAGTATCAGTAAAAAAACCCATTATATTATCCTGTCTTGTGCAGGTAAATTTTGCTCTATAAGAACCGTTCTTGAGCCAAACATAATGAGTTTTGGACTGAGCAGCCTACAAAAGTACTTCTCTGCAAAGGAACTTGAACATATTTAATCTGTCTAATACTATTGATTTGTCAAGATCTTAAACCCAAGCGTTGTAGTCTTTTCTGTTATCATGTAGCCCATTATTCTCACTAGGGAATTCTAATTAGGAATCTTGGTTTCCCCCCCTAGACTGACCCAACAATCTTGGGTGGAATGGTTGTCAGCATTGGAGAGAAATTCGTTGACATGTCGACAAAGACCAAGATTCAGAAACTAAGCAAGATCATGAGAGAGACTGTCTAAACATCTCGAGATGCTTCCTCCTCCTCCATAAAAACCTAGTCAGCTGTATGATGAAAACAATAAAAATGGTTCTCCTTAAGCAGTTGTTGGTGCTTCAGTGTTTGGATTTGGTATTTTGAAATGGATCAATATTTAGTGCTCCTTTGCCTTTAAGTCACCATCTCAGTACCTTTTTGCAAGAATTATTCCTTTATCATAGGTTTGCTGTTAAGTGCTAGTGACTGCAAAATTGGCAGTTGCAATCGTATTGAAATTTCTTTCTTGGTTCTAACAAATGTTTGTGAGTGATTGACTCCCCCTGAAACTGACTGATGCTCTTATGGTCCAGCATACTTTTAAAATGGCACTTTTGAATGATCAAATAAATATTTGATTATGAACGTTAAGTGTGGAATCTTTCCAAAGAAATGGCTTACGTGACCTTGGCTTATTTTTACTAATTAATGTTAAAGCACTAAATGGACTCTGTTGCTGGCCATTCAGCTGTTCAAATGTAAATGCAGTGCCAGGGGTAATAATTTGCAGGCAGATTACACAACTTAACGATATTGACATGGCATAACCTCCTATTGGAAGGCTAGTGTCCAGATGAATGGAAGTTAATAGTACCATTTTATTTTGCCTCGGTCAGACCACACCTGGAGTCCTGTGTCAAGTCCTGAGTGCCACAATTTAAGAAGGATATTGATAAGCTGGAATGTGTGCAGAGGAGGGCAACCAAAATGATCAAGGGTATGGAAACCAAGACTTATGAGAAACGGTTAAAGGAGTTGGGTATGTTCAGCCTGGAAAAGAGGAGACTGAGAGGAGATATGATAGCCATCTTCAAATATATCAAGGACTGTCACATGAAAGATACAGCAAGCTTATTTTAACCTACTCCAGAGGGTAGGACCCGCACCAATGTTTTCAAGTTGCAAGAAAAGATCTTTCAACTAAACATAAGGAGGAACTTTCTGTTTGACAGTAGAATGGACTCCCTCAAAAAGGTTGTGGATTCTCCTTCCTTGGAGGTTTTTAAGCAGAGGTTGGATGGTCATCTGCCATGGATGCTTTAGTTGAGATTCCTTCATTGCAGGGGGTTGGACTAGATGACCCTTGGGTCCCTTCCAGCTCTACAGTTCTATGATTTTATAATGGAACCTTATTTATGCAGACTGATAAGGACCCGTGTTTGTGGAACGTAATTTTTTGAGGGCGCTGAGATCTGTGTAGAGTGACTGGAATTACTGTTAATAGGCTGAAGTTAAGAGTTCTGCAGAATATTACACAGAATGGTGCTGTGGTCAAGACTGGACCTACGATTTGTCTTTCCAAGGTCGCAGAATCTTAGAGCTGGAAGGGTCATCTAGTCCAACCCCCTGCAATGCAGGAATCTCAGCTAAAGCATCCATGACAGATGGCCATCCAACCTCTGCTTAAAAACCTCCAAGGAAGGAGAGTTCACCACCTCCCGAGGGAGACTCTTCCACGGTTTAACAGCTCTTACTGTCAGAAATTTTTTTCGTACGTCTATTACTCTTAAGTGCTTAATTCCCTAAGGCTTTTGTTTTCCTTTTAAACCTGGAATTAATATTTATTTTTGGAGTTAAAAAATGGCAAGAGAGATTTAGAAAGGAGCTTGGCAAAGCAATTATCTCAGGGGTGAAGAATCTACGGTCCTCTGGGTGGTGTTGGACTACAAGTCCTATCTTATCTGACCATTTGCCATCTGGCTGGGGCTGTTGGGAGTTCTAGTCCAACAACATCTGGAAGGCCACAAATTCCCCACCCCTAGAATATACTATCAGGGTTGTTATATAGGCAATCCCTTTCTTCCTCTTCGAGTCCCCCGGCTTCTCCAAAGACAGATAATTCATGTTCACCTCAGGGAGTATGGTCCCGCCTTTTTTCACAGTCTTAATGATAGGATTCTTCCCACATTATGATTATTTTTGTATCTATAAAAATACAGTAACACTCATCTTCATTACAACTCTGAGTAAAATTAGCCCAGCCAAAGAAGGTTAGAACGATGACATTTAATATTTTTCTGCCACTAAAGGATTTGTACCTTTTTTCTTCTACCACAACAATGTGTTATTTTCATATACATTATATTTCATAAAATGTTTTGATATGGAAAAAGGAAATCATGGGTTTAGTTCTATTTACATACTTTTAATTGAAACATTTTTGTACCAACATTGAAAAATAGAAACTTAAAAGTTTTTTTTTTTTTTAATTGTGTTTTCAACCAGTCAGTGGTAAACAATTGCATGCCTGTTAAGTTAAACTTCCTCTAAAACTTGGTCATTTGAAAGTTTCTAACTAAAGTGTGTTTCTCTGTTCCAAAAAATACATAAGTATGTCATTTCTGATACAAAATTCTACACTATCTTCAATAAATAAATAATAAAGCGATTCTTAAAAGTATGAAATGTAAACTTTTTCGTCCCTCCAACATACAGGATTTTTTAAAAAATAATTGCTGAAAATAATACAGTGGTCTCCTTGGAAATAATAGTACACAGACACTTTCAAGCACAGTTTACACTTATCACCAGACCTTAGCTACCTATCAAGTATAAAGCTATCCTAATTTCCTAATGGAAATCATAAAATTTTGCTGTGCTAGAGAACACCATCTCCACAGGAAACATGGAAACTGATACCAAAAACAACATGCAAAGAACAGTAAAGCCAACACGTTTCACAAGAACATTGACATGCTAACAGAACAGTCAACACCTCCCATTCTTAAAGTCCTTACAAAAATACCCATTTCTGCATGATCCTTGGGTAACAAACTGAAGAACTGGAAACACAAAGAATGAATGTGCCTGGTGCTGAAATGAACCCACTCTCAAAATTCCACCACTAACATTGTCCCTAGTTCAGCAAAGTTCTCAAGAACATACTTCTCTTGTTCGAATGCCTTCGAAGCGCTTTGCTGAATCAAGGTTGTCCTATGTGGGTCACACTGAGAGTGAATCCTTACATCTGCAACATAGCAATAAATCCCTTTGCAAAAACTTGTGACACCCAATGCTGAAACTGAAATTTTTTTAGTGAACCACTTTTGCAGTTAACACTTCGTTGAGCTACAGTATGCTACCACCCTGATTTCAAAACCATGGTGTCAAATTTATTTAGGCACAGTACTATTCAATAAATTAAGTCCCATCTGACTGCTGTTAGCCTCAGCTTTCCTGAGCTAGAGCAGCTGTTTTCTTGTAACTGCCTTTGCGCAATTTAGCAGCAGTTTAATAATGTTTAAATGGTACAGTAGAACACACAGAACGACTCCGCCAAACCTTGGTCTACAATTATTTACAAACCCACTGAAATGTAACCACAAAAAGCATTGATGTGTGGATACACAGTACTCCATTTGGGTGAAAGACACCCCAATGGGAAGCAGCAGGGATCAGGTCCCATTTATATTCTTCCTAAACGGGGTATGCTTTGAATTACTGGTCCCTAGACCGGGAATCCACCTAATATTTGCTGCTTCCTAATAAATACTTGGAAAAACCAACCTTCCACTCATTGAGAGCCTTCCAGATTATGGGCGACTGTCATTTAAACTTCAACTTGGAATAGTCTTTTCTTCTTCTCCCCCACCCCCACCCCTTTTATTTTTCAAAAACAGATTCAAAGATCACCATAAATTTCTTAAAAGAAACCCAAATATCTTACATGGCAAGAATTCATTCATGTCATAGGTATTTTCTATATAAATATATTCACATTATGTTTATATACCACTCTGTGGGGCAATAGGCACAACATTTCTAGGGGTAATTTACAGAAAGTCTGCAAAGACATGTCAGTGCCACCCTCTCTTGTTGACACCACATGCTGCAGTACCCAGAAAAATGTGCAGTGTTTTAGCACAGGCTACAGCTCTGTTTTCCTAGAAATCCTGAAAGCTACAGCAGAAGTTCCACAGAAAATAAAACAAACAAAAACAAACAAAAAAATCCCCAAAAGTTACATTTTCCTCACAAACTTGGATTTCAATTTTCTGCAAGGATTATCCAGCTGCAAAGAGTTGTGTGGCATTGATAAGTATTTTGTTTCATATAAAAGGTCTGAGGATTCCTAGACAGATTTTGTGGGCGCCTATTGCAGTGTTTTCAGGTTAGAAGAAGTGTCTTCCTTTTTTAAGGTTCATCGAACAGCTGTAGATCCAGTCGGACAACTATCTCTCCTGTTGGAACTTCATGCAAGAGAAGACACTTTGTCACTGGTCCCTTTGAGCCCTGGTCCTTCTTAATGTCTGCTACTCGGATTTCTGTTCGGCCTAAAAAGTCTGAAACAGAAAACATACATAATGGTTAGAAATTACATATTCCCTGCTCCCATGAAGAACCACCTCTGGCAAGATGTTAATTCAGAAACAGCATGAGCAAACCAAAAACAGCAGCAGAAAATCTTGCTACGCATGCAGCAGTTTTATAATCTCTCAATGGAGATTTTCAGTTTCGTTTCACTGGTGCTCTAGTGCTAGAGAAGAAGGGGCAGGGACATAAACCTGCAGCAAAACCTTCAAACTAAACAATTAATTGAAGCAGTCAGTGAGGATAGAGGCAATAGGAACAGGAAAATGAATATTGACAGAAAAAGGGATGGAAACAGGAGATGGGGAGTTCCTCTGCTACGTGCAGGCCAGAGCAAAAAACTGAGCAGGAACCAATCATGTACAGTGGTACCTCGGGTTACATACACTTCAGGTTACAGACTCTGCTAACCCAGAAATAGTGCTTCAGGTTAAGAACTTTGCTTCAGGATAAGAACAGAAATCGTGCTCCGGCGACGCAGCAGCAGCAAGAGGCCCCATTAGCTAAAATGGTGCTTCAGGTTAAGAACCGTTTCAGGTTAAGAACCAGTGGCGTAGCGTGGGGGGTGCAGGGGGGGCCGGCTGCACCGGGCGCAGCATCTGGGGGGGGGGCGCTCGCACTTGCAGCTCTCTGCCCCTACTAAAATCCACAGGTTAGGGGGCGCAAATTACTTGCCTTGCCCCGGGTGCTGACAACCCACGCTACGCCACTGTTAAGAACGGACCTCCGGAATGAATTAAGTACTTAACCCGAGGTACCACTGTACTGTAAAAAGGTAAAGGGACCCCTGACCTTTAGGTCCAGTCGTGACCGACTCTGGGGTTGCAGCACTCATCTCGCTTTATTGGCCGAGGGAGCCGGCGTATAGCGTCCAGGTCATGTGGCCAGCATGACTAAGCCGCTTCTGGCGAACCAGAGCAGCGCACGGAAATGCCGTTTACCTTCCCGCCGGAGCAGTACCTATTTATCTACTTGCACTTTGACGTGCTTTCGAACTGCTAGGTTGGCAGGAGCAGGGACCGAGCAACGGGAGCTCACCCCGTCGCGGGGATTCGAACCGCCGACCTTCTGATCGGCAAGCCCTAGGCTCTGTGGTTTAACCCACAGCGCTACCTTCGTTCCCAATCATGTACTGTAAGTAGGAGTTTTTTTCACTCCTGCCTAGAGACCAAGGTGGCGCCTCAGTCCACACACATGGACCTCAGCAGAGGGCCAGCAAAAATGAGCTACCCTAAGTTGTCGTACACTCTCATAGACGTGTACATAACCAAAAGACCAAGCTCAGAAGTAAGAGTGTCACTTACCATCTGGTGAGAACTGATCCCGCTCAAACACTGTTATGCAAAGCACATCCTGTTCCAAATCTTTGATAAAGAACTGGCAATTAGAATTCCACTTAGGGTTCAGTGTGTCCTGTATAGTCTTGGTAATATGACACTGAGAGCCCATCGTCACTTCACAATACGGGTTACTCTTTCCTGAAAGCAGAAGGCAAGTAGATGCACAGCCGGGATCAAACATTTGCACACACAAATTTGGTAACTTGCTTCTGTGGTTTTGACATGAGAGAATTGGAAAAGGCTTTTTGTACCTCCACCATTTGATTTAGCAAGGAAAATAATCAAATGCATCGGGCAGCCTGTGCTGCCTGTGGGTGAGTGCGCCAAAACTGAATCTGGCATCAGGTATACAAGATTGCTTTCTACATCAAATTTGACCCAGCCAGGGCTTGCCCAAGACATTTTGGCACCAGAAAGGAACCAGAAAATGGCACCCCACCAGCTCGCCAAGGAAGAAGGGGTGATGGAAGACCTACACCAGGAACAAGGGGGGAGTGAAGTTCTACACTGGAAACAAGGAGGGAGAACAGCAGCAGCAACAGCGAATGATGCATCCATTGGGTGCAAGATCTGCCCCTGTGGATCCTGCCACCTGAGGAGGTTGGCTCACCTTGCCTCATGGTGTTGGCCAATAAATAGGGCCATGAATACCATGGGTGGCAAATTTGGGTAGACATTTCTCCGGGGTGTGGGGGGTGTAGTGGTTGATAATCCTTCTGTTTGACTGTTGGGAGGCTTTCACCATGTGAAAATCACTAACACTATTTAAAAATTTGCTGGCTATATCAGTCTATATAAAGGTAAAGGGACCCCTGACCCGTGACTGACTCTGGGGTTGCGGTGCTCATCTCGCTTTACTGGCCGAGGGAGCCGGCGTACAGCTTCTGGGTCATGTGGCCAGCATGACTAAGCTGCTTCTGGCGAACCAGAGCAGCAGCGCACGGAAACGCTGTTTACTTTCCCGTCGGAGCGATACCTATTTATCTACTTGCACTTTGACGTGCTTTCGAACTGCTAGGTTGGCAGGAGCTGGGACCGAACAACGGGAGCTCACCCCGTCGCGGGGATTCAAACCGCCGACCTTCTGATCGGCAAGAGCTAAGCTCTGTGGTTCAACCCACAGCGCCACCCGCGTCCCATCAGTCTATATAGAGTGCAACAAAACACCATTTTACAAAACTTACATTCCCCCCCGACAACCTATTTTACATTAAATGATCAAAGCACCCAAGACGTTTCCCTTCTTTTTGTCATATTTTACACACCACACACACTCTTATATACACGCATATAGAGAGAAATGAAGTTCTTACCGTGGGATCTGCAGGGCTTCAGTTCAATACCTTCAACAATGTTCACCATTAACCTTCCAATACCGGTTGCCCTTTGGGATCGGACTGTGGCAAGAACAGGCAAGAGTCATTAAAATACTCTCTTGAAATTTTGGGGAAAACGTCTAAATACTGTACCCCCATTGCGGTACCTAAATAGGCCTTTTCCCTCTTCTTCTTCTCTGTTTCTATGTAAAGTTCAGAAGCGGCTTTGATTTTCTGAACCCAGGCCGTCCTTGAGAGAGAGAAAGAGAAGGTGAAAAGGAAATTACGTATCATTATGAAGTACGTGCAAGTGAGCAAAGCTGACTGCATGCAGGTAGGAAGAAGATCTAGATAAAGGCATTAACTTCTTTGCATTACAGTCATACCTTGGAAGTCGAACAGAATCCATTCCGGAAGTCTGTTCAACTTCCAAAACGTTCGGAAACCAAAGCGCAGCTTCTGATTGGCTGCAGGAAGTTCCTGCAGCCAATCGGAAGCTGCGGAACCCACGTTGGACATTCGGCTTCCAGCAATAGTTCACAAACCAGAGCAGTCACTCCCGGGTTTGCGGTGTTCAGGAACCAAAACATTTGAGAACTAACCTGTTTGAAAACCAAGGTACGACTGCATGTTTAGTTCTCAGGAAAAATCTGGATGTGATGTGAGAGATCTGTGAATAGGACCTTCCCTGCCATTGTGCATGTTTTCAAGGTAATCTTGGCCAAGGGGCCCCCATTCCGTTTGGGATAGTTGTGCTGGTACAGAGGAGGTTTAACCTTTTTCCCTGCACTGTTTTCCCAGTTAAAATTTCTCTAAGACTCAAAGCAGGCAGCCCATGGTTGCTAGGGGAGGATAAACAAATCAGGGAAAGTGCAAGTAAAAAAGATGGCAACATCAGAAACGGGAGAAATCTCATTATGAAACACTGTGTGTGTGTGTGTGTGTGTGTGTGTGTGTGTGTGTGTGTAAGAGCTCTTACATATTCCCATTATGTTCAGTGCCAATACAGAGATATTTTTTTACCTTTCATTTATGCTTTCTGCACGGAGTGTGTAGACCCGATCAATGTGAGAGATATGAAAGATGGGCTCGTCGCCAGAAGGATCCGTGGGTAGTTTAACCAAGACCTCGTTTAGAAATATGGGCTGCAAAAAATAAATAAATAGTTAAGTGTTAAGCTAGGTCAAGTCAGAATGAATGCTCTATAACAGGAGTCAAGTTCAGCAAAAAAAATGACTAGCATGCTGTGCTCGGGACAGCTGGGCAGACATACCCTTAAGAACTAGGAGTGCCTCTGAGCACATGCTCAGCCCAGGAATTTGTGATCAGTACCAGAACAAAGATCACACATCCTTTCACACAAAAATTCATTTCTGGTCTCCATCCCACCCAGGACCATTTTTCAGAAACCAATTTTTAAGGGAGAGTAGGAAGCTTTTTAGCTGTTGCAATTGTTAAGATACATTTTAAAAATATTCTTATTGAAAGCACATAGTTCAATAATATACTGAAATAAATATATATAGAGAGAAAACAAAACAATTACAAAAACTCTGCAGTGCAACATTTTGTTGCAGATCCCACTGTTGTCTACTAGCATGGTTCAATTTCTATGTGATTTTTAGCATTCACAGACTTTACCATAAAGAAAGAGGGTAAACATCTGCACCAGGGAAATGGTATCCCAAAAGCAAATCCAAAACTCAACAAAAGTAAACAAGAAAGAGGTGTTTTTCAACCATCTATGGCTAGTTAACAGAAACCTGGACCCTTAACACAGTATAGCTTTTCTTTTGAATTAAGATACATATTGGGGTTATCTGCCTGAACCTTAGTTACAAATGAAAATATTTGAGAGTTTCTAGCCTGGGCTTCAATCCAGATAAAGCTTTGGCCTGGGCCAATATCCACACAACACTTTAGCGTAATGATGATAGAGCAGGGTGGGGACTCTACAGCTAGAAATGTTGCGATGTTTTTCCTTGAAGGAATGTGTCAATAATGCATTAAATGTTAGCTTTACTCCCACTCACAGCAAGTAGCAACCTATGCTTTTCTTTATTCACTGGCATGGTAAAAAGAGGGGGCTAGCTCACATATTACATGGTAACTAAACCAGGGTTATTACATGCAGCCAATTACATGGTGGGCATGTCTTCTGAAACCGATTTGTTGCATTCTCACTTCACATCTTTACATCATCATTGTGTACTTATGTGTGCACCTTAAAAAAGGGCTATATTTAAGGTGCATCAAAACTTGTTGAGTGGAGTGCTCCTGTACAACGTTGCAGTCAGCTAGGAAGCTATTATTCCATTCTCCCTTCCTGCCCCCCTCCCAGTTCATCATTGTGTCTCTTTGTTCCATCCTCACTAGGTTCTTTTGAGGGATTCTGCCATAGTTGCCACCTCCAAGGTTTTCGTATGTTTGCAGGTCTTGCTGTTTCCTTGCTTGTGCTGACACCTCAGCGGCCCTGTTTGACTACAGTCTTGTTGGCAATCATCAGGTGAGTTCTCTGTTAGTATACATCAGGTATGGGGAACTTTTGACCCTCCAGATGTTGCTGAATTACAACTGCCATCAGCCCCGGCAAGCATTGCTAATGACGGGGGGGGGGTGAGGGGAGTTGTAGTTCAACAGCATCTGGAAGGCCAAAGGTTCCCTGCACCTGGTAAATATGCCTGGAAAGATCTCACCTCATATTGCAAAGCAGACACATTTGTGGTGTCCATGTGGTTTTCCTATACAGAAAATATATCCAAATAAGAAATTTCCTTGCCAACAAATGTCCGTATAATTAAAGCTATGGTTTTCCCAGTAGTGATGTATGGAAGTGAGAGCTGGACCATAAAGAAGGCTGATTGCCGAAGAATTGATGCTTTTGAATTATGGTGCTGGAGGAGACTCTTGAGAGTCCCATGGACTGCAAGAAGATCAAACCTCTCCATTCTGAAGGAAATCAGCCCTGAGTCCTCACTGGAAGGACAGATCCTGAAGCTGAGGCTCCAATACTTTGGCCACCTCATGAGAAGAGAAGACTCCCTGGAAAAGACCCTGATGTTGGGAAAGATGGAGGGCACAAGGAGAAGGGGACGACAGAGGACGAGATGGTTGGACAGTGTTCTCGAAGCTACAAACATGAGTTTGACCAAACTGCGGGAGGCAGTGGAAGACAGGAGTGCCTGGCATGCTCTGGTCCATGGGGTCACGAAGAGTCGGACACGACTAAACGACTAAACAACAACAAAGAAATTTCTTCTGTTGCCTAAACACCTTTTTCACGTGAAAAAGTAATTGGACGTTATCAATATTTCTGAATTTCCATTTAAAATAATTTCTTACCGTTTTGTACATTTTATACTGCAGGTTAGACTTGGGGCTGAAGACCTTATCTGTGCCAGACGAGCCGAGAGGTTTTATTATCTGTGTCAGCAGGAGGAAGTCGTTGAACAGAAAGCCATACAGCTCCTTGTTGCTCTTGGCCTTGTAGAGTTTCCCACTGTGTAGAAATTTGCGTGGCCCCAAGCAGTTTGTAACAGAGTTAAAAACAAGTTGCTGATGGGAACAGAAAGGGAGGGTGGGGAGGGGGGGAAACCACAACAAGTGAGATGAATAAAAATATACTTGTTCTGATACCGTTGGATACAGCTGCAGAAAACTGACAGAATCTGCAGAAATCTGACAACAGCTTCAGCTCATTTGCAGGCATAATGATGGCTTAGTGCTTGACTCTCAGCAGTAAAGTGCCAGCACTTGATGGAATGGCAGGGACACTTCTGTTATTCCTAGAATTATCCCTTTGCCCTTGTACCCTTCAACAAGGGTGGGTTTACTTATGATGAGAGGAGAAGGATTCTGACTGATGCCTGATTTTCTTCACTGGTGCTACACATTTGTATAGGAAGTAGGAGGAATGTGTAGACCTAATTAATGGCTGCATTAGCAGATCAAACTAAACCATAGTTTAGTGTGATGTCCACAAGTAGGAATGAGAGGCCGTGATCATTGGGCTCATGTTCTCCCCATCTCCTTTCCACACACATGTGCAGTGAAAAAGGGGGAACATGAGATGGCAGTGGCTTGTTCTGGCCTGTGCACTGTACCTTAACCTGATGTGCAAACATGGTAGGTGCGTTATTAACGATTGGTGTCAAAGATTTAAAATGAATTCACCTAGTTTAGCTGACCATTTCCCTCCACTGCGCTGAATTGTAATCTGTACACTCTTTGGGGGCACATTGATGGGCCTTAGCAAGTAAGTAAAAAACAAATGCACAACAATTTCAAGTGGCTATTTGTCTGGAATGCCTACTTTATACATTCCAGAAATTTCTCAATTACCCTAGAGTGATATGGCTAGCAATTCCACTTTGCATCCTTCGTAAAATCATAGAATCATAGAGTTGGAAGAGACCACAAGGGCCATCGAGTCCAACCCCCTGCCAAGCAGGAAACACCATCAGAGCACTCCTGACATATGGTTGTCAAGCCTCTGCTTAAAGACCTCCAAAGAAGGAGACTCCACCACACTCCTTGGCAGCAAATTCCACTGTCGAACAGCTCTTACTGTCAGGAAGTTCTTCCTAATGTTTAGGTGGAATCTTCTTTCTTGTAGTTTGGATCCATTGCTCCGTGTATACAGAACTTGCTTAACTTTTCTGAATCAAAGCTAGATTTTGCAACATACTTTATTTGGGAGAGGAGAGGAAATTATGAACTGAATAAAAGCTGTGGTCTTCATTTCATTGCAGAAACGTTAAGTGACAGATGGCTGATGTAACGGGTTCAAGAGATAAGTGGAAAGAGAAAATTGGCAGGAAAAAATGCCAAATGAAGAGCAGGATGAATTTGTGAAGACTTACCAGCATCTCTTTAGCTAGAGAAGTTTATCAGCATTGTTTCATAAGCCATCTTTTCTGGAAGATTAGTAACTACAGTCTGATTCTACGTATTTCAGCTTTACCTCTGATAGTCCTTCACACTGAACATGAGCCTGGATCCATTCAAGCCTGTCTGAGTTCTCCTTCTCACGCACCCCTTCATTAACCTGAGAACAAAGTTCTTCCGCTTTCTCCAAAGCCTGTTTCAAGTGGCTGTGATCAGGGTGATTTTCAGGAGTATTTTCTAATATCTGCAGGCAAATAAACTGGATCAGGTTCTTATAAAACTGCATATCTATTCCTTCTTAAGCACCTGAAAAATTAAATATATCTTTACAGATATAAAGAACATTAAGCACCCAAAGTAAATGTTATTAAATAAATCCTGCCCTAAATCAATGAAAAGAAAAACATCACTGCCTCTTGATTGCCAAAACGCTATAAGATTACTTCTCTTCAAATCAATCCCTTTTTTATCTTCCCTGTGTTAATCTAATAAAAATGGAACATTTCATTCTCTTACACAATCATTTATTTAAAGAAAAATGGGCCTGATCAGTCCCCACTGGAGTTTTTGCCCTGTAGGTCAGGGTCTATCCTTCTGATTAAACTGCATGCTGGAGGTGAAGAAGGATGAGGAAGAGAACAGTCCTCTTACCCCAGGCTACAAACAATTCACATAACTAAAGAAAACAACTTGCACTAAGAAGGGGAAGGATTTCTCTTTTGCACCAAGTGGGGCAAAACGCTGCAGCTAGACTGTTGATAGGAAAAGACTATTGCCAGCAAATAACTCCCATGCTCAAAAGCTTGCACCAGCTGCCTATACACTACAGGGCTAGGTTAAAGGTACCTGTATTAATTTATAAGGCCTTTAACAACTTGGGTTCAAGATACCCGAAGGGCCACCTAATTGGTTATATCCCTGTCCAATCACTGAGGTCTTCAGGGGAGTCATTCTTAATCTACTGACTCACAGTCAGTAGGCCCAGCAAGCAGTTGGCCTACTGGGCCATTCTGGGCCGACCACCATGTCCTGAGCCCGATTTCATGTAAGGAAAAGTTCAAGCCATGACAAAAAAAAAAAAAGAAGAAGAAGAAGAAGAAGAAGAAGAAGAATCAGGAGCTCACTCTAAGCGTGTTCCCGGATCTTCCTTTGCATCAAAAATTCAGCATTTTGCTGTCTTTTTCTGTTGTCCTATAGAAGACACCAGAAGTAGTGCAAGGCACCCAGTTGAAAGAATACTAACTTTTAATGTGCTCCCTATTGTTCCTTTGCATCCCCGGTTTGAATTCCGACATACTGCACATCCTCATGAGTTAATAGACTATAGAAATACGGATCCTATGCAAGAAAAACTTAAACTCTGACTCTGGCTTCTTAACTATAGCAGTTTTGGCAACATATTTCCACACGTTAGCAAAAGGACTTACATTTTTAATTATCAGAGGATATCGCGTTACTCGTTGCATAGGCTTTAGCAGAAAACTTGACAATGGCATTCCTTTACAGCGAGGCTCCATAGCTAACCTCTGAAATATTGAGAGCAAAAAATGTTGGCAGCTAGTTTATGAAGGTCAGACACAAGTATTTATAAAAATGCCCAAAGCACACTGTGGTCTCCATTTATTCTCTACAAATGTGGCTTCCTTGGAGTGGTGAGGACATGCCAGGAAGCAATTTCAGTGGTTGCTCACCAGTTGTGAAGTGTTCTTCGTTCAGAATGTTGACAAAGGCTAGGTCTGTTCTCCAGGCCATAAATGGTCTTTTGTGGTTGGAAATAAGCAGGCGGTTCTTTTATTGGCACATTTAAGTCAACATTTTTTATCCAAGTAGACTTTTTATTATGTGATCTCAAACATTGTTTCCCTTAGGTGGCAGAGACAGAATAGTTTAAAAATGAGGCCTGGGTCACAATTACTCGCTGTTTGTTGTATTCTAAGATTCTGTAAAACAGTTAAGCATATGCCTCAAGGAAACAACGGTTCAAGTGTTTTCAGGTCTGTGTTGGTATACAACATGTTATTCCATTTATGTTATGTGTTGTACTGGGAGGAATCACACTGTCTATAATGTGTAGAGCAGTGAAAATCCAGCATTTAACACCTTCCTGTATCTAATTATCGGTCAACACACATGCTTCAGCATGGCCAAAAGAGAAGGCGGAGAGGGGGAAAGCCAACTAGGTTTTAAAAACAGAACTCTCAAAATAACGCCATCATTCCACAAGTACAATGGGCAAGGCAAGACCCCCCACCCCCAACCTCATGCTCCTTTCCCAGAATGGAAAGAAGGGGATACAAAGCCGAAGAGCATTTACAACCAATTCACATAAGCAAGGGTAAAAAAGACAGAGTTTCCATTTCCAATTCTTGCGTACAATCCTTTCCTGAATGGGCACAATACCCACATGCAGAAGGGCTCTCTGTACTACCCTGGTGCATGTGCATAGGCACACGACTGCATCAGGTCATTAGGGGGAACAGAAAGCTAATATCCTGTGACCATGAGGAGGGAAGTGCTAGGCAGAATATGAGAGACTCATACAGTTCTGTCATTACTTCTAAAAGTCTAACATCCACACTGGGGTGGGGGAAGAACCAAGGCTCTGTTATGTCCTGCAGCACATAGGCACTGTGCCCTGGGAGAGCATATAATATTATATAATAGATATATTTTCTTCACTCGCTTGCCGTGAACCTCTATTGTCTATTCATAGCAAGAGTACAGAATTTTTTCACAACGTTGGCAATACAAACAGCTTTTTATTGGGATCCTCCTTCCAGAAGGATTTGGTTGGCCACTTTTGGAAACAGGATTTTGGGAACAGATGGGTCCTTGGCCTGAGCAAGCAGAACTCTTCATGCCTCTTTTGTGCACTCAAGGGGGATATATATATATATATATATATATGCAGTCTGCCATGTCGAATCACAAACTGTTTTTGAAACTCTGCTGATTTTCAAAAGCAACCTGCCACACTGTACAGAGGACTTCAGTTTGAAAAGATGTCAAAAGGCTTGTTGACAGATCTCTAAACCGTGACCCAGGTATAGAGGAACATGACGGATCCTGGTTGGCAACCCTAGGTGGCAGTGTATTGACTATCTCCACTGCCACTTTCAGCTAATCTCCAGTCAATTGGTCACTAGTATAGGACGAATGCAGAGAAATCAGTTAAAATGTGTGAAGCTGCTTTTGGTTACATTTCCTATATGGCTCTTTTTAAATAAATTAAACCCAGAAAGTAGATGCACGAGTTTCTTTGAATAAATTACCAACGTGGATATTTTCTTACTTTAACAAAGTCCTTGAACTCGGGGACTTCGTCTGTCTTCTGCTGGATGAGGGCTGCTCCGTTCAGCTGGCAGCTACAGAATCGAATGTAAGGCTGCATGTGTGGAAGCTGTGCTGTCAGGATATCGCCAATCATTTTGACAGGCATCCTCTCTCCTGACATTTTCTTACGAACACGCAGCGCTCTGAACGCAAAAGAGAAAACGGGGAGAGATGTTGATACATGTTCAGTTTAATATAGTTGTACTATGTTATGTTGTTATGTTATGTTATGTTATGGGACGCGGGTGGCGCTGTGGGTTAAACCACAGAGCCTAGGATTTGCTGATCAGAAGGTCGGCGGTTTGAATCCCTGTAACGGGGTGAGCTCCCGTTGCTCGGTCCCTGCTCCTGCCAACCTAGCAGTTCGAAAGCACGTCAAAGTGCAAGTAGATAAATAGGTACCGCTCCGGCAGGAAGGTAAACGGCGTTTCCGTGCGCTGCTCTGGTTCGCCAGAAGCAGCTTAGTCATGCTGGCTACATGACCCGGAAACTGTACGCCGGTTCCCTCAGCCAATAAAGTGAGATGAGCGCTGCAACCCCAGAGTCGGTCACGACTGTACCTAATGGTCAGGGGTCCCTTTACCTTTACTATGTTTCCATATAAAAGCAGCAGAGATCTATTATGGTAATGCTGTCTTATTGTAAATTGCTTTGAGGTTTTTTATTAGTATAAAGCGATATTGAAGTCAGATCAATCAAACCATAACAGGTTAGCCATCATTTATGCATTAATACAGAGCAGGGGGAGGAAACTTTTTTGGCCTAGCAGGTTAACTCTGGTAGGTGGGTGCAACAGCACACTTGTCAAGCTTCTGACACCAGATGATTGACATGTGGCTTGTCCCATCTACCTGTCCCTCGTGTAGTGTGTTTCCTAAGCACCTAAAAGCCAGCTGGTTATAGAGGATTATGTGAGTAGTGATCTCCCATTGCTTGTTTGGAAATGGCCTGTTAAAGATTCCCATCACTTATGAACCCAAGAGCTGTACAAAAAGAACAGACTGCTTAAAAAAGGAGAAAATAAATTGCATAAGTTCATAAGTTGCTAGAGTGTAATGTGTCTCACTAGAAACATGCCCATTAAAAACTTGACTTTGACTTCAAAATTATATCTGGTGGGAAATTTTGTAAATGCACATTGCTTCTTTACTGCACCATCATATTTTGCAACTACGTTCCACCTATGTAAACATTTATATACCCTCCCCCTTTGCACAAACCATATTCAGCCATCATCATGAAAGGGAAAACCAGACTTAAGAAAAATGCATTATTTCAATCCCTACAATATTTTTTTTCTTTCCAAGTGCTGCTGAAAAATGAGGACAATGAAGGAGAAAGCATCCAAATATGTAATTGGCAATAAAATGTTTTCAAAAGCAACTTACTTCAGTAGTTTGATATTGCACATAATCAGCTCTTTCCAGTTTACAAAAATCATAGCAACCTCTTTTTCTGTCAACAGCTCGGAGTCCATCAGTGGTTTCTGGAAGATCTGCAGATTCAAATGAACAATTTAGAACACACAATAAGCCTATTCACTGTGATTCATCTGCAGCCACTGGTTTGAATTAAAGCTCTGCAGATCTCACTTCCTGCCTCATTCTGATCATTTGATGGAGTGAAATAGTCAAAGATAAGCACTTTTAATTCCTTTGGTTTCAGCAGAAGATACTTAACTCTCCCATTCAAAGCAATAAGAGTTCAATAGCCTTAACTGCAGTGGGATCATACCCACACCTATTAGAATAGTTGGTGGTAGAGGACTACATGCTGGCTTCTCCTATAGGAAACTGCAATAAACTGTCAGATCTTAGCCTGTATTTTTTTAGTCCCTTCCAAAATACTGCCTTCAGAAAAACAGTGAACAAAAAATGCCTTTTATTTTACTATTTGTTTGCAGTCTCCTTCAGGGAAGCTATTGATCATGGGATAACTGGGACACACAGTTTTGATTTCCAAAGTTCTCAAGTTGCACAATTCCCATTCAATCCTGCAAAGGTCTCCAGAGCTCCGGGTTTCAAAAATTTCATGTTTGACCCCTTTTACGATGAGGCCAGGGTGAGAAAACACATCAGGAGAAGTTGTTAAAATGTGTACAATCAGCCTCACCTCTGTTACCAACTGCAAGTCATTCACATAGTTCTCTTCTGTTACTATGAGTTCATGGATGTAGCCCTGCCGTTTCCTTTCGGTAGGTGTCAACATGTCTAGGAGGTGCAGATCAGCACACCCTGGAAAACACAAGGAAAGGAACAGCATTCACTCTTTGGAACACTAACCCAATTCCTCATAAAAGGCAAGTTACGGTGCTGAGTTATTTGTGCTACAAATAGCACAGAATGGAATGTGTGGGGTGTCTGGCTTGTTTGAAAAGAGTGTTAAAACTGCACCCAAGGCATAATTTTCTTGGAGGTGGTAAACCCGTGTTTGAATTCAACCACTTCAGAGTGCAGGCTGAGGCTTAACATGTGCCTGAAGTGACGACGGCTTACAGTGTCAGCCAGAACTAGGTCTATTGTGCTGACCTATTTAAAGCTGATAAACTAAGCTTTCGGACAAAGCAAAAGGTAAATTATAAGGCATTGGTTGGAACCACCTCCATTGCATTGTGTTACTGAGACAGAACTCTCTATGTTTATACACCTAGGAAGGAATATTCTCTGAAGAGATTGTACACTGGATTCAGTTTTCAGTTGATAGCACTTTGGAAAGCATCTTTGAACTGGCGATATTGATTGTTTAATACTTTCATTAAATTTTGGACTGAATTTTTACACAGGTGCCCCGTTTTGCTTATCTAAATTCAGTTTTATAATTTACACTGAGATTTTATCATTCTTTATCTTACGCTACCTAGAATGCTTAACTGAAGCCCAATCTAGAAAACTGCTAAATTTAAAAAAAAAAAAAAAGCTTACATTAAGACTTCAGGGTGATCTCTTCTTTCTGATGTGACAAGCAACTCATTTCCACCAGGATCTGAGTGTCATGCTTTTAGATGCCAAAGTTGAGAGCGTACTCTGGTATACAGACTTTAACAACTAGACAAATGGCCAACACCATTTGGGGAGAGGCAGTAACTCAGTGGTAGAGCACACTTTTTACATGCTGAAGGTCCCAAGTTGAATCTCTGGCATCCCTAGCTAATCCTGGGAAAGGGCCTGTTTGACACCCTAGAGAGTCACTGTAGATAAAAATGAGCTAGATGATCCAGTGATCGGACTCAATAGAAGGCAGCTTCATATGTTCCCAAGATCCAAATCTGAAGCTTGACAAACCCACAAATGCAGATCTTTCATGGAGAGGTGCCCTATAGCTAGGGAAAAATTATATTGAGCAATTGTTCACCTTGGAGCCCCATATGCAAGATGAAGAGGCGTAATATATTATTAAAATCTGTACTCATAGCAATAAGAGGCAAGTCTCAAGCTTATGCTGATTGCTGAATAAGGAGGTTTGTTCTTGTAGCATAAAAATCATGATAAAACGTATTTTGATTCAAAATATTCCTCAGAGGCATTCCGATTCAATGCTCTTCTTTTTTAAATTAAGATTTCTTTAGGTAGCCTTTCTTTGATAGCCAGCTCTAACAATATGCAGGTAGCTGACTTTAGCCAAAAATATTTTTTAGAAGTAGCTCATCCAAGTTGTTTCTTTCACAGAACAGAAGTCACAATCTCACGTCAGTTTGCAGCCCCCATAACACACTGTTAATTTTAGGCAGTTTACGTAGGGTATTTTTTGCTCAAGTTGGTTGCCAGGGTATCAGTGAAATTAGCTCTATAAGGTCAGGGTAGGAAGCCTGTGGTCCTCCAGACACTGAACTACATCTCTCATCATCATCCCTGGCTGTTGGCCATGCCAGCTTGGGCTGATTGCAGATGGAGCCAAATAACAAATACGGGGGCACTATTCTCTCTGAAGAAACACAGTATCAGATTCATCCTGGAGGAAGACTTTAGCTGAAATGTATCGTATTATTACTATTTCAGTTCTTCATCAATAAACCCATTCTGTTCAGTGGGATTTGGTTTGCATCTTTTCACATGCCGTCCCCTTTCTGATGCTGCCTCCTGCCTTTTGATTTGACAGTAAGGAAGAAGAAGAAGAGGAGGAGGAGGAGTTTGGATTTGATATCCCGCTTTATCACTACCTGAAGGAGTCTCAAAGCAGCTAACATTCTCCTTTCCCTTCCTCCCCCACAACAAACACTCTGTGAGGTGAGTGGGGCTGAGAGACTTCAGAGAAGTGTGACTGGCCCAAGGTCACCCAGCAGCTGCATGTGGAGGAGCGGAGACGCGAACCCGGTTCCCCAGATTACGAGTCCATCGCTCTTAACCACTACACCACACAACGGCAGCCCAATGACTGAAGAGTACTGCCATTAAGTAACTAAAAGTACTTACATCAGGTAATACACCAATACTAATTCCATAGTATTGACCTAATCATATACTATACTAATTCTTAATATCACTTTTTAGAAGTTTTCATCATTTTTTAAAGCAGTGTTTTCTTTTAAAAATAATAACGACAACCTATAGTATTTCAGCATAATGAGGGACAAGTTAGCAGTAGGGGGCTTTTCAAGACAGTTCAGAGATACTTAACTCATACTTAATAATCATGGCAATCATGTGGACAGGAGCAGATTTTAGTAATAGAATCGTAACTTGGATCCCGAACTCCTTGTGAGTCAAACGTTTTGGCTCCTGAATGCCGCAAACCCGGAAGTGAGTGTTCCAGTTCGCAAATGTTCTTTGGAACCCGAATGTCTTGCGCAACTTCCGCGGCTTCCGATTGGCTGCAGGTTTCCGAACATTTTGGAAATCGAACAGACTTCCGGAACAGATTCTGTTCAAGTTCCAAGGTACCATTGTATGGACCTCTGATTTGGTGCCCTAAATACATAATAATTGTGGCCACTCTATCACACGTCTGACCACAGCCTAGCTTTGAGTAGGTCCCTGTATAAAAATATTATTATTTTGTGTCCCCTCACTCAGCATACTGTGATGATGTGGAGGGCAAACTGCAGCAGATGTATTTCTGTCTCCAGTTGACATGCTATCCCACCAGCCTGCACCACTGCTGGAAGTTGGTGGGAACTGCTAGGCTGACATTTTAGGGGCAAAGACAGACCTGGTTCTCACACAGCAGGAACTAGGCTCACTGATGTCCCACAGAAGCAGTTGCTGCTCTACCGTGAATGCCTGGGTTGGGCTTTGATTTTAAGCATTCCCAGCCTTTGCAACAGCAGGTACCCTATTTTTCGCTGCATAAGACGCACCTAGTTTTAAGAGGAGGAAAGGGGGAAAGCCCCGTTTTGGGGGGGATCAGCTCACAGTTGTGCAGCTTCTTTTGCAAAGGGGAAAAGCCCCCTTTTTTGAGGATCAGCTCAAAGTTGTTGAGCTTACATTGCAAAGGGACAAAATCCTGTTTTTATGGGGTTCAACTCACAGTTCTGCATCTTTAGGAAAGGAAAGGGAGCCGTTTCTACAGTTTCCAGACAGATAATCTAATCAGCCAGTCACATGTCGCTGGGGAAACAGCCTCCGTCTTCAACAATGGAGGCCTGGGCAAGGGGGCGGAGCCAGAAAGGGAGCCAGCGATTGCCCACACATTCGCTCCGTAAGATGCACAGACATTTCCCCTTATTTTTTAGGAGGAAAAAAGTGCATCTTATGGAGCGAAAAATACGTCAATAGGAAATTATTATCATGTATTCTGTGCCATCAGTGGACATGACTCCTTAATGAGTTTCGTAGGTAAGATAGCTATATTCTTGTTCCCAATGAATCTACAGCCTAAAATAGTAAGGAACGGAATAACGTTGGCAGAAGCTATTACATTTACTTGAAGGTTGGTTGCAATTCAGAATAAGCACGAACGCAATTAGCAACACAGGGACAATGCTGTGCTCCACTAATTGACTCCCTGCTGTGATGAGGAATCCATGTCGCGTGTCATAGGATTGTAGAGTTAGAAAGGACCTCAAGGGTCATCTACTCCAACCCCTTGCAATGCAGGAGTCTTTTGCCCAGTGTGGGGCTCAAACCCATGACCCTGATATTAAGAATCTCATGTTCTACTGACAGCTGTTCCAGTGTCAGCTTGGCTTCTGGTATATGAATGCCCTGTATAGTGGAGGAGGGTGCATCTCACTAGAAGACCAATATGAACATGAGACAGGCAAATAGATAGATGGATATTTCCTTGTTTTGCTTTCAGTTGCCAGTCAACAACATGGAAGTATCAAATACAGTTAAGATATTTTATCAAATAAAATGTCAGTGAAATGCTTGTCTTACTTAGAGGAAGTGTCATCTAAGTTATAGCCACTTCTTAATCAAATTGAAGATAAAACACAACAGCTCTTACAGTAAGAATCTTAGGGATGTGAGGAAAATAATTTAAGAAGCAAAACTCAGTTCCAACAGCAGCAGGTTTCTCTACTTTATTGTGAAAATAAGTAACACATTTCAAAAATGAAACATTGTGTCATTTGCAAATGAAAAATCACGAATCACGCGGCCACCTCCTTTTTCTCTATTTAGGAATGCATCTCTTTCCAGAACAAGAACTATCTCCAAGGGAGGTTAATGATATATATCAGGGGTGATTAATGTTCTTTAGGCCAAGGGCTGCACTGACCCATGACCAACCCTCTAAGAGCTGCATAATATTATTATTATAATGATGATAATGATAATAATAATTTTTAATACCCCGCCCATCTGGCTGGGTTTCCCCAGCCACTCTGGGCGGCTTAAAACAAAAGATTAAAAATACATTAAAACATCAGTCATTAAAAACTTCCCTAAGCAGGGCTGCATGGTAAGATGGGTGTGGCGGAGGCAGAAAAGAGTGGAAAGTTCATATATTTCATTTTCTTTCCATGCAAAGTCAGTCTAATCCCTTCCCAAACACATTCGATTTGTATTTTCTTTTAATTTTTAAATTCAATTATATTTTTCCGAATAAAATAAAGGTTAATAAGATAACGTATTGTGTCTTCCATCCAAAGTCAGTCTGTTCCCTTTTATCAGTATTTCCTTTTCCTTTTTTTAGTGAACGGTCTGCTAATAAGTCTGCTAAGTAGCACTATTAATAACACAGAAGCAGCAACAGGAAATAATCAATTAGTTTAGAAGCCCCAGCTGACTTAAAAGTGGAGAAAATAACCCAAGGACAATCAGGGAAGCCCAATGAAAGTAATTAACCACAGAAAAAGTGTATATAGGAGCAGGGGAGAGAGAAAATCACCAACAAATAAATAAAAATTAAGACACATAATTGTTGGAGATCCCTGTGGATCACCCAAAACCTCTTGACTGTATACAGCCCACAGGTCATTGGTTAGCTATCCTTGATGTATATGATTATGTCAGAATTTTAATATGGCATTTTGTAATGAATGACAAGTTCTGTATGAAGACTGTTTTAATAGTATTTCAAATATGCAAAATACCTTACAATCTTTGTGGCACCTTAGAGCTCAATACACTTGACCAGCATAATTACGGTACCATTTCAATGGAAGGCCATATTCTTAGAATGCTGCTGGATGCTACAATATTCTCTTTTTCTGGCTGTCTTGCACTAACTTATCCAATTAATTTAGTAAACTTGGTGATTTGCTAGAGAAGAGACAAGGGATGGGATTCTAGAAATGGGAGAGACTCAACTTATGAAACGTCAAAGACCTGGAGTGGTTTCTTATGAACATTAGAGTGAAGCTAGAATTTGAGGGGGCCAGCTCTACCTGCCTTTGGTTTTAATGGAGTTATTACCCAATGACAGTGGTGGGATGAAACCAATTGATCAATTGGTGTCAGCTCACAGATGTAAAGTATGCAAGTTACTATAACTCGGGACCTTGTAAATTGATTGCTCTGCCATTCTGGTCAACATGATAGAATAGTTAAGCAACAAATTACTGCACATAAATTCGGATTCTTCTTAAAAATGTCATAGAACCACTGTCAGCCCTTTTATTTTGTGGCCTCAATTGTTCACAGAAACATTCTCTCTCGCCATCAGGGTGTGTGTGCAGTGGCAGCACACATCTGATACTCAAAAGCACATTGCCTCTGAACAGATTGGGTTCCAAAGAACTATCCTTACAAATAGCTTTTGATCATTTGCCCTGCATTTACTTTCTTTCTTGCTCCTGTTGACACAGAAAGCTGCAATTCCCTAATCTTGGCCCAGAAAACCAGTTCTCGTTTTCATTTTCACTACTCTGGAGATGCAGCCAAGTGATTAAACAAACCCAGGTCCAAAACAATAGGTCTTCTGCAATACAAATCAAGCATCTCTTGCATCTTTCAATTCACACACACACTGAAGAGGAGTTCAAAGTCATGATCTGAAGAAATTAGTTTTTTGTATTGAAAGTAAGGAATGCATGGGCCATTCATATTCAGGTTAAATGGGCAGCGAAGATATTTATGTATAGGGGAGGGGAGACGAATGTTCAGTGTTCATAATACTCTAGAGTAGAGCCACTGAAATCACACTATGTTCCTATCCCAAGGCACACTTTCTGACTTTTCTCTTCTCAACACATGCACTTCATGGGTAACTAGTTTATCCATTCAGTTCAGTTTGTTTTGATCACTGGCTTTAACAAAACATGCAACAGAACAAAAACAATAAAACAAACCAATAAAGGAGTAAAGCAGTAAAGAAAGGAGCACATACAAAAGGGCCCCATTGGTGTTAAAACTGCCCAATGTCAAGTGACACACAGCAGCAAACATGCTTCATATATCAGTGTAATCTAAGGTGGCTCTTACTTCAGCCATCTGTGCAAAAGTAGCCACTGTACCATAAATATAAATTTTTTGGTATTAGTGAATAATTAATTTCTGGTGGTTGGACCAAAGTTTATGAACTTACAGGAGCAAATGTAGAAGCCTTCCATTGAAATAATTCCTGAAAAGGAATTATCATGAAATTTTGGTTTTGTAGAGCCAGGTCCTTTAACAAGTCCATATAAATTGATGAGACATTGTCTCTATTTTCAACATAACAGAAGACGCTTCTATAAAATAACATTTCAGTTCTATGGCTGTCAATATATCATAAGCACTTTGGTGACTTATGGCTAAACATGATCATTTTAGCCTTATAATAATTTGTGGCCTGAAGACTTCTGGCTCAGGGCAGTGGGCAAGTGGTGTTAAGCCTATGTGAGGGTGGGAGAGCAGCGCTAAATACTCATAATAAAACCAAAAACTTTGCTTTGTTTAAATGATAGGGGCTTCTCACGTGTTATTTTAAAAATATGTAAAAATTAAACAAAAAAAATGGGGCAAGGATACAATCTTGTTTCACTACCTAGGTAGTTGGACCACTTTTTAATCAGTAAGCCTATGGAAGATAGCACTTATTCTCCATTTGTTGTTGTTGTTTAGTCGTTTAGTCGTGTCCGACCCTTCGTGACCCCATGGACCAGAGCACACCAGGCACTCCTGTCTTCCACTGCCTCCTGCAGTCTTTGTCCATGGAGCTTTCTTGGCAGGGATACTGGAGTGGCTTGCCGGTTCCTGCTCCAGGTGGATCACGTTTGGTCAAAACTCTCCACTATGACCTGTCCATCTTGGGTGGCCCTGCACGGCATAGCTCATAGCTTCTCTGAGTTATTCAAGCCCCTTCGCCACGGCAAGGCAGTGATCCATGAAGGGATCACGCCATACTGTATCTTGATTGCTGTCAATAATCTGCAGTCAACATTGCTTTTAGGAAGTTTTTATTTTGATTTCCCAATCACCTTTATCAAAGGCTGCCTTGAAGTCCACAAAGGGAGCATGCCCCGGCTGACATCTGCATTAATGTATACATGAAGTACAAATCCTAGCACAAGAGGTGTAAGAATAACCAGCTCTAAATTTCCATCTGGAAAAACGCTCCCTCAGATTCAGCCCACATCTGAAGTTTTAACAGCAAAATGTTGGGATGATGCTTTGCCAGAATTTTGAGATGAACAGGCCTATAGTTTCAGGCTATATTTGTTCCTCTGTTTTATTTATTTATTAAAAGTATATACCGCCCTTCATCAGAGGATCACAGGACAGCTTACAGTATAAAAACATCAAAATATGTAACATTATAACGAATAAAGCAATAACCACCACCCTGCAGAGCTTAAAAGGCTAAATGCTTACTTAAGTCAAAAGCCTGAGAGAAGAGGAATGTTTTTGCCTGGCACCTAAAGATATGAATGAAGGTGCCAGGCAAGCTTCCCTTGGGAGAGCATTCCACAAACAGGGGGCCACCACAGAGAAGGCCCATTCCAATGTTGCCACCCTCCAGATCTCTCGTGTTTGTATCAGAACAATATAAATTATAGACTAGAGGCACAAGTCCAACAGAACAATTTCCTTTGGATGAATTATTGCTGATCCATACTGAATTTAAATATTTCACTGGATTTATCAACTCTGACAAAATTATTTGTGTACTTGCTTCTGTACTTCAACTGCCTGTCTTGTAAGGCTCCCAGTAAACAGATTACAGGTTAGACCAATTTACTTAGCACCATAGCTCGATGACATCTTATTAAACAGAATAAAAATGATGCTTCCATGTCAAGTTTGAGAGGTTGGAAGTAATGGAGTGGCAGTAGCTGCAGCACCTCTTACCCACCATTCCAAGAAGTATGAGAGCAAAATCCAAACAGAGATCGTTTACAGTGTCTCTTCAAGTCCAGAAGCTCTTTTAGCTGTCATGCTTGTTTTTCTTTCTTTATTAAGAGTTCCATGCCACCCTTCACTAAAATAGCCACAGGGCAGTTTGCGGAAAAAAAATGAATTACATAATAAGCAAAAACATTAAGAATCTCTCTCATCAATTACCTAAATAACATTGTTAGCTGCATTAGAAGCCTCTAAAACCCTGACAAATAGGGTAAGTTCTTACCAGGCATCTAAAATACATAAGGTTGGAGGCAGCAGTACTTCAGTGAAGAGGTCATTCCACAGACACTAAGCTACCACTGAGAAGACTATTTTTTTAAAAAAAATTAACTGAATTTTTATCCACTTTAAACTTTCAATTTTATGCAGCTCTCAAACCTTATCTTCATTGTACTTAAAACTGAATCAGGTGGATCAATCCTAGAAAAAGAATTAGGGCATTTAGTTGAAGCTACCGAAAGTCTCTTTAAAATACCCCATTATCACTCTGTGCACAACTAAACGCTGGCAGAAAAATTCTCAAGGTTCATGAGTTCTGTAAACACATATGAAAACCTGTTGAATTTGTCCTTAATACTCTCATCAAAGTCTTGTTCCATTTAAGGTACTTTGTGCCTCCAAGTTCTAGATTATTACTATCTGGAGAGTGCTATTAAAGCTTATTTTTGTCTGCTGAAACTTTAAAGATGACCAGCCAATCATCACAGCTACATGGTAGCAGCTCAGTGTTAAGATAATGCTTCCACTGTAGAGATGTAGAGACAGTCCACAATGCTGGGTCCCAAGGCAAAAATAAAATGTAAAGTCTCCATTTTGATCCTCAGATACCTTCTCATTCAATAATCCGGTTTAATTCATAAAAGGGTCTTCACAAAGTGTATGCCTTCAGAGTTTAACATCCCTCAGGGGCCAGAAGAAATACTCAGTCTAGTTTGTTATTAGCATTTGCATTTCTAAAGGATTAATTGTGCAAAGGCTTTACAGTAACCGTTTCATCAACAATTGGACAAGGTCATTTTCTTGTCTAGTGAAGTACTTCTGCATGAGTGCATAAAACTGTAGAGGATAAGGTTAAAGCTTCCTAAAGGAATCTTAACATGCAGTTTCCACACTCCTTCAAGGATTAGATTTCTCTTGCCCTAGAAGGCCACAAGGCACTTTGAAGGCGGCCTACTCTGCATTGAGATTCTGCAGTCCAGAACATTAAATTCGCTGACCACTTTGAGGAACCTCAGTGTATTAACATTCTGCAGTGAACATATTAACATGGATGGCAATTTAATCAAAATCAAGGGAACTCGTTACCACAAAATACACTGGGGATTAGGGTGTTAATTCCATTTCAGTCTTTTGGCAGCCCTAGTTATGGTGGTAAGGTAAATTAATTTAAAGTTGTTGCAGCTAACCCTTCACTGCCTTCCCATTGCCAATTTTCATGTTGTTGCTTATGCTGGACAAGATTACATCACAGTGCTAGCTGGGCTCCACTGTTTTCAAATGGTTGACTCTACTATGGTCTCACAAAACACATTTTAATTATCAATATATTTATTTTTTAAAAACACTGCCAGGTTCAATTGCCTTTTTGCATCTTTTTATCATCCTATATAGCCCAGAACTGTTGTTTATAATTAGACTACTATTATTTTAAATTGTTAATTCACTGCAACGCACATGAAATTGGCTAAGTGATTGTTAGGAAGTTAAGTGGCAGGCACTCTAGATATAAAAGGTATAGAATGGTATTTTAAACATCATGCTAGATAAAATAATGTGGCTCTATTGAAGTGTACAGCAGATCATAAGGGAATGTTCTATTATGTAATCAAAAATATATTGACAGAGAAAGAGACCACAATCGAGAAGGAGCAAAGAAAACAAATAAGTGACCTCATATATAATGGATAAAAAGCAGCACCTTTATAGTAAACAAGATGAAAACCCCACAGCAACCATTTAAAAATGGCATTACTGAAACACGGACATTAGAGATGCATGTTGAAAAACAACCAGCTGTCCTTGAGTATTTAAAAAGTAGCCACTGCTGATCATGGTCAGCAATGAAAAACCTGAAGTTTGGACTATTCTCTTGCAGTTAGTGTCACTTGCTAAATATACACAGTAACAATAAAACAGAGACATTTAGTCTAGCTTTTATATGAAGAATTTAATTATCTATACATGTAGCTAATTGTAAAGGCTGTATTACAGTTGTTAAAGCTGCAGGTTTCATATATTTATATATTTTACATTCATATCAATTAAAATACTGAAGTGCAATTGAATAAGGAACTTCACTTGTTCTTTGCACCACATGAATGAAGATAAAAGGAATTCTACATCGCCAGCATGAAATTTAGAAATAGAAGAAATACATAAACAAAAAGAAAAATGTTAAAGTTATTAGTAGAGTTGCTATATTGTGCTTGAGGCATAGGGCTTTTCTTCCTATGTGCTGGCCGCACCAGGCAATAAAGAGCTTATAACTAATATTTAAAAGACAAACATAGCTTAGAGTACAGCACAGCTACATAAAATTTGACTATAAGCTCCATTTAATGTTACTTGTATAAATTCCACAGTCTAGTTTAAAAAATGTAAACATTGGAAATTAATTGCAGGAAGGTATTTCTATACATTCTTTTTGTCAAGATAAGATAATTACTTCCTCAAGGGATGCTGTTCCATAGTTATTAACGTAACAGTGATGATAAAACGTAACTTGAAAAAAGTCATGTTAATTCTGAAGAAACAGATAAATGTACTCTTTTGATTTTATACCAAAATGCCAAAAAAATAAAAAATAAAATCTGAGACACAGAACAAAAAGGTGCTTACTATATGTAGTTACAAATAAGAGTGCAAAATATAACATAATGGGAATAACTGCATTATACATGTATATTCTTTCTTGCACATGGAAGGAAATTAATTTCTTATCCATGATGAATTACACGCACAAACATTCACTACAAGAACATGTAACAGTACAAGAAACAAAATACCTTAGTTGAACTTGTAATTGAGCACATTTTAATTTCCGTTAAACCAGACTAAATCCTGTTTTAGTAGTACACAAAAAGGAAAAAAAAGACAGACACCAACAACATTGGGACAAGTGAAAAAGCAAAAATACAAGTCTCAGATTTATGGACATTTGGAACAATTTTAATAGCACATGCAGCATTCCTTGATAGTGGGTCTTTTTGCAATAACAAAATTGCAATGACAAAATGCTTGTTTTTCTTTAAAAGGCTAAAATAGGCATTTAAAAATATTTCTACTACTGAAAGCACCTGTGCCAAGGTGGAGAAATAGGTGGGTAACTATGAAAGCCACAAAAGGACCCACTATCCTGTGGTTTTTTTTGTGTGTCTTTTTGTAATTTTGCATCTATATCTGTAGATATTAAATAAAAACATTGCGATTACATGCAACTAATGTAAAATGAGGTAAACTGCTCTGCAGTGTGTTCTTCTACTCAGAAGGCAGTAGATGATCATGCTGGAAGTCACATGATCAAGGCTGCATCTCCCATCATCCCTCTGGACAGTGATATGGGATAGTGGGTCTCTTTGAGGACTTTCAAGCCTGAGTGGGGGATGGACAACATATGATTCCTAGAAAAAGGAGGAAAACAACACATAAGCAAAACAAAACAATGAGCAAAATTCAAGCTAGGAAAATGAGCCAGGCATGTAAACAGCATGGTGCAAAAATGATAAAGGTAACATGCTACAAGGATGGAACTAAAAACCAACACAAGTTTAGGCTTGCAATATAGAAGGTCTTCAAAGAGAGTTAGGCAAATATATAGCAGTGGCCAAGCTTCTGCACAACACAGCAGAATCACAGCAATGCTGCATGTTTCTTAAAAAAAAATATTATGTAAGCAACTACTGAGATAAAATAGTCACTTACATTGCTGGCTCGGGTCCATATCTGTTGTCAGTTTCACATAGTTGGATGGGAAGAGACCCACTTGCCCATTCACTTCTCCTTTCCACCAGTCAGGGTCTTCCTTATTAAGGACGTTAATGATCTGGCCTTTGCTGAATGCTAATTCATCATCATTCTGTGCAATGTAGTCGTACATACCAATTACTTGGCACACTGTTAAGACAATAAACAACATTTGAAACTGGTAATATCCATGTCTACATATTTTTGAAACAATATGCTAGTGCTCCTAAAACATCTCCCCCCTTAAGTCACTATATTGTTACTACATAGAAGAAGAGGAGTTTGGATTTGATATCCCACTTTACCACTACCCTAAGGAGTCTCAAAGCGGCTAACAATCTCCTTTTCCCTTCCTTTCCCACAAGAAACACTCTGTGAGGTGAGTGAGGCTGAGAGACTTCAGAGAAGTGTGACTAGCCCAAGGTGACCCAGCAGCTGCATGTGGAGGAGTAGGGAATCGAACCCGGTTCACCAGATTACGAGTCCACCGCTCTTAACCACTACACCACACTGGTTCTGTGCTTTAAAAGAGAAAGCTAAGCTATCAGGTCACCAATTAAAAAGTTAATTCCACCTCTCAGCTCACGAAAGGGGGTATAAGTGCACCCACTGACCTCACTCTAGCACATCTCAGTTCTATACTATGACAATCTCACCTAATAGCTATTTTACTAGGGGCCAAAAATAGGGATATTGTTAACCCAAGTTTTTTTGAAATGCTTAGCAAAATTGGGGAAATGTGGTGATGAATACACTAGCCAGAAGATCACCAGATCTTCTGAAGATCAGAGAAATGATGTATTACAATGTGACTAACACAGCAACTTTAAATGACCATAATGAGCAGGCTGACTTCACCAGTCAAAGAATACAACAGAGTGTGGGAATATTTCAACATGTAGAAATTCCAGAGGAAATCACCATCAAACTGGATCAATACATTAAGATACGATTAGGGGTAAACATTCAAATTGATGGTTTCCATAGAATGCTATGATAAAGGGGCTTGTATTCCATGTAGCATTAAGCATCCCGCTAGCACAATGATTTCTACTTGCACAATAGGACTTTCCCCCCCCTCCACCCTTAAACCTCTCCTTTCTCCAACCCTCTGAAGCAGATTTGGGGAGAGAGTGCTGTGCACACAGTGGAGGACAGGATGGGATCTCCTGTTGCATAAGAATAAATCCTTTCACTGATAGGACAAAGGAGCTGGATACCACCCATAGTCTACAGCAGGGGTTGTCAACCTGGTTCCTACCGCCCACTAGTGGGTGCTTGAGGATTCTAGGTGGGCGGTAGGGGGTTCTACGGAACAAGCTGAATCCTCCTTCCATCGAGCACTGGTGGGTGGTAAGGAAATTTTACCATCAAGAAAGATGCATTAGCGGGCGGTAGGTATAAAAAGGTTGACTACCCCGGTCTACAGAATGCTATCAAACAAAGTCTATATATATCTATGTACTTTTAAAATCACTCTGCTTTGTTTATATGTTCTCTTGACTTAAAGAAGATTCTGACCTTTACTCCTGTTTTAGATGTGAGTTGTGATAATGAATCTAACAATTCTTCAACAGCATGAAAATGATGGTGTTAGATCGGTGGATAAGATACATTCTACATCTGCACCAAAATTACCATCATATGTACATTTATTTTTAATCACTAATTATTATATTGAAGAACCATCTTACTCCCACTGCTGCACCTATCATTCTTTATGAAGAATTACAACTGGATATGCAGCCCAAAAATATTACAGAAACTATTTCCATTTGGATGGATATTTCTCTCTCATCTTTCAACTAGCTTGGCTGAAAACAACACACAATAGTAGATTGTAAGCCATATGAACTTCTGCCCCCTGTAAGGAATAGTATATTTATTTAGGGTATTTATGTATCACCCATCACAATACTTTTACAGGGCAGTTTCCAACATGACTTAAACAAAATAATTATAAAATATACAATAAATCAATTAAAATTAATAGATATTAGATAATGCACAAATTAAAATAGCGATTAATACAGTGAGGTAACCCCCAGTGTAATAAAATAAAATACAGCACCATTTTAAAAGTACAAACATTTATAAAGCTAGCACCAGGCAAGTAGGTGTTAGGAAGGAGATGTAGGACATTATTTCATCACCATCATCAATTTAAGTGGTTTTCAATCTATGTTTGATGGACTGTTAAAAGAGTTTAGAAGCTTATAAAGGGCTCCTTAATGAGAAAAGTCAAGAATGGAGGACAAGCTTAACTGAAAGACAGCTTGGCTACAACTACCTATTTCAATCTGCAATGTAAGGCTGCAGGGGAGCATTAGGTATAGTCTAGGGTACACTCGCCAGTCACACAGGGAGATAGTGAGTCCCCAAAGCCTTTCCAGCACTCTTCTGCATTACCCTGGGGGTTTCACAGCTGAGATTCATGCAACCATTAAATTTATATGAAAAGGTCCTCTGAACATAGAAAGTTTGGAAACCTCCTGATCTAAAGCATAGGCAATAACATGGAATCAAATGCTACAGTATTACTTACCTGAAGGTAACACTACTGATTTAGATGGCTCGGTTGGTGTAGTTTTACTAGTACCAGGACTTAAGAGTTTCACATAGTTAGCAGGAAACCATCCTATCTGTCGTTTTTTCCCACGAGCCTAGTAAGAAAACAATAGCTTAGCATTTTGACTACCAAAATAATCTTGGCAAACTATCAGGAGCAGCTCTGTCCGGGTTACGTACTTAATTCGTTCTGGAGGTCCGTTCTTAACCTGAAACTGTTCTTTTAACCTGAAGCACCACTTTAGCTAATGGGGCCTCCTGCTGCCGCCGTGCCGCTGGAGCACAATTTCTGTTCTCATCCTGAAGCAAAGTTCTTAACCCAAGGTACTATTTCTGGGTTAGCGGAGTCTGTAACCTGAAGCATATGTAACCTGAAGCGTATGTAACCCGAGGTACCACTGTATAAAAAACTTAGTCATTCAACAGTGCAGTGCTCTGAACTTGTTCAAAGTTTAGAGTTTGGATCCAGGATGAACAGAAGCCATGTGCAGTGTTCAATGCCTCCCTGAAGCCCTCAATATATCACATAAGAACAGCCTCATGGATCAGGTGAATGGCTCGTCTAGTCCAGCATCCTGTTCTCACAGTGGCCAGGTAAATGCCTATGGGAAAGTTGTAAGAAGCAGAAGAGCACTCTCCCATCCTGCAGTTTCCAGCAACTGGTATTCAGAAGCATACAGCCTCCAACTGTGGAGATGGAGCATGCTGTTCTGGAGTTCCTACTGACCCACAGAAAAAGCTTATTGGATGTGCAAGAGGCAGACTAGAAAGGGTGAGTCAGGAAAATGCCATTGCACAAATGGAACTCCACCCAGAGTTGTTTGGATCTAAGTTTATGGATGGAATTCAACTCTGGAATTTATTTCAGGCAAGCAGAAATGAACTGACAGAACCATCTTCCCACAGAGCCAATTGCTGGGGGGACAAAGGGGGGGGAAACCATGTTGCACTAGCAGGATCCCATTAGTGCGACTGTTTAGTTGACTTTGGCCTTAGGCCTTTGAAAATAGTACATCAGATTATTAATACTGTACCCTAAAGTATGGCTCTCCTAATAAAGTTGACCTGATTTTCCATTAGTTATGGCTGTAAATGTAATGACATCTGTTGCTGTGTGGTAATTGGTTAAGTAGATATAGCTGCCTCATCAATACACTTCCTTTACTGCATTGCAAAAAGTGAATTAACAGATCTGATAGTTTGACATTATCAAGAAAAAAATTGCCAAGGACCTCTAGCCCCTAGTATGGACCACAGATTTCAAAAGCAACTCTTAATAGTTGAGGTAACAACTATTCATTTCGTCCTGTTTTGACTTTCATTATCATCCAGGGAGAAATAATTCTTAAATCATCACTCTCTTATAGTATATAGTTTTTATATACTTCCATTTTAATGCCATTAAATGTGTATGTGCAAAGCCTAATTAAGCAAAGGTATAAATACACAGCAACAGGCAAGCATGATTGCCATGGCCACAGCACCATAATCTCTTCAGTTTAAAGAGCGCTACTATCATTGCCTGTGATCTTTTCTTCAAGGGTTTTATTCATATAGAGTGAACTGCTGTGCTGCCCTACTTAATAGTCTAAATAGGGCAGCATAGCAGTTCACTCCACACCAAGTTAAAAACTACATGCTATTTTTCTCATGAGTGATGGAATTGTTACCCCAAACCTAAAAAGGAAAAGAAGTGCCAGGAAGCTGTTGATGAAAAAAATGATTGGTTTGAAAAGATATCACTTTCATTTCAGGCTAGGTTTAAAAATAAATAAATAACAGCACCAGATAAATCTTTCCTTTTATGTCTACAGTTTTTGTAGCTTTCATTCTCTTTATACATAAGTAAAAGGTAAGAGCCAAAAATAGTCACTAACTTGAAGCTCTCCTTCCCACCATCCACCAGGATTCTTCTTCCTGATAAGTATTAGCTGACCAGGAGCAAGCGTAAGCTGTTCAGGACCTGTTGCTATGTACGAAGCAATAACTTGAGCAATTTCTGTTAATTCAAAAAGAAATTATTTTCATTAATCTGAAAATCACTTCCATTGTATTGTGTCTCCAATTGTTAGTGTGGTTCTTGCCATTTCATCTACAGATTGCAAATAAGACAGTTTTCAATATAGCTATCAGGGAGTTGCTGTTTTTTAAACAGCAAAATTAGACCACACCAGAAACAATTGAATGATATGATGCAATGTAATCAGAACACTCTACTACACTACTTCAATTTATGGTTCCTCTTAAGCTAATCACTTGAACGTCAGTTGTAATAGGAGCTCCAACAACGCAGTGCTGAGCTAAATGTAATGTCCTCAACACTGTGTTCTAGAAAGAAAGTCATGCGTCTCAAAGCTCATTATCAATTAGAGGAGAAAGAGTCAGGCACCCCATCTTACAAAATCTTCACATTTATATTTCATGCAAAAGTGCCTGTAAGTCATGCCGCTGGTATGATATTAAAAAGCTGTAGGGCAAATGCACTTATTCTTTAAAATCCTTTGTACAGTTATATCTGTACAACGATACAAGAGTGGGAAAAGAATTATTTTGCAAAAGTTATTTTGTTTCTCAGAGTACGGCTTACCAGGTTTCTTGCCTAAGCTTCCTGTTTTTCCAGCTGTTCCAGGCACCTTTAAATAATAGAACAAACATAACTCACACTTCCATAGAGAACATGGCAAGCTGCTTTGGAAATAGAGAAGTTTTCAAAACTGTAATATTGTAAGCTAAGATATTCTGCTGCTGAAAGTAAGTGGCAAAAGTCTCTCAGGGTTCATGTAAGCCCTTGGGCAAACTACAAGTCCTTATTCCTGGGCTAGGTATAGAGCAAGGAAAATTGATGGTTAAACTTCATATATGGGAGCCCTTTTCTATTATTCCTATCTTAAATTACAACATCAGAGTTAGAGCTATGTATACTCTGATGAAGGAAAAGAGAGCCTGCGTTCAAGCAATCCGAACTGGGCACCAAGAAAGTTTGCAGACATGAGGGGAAATCTGCTTAATTTAATTTGCATAATTTCACCTGGGTTCTTTTCACTTTGACTTTCAATGACAGCATTTGCACATACATATGACACAGCTACTGTATTACATGCAGATATAACATGTAAAAACACAAGCAATTTTACAGGATTGTCACACATTAGTCTACACGAATGTTTAACATAGGCAATTTGTAAATGTTTCAAGTCATATTCAATAATTCTGAAAGTCAAACATAATACCACCTTGTGTTATACTGAAATCTAAATCCATTCTACTTTAAACTCTGCTTTATAAAATTAGCCCTCCACATGTGGCCCACTAAGGACGCGGGTGGCGCTGTGGGTTAACCACAGAGCCCACAGAGCCTAGGGCTTGCCGATCAGAAGGTCGCGGTTCGAATCCCCGCAACGGGGTGAGCTCCTGCTGCTTGATCGCTGTTCCGGCCAACCTAGCAGTTCGAAAGCACGTCAACGTGCAAGTAGATAAATAGGTACCGCTCCGGCAGGAAGGTAAACGGCGTTTCCGTGCACTGCTCTGGTTGGCCAGAAGCGGCTTAGTCATGCTGGCCACATGACCTGGAAGCTGTACGCTGGCTCCCTCGGCCAATAAAGCGAGATGAGTGCCGCAACCCCAGAGTCGGTCACGACTGGACCTAATGGTCAGGGGCCCTTTACCTTTTACTATGTGGCCCACTAATTATTAGTTTTTTAATAAAATGAATGCATATGTGTGCATTTTACCTCAGAGTCTTTGAGTCTAACATAGTTAGATGGAAATACTCCTGATTTATCGCCCAACGTTCCTGTCCACCAGTCTCCATCCTTCTTGGTCACAAGAATTAAATCCCCTTGCTGAAATGTTAAATCTCCTTGTTCAGAACTTTCGTAAGTGTACATGGCAACATATTCTGGAGGGAGGAATTTTTTAGAAATGAGAAAGTACTTGTCAATCATATTGTCCTAATGTCCAATAGAAAAAGGGTAATGTAATACAGGATACATTCTGCTCTCAAGTGCAATGGTACCTCGGGTTAAGAACTTAATTCGTTCTGGAGGTCCGTTCTTAACCTGAAACTGTTCTTAACCTGAAGCACCACTTTAGCTAATGGGGCCTCCCGCTGCCGCTGCGCCACTAGAGCACAATTTTTGTTCTCATCCTGAAGCAAAGTTCTTAACCCGAGGTACTATTTCTGGGTTAGCAGAGTCTGTAACCTGAAGCGTCTATAACCTGAAGCGTCTGTAACCCAAGGTACCACTGTATTGAAATCCACCAGCTATTTCTGTTCTCACAAAATGACTTCAAGCCAGTGCAAGATGAAAACAAGGCCTGAGGCTCATGAAGGCTCATAACGATGAATAATAGTTTGCCACAATGTGCAAACTGTGCAATTTAGTTATCAAAATAATTGTTTTGCAGAAAATGTAACACAGGAAAGTTTGACGATACTGTTTATTTCACATAGTTTTGCTCTCAAACACCCAGTATTTAGGCAATAGTACCAACAACAACAACTTTATTATTTACATGCCACCCATCAGACTGGGTTGCCCTAGCCACTCTGGACAACAAATCATGGTATTTTCAGGGCTCTCCAGTTAAAACATTCTTACCTTCCCCTGAAACTGAAGATTTTGTAACTGGTGATGTTCTCTTCAGGTTAGCAGGACTCTCTGAAGACCCAGAATCCATGCTTAAAGAAACAAGTGTAAACATTTTATTGTCTAAATTAATATGGTTACAGAATATGAAAAGAGTACAGAGCACAATGATAAAAGTGAAGTATTTCTTTTATAAACATTATTCTAATTTTTATTTGCAATCTTAACAGTACTTCCACATGGTACAAAAGTAGTTAAGTCTTCATCAGTCCCCTCTAGGGATGGATAGTTTGAGGGTGTGAGACACTGCCTTGTCTGAGCATTTAACCCATCAAAGGAAGGTTCTAAGATGGGTCTCCGTTTATATGCTTTATAAATAAAAATAGTGCGCTTCATGGGCCTCCAACAACACAAAGCTCTGTGTGGTGAGGCTCTTTTATTGATATGTTCCAAAATGTCCCTTTGTGGAATCTACTTTATTAAGATTTCTGGAAAAACGTACTGAACTTTGTTTATTTTTTCTAAATGCAATAATGTGCTCCACACAATTCTTGTTCTTTGTTTTATTTGTGCTGTGCTTATTAAGTTTCCAAAAACAACAGTTTTTTGAAGGTACTTAATACTTCCTCTGCCTCTCTTTTGTTAAAGGCACTCGGACCACCGTCCTATACATGCATATTAAAGAAAAACATGGCAAGGGCCTAAATAAAATTTTAGTGGGATTCTTTTCAAATGTTATTACACACCAAGGCTTCTGTCCCTGCTTGCTGCGCTCACCAGCTCTGCCTACTCCTGTGCCAATCGCACTTTCTCCACACCTGACCCCTCCCTTTACACCTCACCCACCCCTCTCGTCTCCCCCTCCCCCACAGCTTGCCCCTCTCTCTCCTTTCACAGCCCAGCTCAACCTCCACCCACTTTTAAAAGAGGGGAGTGCTTTACAGAGCGCCTTGCTAAACACTCTGTGAAGCATCTCTGCCCCCCTCCTCTCTGCAGCTGCACTTAACACAGACTCTGTGTGTGCTTCACAGCACAGCTTACTATACTGCTTTCTGAAGCATCTCTTCTTCCCACAGTAAACGCCTGCCACTAGTGCTGCTTCCTCACTCTCCTGCCTGCTGATTGTCACACTGGAGTTGGTGTAGCTGCCAATGAACTGCACATGAACTGCAAAACATGATGGCAGCTTTAAACTTTTATGTGTAGAGGAAGAAAGGTCCTGTAACGTCTGACAAAATCAAATACCTTGTTGATTTCCTTATAGGACCTGAAATAAGCTTCACATAGGATTTAGGAAACCAGCCTTTTTGCCCTTGAACTTCTCCAAACCACCACATGTCTTGCTGTTCTAACACCGTGATAATATCATTCTTGTTAAAATTAAGATGGTTGTCCTTTTTGGCTCTCCAAGGATACAGGGCCTGTGCTTGAAGTCCCTCCACTTTTTCACCCTGGTTAGATATAGGAAGAGAACAGTAATTTATGCAGTGTGTTTCAGGAAACAAGAGTGGTTTATCATGATTTCTAAGCTCTTCCCATCTACTCCATAAGAGTAAATTGTTTCTTGCATTTGCATGAATTGTACACCACAATTCATTCTATCTGCAGCTCTACATTTATTTGCAAGTACTTAACATGAAAAGCTGTATTGTTTGTCATCAAGTTTGCTTGTATCAAGTGTGTATCTACACTGTCTGGAAGTGGCTTTCCAGGATTTCAGGCAGGAGTTATTTCTACTCACAGCAGAGATGTCAACTGCTAGGCATGTGCTCTCCCACTGAACTACTCCTGGAAAGCACTGCTTTACTGAGAAGCTTATTTATATTTAACACACATGAAAACTATTTAATAAATTTAAAGGCTGACTTTAATGCATATAGCAAATGTACAAAATTATTTTGAGTTTGTCATTGTGCCACTATGTTTACATGGTATCAGGGTAGCACTACTCTGTACACCAGAGCTTTCCAAACTTTTCATGTTGGTGACACACTTTTTAGACATGAATCATTTCGCAACACAGTAACTCAGTTTAACTAGCAAACCAAAGGTTAAACTAACCCCTTTCCAGTCCCATGGAGAGTGTTCGCACGACACACCTACACACTTCAGCCAACACACTAATGTCTTGCGACACACAGTTTGGAAAGCTCTGGGGTACACTAATGACTGGAGAATCAGGAATACAGTCATACCTCTGGTTGCGAACGTGATCCGTGCGGAAGGCACATTCGCAACCCGCAGTGTTCGCAGCCTGAAGCGAAGCATCTGCGCATGTGCGATTTGGCGCTTCTGTGCATGATGTCATTTTGTGCTTCTGCGCCAAAACCTGGAAGTAACCCATTCTGGTACTTCCGGGTTTGGCGCAGTCCGCAACCTGAAACCCGCAGCATTCGTAACCCAAGGTATGACTGTACCTGAAATGTTAATCACACTTATCATTCCAACTCTACAATTCTATGAATCAATGTCTATAAATGCAAACTTGTGCTATTTTAGCCCCCCCCCCCATTTATTTGTGTGATAATTATTTGTGTGATAATCTTAGAAGAACTAACTCATTGACATATGCAGTACACGACGTTAAACATAACTTTAGGCTTACAACCACATAGTACTACTCCACTCCTGTTGTGAAATGACAACTCACCTGACCCAAGACAGGAGAAGGAGATGATCCAGTAACAGTGGCTGGGGTGAAGGCAGATCTTTGCCTCAACTGCCCTGTGCTTGGAACAGTAAGGGAAGGTTGTGCTGCCCAAGCATCCCAGTTATCAGTCTCTTGTTTATCACTAGTACTTGCTGGCCATCTGAAAAAGAAAGGTATGGCAGGTCTGAACTGAAGACACACACAATTCTCTTCCTCTTATTTCTTGACTATTGCATGCTCTTCAAATTAATGCTTATTCCTGCCCCAGACTGTATTATCCTAAATCTCCCTCATCTACATAATATTCACTACTGCTGTGGCAATCTTTACCCAAACCTGAGAACTCAGAAAGAGATACTGATATTCACCAGCACATTTTTGCGGCAATCGGGTATTAGCTGGGCGCTGGTGCTTCTTCTTCAGACACTTAGGATCAGCTAAGAGGAACCAGCAATGAAAGGCTCCCAGGCAACTATGAACATATTCTGTCCCACTGCCTTTGAAGTTACATGAATGGTTTTTTTTAAAAAACCATTTTATTTATTTGGGGTTTTTTAAAGTTTGTAATATGAGAAAAGCAAGGTTTTTCCTTACAAACAAGCTTGTTTGATGTATAGGTCTTGGCTACAAAGTGTAATAATATAATGTTACTAAAATTATATATACATAAAAATTGCTACCACAGAAATGAAACAGAATCTTAAACTGGTTCTGGTGCTCCAGAACCTTGGAATTTTAAGAGAGAGAATTCTTCCTGCCACCAATAGGTGGATCTGAATTCCATCCTGATGTACTCTTACAAGCACAGGAGAAAATATTTTCAATAAAGCAATTCATTACATGTGGCAGGCTAGTAATAATTTTGTCAGCATGAACTTTTGTAAGTGTATTTGCTATGCTGAATTAACTTCAATATGCCATAAACAACTAAGATATTATAGGTGGCTCAAATGTTTTGCAGACTTAACTGCAAGACTACTTTAAACCATGTGGATTATTCACCTTTACAGTTATAAAGAAGAAAGAAAGGAAAATTGAACCCCAATGAAACCGTACGTTGAACTGAAGTCTGCCCAGTTGTTGGCAGTTGTACTTGAATCTGTAGGAACAGGCGGTGCCAGTGGTGTTGTGGGGGTTTCACGTAATGAAACTTTAGGTGCAGCTCCAGCATCAGTTACCGGCTTTACAGAATTTGTAATTTCATTTTCAGAAATTCTCTCTGCATAGTTTGCAGGAAACCATCCTGTTTTCCCTTTCAGTTCACCTCCAAGCCACCCAGGTTCTCCAGTTTGGCTTTCATCCACCTGTACAAATAAACCATGTATTATACAAGATACAATACACAATTAATAAATTTTCTCCAAAAAGCATGGCATCTGAAAGTTAAGGAACAGTGTCACTGCTGCATGTACTAACTATTCCATGATGTTATAGCTATTTAAAAACAACAACCCAAAGTACATTTGTAGTGATTATGGCTTTGATAAAATCCAAATGTGAAATCAAAGCAGGTATTTTGCAGAAACTGCTGTTGTCTCAAAATAACCAGTTGCAATAAATTGATTACAGACTGCAAATTTTTTGCAGCAATGTAATCTAAATCTTTCTAGATTTTCCAAAGGGTAGGAGACACAATGAGTTGGAATAACTGTAATTGTACTGATATCTACAGATTGATTTTTTAAATATTTTATGTTGTAAGCCGACTTCATATATTTTATGAAAGTACAGATCATAAGTACTTAAAAATGCTTCAATGAAGGTAGGAAAACACAAACAGGCACATTCTGGGAGAGCCACATCCCTCCCTCAGTTTGATTTCCTGCCTTTGACAACAAGGTGAAGCAATAGCTCATGCTGAAGACCTTTATGATCATTGGGGAAGCCTGCATTATGGGCTGCACTACTAAGACTGTGGGCAGGAAGGAACCTGATCTGGAATAAATCTCTCTCCAGTGTGGGGACGAATGAGCCTTCAGATCCAAGCCTTTTCCCTCCCCAACACACTCCCTTTTTGGACCTACTAATGGAGCATCAACTTCATTCAGGCTAGGGTGTTCCATTTCCATTGTCAGTTCTATTTCCCCTAGGCTAAGTACACTACTTTAAGACACCACTCCATCTTAATTTGACCTTTCAGCCTCTAGGACATTACAGTTTCACAACATGTTATCTATCATTATGATAGATACAACATTTGTGTTTTTGTGTAACACTGTATTCTTCTCTTACCATGATTATGTCTCCTGGCTGGATAGTGATTTCATCATGACTTCGGGATTCAAATGGATAAAGTGCTCGATAATAGACTATTTTTACATCTTCCGGAGCAGAAATTGTTAATGGAGCCTTTTCTATACGCACAAAAGCAAAAGCATAACAAGGTTTATTATATCATAGAAAAAAGGGCATTTTTGCTTGCCCAAATGTTACACTATTTTTCATTATACTTCTGCTGAACAGAATAAATGTTGTCTTCATTTTACCAAAGGAGAAACAAAGGAAAGTCAATCACATTTGCATTTTAAAACATTTGAAACTAAGTCAGAATCTAATCTGTATGTGATTTTTTTTGCTCTGTTGTATCTGAAGAATTGAGGATGCATTGCAATAAACTCATAATTGAAGTGTAATAGCCCTTATGGCATATATACTAAAGGCCTTTTAAATTGCACACCCATGCATACAATAAAAAGTATATTCAAGTAAAAGTAAATCTATTAAAAATATAATGCCTGTTTTGGGAAAACATGTTCAAAGCATTATGAAAGATAAAGTTAACTAAGAATATAGGGAAAGCTAACCTCTGGAACACCAAGCACTCCCAGTCTTTACTTACACTAGGAGGGAGGGAAAGTGTGGCTGCTAGCATTGATGCTGAGGGGAGCACTATAAAAGGGGTGGAGAAAGTCATGAGACAAGTCTCTCTCTTTTTCATAATGCTATAACCATGGCTATTCAACAACCCCAAGGCGTGGGGGATTCAGGACAGACAAAAGGAAGTACTTCTACACAGAACACTGCTGAACAATGGATTTGCTCCAACAAGATGGCGTAATGGCCACCAACCTGGATGGCTTTAAAAGAGGGTCAAGGATGGAGGATAAGACTATCAATGGAGACTAGCCATGATGGCTATTATTATGGCTATTACTACTTTAGTATCCGAAGCCCTATGCCTCTAAATACCAGTTGCTGGGAAAGAGGGGAGCCAATTTGGGCCCCAGGTTATAGGTGCCCAGTGTGTGTGACATCATGACATCATGCCCCACGCCCACCTGGCCTTGGAACCTGACTTCTGGTGCCACCGGAAGTTGGGTCCCAAGGTCTCGCAAGCCCTTGGACATCATCTCTGAGGTCTCACGAGGCCTCCGACATGACTTCCAGTGCTTTGCTGCGTTCGTAAGCCGAAAAGACGCAACATGAACCAAACACCACACAAGGTATGACTGTACATTTTTCTCAGAGGTTGAAGACTGGAAACAATGTTCCCTGGTATCATCTAACATTGACTTCTCCCAGTGATGGAGAATCTTTATGGAACTTACATTCCAAGTAATGCCATTTACCTGTCCTGCAGGTCTATATTAGTTTGGGATGGGAAGAATGAATAGATTTTCATCACAAGAGGCAAACTCTGAACCCAGTAACTAGAATGTATTTTAAGTTCTGTTCTAGTTTGGGTTTAGAGACTGTCAAGTAATGGTGCAGATTCATTTGGAACTGGGTTAAATAAAATACAGATTCAGACTTTAAGTTTTCCTCCCTGACCAAATTTGAATATTTTATTTTAAAAAGATACACATCTGTACATAATAATATGACGGGACTAACACTTATCATGTACATAACAGGATTTGTACCTGCAGTTGACCAGGGAGCTTGGAGAGCTGGTTTTGTTGCATCTTTAAATGGATGAAAAAGTTTATCTAATTTTTCTTGCACTTCTTGCTTGCTCTTCTCATCATTCTCCTTCTTTTTGCTTAATTCTTCCCATTTTTGCTTTTCTTCTTCTTGAATTTTTCTTGGCCGTGGGAGTTCTTCCTCCTGTTGTATTCTGTCTAGCCACTGTCTCTCTCGGGTTCTTCTAATTGGTGCAGAAGAATAAAACAGGCATGATATAGGCACGTTGCCTGAATAGCTCAGTGGGAGAGATCCAATGTAGTGTGAGTGGGTGTTTCTTTATGTAATGGTGCTTCTTTTCCCTGCCCCTCCCTGCACACCCAAAATCTGCTCTTGAGGATTGGAAGTATCTGCAGAACAGATGTTGGGGGTGCATGGAGGGCGGGAGGGAGAAGAAGAGAAACGTGAATTCCTGTAGTTTATGTGGACGTCTGTTGATTTAAAGGTGTATTATATTATATTGTTAAAATTGCTATAACCTTCCCTGGAACCTTATGGTAAATGGTGGATAATAAAATTATTTTTATTTATTTCATAAAATATATACACCACTTGACTGAGAGAAAAAACACCTCAAAGTGGTTTACAAAAAGAAAATCAAGAAAAATTTACACCCCTACTTTAAAACCTAAAAAACTTAAAATATTAAGAGATTAAAATTACTTCAAATTTCTAAGCATCAGGGTAGGCTTGTCTAAACAAGAATAGAGTGAAACTGCCTGCTTGATCTCAATAGGCAGGAAGTTCCAAAATGTAGGCGATGCCACACTAAACAATCAAGTTATTACAAAAGCAGAACAGGCACCTCTAGTATTAATAATAACAACAATTCTGTTTTCTGTAGGGCTGAGGCCTCTGCGTTCCTTGCATGAAACTCCCTTGCTCACCCAAATCAAGCAGAACTGAGCAGCCTGTACACAGTTCAGTTCTGTTTCGGGCAGGGGTTGGTTGCACATGCTAGTTCTCTATGGGCAGAACTGAACTGTGCAGCCATACCAAGGACTGAATATTCCACCAATCAACTGATAGGTGGAAGATTCACACCTGCTTTCTACAGGGATCAACTGTGTGTGCCAGGGAACTAGCATATATGGTCAAGCTAAACAGGACTGGATCCCAACCAATCAGGTGACATCACCTGACAGGTTGGTGTGATTCACAGAAAATGGCCTTGTGTGTCAAATCAGAAACACTGCCAGGCCAAGGCTGTACTAGAGGTTCCCTACTCAGCCTTTCCTATATTTGTAGGCAATGTGTTCTTCTCTAGAATGCCAAATATCTTGATGCACAAAGTTCTGATTGTATCCTTTTCATAGAAAATGTGAAAAGTACATTTTTAATAAATTTTTCTTACCTCTGACTATCTTTTTGATTTTCCAGTTCTGATTTCCTCTCTTGCTCCTTCTGCTTTAGCCTGTCAGCTTCAATGTTCTTTTGCTTCTGCAGCTGCTGCTTGTTATGTATCTCCCTCAGCTCCTGCAACAGGGGGTGGCATGTTTTTCAGCATAAAGAACAAACATTCATGTTTTGAACAGCCAAATGAACTAGTATTAGGAATATTGTTAAACCTTACTTTGGTACCCAGGACTGGTTACAACATGGGTTGCTAGTTAAAGTTTGCTGTTCTTATTGATTTTAATTTTAAAATTTCTACCTTATTTCTCTGAAGAGACTCAAGATTGATAGTGAACGGTAACAGAAACCTCATAAACCTCAAAAAACCCAATATTCCTTGACTTTTCAAAACAATATCTAGTCCATTTAACAAACAAACATCTGATCTGGTCTGCATAACAGAAACCTGAGTGGATGAGCCATGCCTGTCTGGGTACTTGGTACACCACCAGTCTAAGCTGTATGTGTGTGTGTGTGTGTGTGTGTGTGTGTGTGTGTGTGACAATCATCTATTAAAAGTGTGTCTTCCACACCAGGAGACCAATCCACATTGTGAGGGGCAGTTTCTAGTACTGGGTCAAAGGGACACAACAGTGGTGTTGTTAGTGTACTGTCCACCGCAATGAACTTTCCCCAACCAAGCTGGATGTGTTAGAGGACTTCAACATTCATGATAAGACTACTTTGAATGGGTCAACTCAGGATTTATTGACAGGCATGGGCCTATCCCAGTACAATGGCCCAATCCATGTGCTCAGAGCCACCCTCAACTTGCTTCCCCCCAGCAAGTCAGCAGTACTTTGTTGATTGTAGAGTTTATTGTCATGGACAAATCATTCCCTGGTGAGGTTTGAATTAGGAGCAACTATCCTATTCTGCAAGGGTGGAGGACCCACTGAGATGGTCCACTCATGGAGAATTATGAAATTGTTCCTGAATACTCTGGGGGATTTTCTGGCCAATATGGCTGGTACTTCTACTGACAGTATTGCTATGGAATTGAGACATGTATATGGTGACTGATATTATTGTTCCTGAGTGCCCTTGCCACTGTGGAGTTCACAGGTCACCTTGGTACTGTAGTGACCTGCATGTAATGAAGCAGGACAGTAAAAGGCTAGAGTGGTGTACATCCCAATCTGAACCTGAAGAAACATGGACGAGAGCACTCTAACATACCTACCATCGGGTGGTAGGCATGATAAAGGGCTTTCTTTGTGGCAGCCTCAAAAATGTGGAACTCCTGTTTTATTAAGGTGCATCTTGCATCATCGTTCTTGAGTTTTCATCGTCAGCTGAAGACACAGCTATAAAAGTATTTTTTGTGATCTACGTAAAAACTGTTAATATGTGAATATTGTTGCATTTGTGTTTAATTTAAAATTGTATTACTTCATTTATGCTCTTGTAACCAGCCCTGTTGTGGACTATTGATCCAAATTTACATCCCTTTAATAATTTCCTGAGTCTGCTGTCCCAAGCCTTAAGTTTTTAATTAGGATGTTAGAAAGGCTCGAAAGGAACAAGAGTTCGCAAGAGTACACAAGCTCTAGTACAATCAGTACACAAGGCTTGTAATCAAATTTTGCTGCTAAAAGCGATATCCTGTGGCCTCCAGAAACACTATTGCCCCAGCTATGAGGAAGGAAGTTATTTGATGAGAAACTGGGACATTCTTGGAAGACTACTGAACCTGGAAGCTGTCACTGAAAGGAAAGATACCTCTCAATCTTTGGATTCTGAATGCAAAGTTCAATTGGTCAACACCCAATGTGTACGTTGCTTACTCAAGAGAGTGCTAACAGTAAAGCAGAGTATTTACTAATCACTTGGTTCAAATGTGGTGCTTATGGAAGCTCATATATGTAATTTTAATATATAGCCTGAAAGCTAATTTGTGTACTATAGACAGGGATATAAGTTGGTGACAGTAATATGGGACACATTTCATGCTCAAAGTCAAATTAGGGGATACCTTCAAAGAATAAGTGGCTTAGATTTCAAAGGCTCTCGGTGCCTTGAAACTTCCATTGACTTCTTTATTGGGCTGGCGGAGACAGTGTCTGGGGTACAGTAGTGCTGGGTGACTTCAATTCATACAGAGGCTGCTACTGGGCAGGCTCAAGACTTCATGGCCTCCATAACCATTTGAATCTTAATGTCTGCTTGTGATGACCATTTGAATCTCAATGAACATTTGAATCTTATGTCTGGTTATGATGGCCACAACAGCAAGCCATACGTAATGCTGGAATCACTGTAACCTCAAGAGTAACAGGTTACGCTCTTAAATAGTAAAGGAGATAGTCATCACCTTTGCTAATTATTCAACTGATCTATTGTGTCTTAACTGAATGTCTTGTTAATAGCAAGCACTTAAGGTGAGCTCAAATATTTCTGGATGTTATTTATGAACTAACTCGATTACTGGTGAGCGATTTATGTTGAAAACTTAAGTAATCTCTAAAAATCATTAATTAGATGAGTTGTTTGGTGGGTTATGAAATCTCACATCAAAAGTAAAGTCCTAATCTTGTCTGCAATGCTGAAGTGAAAAAGGCAGCTTTGGCCAGAAAGCAGCTTACAGTAATGAAAGGAAAGGGTCCAATTAGCTTTAAGAGAAATCACAGAATTCATAGGATGAGAGAAAAAAAGCTTTCACTAATGCCTAAGGATATCCGTTTACTGTATGGCTACGATTATGCTACAAGTAATGGATTTGTGCTTTTAGCATCACATTCAGCGTATCTCTTTTATTCAGAGCAATATTCATTTTAGAAAGGGTGAAATGAAGGGCAAGGATAAGGAGGAACTTGATCTTTTTTCAATGCTCTCTATCTGCACAATCAACTCATCCTTTCTTTTGCCTTACAATTATTTCATGTTTAGTACAGAAAAGAGCATCTAACCTACTAAGAAAGTAAGTGCTATGTGTCTGTTGATATAAAAATGGATTTACAAGCTTAAATCAAATATTACCACAATTTATTCTGTGTACAATGAACTTACATAGTAAAGCAAGTAAAATTCTGTAATTTAGACGTCTGACTTTCATGGTAATTCTATTTAATGTTTTGCCTGCCTTTTAGGCAAAGCGCTCACAATGTTTTTTGAATGGTCAAGGATACAAGACATTCTGCTACCTTGTAGCCATAGCAGTGGTAGGGCATGGCTGTCGCTCAGTAGTAGTGCATCTGCTTTGCATACAGAAGATCTTGGGTTCAATCCCTAACCTCTCTAGGTAGGGCTGCCAGTCAGTGAAGACAGTACTAAGCTAGATGGGCCAATGGTCTGGCTCAGTATAAGGCGGCTTCCTAAAGTCCTAAATTCTTGGGCTTTCTGTATTTACTCAGAAAATGTCACAGCGTAGACATGATTACCTTTAGCTGATTATTGAAAATATCTATCTCTTGAAGTTTTGATCTTGTTTCTTTTTCTACTTCATCCAGCTGATCACGAAGCTGCTGGTGTGCTAACTCCTTTGCTTCTAAGGCTCTTTTGACAGTGAGAAGTGAGTCTCCTGTTTTTAAAAACGTTGACAAATAAAGATACTTCCTTACAAATACACAGATCACACAGTTTGGCAATTTTCAAGGCAAAAAAAAAAGGTTAGTAATAAATGTATGTTTCAAACATAGAACTGTGTTTTAATTATACTTACTGTGCAAACTGTTTTGTTGAACCTGCTTCAGCTGATCATTGAGTAATTGCTTTTCTGGAATCAACCTTCCAAGCATCTGTTGAGACTCCTACAAAAATAAAAAAACAGCAAAAAATAATCAATTTCAGCTTCAACTAAAATACCATGTTGTTATGTTAATTGCTCGACTGTACTATTGCAAAACTCAGCACCTACTACTGTCAATAAACCAGATCTGGGCGAGTTATATGTTAATATCCAAAGCAATGTCCTCACATGTCACAACCTCATCTCCCAGAGAGGTTCTGTCACTCTTTTTAAATGGATTTTTTTTTCATATTTTAGAAAATGCTACAAACGAATAGTTAAAAAAACCCCATTCATATCATGCTTTTTGAATGGGAAAAAGGAGACAACCACTTGAAAATTGATTGTAGGGAGGGGAGAAAGACAGATGAATATGATCAACTCCAAAGCACTAATATCAAGATGTTGCGAAGGTGAGGAAAAGGTGAGGTTATGGAATCTATATAAAACTACACAAGCACCATTTATTGCTGAAATGTACAGTGGCTTTCGACAATGGTTTCATTCAGATGTAATAATAAAATGATGGTTTCTTGTTGCATGAATGAGTCTTGGACACATCAGCTCCCCTCTCTTCCTCCAGCACTGCTGCAAGGAAGAAATTAGAAGCTTTTAATTTCATTTTTAATGAACCACAGGTGAGCAATGACATGTGGTCATGTGATATGTGGTTAGCCTTAACTATGGTTACTGAAACAAGGTCACTTGATCAGGAAGCTGCCTTATTTAAGTAAACCTCAGATAGGATTAACCACAGTTTAGGGTTTAGATGGAACACTGAACTTTGGTTACTTGAAAACAGAAGTGAAAGCTTCTGATCTCTGCCCTGCAGCCAGGAGTGTTTGAACTGAAGACCTGCTCATGTAACCACCACTTGATTCCTACCTATCATACTAATCAACATTAAAAACTGGTGTTCAAGGCGTACTATTTATCTTTAGCTAGACTGGGGGCGGGCGGGGAGAGAGAGAAGAGAGCCAGTGTTCAAAAATAAGCAATTTTCCATAGGTCTAGAAGGATAAGCTGAGCAACTGGTCGGAGTATTGTACTCTATGGGGGCTTACTTTGTTCCTGGTCCAGTTAGTACAGAATGCTGCAGCACAACTGACGAGAGCCGTTTGCAAATCAAGCTCTGAAGCACCTCCCTCTCTGTTAAGCATCAATGCAGTATTGCTTAAAGAAGGGTAGGAGGCACTTCAGAGATCGGCAAACTACTCTCTGAAATGCCTCACACCCTCCTTTAAAAGGCATTGGGGGGAGCTGTGAGGGAAGGAGGGGTTTGGGCCAAGCTATGAGGGGGAGTGAAGGTTCAGAGACATGTGAGGGTACAGAGGAGGAGGTGGGTGAGGTGTAAAGAGAGGGGGGGTCTGCTTGGGCGTAAAGGGAGGAGAGGTTGGCCAGGTGTGTGAGGAAAGGCATTGGCAAAGGGGTTACCTGCTAGGCTGAGTTGCTGAGCAGAATGAGCAGGGATGGCAGCCCCTTATTACTTATATTTTGATAATTTTTTTAGGTTAACTTGCTTCCTATGATCCAGCTTCTGAATTCTTTTAAATGCTCATTTTATATTCTATGTAACTACTTAGAGGTTATAGATGATAAAGCAGTATTAATCCTCTTGTGTAAATTAATAAAATAAAAATCAAAGTTTAGTGTAATGTGCACAAGCAGAAATGAGATACAGAGCACCTTGAATTTGTGTGCTGCCTACTTTTCCTTCTCCTGCACAGCCAATGAGTAGCTCAAAAGATATCACTTCCACATTTAGTAAAGCACAGCTTTACCTAGAACAGTGGTTAAGATTATCTGTGGTTAGTTTAAAACAAGCTAACTTCAGAAAACAGAGTTTTAATTTTGTTTGTTTAAAACTAAGTATTACAGTGGTACCTCTGGTTGCAGACGGGATCCATTCTGGAGATCCAGTCGGATCCCGAGGTTTCCGCAAACTGGAAGGACCGCTTCTGCACATGCGGCGAAACCCAAAAAAATACTTCCGGGTTTGCCACTTTCGCATCCTGAAGGATACACAACCAGAGGTGTGCGTATCCAGAGGTACCACTGTAATGTTAACCACAATGTGTTGCTCCAAATAGCACAATAAAAAGCAGTTAACCAAAAAGCAGAAGCAGAAGCTTGCAAACGTCTCCTCTTGGCTGTATGGTGGCAGGGAATCCAAAGCTCACGGTGCTTGCTTATGTATGATGCAATAAACTAAGGTTTAGCGGTGCACCAATATGATAAAAGGGGGACTTCATGGCACCAGAAGTATGTAACAAAAATTAAACATGTTATTTTCTGTTATAATAAAATTTGACAACTACTAGTTTCGACCTTCATGCATTATTGCATTATGCTCTATTTTGTTTAATCAACAGCAGAACAGACAGCGTTTAGTAACTAAATATTTTCAGTAACTGCATACTCACTTGTAACTGCTGCTGCAAATGTGTTATTTCTGCAATTCTTAGCTCTCTAGATTTGTTTGTGCTCTCAATTTCTTGTCTTTGAGTAGACAATCTGCATCGGATATCCTGAAGTTTGCCCTCCAGTTGATGTTTTTTATCATTCTTCAACAAGAAAATAAAGAATTGGTTTAATCAAAATTTAAATTAGAATGCAATATTTGCTGCAAATACTTCTAGGCTGGTCTGTAAGTCAAAGAAGAAAAACAATCATTATGGAAATGATGTATTTGTATGGTTGTTTCAAATCATTAGTTATATCCAAGGTGAAATACATTACTTTGAAAGATTCTGGCCAGTATTTCTCACTTACTAGAGCTTCTAATTCAAACTCCAATGTTTTTTTCTTAGCTTTCAGAACAACTATATCCTCTTGCTCTTTGTTCCTTTGATTCAGGAGCTCTTGCCGCCGATTGCGTTCCCACTCAAGTTGCCTTTGTCTTTCAAGTTCCCTTTTTGCAGCCTATAGAAGATTAAAATTATGTACACATAATTTGTAGACTTTTGTAATCTGTGCCACATTACAAGCCATTCAAATGCAAACTTTGCAATTTAGCAGATGTACCGCTTCCTGTCATCCCTTTATGTGTAACAAGACTGAATGGATTCTGGGCTTCTATACATTCTCTAAGTTCTCCCTTTCCCACCATGTACAAAGTATCATCTAAACCAGGAGATTCTGTGAGTACATAAACAAACACATTGCTATTCTGGAAATTGCATCAATAGAGAATGTCTGTGGAACGGACAGGTAAGAGAATTCCTGCATTCAAATGATAATATCCTGGTTCAAATGTTACTACTACCCTGGAGTAAAAGATTTACGTGGGCGGGGGAAGGGAGTTACAAAGCACTGGGGGGGGGGGTTAAGAGGCTATTGAAACATTATTCCACTTCCAAGCAGTTTCATGTTATAGAGCAGGGGTTGTCAACCTGGTCCCTACCACCCACTAGTGGGCGTTTCAGGATTCTAGGTGGGCTGTAGGGGGTTCTGCGGCACAAGCTGAATCCTCCTTCCATCGAGCACTGGTGGGCGGTAAGGAAATTTTACCATCAAGAAAATTGCATTAGTGGGTGGTAGATATAAAAAGGTTGACTACCCCTGTTATAGAGGGTTGTTGTATGTTACTAAGAATATTTCTCATATTAATTTCCATAACTGAAAGAAAAGGGAACTTGGGTCAAATAAAACACTAGTCAACTAGTTATGCTGACTGCTCTTTATTCTATTTAAATCAATACATTTAGTCCAAACAGTCTTTCAAAGCAGCTTACAAGCTAAACCACCACGATAAATATCACAAGATGACCTTCACAGATTGGAGAACTGGGCCCAAAACTAACAAAATTAATTTGAATAGGGACAAATGTAAGGTTCTACACTTAGGCAGGAAGAACCAGCTGCACAGATATAAGGCGGGGGACACCTAGCTTGCCAATTGTACATGTGAAAAGGATCTAGGGGACTTAGTAGATCACAAGCTTAGCATGAGTCAACAGTGTGATGCAACAGCAAAAAAGGTAATGCTATTCTAGGCTGCATCAACAGAAGTCTGGTGTCCCAATCAAGGAAAGCAATAGCCTGCTCTATTTTGCCTTGGTCAGACCACACCTGGAGCACTGTGTCCAGTTTTGGACGCCACAATTTAAGGAGGATATTGACAAGCTGGAATGTGTGCAGAGGGCAGCAACCAAGATGATGAAGGGTCTGGAAACCAAGCCTTATGAGAAACGGTTAAAGGAGTTGGGTATGTTTAGCCTAGAGAAGAGGAGACTGAGAGGACACATGAGAGCCATCTTTAAATATCTAAATGGCTGTGACATGGAAGATGGAGCAAGCTTGTTTTCTCCTGCTCTGGAGGGCAGGACCCAAACCAATGGATTCAACTTACAAAGAATGAGATTCTGATTGTAAGAGCTATTTCAGTGTAACAGACTCCCCTTGGAAAGTGGTGGAAGCTTTTAGAGAGCCAGTGTGGTGTAGTGGTTAAGAGCGGTAGTCTCGTAATTTGGGGAACCGGGTTCGCGTCTCCACTCCTCCACATGCAGCTGCTAGGTGACCTTGGGCCAGTCACACTTCTTTGAAGTCTCTCAGCCCCACTCACCTCACAGAGTGTTTGTTGTGGGGGAGGAAGGGAAAGGAGAATGTTAGCCGCTTTGAGACTCCTTAAAGGGAGTGAAAGGTGGGATATCAAATCCAAACTCTTCTTCTTCTTCCTCTTTTAAGCAAAGGCTGGATGACTGTCTGCCATGCATGCTTTAGTTGAGATTCCTGCATTGCAGGGGGCTGGACTAGATGAGATTCGAGGTCCCTCCAAACCCTATACTGTAGTACTATGATCCTAAACATGCCAGACACTACCAGAAGCCCAATAAACAAGCCTGGGAGGCCACTCATGGAAGCAAGCTCTACAGTGGAGAGAAAAATCACCTGTTTTAACTCTGAAGGAAGTGGTGGCAGAGAATTCAAAGCAGAGCCTCCTTGGATACTCATAAAATATGCAGGAGTATATACAGGAGAAGGCAGTCCTTAACGTAACGTGGAACCAAGGTGTGCAGGGCTTTAAAAAGGTCAAAATCTGGAGTTTCAGTTTTGTTCCAAAGCTAAGGAATAGCCAGTATTGTACAGTGTAGCTATCAAGGGAGCATACATGAATCTATGTAGATTTAATTCAACATAGTCTCAAAACTCACATGATCATTTATCAGATCCAACTGAAGAAATGGGTAATTGAAGAAATGGGTAACCTACACCCTTCCTGAGAAAATGTTGCACTGACATTAGATCATTTCTAATTTTATTTAAAAAATGATTTCACTTTGTACACATTTTGAAGAAAGCATAATATTCCCCAATATACCTTTTAAAATTTGTTTTTAGACAAGTAGGTATTTCTTCTGAAATTGTCCATTTACCTCACGCCTTTCTATTTCTTTCCTCCTTTCCTCTTCTCTCTGGCGTTCCAACTCTCTCTGTTTTTCTAACTGTTTTTCTAATTCCAGTTGCCTTTTCCGTTCCTGCTCCTGCCGTTCACGCTCTTTCCTCTCCTGCTCTGCCCTTTCTAACTGGGCAAGGCGCTCTTGCTCTTTCCTTTGCTGCTCCAAAAGGGCTTGTCTCCGCTTTTCAAGCTCTAGATTGCCACGTTCAAAGTTCTCACGTTTCTTATCTTCAAACGTTACTTTAAGAAAAAGAATTACAGTAAGAAATCAGGGTTTTTTTGGGGGGGGGGTGAGATATACATACACACACACACACACACACAAAATATTACAATACAATACAAAACAATACAAAACAAAATACAATACAATATAATATAATAATACTATAATATCCAACTGGAATTGACTTTAAAATATTAACAATTTGAGCAAACATCCTATTTTCATTCATTTCAGTATTCCTACAGATGGTTACACAAGAGAAAAATATTCTAAAATGTTTTGAAGTTAAATGGACTTGGAGTGTGATAGGAAAACTTCTCATTTGCTAAAAATTCACCTCCATGTTGATTACAATAATTTGTGGAAGGTAACGGGTTTTGCTAGTCACAACTCTTAGGCACAGACATGCAGTTCCTCTCTGTATATTATACTGGTCATTGTAAAGGTGTAAAGCAGTTAAATAGGAACTAATTCCTATGAAACATATGAGGCTATCTTTAATTAAGACCTTCCAGGAATGACAGCACTTCACCTGTTGACTCCAGGTGGCATTCCCCACCCCACCCCGATTCCTAAATGTTTTAGTGTCTCCCCAAAAGATGGTCAAAGTGCGCTTATTTACAACAACACTCACCTGGCAATTTCTTTTCTAATTGCTGCTGTTCTTCTTCTAACACTGGTTCTTCTGGTAACCTTTGGTCTGTGGATACCGAGCTTGCAACAGATACACCACTGCCAGAGCGAACTCTTCTGTCAGGAAGAGATAGTAGGTTAAAATGTGTATATGAATAATGCTTCTGTTATTAATTCCATTACAATTTAGTTACCGAGTCAGACTGCTGTGCAGGCTACTAACTTACTCATATAAAATTAAAATTCAGTACAGTTTGGCATAAGTAAAGCCTCAACAAGGCCTGCCTTGAAAGCCACCAACAGGCCAGTTTACATATACATTTGTTGATTCCTCACCATTTAATTCATATATAAACCAATTCCGCTTACATTGTGGTGGGTTTGAGAGATAGTATTCTGTTTGTGATGGTGCATTTAATTTGCAAGCTACCACTGGGCAAGTGAATGTGCATGTGTGAATCAATCGTATGACCAATCACAGTCAATGTAAATACTACACTATAGGAGGCAATTTCTACTGTGGCCCTAGACACACAACTACTGCACACATCTTGTTTTTTAGTTTCTTTGCCTTTGATGCAAACAGGTCATCCAGTGAATTCATTATGAGATTGCATGTCAGTGTTTCATACTGCCACAACTGTAAAAGGATTTGTGATGCCATGACACACTACAATTTGCATTCATGATTAATGATTGGGACAATGCCATGAATATTTCAATCCAGGCTAAAGAAAAGCAGTCTTCAATACACACAGTCAATGTGTGCTGGCCTAATGAAATATTTAATTTAGCTAACTTAAAATGATACATTCACTCAAAAATAACAACTACTACCATTCTTCAGTACAATTTTGACAGAGAGAACAACCAACTTCAACATAAAGGAATATGGCTCGTTTTTTGCATAATGCACACAGGAGATCATAACATTAACCTTTTCTTAATGCATTTTTCAGAAATCAAGCAAAAACATAAATAATCTTCTAATTAATCACGGTTCAGGATCAAAATCAAAGCTATAATAATTTTACCTAAATGAAGGAGGAATATATTCCGGAGACAAGACAGGTGGCAATGGCTGTCCTGACATAGCCATATCAATTAAGTGCATAGCCAAAATAAACTCTTCTGCTGTAAGTTTTCCATCCTGGTCAATATCTGAAAGATTCCTATTGAAAAAAGATCCAATTACATGTTTGGAGTTTTTGCCCACTATCAAAACCAAGAAAAAACACAATCTACAACACCTGTTCCTAGAAAAATACAGTATACTTTCTTAGGGTGGGATAAGCTCTGTTTCTGGAAAGCCCTGCCAAGTACAGACTAAACTGTCATATTAATAACAACAAGGAAGACAGCTGAAAAAAACTTAAGGATATGGAGAATTAAAGTAGCTCTGATGCTTAAAGCGCAATTTTATGAAAAATATTTACCATATTGTAGCCAATTGAGCTTGTGGTAAGCTTGATTGCATAAGGATAGTTCTTGCTTGTGGACCTAAAGCATTGGAAACATAAGACCATGAAACTGACAAAATGTTCAAATTTTAGTATTTGATTTTCAAAACAGTCACTTATGTGATAAACCTTTAAGATCTTACAGTATCTATTTTCAACATAAACAGTAACACTGGGTCAATCTTTTAAATTGCAACAGAAATAAAGCCTTCCAATATCTACCTTTCTGAAAGCTATCAATCTAATTTTATGGGAAAGGTAGATGCGCGTAATTAATTAATGAGTGAAGTTGTATATAGCATTTTACACTTTGAGTTGCCACAGAGTTTACTGTGGGGAAGCTGTACATTTGGTGGTCCTCATGAAGCAGCCCTAAGTCATAGCCAGTTACCACACCAACCCAACAATGTCCTCAACCCAACAATATTTACATAGTTATATACTCTGTTTCTTATTAATTTCAAATACTGTCCATAAACTACAAACATAAACACCCAAAATACAATCTAAATAAACCAATACCGTGGTACCTTGAAAGTTGAACAGATTCCATTACGGAAGTCCGTTTGATTTCCAAAACATTCAGAAACCAAGGTGCAGCTTCCGATTGGCTGCAGGAAGCTTCTGCAGCCAATCGGAAGCTGCGTCAGGCATTCGGGTTCCAAAGAACGTTTGCAAACTGGAACACTCACTTCCAGGTTTGCGGCGTTTGCGGGCCAAAACATTCGAATCGCAAGGAATTCGGGGTCCAAGGTACAACTGTGTGACATTAAAATACCGTACCACAATAACAATACAAAGGCTAGAGAAGAAAGCAGTTATTTTCAAACTAACTAACTAAAAAGTAAAACACTGTAGAAGAGGAAGTGGAGGCAAACTTGGCCTCTTCGTAGGAATTCAGAGCGGGGCCTGAATCAAAATGCTGCCAAGAGTGAAGATGGTACATACACAAGATAAGCTGTTCTCTAGATAATCAGGACCCAAACTGCGTAGGGATTTGTGACAGAAGAGTGAATGTTTGACAGCAGGGCAGTGGGACAGAATGCTGGGTGGAGTTCAAGTGAGTAACAAGGAGAATGACAGTCAAAAAATGACAGTTGAAAAGAATAGTGGCTGAAGATACAAAAAGAAAGAGGGAACCAGGTGAGAGAGATAATGAAAGCATATAATAGCACCATCAGTAAAGAGATTTATGTTAGAACAGCATAACAGAACTCCGAGTATCCTGTAAAAATGATTACTTTTTCTGGATGTTATCTTCCTTAAATATTTGTTTTTGTTTTAATTAACTGTGTTCTGGCCTGGGTGGATTCTAGGGGAAGTCTGCCTCCACCCATATATGTAGTAGCAACAGGTATGTCAAGGGAAGTCTGAACACAGCGAGCAGGTGAATGACCAACCTAGTGACTTCCTGGGGACAGGGCCATAGGGGTCGGCAACCTAAGGCCTACGGGCCACAAGCGGCCCACGGGGGTCATTTTACCAGCCCATGAGCTGCCCCCGAACTGAGCCGCCCGCTCGGTGAGTCTCTGCGCGCTGCGCTAAACCAGCGCAATGCAGCGTGGGGACTCACTTTCGTGGTGCCGGAAATCACGTCTGCGCAGACACAGATGCTGGAAATTGCGCGGGCGCCCGCTCATGGGAGAGAAGCTGCACAAATACCAGCTTGCCTAAATCAACCTAGATAGCTGAGAGTAGGATTTATACGTGGAATTTGGCAGCTCTGACCCTACTGAGCTTGATACGTCTTGTATCAAGCGTCTGCTTATGTCTGAGCTGCTCATATATTTTCTGCTGTGTTTTTTAAAAGCCTGACTCATTGTATGCTAAAAAAATTACCTTATTTTTCGTCCTATCGGGCGCATCGGCCCATAGGACGCACCTCGTTTTTTTTTGGGGGGGGGGAATGAATAAAAAAAATTATTTCCCCCCCCCAGCCGCGGCTGCAGCCCCAAGCCTTGCGCACACCTTCCCAAAGCACGGGGCGCCCCCCGGAGGGCTCCCCGTGCTTCGGGCGGCAGGCTGCCGCCCCAAGCCTCGCACACCCGGCGGGACCTCCTGCCGGGCGGCTGAGGACACCGCCAGCATGGGAGCCTCAGAGGGCTCCCGTGCTCGGTGGCAGCTGCCACCCAAGCCTTGCGCCCGGCGGGACCTCCTGCCGGGCGCGCAAGGCTTGCGGACACCCGCCCGAAGCCTCGCACGCCTGGCGGGAGGTCCCGCCGGGCGCGCAAGGCTTGCAGATAGCTTCCTGAAGCCTGGAGAGCTAGAGGCATCGGTGCGCACCGACCCCTCTCACTCTCCAGACTTCAGCGAAAGCCTGCATTCGCCCCATAGGACGCACACACATTTCCCCTTCATTTTTGGAGGGGAAAAAGTGCGTCCTATGGGGCGAAAAATACGGTACATATATTATACACATAAATAGTATAAATGAGTCAAGCTCCATGATGTACTATTTCTGCACTTTGAAGAAGCACAAACTCAGGACAAAAAGGAGGAATGAGCTAAGATGAAGGCATGCCTGGCAAATCCTCACTGTGATCAACTCCCACCCGGAAACCTATGTCCCCACTGTGAAAGGTCATGTGAATCCAGAATTGGCCTCCACAGTCACTTACGCACACATCGTTAAGACCATGTTCATGGAAGACAATCTTACTCAGCCACGAGTGATCTCCAAAGAAAGAAACTATATCTGTAGCATAATTTTTTAAGTATATTAATACATGCACATTTTTATACAGTTATATGCACAGGTGTATGTATATTTTTATGTGCTGGTTACTTTAGAAAACTTAGAGTGTATATGTATATAATATTATAGTAACTCATAAGGTAAAAATTATTCATATTTTGAGTATAATAGGAAGTGAGAAAGCTTGCTTCTGAGATTAAGAAACAAAACAAAATTTAGAAAAAAATAATCTATGCAGATAAGCTCAACATCAAGATTTTCATAAAATGGAAGATTGGGGACTCTGAATCAGATCAAGGGCCCATCTGGTAGAGTACCCTATATCCAGCAGTGGCCAACTAGATGTTGACTCACAGCAGAGCATAAAAGCCTTCCACGGCTGTTTGTTCCTCCAGCAACTGGTTGCCTCTGAATCTGGAAATTTCATCTCAGTATCATGGCCAAGAGACATTGATGGACCTGCCTCTTAACCCCTGCGCTACACAATCTCTAACACATTTAGCAGAGTCCACAAATTTTTAAAATTAAAAACGAAAGAATACCTGTTAAGTGTCCACTCATTGTTTTATCATGGCTATTGAAAAGCTGCCTATATTTCAGTCTTGATGATTGCGGAACAGCCCATTCTGCTGCTGGAGATGCACTGGAGTTATAAAACAGAGACAGTTATCCCATTATCATTCCATCACAATCAAACATGACAGAGCATCTGATTTATTTTAAACTATGAATACATCTCTGAAACCACTTATTAACAACCAATCCCCTTAAACTGAATGGGAACATTGTGTCTGAGTAGCTGCAGGACTGTCACCTGTAACAATGCTGCCAAAGTGCGTTAAAAAGAAAAAGAAAACAGTCATACTTACCCAGGTACATCAAATGATTGTGCCTTTTGCAGTTTTGCATTTAACTGAGACCCTGCACCAGATCTACTGAAGGAAGAACTCTTTGGCAATGTGGCTGAAATAGAACAATTATGTTTTCAGGTCAGGGCAATTAAATATAAAGTACAGTCAACCAATTAATGATACATAATGCATTTTGGTAAGTAAAGGACAAGCTGTTAACTTAAGGAATTGATTTTTAGGTTAGCATGCTGCCTTTTGTTTTAAAATAGGCACTAAGACAGCTTACAACAAAAGCACTTTTTAAAAACAATAAAAAACTATACGCAAGAAAAGGCAAAAATAAAAAAGAGTCAAAAGATAAAATAATACTTAAGGAGAGAAAAAGAACACTAGAATGATACTGCAAGTAACACAGCTTACCAGGATGACCAAAAGCAGGTAGAGGTTGTATAACAGCTGGTGCTCCATTAGCAAGGGGGGGCACAGCTGCTGTAGGAACAGCAGATACTAAAGGTGGAGACATTCCCACTACTGGAATAGACGCCATTGGCACTGGAGCAACAGCCGTAAGAGGAGGCATACTGGGTAGGCCCCCAATACCTAGAAGAGAGAGATTTTCATAGTTACCATCATTTACAAGTTGAATGGCCTTGGGTTTGCCAACTACCTCTTTTGTGTCTTCTACCAACATGGCTACTAGGAAGAGGTTGGAAACTTTCACTTCCATTTTCAACTAGCTTCTGCTTATTAGTATGTTTGACAGTAACAATAACTTAACTTGGAGATATTGAAACAAGACAACTTCATAATCATTCAAAGTTAGGTCTAAACCATTGTTTGGGTTTGTATGCAAGAATGTAACTGCTTTTCATTGAAAACAAAGCAAGGTCTGCCAGTCTCTTTCTTGCTGTTGCACCAGGGGAGCAGAGTGGAGTGCAGGACTCAAGGTTCATGCATGCAATACCCAGCTTATTTCCTTGTCCTAAGCCCTGGAGTACACCAGGGAGCTAAGCTGACTCCATGAGGGCACTCAGTTCCATCAAATCAAATGCAATGCTATCAAAACCACCTCAGAATCTCCTATAGAAATTGGGTTTACTCTGTATTAGACTGAAAATAAATACTCTTAAAAGATTAAAATGTGAAGATCTTAAAAGTGAGAATAAACTAATATGCTGGAAGAACTGCTTGCAGAGTGGTGGTTAAGTATGAAGTAAACTGAATTAGGCCAAAAAACTAGTTTATTGGTGTAAATATTGTACACTATAAGGAAAAAAGGCAGGAAACTAAAAAACAAAACAAAACAAAACCCAATTCCTTGGACTGCTGAATGCAATCAAAAAGCAAAATTAGTAGTGTTTCCTCTTCTAGTAAAGGTAAAAGGTAAAGGGATCCCTGACCATTAGGTCCAGTCGCGGCCGACTCTGGGGTTGCGGTGCTCATCTCGCTTTATTGGCCGAGGGAGCAGGGAGCCGGCGTACAGCTTCCGGGTCATGTGGCCAGCATGACTAAGCCGCTTCTGGTGAACCAGAGCAGCGCACGGAAACGCTGTTTACCTTCCCGCTGGAGTGGTACCTATTTATCTATTTGTACTTTTATGCGCTTTCAAACTGCTAGGTTGGCAGGAGCAGGGACCGAGCAACGGGAGCTCACCCCGTGGTGGGGATTCGAACCGCCAACCTTCTGATCGGCAAGTCCTAGGCTCTGTGGTTTAACCCACAGCACCACCCGTGTCCCTTCCTCTTCTAGTATCTCTGATCAATGTTGCACTTGATATTACTATGACTTTTGCAATGACTTTTGAGAGTTGACTAGAGCATCAAGAAATGGGGGAGGGAGGGGAGAAAGGCAAGTAAGATACCACATAAACATAAATGAAGTCTGCCCTTACCAAATCCTGGTGCAGTAGAAATGGCAATGGGAGGTTGTATCATAATAGGAGGCAATGCAGAAGGAAGCTGATAACCTTGAAGTTTTAGTTTGATAAGTTTCATAGCGATAGAAAACTCCAGCTGGTCCATTCTCCCATCATTGTTCATATCTGCCAGAGCCCTACATACAAATAAAGGTAATTCATGACTTGCACACCCTTCCAAAAGATGTAAAATGTTTCCTTTTGTCCACCATCAGCAGTCAGTAACACTGAGCAGTGGTGGACAAAAACATTATGTTGTGACGCAGGTATACATGCCCAAACATCAAAGAGGAAGGAGGGAGGGAAAATTTAGTATCAGATTATTTTCTTTTGATGTTAGTCTCAAGTTGTCCATAAAGTTATTATTCCTCATATTATTTAGGTGCAATGTTTTTACTTCATCTGCATTTCCTACCAATTCCATAAATTAATGCCCTGCAGAGAAAACAACTATTTAAGACTATGCAAACAGTACTATTGCCTAACAGAAAACACAAGTATAAAATAGTCAGCCCAACTAATCAAATCCAGCTTGAATGTTTAACATAGTAAACAACCTCAAGGAAGCCTGTTTTATCACCTTCTAGACTGAGAACTTCCTCAGTCAAAGGTGAACTAGATGTCAGTGACTCTAGAGTATTGTGGCTGCAAAAGGGGAGATGGAAATACAAAGTCCAGGAAATGATCTGATGTTAAAAATATTTCGTTTTTCCACAAATGAAGGTGGTATTAGATTTCACAGAAATTGTAAGATCATGGTTACAACAGGAATAGTGTAATACTGCCATTTAGTGATTTGTTTGTCTTCCCTCCCTCCAGTTTTCATATGTTTCAAGATGAAAGACTGACATCATTTTGACTTGAGTATAAGGACACTTCAAAGTCTGACCCTAAACCAGGCTTCCTCAACCTCTGCCCTCCAGATGTTTTGAGACTACAATTCCCATCATCCCTGACCACTGGTCCTGCTAGCTAGGGATCATGGGGGTTGTAGGCCAAAAACATATGGAGGGCCAAAGTTGAGGAAGCCTGCCCTAAACCTAGAGTGCTATTTAAGATACACATCATGTTTGTATTTAATATAACGCTACTCAACCTTTTTCCTTTTCAAAAACAACATGCTTACTCTAGGGGAGGAGCCAAAGCATAATGCTTTGAATGCAAAAGTTCCCAGGTTCAAAAGCCCTGCCCTCCTCAGCTAAAAACAGTGCAATAAGTGCCCTTGTGGTCTCTTCCAACTCTATGATTCTATGATTCTATGAAAGTGTTAAAAGCAACTGTATAATCAGCAAGGAAACAAATCAATTACATAGTTGTAGGTGAATCTCACACAGACACCACAAAATGCAGCAAAACACAGACTTTCAGAGAAAATACCTTAGACAGAAAAACAGAACCTTGAAGAAAGAAAGAACCTTGAAGGCGGGGACACTGAGAGGAAAATGTAACCAAAATCCTCAACACAGAATCACTTGTACACCCAGTGACAAAGCTCACAACTCTGAACCAAAACAAAGATCGCACACTGAACCAGAACAAAAGACCAGAAGAGCATCAGCGAAAACAGGTCTGCTTCAAGTGAGGCAGGAAAAACGAACTGTCACGCCAAGGGAGGAGATGACTCAGATTCCCTTGAAGTGATGACATTATTTCCCACTTAAGTGACTGAAGGATTACAAACCAGTTTGTGGCGTCCTAGTGTCCACTCGAGAATAATACTGAACAAAATGGACCAATGCTTTGACTCAGCTTCATGTGCAGATTTACTTAGCAGTAAGTTCCGCTGAGTTTAATCAGTTTTACTGGAGTGTTGTATTTTCCATTGTTGTGTCTCAAAACGCTTTCCCTTCCATGGTTTCATTATCTACCCCAGAGCCTAATTTTCTAGATCTCTACTTAATATTTAAGATGTACTTCTATCACCATTTTACAACTACACACAGGTCCTGCTATCGGAGCACTTGTTATCCAAAATGACCACGTCCTTACTTCTTTCTGTTTGCAGGTTGGCAGCAGCCATTTTGGGCAGAAACCATGGAGAAAGGGAAGGGAGAGATGTGACAAATCAGAGCTAGTTGGCTGCAGCAGTTTGGGGTGGAAACCAGGGAGGGAGGGAGATTGGACAAATCATGGATTACAAATTTTCCATAGGATAATTGGCATGTATTTGGAATTTATTTGTATTTGTATAAATTGTACAACTGGGGTAATATTGGGGTAATATTAGAAAACTAATAAAAATTTATTTGGCAAAAAAGAAAAGAAAAAAGAAATGTTTCCATAGGAAATAATTGAAATCATCAGCTAATTATGTGAACACTCATCTAACAATCAATTTCCTGGGGACATGTTATGTTTGGATAGTAAGACCTGTGTGTAATTGAGTTATAATGTAAATGGTCATCCATCAATGCAAATAGTGCTCAGAAATCTACTTGGAAACCCCTAACTGAGGTCCCCCTTGTCTCCAAGGACAGACAGGGATGTCAAAGAGACACCAAGTTAAAACAAGACACAATACAGACCAAGTGATACCCACTACTTTCCTGATGGTGAAGAGGTTGAGTGTAGAAAAGGCCAATACACATAATGGGTTGAGCTGTGTCTCTGGAATGTAATGAGTGATTGCGCTCAGAGGAATGCCCTAATTTCTGGCTATGCTTCTTCATGCTACTATCAGCTTTTTTTGCTCCTTCCCAGGTAACATTTTCACAAGGATAGATCATAGCCACAGTCTAGAGAAATGGTCACGGAAACCTCAGCAATCTATGGCAATAAATCCAGTAACATATTTATTACTTTATGAACTCTGCTCTGGTGAAGTCTTGTATCTACCATTTTCAATGTTTGAAATGTAGCACATTAAGCGATGTGTCTCATTTCAAACTGCAAGTGCCATAAATTACCACCTTGTTTACTATGATGAAATAAAACCTTTGCTTTCATTTGAAGTGTATGTTAACAATTCATTAGCTACTCAGGAAAGTATAACCTGCTTGGTCTCAAACAGCGCTACTGAAAGTACGTGGAACTTTTGTTAATTATGCTCACCAGAGGGAAGGATACACCCAACAAGTGGTTTTCAGGGAGTACAATTATCCTAGTAAAGCAAAAATCCAGTAATCCAGATTATACCTACTTAAATGCAGTTACTGTCTTCAGAACCGTTACAGTTTGATTTGAAAGCCTACATACGAAACTTCTTAATGGATTATTGGCTTGCCAACTACAAATACTGTAAGAGGCCAGTAAAAGAAGGATTCAAGTAATAGATGCTATACTGTTTGTTAGTTCTACACATTTTACAAGAATTTAAGAATGTCAACATACATTCTACAAGTCTGTACAAATGTAAAATTTTTTTTTATTTCATCTTAAAGCACAACCACCTTTCACATCACCATGGCTGTCAAATTTGTTTGCAGTATCTTTGATTTAAAACAAAGAGACTTTTGTGACATAGCAGTCCTTAGCAAATAAGTTATGTGCCAAGACAGAACTTTATTAAGGCTTCAACAGATATGCATATTTAAAAGGCAATTACACAGAAATCCTAAAATTCAGTAAATAAAGGCAGTTTGCAGGTCAGAGCTTATGCTTTAGGTGACTTGTTGCTCTTCCCTAGACAATAAAAAAACTTGCATGTATAGAATTTCTTTCGGCTTCTAATTTTAGAATCATGCTTCTACTTATTCAGCAAGTATTTCAAGGTGGTTAATTTAAGGCTGCCTACACAAAGATATCAGAATGCAGTTTCTCAACTGCTGTATTCATGTTTACCACTTATTTCATTTCTTCATTTCTATTAGTTCTTTGGACTGTTAAAAAAAATGGTTTCACAAAGGCCTCAATGAGAGCCATTTTGACAAAAGTCCTAGTCTTGAAAAGTGCACTTTGAATAAAATAGATTAAATGTAACTGTAGAAAGTTAATATATTGCTTGTGCAATTTTTGTCTGAAATGAACTCCTGAAATTTACACTTACCATATCTGTGCTAAAACTGGTTGAGGTAACCCAGACTGGAAAAAAAAGTTTCTGGCTTGATCACCTGTCAGAAAGGAGGAAGTATTTCAAATGGAATGTCTTAAGAATGATAAGAGAACCAATGTACAATAAATAAAATTTCTAGGTTGCGCTTTTAGGGTGTTCAGTATATTGCCAGTTATCCTTACACCAGGGATGGGGAACTTGTAGCCCTCTGTTTGTCGCTTGATTGACTCCAATCATCCTTGACCCAGGGATATCCTGGCTGGGGCTAATAGAAGCCCCTGCCTTTTACCAAGCATGTATGGTAGATCAGTACAGTGGTGCCCTGCAAGACGAATGCCTCGCAAGACGGAAAACCCGCTAGACGAAAGGGCTTTCTGTTTTTCAATGCGCTTCGCAGGACGAATTTCCCTATGGGCTTGCTTCGCAAGACGAAAATGTCTTGCGAGTCTTGAGAATTTTTTTCGCTTTCCCCCCTTTTCTAAGCCGCTAAGCCTTTAATAGCCTTTTAGCAGCTAAGCCGCTAAGCCTTTAATAGCCGCTAAACCACTAATCCGCTAATCGGGTTGCTTCGCAAGACGAAAAAACCGCTAGACGAAGATACTCGCGGAACGGATTAATTTCGTCTTGCGAGGCACCACTGTATTATATAAACTGGAGACAGGGGAGATTACGCAATTGAGCAATCTGCTCCCTTTTGCCTTGAAGGAGCCTCTACCTTCAGAAAGAACCCTATGTCAAGTTCAGTCTGGCCGCACCCATCAGTCAGAGAAAGAGCAGCTGTATGGTGCCTGCTTACCTCCTCCGTGCCAGAAAGAAAACTTGGTTCCAACTACCAATTGCCCTGGGATTGCAGGACTGAAGGGAAGAACTCTCTGGCCTCAGCCTTAACAAGAGGAACAATGGCTGGATTATCAGCAGCACCTCTGCTGTCCAAGCAAAACCAACAGCAAGGGAAGAACACTGTGGCTCAACTGGATGTAGTTGTCTGATTATAGCTCTTTATTCCTTGCAATGTCAAACCAATATTCTTTTACCTCTACTTCCCTTCCCTTGCATGCTTTGTGTTTTTAGTTTGTAAGGTTGAGGGACAGGCCTATATCTCATCTTTATTTATGTGAACTCCTCTGGGATACAAAAATTATAAACAAATAAAGAGGGTGTGATTTGAACTGGGCACTTCCAAGTCCGCAAGTAAGCCCCTTAGCTACAATGCCACACTAGTTTTTAAAAAAATCCACATTACAGCCACCAAAGACTACGTTTTATTAGATGAATACTGAGATGCTGTATTGAAATGTGTTAAAGGGGACGTGAACAAATTCTGAACTGCACATTACTACAAACTGAAACATCCTCACTTTAGTTACCAGGAAATTCACATTGCATTAACATCAGCTTAGATAAAAGGGAAACATATGGTTCCTGCTGTCTCTCCATTGCAGCAACTCTTCCTTTATGAGAATTATGTGCCTTGTGAAAGTGAGAAAGCAAACACTTTCTCCACAGAAACTGTTCTTAAAACATATGAATGACGATTTCTCATAAAACTTGGATATGCATTAATGTTCTTTTCATTCAAAAATGTGTGGCTAGAAGACACAGCAACACAGAAATGAGGCAAAACTGCCAACTTGTTACATTTTGGGGGATAATATTTAACCAGCTATGGTCACTCTAAGTCTGATCAAAACCTCCATTCCTTCTAGTAAAAGGCAATCAAAATGATCAAGGGGGCTTGAGCGACTTCCCTATAAGGAAAGATTAAAACACTTGGGGTTATTTAGCTTAGTGGGGAAAATGTGAGTAAAGAGGAAATATAGTAAAGGTGTATAAAATTATGAATGCATACAAGAAAGGAGATTCAGACTAAACATAAAGAAAAACTCCCTGATGGTTAAGAACTGTCCAACACAGTTCTTAACACGACACAGTTCTTAACTCCACACGACACAGACTTCCTCGGATAGTGGTAGACTCTTTCACTAGGAGTTTTTAAGCAGAGATTGGATGGCCATTTGTCATGGATGCTTTAATTGAGATTCCTGAATTGCAGAGGGTTGGACTAGTTGACCCTCAAGCACAACATGAAGACAACATTATTCCTCTTTGGTTTATCCCTGTATATAGAATTAAGAAGTATACTACCTCTGAACATTTTACTACTGTGACTAGTAAGCGGCACTTGTATTGAAGAAGCTGGGGTGCAGCAAATAGAAGAAACATTGGCTGATAGGGCCAAAGGAAGTTGGAGTGGATCTTGCAGAACCAAATGTTTGGAGGCACCAACCATCATTTTTATATTAGCAAACTGCCTCACTTTCATACTACATCTGCTCCTCCTTTCTGCCGCTTATGGAGAACCATGCAAGAGGCAAATCTGACAGACAAGAATCAAACACATTTCCCCCCATGCACAAGAGAGTCTGCTTCTCTTTTATTTAGTAATATTATAAATAATAATAATAATAATAATAATAATAATAATAATAATTTATTATTTATACCCCACCCATCTGGCTGGGCCTCCCCAGCCACTCTGGGCGGCTTCCATAGAAACCAAAAATACAGTAAAATATCACACGTTAAAAACTTCCCTGAACAGGGCTGCCTTAAGATGTCTTCTGAATGTCAGGTAGTTGTTTATTGCTTTGACATCTGCTGGAAGGGCGTTCCACAGGGCGGGCGCCACTACCGAGAAGGCCCTCTGCCTGGTTCCCTGTAGCTTTGCTTCTCGCAATGAGGGAACCGCCAGAAGGCCCTCGGCGTTGGACCTCAGCTTCCGGGCATAACGATGGGGGTGGAGACGCTCCTTCAGGTATATTGGACCGAGGCCGTTTAGGGCTTTAAAGGTCAGCGCCAACACTTTGAATTGTGCTCGGAAACGTATTTATTCTAGAACTTAAGATTCCAGTATGAAAAATAGGAGACAATCTATGAGCTAACTATACATATGATCAGAATCACAGAAATCACACAGCAATGAGTTTTGTATTTTTCCTAACTTCATTTTGGCAATGCATCTATAAACATTTCACTTCAACCATATATTTTTTAAGGACTGTTACTTCCTTTGCTTCTTCTTGCAGTCTTAGAAAACAGGTAGCATTGCTAAGTTGCCTCTTGGATGCTTGCTCTGGGGCAGCCCAAGGAAAACCTTAAATTGCATGATGGTGGGTATTTTCGCAATGGAAATTACACATGACAGCTATGGCATTACCAGTGATAAATCCAGATATTGGTTTCAAACTGTGGAACTGTTGATCATGTTTAGCTCTCTCTTCCACAGTTACAGCCCAGATGTCCAGGTTGCCTAATTCACAAGCAAGAGATTGAGATATTGTCAGGGAAAAGAGGCTTTACAAATAATGACAGCATCAGCTATTTTCTCAATGTGCTATGAAGAATCTAAACACTGCTAGACTTGCAAAAAAAAGCTCTCTACCACTGTGGCTGAAACAACTCCCATTGCCTCATGGGATGCTGAAGGAAGGAAAGCTCAGCAACTGTTATAGAGGAGACCAATAAGCATATATCCTTGCTGTGCATACAGCAAGCTGGTAACACAGGCTGCTAGCAACACAGCTACAGCTTGCTGCTGAAGATCTAGAATCTATGAATACAGTTGCCAGAACCCATTGGCAACCATAAATATCATTCTGGTGATCAAAACAGTAAAAAGATTCTTGTATTACAAGAAGATAGTGGTTTAGTCTTTTAAAATGGCATCAGGATGTATCTTATGCTAAGATGCAGCATCACTGAATGGGTTGGTGGGAAGAAGTTGTTACAATGCACACATCCTCTACCCTTTAACATCCCTCTAGTCAGCAGCAGGTACAAAACAAATAGACATTTACTGTAGCCTCTGTTGAACAAGAAGCAAAAAGCCTGATCTCCATCTAACTATTGGAAAAAGTAACTGGCTACCAAGGCCAGTCAAAATGTGTGAATCTCCAGCAAAGGTGGAAGAGTTGGATCAGCAGGTGGGCCCCAACTAATTTAAGGCATAAACCCCCATCTAAATTGTATGACACAATCTTATCAGACCCCTGGGCACAGGTTATATTTGAGCAACAACCTCTTGCTGCCTTTACCTTCAGCCATCCCCTGCATCAGCCTCCCCCACTTTCAACAACCACCCAAGAACACTCAACACATATAAGCAGTAGGGTGCTTTTTTCAACAACTGTAACTACACACTAAGTTTATTAGTGTGTTCACGCACAACTATCTTTTCCTCATGAAGCTGGAAAGCAAGCATGAACAAGAAGCATGGGGGGGGGATCCTAATACTTACCAGCAAAAGGTGTTGGAAACTGAGCCATGGTTCAATCACCTTTAACTTGCTAATAGATGCCTGGGGAGTAAAGAGTGGCATATTAAGACAAGCAGGTATACAAAAACAACTCCTTACTTCAGAGGTATTTGCTTACTATCATATAATTTACTGATATACAGAAAAAGAGAACTTCTTTATAAATGCAGTAGTCATGTAAATATCATCAAGACAAAAATGGTTTCCAAATGCTATGAAATATGAACTTTTGATCCCATCCTTCCTGCCAGAGAAGCCCAGGGCAGCAAGCATAAAATGTTAAAGAAATACAATATTCATCTTTCCTCCTGCTCCCAGTTACAACATTGCTCCTTATTTCAGAACCTAGTTGTTCCTGGGCATCAAATACCCAGCCATCTGCACTTAGCTGCATCCTTAGAATGGCCTTTTATTTTTACCCTATTATTACCCTGCCTCTGTCCTCCACTGGCCCCTCTGCCAGTCACCAGTTCAGAAACCTCACTCATTACCTCTGCCTACAGCTCTGGAGAATTTGCCTTTCTGTGTGTATTATAATCAATATAGACCCCTGTCCATATACTGAATATTGAATTTGGATCACCAAGTTTTAGAGCATCACATTATTAAGACAGAGAAACAGCAAATACAGTGAAAGCAGTGCTTTCAAATATTTTATCCATAGCCTGGGAAAAAATGAGATACAAGTTTTCCTTACTATGATAATCAGCAATTATGCTCTACAATATGTGCAAGCCTGCTATGACTACAATAATTTTGCAGTCACTTTCTAAAATACTAAATATCTTTTAGCCATATTTCACTGTTTCCCAGAAAACGAAGAGCTATTGGAATTATATGTGATATTTAGCAATTACAACATGAAGAATGCTAATAGCTCTTCGTTTTCCTTAAAATCTTATAACCACCCAAATAACACTAAGAATATGTACATCCCATATCTATCCAGAGGCAACCCATTTGAGAAAGACATCACCCTTGAGTAAAATAAAGTATGTGGGTTGCATTCAATGTTAGTTCTACTGGGAACAGGCTCGTTGAAAATAATGGACATGACTAACTGAGGTCCATTAATTTTAATGCAGCTGCTCTGAGAATAACTTTAATGAAATACATAGGGTTGTATTCAACCAAGTCTCAAGTGGTTTGAGGGAACTGGTGAATCACTTAGGACAAAAGGCTAGGTAACCTCCTAACACACACAATAGAAAGCTTTGGAAAACACATGACTCAAAAATGTAAACCTAACAGCCATTTATTATGTTAACACTCAAGATTCACTGTTCTACAGCAGCCAAAATCTGTTGTAATACAAGGATAGGGAACCTACTGCCCTCCTAATATTGTCAGACTTTAACTACCATAAGCTAAGTAAGCATAACTAATGGGCGCGGATGATGGGTACAACAGCCCAACAACATCTGGAGGACCACAGATTCCATAGCCCTGCTCATAAAAGTTGTCACCTATGGTTTGAAAGCATAAAATCTTTCTTAAACTTTCAGACTGGATGGAATATGAAGAGGAGGAGGAGGAGTAATACTACTACTACTACTACTACTACTAATTTATTTCTTGTACTCCACCCATTTGATTCCTTGTCCCAGCCACTCTGGGCAGTTTCCAGTCCTGCCTCTGCTCCTTACCTTGCACAACAGCAGAACATGGGAAAGGATCTGCCCAGGTTTCTTTGTCAGCGGAGTCTGTTGACTCCAAGTAAGGAAGCCCTTCAAACTCTCACCAACATAAAATGCTTAAGTACCATACTCCAAGAAATGAATGGCACTCACTCTCTCTCCCAAATGCTCCTTGAAGTAAAGCAAAATCTTCTCCTAATCTTTTATAGACTCTGCATAGCTCAATATGTTAAAATATGCTAGCCACATTAGATGCCCACATGACTGTTGATCATTGTACCCCTAAGGAAAAAGATTGAACAAGATAGACCCCATTCCAACAATAAATTAGAATGCATAGTAAATTACACAGAGATTACCAAATTACTACCATAGAAAAACGTACAACAGAAACTTAGAACCACACCCATTTGCTTAAAAGAAAAGTATGTTTTTCTTTCACTTTAAGTAGTTAAAGTGAAAAGATTAAAGATTTGAAGAAATTACAGTCTGAGTGTAATTTCCAGTCTTACATCCGTATAAATCATTTTGATTCAGTTGATTAAGGAAGTCTCATGCAATATACCGGTAATTGAGAAATAAAAGCCACACACCATGGAGTTCTCATAAGGTCTGGCAAAGGGACAGATTTTTTTCATTTAGGGTTGTTACTAACATTGTCACAGTGCTAACTTTGCTTTGTAGCTTAGAAGAATCTTAAGCAAAAATGAGGGTGTTAGAAATACATCAAAGAGGAAAAAAACCAAGCATCATCCTATGAGGGGCTACTTATTTGGAATGCTAATATTCTTATTTTATACAGCATCAGTGTGCATGGTGCTTTACAAATCACAAAAGAACAGGTACAAAAGAACACAGTCATCATGAGTTCTGGCCAGCAGTCCACCTGGGTGAGATCCCAAGGCTGGTAGCTGGGTCAGTGAGTTTTATCTGGGAGTCTGCATGAAGTTTACTCAAATGAGCAAACAAGACAGAGCTCAACAGCAAGAATAAATCAGCCTAGCAGGAACGAGCAAGAAAGTACATAATGACAACCAGTACTTGGCAAGATGTCCAGGCCTGGACTGACCTACAGTGGGACGTTTCTATGGGGCTTTCATCCAACTGCAAGACTGAATGTTAATTGTATGGACAATGTTGTGACAATTGTAATGAGACCTCTGGGTACAGGGTAGTATATAAACCATTCATGAACTTCTGGGTGCAGAAAACTAGTATGCTCATCAAGAGGGCAATGAAACACAGAGATAACAGCATGATAAACCTTAATCTTGCCTTCAGATGTAGATTTGACTGGTATAAACTCCCTTGGATCCTTCAATGATGACCATATTGGTCCAAGTGCTGAAAATGGAATAGGTTTATTGGTGTGGGGAGATTATAGGCAAGATGGTCTGCGTAGGGATTTGTTTTCACTTCTAGAATTGGGGTGTTCTTGTCTATCCCCCTCCCTTTCTAAGGTTTAAAAAAGGTAAACAACTCAAGGGTGATCTTGCCCCCAAATGTCAACAACTTTGGCTAACTTCCCTCTTTGGGTGACCTCCACAAAAAAATATTGATTTCTTAATTTTGGGTTCAAAAAATTAGGGGTCATCTTATACATGTCTTATACACAGAAAAATACGGTAATAACAACCATCTGTTCCTTAGCAAGTCTTTAACTTAGGTAAATACAACCTCAGATGAACAGCAACATATGACTTGTTACACTGTGTCATGATTTATTTAACAAAAACAAAGCCAAAATGAAGAAGCCATGTGTGAAAAACTAAGTATACCCTTACTGCTTCCACAGAAATTAAGAGGATAAGTAGCAGACTGGTGCTGGTAATCAAATGCCCTTGCTTAATTGATCATCAGCAAGTGTGCCCACCTCTGTAAAATCCAAAGTTTTAGCAATTTGCTGGTCGGGAGCATTCAGGTGTGTTTTAACACAACACTAAGGATGAAAGACATCAGCAATGCTCTTGGAGAAGCAACTGTTGCTGCCCATACAACTGGGAAGGTTTATAAGGCCATCACCACCAATTTTAAGTCAATCATTTTAGAGTGAGAAAGATTATTCAAAAGTGAAAGGGATTCAAGACAGTTGTCAATCTTCCCAGAAGTGGACGTTCCAGCAAATTCACCCCAAGGTCAAGCTCTGCAATGGTCAAAGAAATTGCAAAAAGCCCAAGAGTTACATCTCAGGCTGTACAGGACTCAGTTGGCATGTTAAATGTTAAAGTTCATGACAGTAAAATTAGAAAAAGACAGAACAAGTATGGTTGTTTGAAAGAGTTGCCAAACCTTCTTCTCTCTAAAAAGAACATGGCAGCATGGTTTAGGTTTGCAAAATTGCATCTTAACAACCATAAGACTTCTGGAACAATGTCCTTTGGACAGACAAGACCAAAGTGGAGATGTTTGGACATAATGCACAGCACCACATTTGGAGAAAACCAAACAGCATATCAGCACAAACACCTCATACCAAATACCAAGCATTGTGCTGGAGGGGTGATAATTTGGCCTTGTTTTGCAGCCACAGGACCTGGGAACCTTGCAGTCATTGAGTTGACCATGAATCTTGTGTATATCAAAGTATACTACGGTCAAATGTGAGGCCATCTGCCTGACAGCTGAAGCTTGGTTGAAATTGGGTTGTGCAACAGGACAACAATCCCAAGTACACCAACAAATCTACAACAGAATGGCTGGGGGTGGGGGGAGAATCAAGGCATTGCAATGGCCCAGTCAAAGTCCAGACATCAACCTAATCAAAATGCTGTGACAGGACCTTCAGAGAGCTGTGCATAAATACCACACCCAAGGAATACAGAGACATAAATCACAAACTAGACAACTCTGTATGTAGTTCACAAAAACAGTTAACAATAATGTAGAGCATTTCCATACTGTCTATTACATGAAATCTTAAATAATACATACAGTGCCAAGATAACAACATGCGCAACTCAGTATCTCAAAGCCAAACAGTCCAAACAGTTCTGAAGTAAGTCCATGAGAGCAACACTCTTTGTGTATACTTGTGCTGGTGTGATCCCAACTGAACTCCGAGACACCTGGATTTCAATCCGTTTCGTGAATCTTCTGGTCAGCCCAAAAAGGAACTATACAATGGCAATTCAATGCTCCACCAAACAGATCAGCTCCCAACTTAGAATGGCACTCATATACAAGATGGCAACATCAGACTCACTCTACCAGGCATCACACAAAGTGGTGGCAGTGAGTGAACTTGGGGCTTCTCCTTGCAGCTACAATAAAATGAAGGATCAGATGCAGCCTGGGCAAGTCAGAGGCTTCCACGCTGCCGCCCCCCCAGAGAAGAGCACAGGAAGGACTCAGGAAAGTGTCCTCCTCCCCCCACAGCCTGCAGGCAATGCACACACACCACACATTGACAAAGCTGCTCATCCTGCGCCCTCCCTCTTTTTCCTTGCATGGCAGCTTGGGGACAGACGCAGGAAAGAGAGAAAATAAGAGCACAGAACAGGGGAGGAGCTGGCCTGAGGAGCCCCACTGGCAGGAAAGACGCTTCCCTCACCAAAGCAGGTGCCAGAAGGTAAGCAATGGTAGTGATGGTGCTCCCTGCGGGGAAGACCTCTTCACCTGGGTGACAGGCACCCTGGTAGGTGGGTGGGCAAGGAAGCATCAAGCAGGTAACTTGCCTCCACCACCCAAACTTTGAATCAGGCTATGTCCCTCCCTCATACACTGCCCCCTCCCCTTGCCTGTGCCCCCACTTCCATCTTTTAATGTGAGTACCAGCACTTTTTCCCCCTAGAAAAGAAGCACTAGGAAATCCATACTGACATTCCAAGCTGTGTAAAAATCAGTGATACTTTTTTTTGTAACTCTGAAACCTAACTCTGGCACCATATTGAATAACGACAGCAGATAAAAAAGGAATTCTCAATTGCTACACTATATTAAGAAAATTTGGCAGTTTTACCACAGTCAAAACTGAGATTTTTAAAAAGCAATGCACTTTTAAATAGTGAACACACTTGTGGGACCAAAAAGATTATCTCACTTCTGCAGATGATTCAAGGTTGAGGCATGAGTAAATATTAGCAGAAGGGTGAGTAATAAGTTATGAAAGATTGTATACCATGTTCACTGCACAACTAGCTGTAATCCAGACTTCCTGGATTAGACACAGTACAAGAATCAAGGCGTAAATAGAAATTAAATTTGTTGACAAGTAACACTAGCAGCCTCAGTGTTTAAGAGTGCATTTTAGCAGGTATGGCTGCTGCTCCAACCATTTTTGGCCAAAGCAATTCTTACATTGGTAACCTTAAGGCTTGATTACTGCAATGCACTTTATGTGGGACTACCAGCACGCCTGATCTGGAAGTTCCAGCTAGTGCAGAATATTGTGGCTAAACTGCTTATCATAGAATCATAAAATTGTGGAGTTGGAAGGGACCCTGAGGATCATGGGAACAGGCTACTGACAGCATGTAACACTGGTGCTTAAAAGCTTGAACTGGCTGCCTAAAGTTACCAGCCCAAGTTCATGATTCTTGGGGGAGTCTTTGTTGGTGGTCCTCCATGGCTCAAATGCACAGCTTGTAACTACTAGAATCTATGCATTCAGTTAAAAAAAATAATACATTCATTATTGTGGAACTCTAACCAGACTGAGATTAGCCAGACATCCTCTTTGCTGAACTGCTGGCACATGCAAAGACTTTGTTATTTCACTAGATGTTTAAAGGAAGTGCTCAGGACTGAGATGAATTTTCCCTGTTCTTATTCTTTGTAAGGAATTGGGATATAATTTTATGTACATTGCTTAGAAATGTTAATGATTAAGTGATATATAAGCACCTTAAATATATAAAATGTTAAATAAATACTTTTATCCACATAAGATACCATCTTGGTGCTGAAGATGAACTTTCTGCATTTTATTAGGAATATTAGAAGTAAATTCACTTGATAATGGGACACAGGTGGCGTTGTGGTCTAAACCACAGAGCCTAGGGCTTGCCGATCAGAAGGTCAGCGGTTCGAATCCCCGCGATGGGGTGACCTCCCGTTGCTTGGTCCCTGCTCCTGCCAACCTAACAGTTTGAAAGCACGCCAAAGTGCAAGTAGATAAATAGGTTCCACTGTGGCGGGAAGGTAAACGGTGTTTCTGTGCGCTGCTCTAGTTCGCCAGAAGTGTGGCTTGGTCATGCTGGCCACATGACCTGGAAGCTGTCTGCGGACAAACGCCAACTCCCTTGGCCAGTGAAGCAAGATGAGCGCCGCAACCCCCGAATGGACTTAACGGTCAGGGGTCCCTTTACCTTTACAGTACAACTGCACAGGTCTCATACGTACGGCAAGACTCTAATTCAAGAAGCCAAAATGTTTACTTTTCAGAAAGTTGTGTGTGAATGCAACTGTGCACTTCTTGCATTTAACTTGAGAATAAAACATTTAGCAACGTTTAATTTTAAAACAATAATTTGTTTTTAGATTCTATAGCAATTTTTCAAGCAAAGCCTTGATTTGCAAATTAACAGCACAATCAAGTAGTTCATTAGTTTAATTACCCTTGCATAAATCCAAAGGGAAGTCTGCTTAATGAAACACAATTCTTCAGCAAACCAATAGCTTCTAAGCTGTTTCAGGCACAGAGCCATCACATGTGCTTCTAACAACTAAGCATGAGTCTTCAGCAGCTTAAAACGATGGGTCAGCTGAACTGTGGATCAATTATAAACCGACACACAAGATCCAGATGGCAGAACAGCGCAGGGAAAGCACTAGCTCTGCCATTCCTACAGTAAGCAATACAAAGTATTGCTGTGCCCCTCTTTGGAAGACAGGGACAGCCTAACTCCTGTTGTATATGCTCTGGTAATCTCTAGGTCAGATTACTGCAACCCTGTGGGGCTGCCTCTGAAGACGGTTCAGAAACTCCAATACAATGAAACATGCAAATGAGCCCTTATTTATACCTCAAACCAAACACACCTCAAAAGTAATACACCCTTTCTCTCCTGGCCATGCCAGAAGAGAGGTGTACAGTGGTACCAACTTCCAGATATGGTACTTCAAAAATGGTGTGATTAAAATACTGGAAGAAACATTACAGTACAGTGGTACCTCGGGTTAAGTACTTAATTCGTTCTGGAGGTTCTTAACCTGAAGACCACTTTAGCTAATGGGGCCTCCTGTTGCTGCCGCGCCGCCGGCGCACAATTTCTGTTCTCATCCTGAAGCAAAGTTCTTAACCTGAGGTAATATTTCTGGGTTAGCGGAGTCTGTAACCTGAAGCGTATGTAACCTGAGGCGTATGTAACCCGAGGTGCCACTGTACAAGCCTTCCAGCAAAAGTAGCTCCTGCCCAGATGTGAAACACTACATGTGCATGCAAAGCAAAGCTCATCAAATCTAAACGTTCAGAATATGGAGAACAGAACCAAGCTTTAAGGGGCCAGGAGCAAACATTAGCTACATATTGTGGTTAAGGCAAAATGTAAGAACAGCCTACTGGATCAGGTCAAAGGCCTACCTAGTCCACCATCCTGTTCTCTTAGTAGCCAACTACTAAGCAGGATCCGAGCACAAGAGCACCCTGCCCTCCTGTGGTTTCTGGTAACTGATACACAGAAGCGTTATGGACTCCAACTGTGGAGGCAGAGAATAGCCATCATGGCTAGTATCCAGCAACAGCCCTCTCCTCCATGAATTTGTCTTAACTTTTAAAGCCATCTAGGTTGGTGGCCTCACGTGGGAGCAAGTTCCGAAGTTAAGTGTATGCTGAATGAAGAAGTATTTTCTTTTATCTATGTTGAATCTTTCAACATTCCCCATCCTTCCAATCAATAAAACAGAGCAGGGAAACCACACACATTATCACTCTTTACAGCTAGACACTATAGGAGCAAATGTAGAACAAGGCTAAAGTTTTTGCATCATTCATAAGGTCTAATTCTACCTTGAGAAGCCACAAAAGTGCCATATAAATGAAGCTTTAATTCAATTACTGAAAACCATTATCTAGAGATATACTTCATCTGGTCCAAATTGGTTTCCAGCACAACTTTACTTTCAAATATTATTAACCCAAATTCTGTTTTACATGTGAAATAAATTCAGACACCAAAAAGATTAAAGCAGCCAGAACATAGTTCTTTTATAACCAGTTTATAATCAAATTCTGTGGTGATCTTTAGTAATTTGTGAAATATCATTCAAACGTAATTAATATTACCAGCTTTCTTCATAATATATATTCTATATAAACTATGTATTTTATATCCTATGTATACAGACACTGCATTTTTAAAATATAAATGTGAAAAAATGCATTAGCTATCTACATAGGGTATTAATTACATGGTCTATACGGGGTATTTACTACCAAGAAAGCCCATGTCTGCTGAAATAAAGGGAGCTGAACACTACAATTAAACTGTAGTTCATTCCGAGCAAGTGTCTTGCTAATTCTTCCATACTGTACACTTAGGAGTATCTATCTAAAGGCAATTATTTGTGCTATTTTCAACAATATGGACTTGGCCGAGCTATTATGCTTGCCTTCTTAAACTGATTTATCTTGTAAATGAGACATAAGCTGTTTGCCTCCTCTTTGTGGATATTTTAATTAGAGATATCAGATGTTATAGATGTATAGGAATGGTCACCTGATCTCCTTTAAACTTCAGACAACCCAACTAAGATTACATGCATTTGCAGGGTTGGGAAGTGCTTTTATTTCACTACAGCAAAATACAGAACATTTACCATCAAGAATTCATTTCTTTAGTTTGCCCATATGAGTTATATTTTAGGGAACATGAAACTGAATACAATTAAAAGAAGCTTTACATTTTAAAGATTGTTGACATGCTAGGCTGAAAGTCAGATTACACAGCATCTATTCAGCCTTGCGCATATGAAAAGTATTTAGAAAGCAGACAGCTGAATTCTTCCTCCTTTATGACCTTCAGCTCTTGAACCATACACTCAGAAAATATGTTGATGTCTGCAGTTTTTAATTCTTGTTAGTCTTACTGCTGTTTTTTATTATTTGCATTGTTTTCTATTCTATTTTTCTGCTGATATATTGGTTAATTGTACTGAATTTTGAATGTTTTATTGTCAGAATAAGTAGAATTATATATATGAGATCATAACTGCTCTGTGGAGGAAGTTCCTTAAAAAGCAGGGTACAATTTTAAATAAAACAAATCTAAACGCAAGGTTGCTAACACAAACTAGCCAGTATAACAATGTATAGTTTAAATATTCAGCACTACCACTACATTGGTTTGATTTATTATACAGCTACTGATCTGATTACACAGCTACAGATTTTCAAACAACAGTATCACAGTAGTTTAAATATTCATTATGATTACCAGTTCTCCTTTACATAAGTAACAAAATATTTTTTTTAAAGCAACAGCAATTCAGCCTCAAATAAGATGCAATACTCCTTGCAATCTCTTCAAATTTAATGTTTATAATTTATATTCTGCTCTTAAAAAGGTAAAGGTACCCCTGCCCATACGGGCCAGTCGTGTCCGACTCTAGGGTTGTGCGCCCATCTCACTTAAGAGGCCGGGGGCCAGCGCTGTCCGGAGACACTTCCAGGTCACATGGCCAGCGTGACAAAGCTGCACTGGTGAGCCAGCACCCGTGCCGCACACGGAAACGCCGTTTACCTTCCCGCTAGAAAGCGGTACCTATTTATCTACTTGCACTTAGGGGTGCTTTCGAACTGCTAGGTGGGCAGGAGCTGGGACCGAAAGACGGGAGCTCACCCCGCCGCAGGGATTCGAACCGCTGACCATGCGATCGGCAAGCCCTAGGGGCTGAGGTTTTATCCACAGCGCCACCTGCGTCCCTAAAAATTCTGCTCTTAAAACCCATTAAAACCATATAGTCACTATATTCTGTGGACCAAGTATTTATCCATCAGGAGCCTAACCAAAAAAACCCCCATAAAAACACATTTTCAATTAGTACCTAAAACCAAGTGAAGTTAGCGCCAGCCAAATTTCTGAGGGGAATGCTACAGATGAGGTGGCTTGCTTCCTTAAGAGCCCTTGCTGATGGCACTACTGACAAAGCTGAAAGAGCAGATCTCAAGTCCTGGGTCAGTTAATATTGGGTGACAGTCGCTCAGATAAAGCCATATAGGGTTCTATATGTCAAAACTAAAACCTTGAATTGGACTTGACAGCTAATTGGCAGCCACTGCAAATGCTTCTAGGCTGATGCAATATGGTCTCTAGGTAAGAGACCCAATAAGATCCCCACAGCTGCATATTGTACTAGCTGCAGCTTCTGAACAATCTTCAAGGGCAGCCTCATGTAGAATGAACTGCAGTAGTCCATATAGAAAATTACTATAGCATGAAGCAAAGTGGTCAAGCTACCCCCTTCTAGGAAGAGCCTTAGTTGGAGAACCAGCTGGATTTGGAAACTTGTGCTTCCAGCAATAGGTGGAATCCAAGAGTACTTCCCTCAAACTAAATACCTGATCTTTCAGAGGGAGCATAATCCTGCCTAGAACAACTCTCATACCCAATTCCTAGACATGGAAGCCACTAATCCACAGTGCAGAACTTATCCTCAGATATAGGATGAATGGTAAGTGGAATTTTCTTGAGAATTTTCTTTTTATTTATGTCTGCCCAATGCAAGGCTTTTCCTTCTGCCAACATATGCCATATAGTCAACAACTAATTAATGTGTGTCTGAATGACTCAGTCAAACCTGGAAGTAACCCAAAAATGTCACTAAAATGGGTAGAATGGGGGCAGAACAGGGCACGCTTATATGCACTCCGCTGATGGACGTAGTGGCCGGGAATGGAACCCCTGTGCGTAATGGTCATTCAATGTCTTTTCCAGATCAAATACAATATTCACATAACACTTGCATCTGCTCAAAATGGATGCCTTTATAGGGCACTATGAATTTTTTATGTTGAAACATTTTACATGTGCTCTTCGTATTTTTTACATTAATGATACATTCAAAAAGGTGTGCAAGGATGCTGGCTTTTATGTCAAGAGAAGCATTTAGTGGAGAAGGATAAGTAAAGGTTGCTTACGGACTGCAGAGCTGAAAGCCAGTATACTCTGGCCACCCACACGATGTGTGTGGAAGGGGGTCTGTGTAGGGGAAACAGGGATTAGCAAAAATAGTCTCCACTTCCATCAGCAGGATCCCTCCACTGGATTCAAAAGCCATACATAGACGAAGGAATCTTTTCATCCATGGAAAATGAAATTAGAATCCAACCCAAGTCTAAAAGAAATCTGAAATTAAAAAATGTTATGCTATGCTCAGGGATGCTCCCACTCACAGGAGCGAATCAACAGCATAATAGCAATTATGATAGTCTAATATAATAGCTGTCATTCCCATTTTGAAGCTAGAATCTTCATTTATTTTCACTTTATCAAAATCAAAGTCAAAGAAAGAACAAGGATCAGAAGCTACATACCAAGGTACTTTACTATTCAAGCAGTAGTCACTACTACTTCTAATTGAGCATGAAGGCTTTAAGTTATTTTAAGCTTTTCATAATTAGCCTTTGCCATTCAGTTGCATTGCAAAAGGTTAACATTCTTAACCAGAAGCTGCTGCAGACATAAAATTTGTATATGGGAATGGTCAGTTACAAGTCTAATGACGTCTTAGGAACCTTGCCAGATTCATCTCAGACTCACAATTCACCTTTAGAAAGCTGTCTTAAGAACAAGGTCTTAAGAACTTATCCTCAGATAAAGGTCAGACAGATATTTGTACTATAATATAGAAGTGGAAGCCATATACATCTAATAAATATTTCATAATTAGCCTCATATATACGCAATCAAGGTATGCTTAGAGAATTTTACTGGAAAAACAGAAATGTGTAGCTAAATGCTAATAAGCAAAGTTAGAAATGTTTGGTATGTTGCATGTCTACCAATATTGAGTTTAGGACATCATATAAGCACTATTTGGTTTAAAGTACCATCATATTGTGAATTTTGTGCACTATACCAATAAAATTATGTTATAGATTATGATGTTATGTTATAGATCATGTTGTTATAGAGAGTATTCAAATATAACACTTAAAACACAATGTCAAAGTTTATACATTATGCTAAACCATAGTTAATGGTCCACCACAAATGCAGAGATTGTGCCCACTCCCTTCTAGCTAAGCAATATATATCTGGCTTAGCAATATATCAAAACCAGGGATCAGAGTAAACAAGCTATGATTGGAAAACCAAGAACAAACCTTGGCTTAACAACAAACCTTGTGGCTCGCTTGATGTAGCTTGTTTTATCACATCTGGCCTGGACCACAGTCTCAATTATTAGCTGTTTTCTAGATCTATTTACTGGCATCCCAACCCTGAGCTTTATCTATTTACTTACAGGTATCCCCTATTGATTCCTATGAAACATAGCTCTGAGTAAATTATTACTTCTTAAAAAGCTTGCAAAAAACAGACATTTGAAGATTTATCAAGTAAAACTGGAAAAAGCTAATGTCCAACTAGAGTACAACTAAAGAGAGACTCTAAAACAATCAATTCCTTTTACTGCAGTTTTAAGCAACACTTTGTCTGTTAACTCTGAAGCAAAGATTCTGGGCTTAATACACTGGTGAAATTGTTCTCAAACAGCTCATCTGTGTGAAAACATGACTGCTGTAAAACTGCCAAAGTGAGAGCATACAAGTACTAATCATACAAGCTCGAACGGTCTGTGAGCTGCTTGAGCCTAAATGCCAATGGTTCTATGGTTTGAATTAAAGAGGCCTTTAAGTTAGACCATTTCCATCTTTTTGCCTGCCTTGCTAGAAATAAGCATTTCCTCCACATGCCACTGGCAGCTTTCCCTTATATCTAGACGAAACTACAGGCCCACTTTTAGTTACACAGAAGTGTTGAGATACAGTGGTATCTCTGGATGCAAACGGGATCCGTTCTGGAGCCCAGTTCACATCCTGAAGCAAACGCAACCCGTGTCTGCGCGGGTCGCAATTTGCTGCTTCCGCACATGCGCATGACGTCATTTTGAGTGTCTGCGCATGCAGTGAAACCCGGAAGTAATGCGTTCCGTTACTTCCGGGTCGCCGCAGAGCGCAACCCGAAAATGCTCAACCCGAAACTACTTCAACCCGAAGTATGACTGTACTGTAATGTTTCTTCCAGTATTTTAATCACACCATCTTTGTAGTACCAGATTTGGAAGTTGGGATTTATTTAAAAAGTAATACTTAGCTATAAACCACAGAAATAACAAGCATGCATTCTCATTTATTATTCCTTAAGTTTCAGGAACTGAGGAGAAACAGGCTTTCAGTAACGTATATGTCAGTGTATGCTACTATGCACATACATTATACATGCAAACTCACAAGATTTAGACACCTCCAGCAGTAATTCAGTCTACAAATCTAAACATAAATCCTAGAGACTAGGATCACAATCCTTGTCTTTACTGAATACTTAGTTTCAAATAAACATGCATAGAAATGTAAGTAAGTTAAAATAAGTTCTATCCCATTTTCCAAAAAGTTCAAACCAAATTAAAAACAGTAAAAAGATATAAGCAGTCAAAACAAGTCAAAGAAGTTGCACACAAACACACATCTCAATTAAAAGCAGACAGTTGAATCCAGACTGTCATTTAATTCATGCCCACGACTAACTTTTCTCACCATTTCAGCGAGCTCTAACAGCAACTGACCTCATCTAGATCTAAACTAGCAGCTACAAACATATTTTTTGAATGTAATTCAATTTCCTCATTTGATACATTTTTAATAAAAACTCTCAAACAGACTAAATACACTCCGAAGAGTCAAATAGGAAGAAAACCAGAGTTCATCAAAGCTGCTAGAGTTCAAATAACTTCCTAAGAAGTTAAGTATTCACATAATGTAAGAGGAGGCCATCAAAGAGGGGGCAAGGTAGCCACAGAAAAGGCTGTGTGGATTGTGTTGCAAGTTCCAATACATTACTTTAGAGTAATCATGTATGAATCTCAGTTATAGTGGTACCTCGGGTTAAGAACTTAATTCGTTCTGGAGGTCCATTCTTAACCTGAAACTGTTCTTAACCTGAGGTACCACTTTAGCTAATGGGGCCTCCCGCTGCCGCCGCGCCATCACCAGCAAAGTTCTTAACCCGAGGTACTTTTTCTGGGTTAACGGAATCTGTAACCTGAAGCATCTGTAACCCGAGGTACCACTGTATTCCTTTCTATACCAATACTGTATATTACCGTATTTTTCGCCCTATAGGACACACTTTCCCCCCTCCAAAAATGAAGGGGGAATGTGTGTGCACCCTATGGGGCGAATGCAGGCTTTCGCTGAAGCCTGGAGAGCGAGAGGGGTCGGTGTGCACGACCCCTCTCGCTCTCCAGGCTTCAGGAAGCTCTCCGCAAGCCTTGGGAGCTCCACGGGAGTTCCCATCGGGCTCCCAAGGCTTGCGGATAGCAGCCTGCATCCCAAAGCCTGGGGCGCGCTGCACAGCGCACCCCGGGCTTCGTGCAGATATCAGGCAGCCCCACAAGCTCGGGGCGGGGACAGCAGGGAGGCGGAGTGCCGCCATCCCGCTGTTCCCCAACCTGGTTTGGATTCCCCGACCTGGTTTTGGGGGGGGAAATAAAGGGGGGGATTCCTTTATTTCCCCCCCCCCCAAAAAAACTAGGTGCGTCCTATGGGCCGGTGCACCCTATGGGACGAAAAATACGGTAACCTGTTTTATGAAAAATATTCAATGAAAAAATGCTGCTATCCATGCTCTGTTGACAGCTTATTTAAAGTACTTCAATGTATTGTTCAAGGAGCTGCTTTTGAGAACCACTTGGGAACTATAATTTATGCAAAATACAGGAACAGGTTTCCTAACTGAATTAGATGCATGGAACTTCCAATTCTCAGACAGCCAGACACCAGCTCTCAGTCTTTTCATGGGACAATGTCAAGTGTTGGTTTTAACCTTTGAAGTACTAAACAACTTGGGAACAGAGAATCTAAAGAATCTCCTCCTGCTACAGTTGATCTGGCTTGGCATTAGGTTACTGGTCCTAGTCATTAGAAGGTAGATGGTGACCAAATTTAGTGTCCCCTCAATCAAGGCACTCTGCCTCTTAATTCCCTCTCTGGAGAACTTGACCAGTCGCTATTCCTGCATTCTTTTTGATGCTATATAATCTGTTTGGGCCTTTTAGATCTTTTAAATATATTTTATGGTATGAATGAATCTTACTCTACTGTATGTTACAGCTATTTTAATATAATTTTATATTTGCTTTAACTTCCTGTAAGCCACCCAAGCTTCAGCTGTAGAGCAGCTAAATAAATTCTGAAATCTTGCCAAGTATCCTGTACCATTCTTGCAAATAAGCTTTCCTAATGCTTGGTCTATGTTTTACTATTTCCACATATTTAGTTCAAAAATATTTTTCATGCCATCAGTATCAAAGATAGAAAATGGAGAATTTAATTTTTCTGCCATTTTCTCTCCTTTTCCCCATCACTAAGCTACCACAGTCATTTCTTAACCAACGAACATGCCTTCTTGTTTGCCTTGTTTTTCAGAATCCATTGCTATTATATTTAACTTTCCAATACCTATTTTCCCCTCAATATTTTCTACACAGTATATACTAAGAATATAAGGGTCAAACCAACTAATAAGAGCCCTTATTAAAAATAGTTTTCCTGGAGGGCTACTTTGAGATGTGTGGGAGGGATGTTAATTTGCTATCACATTAAGCAAACTCCCAGCAAGTTCTGTACATATTTCTCTTTTATCATTGCTGGGATGTGTCAATTGGGAAGCTAGGTAGTACCTCTCAACAGCCAGCCTCTAGACTAGAGCATACTGTGATTCTGCTATTCACTCTGATATAGCTTTTAACATTTTGCAACACACCATTGTTTATAAGTACAGTGGTACCTCAAGTTACAAACACCTCGGGTTACAAACTCCGCTAACCTGGAAGAGTTACCTCGAGTTGAGAACTTTGCCCCAGGATGAGAACGGAAATTGTGTGCTGGTGGCGCAACAGCAGCAAAAGGCCCCATTAGCGAAAGCACACCTCTAGTTAAGAACAGTTTCAGGTTAAGAACGGACCTCCGGAACAAATTAAGTTTGTAACTAGAGGTACCACTGTATTTAATTTGGGATGCTCTATAAATCCCAGATCTTTGATTAGAGTATTAATATCTAACTAATTATCTCTTTGGACTTCAGCATCATACTGACATCTTAAATCCTGCCAAAGGAGCTCACAGTTTCATAAGAGATCTAAGAATTTAACTATTTCCTTGGTCTTACCTTCAAGCATAGTAAACTGAACTGGATATATATTTGTCTTTAACAAGCAGCCAAAAAACATTTACTGTTTGTGAAGGATGGCTATGAGCAAGAAGTCACTAGTATGTCACATTTTCATGGCTGTTTCATTACTGAACACTTACTCCAGCTGGGAATGCCTACAAGAAGAAATTATTTAATATAGTATTATTGGTAAGCAGTTTGTTCTCAGTAGTCAATTTCCTATGAGGGAATTTCCTATAGGTACAAATGTAATCAAATAAATGTTGCTGTTCAACTCAGAGCAAATAGAAGTGACGTGATAAAGACCTTGCTTCTTCCAAGGCTAAATGCCAATCTTTGAAGTGGAGAACATGTTTCCTTCATTACAGGGCTGTGAAGGCCAAAAAAAAAGGTGCATGGGCTAGAAAGTGCAAGGCCAAACCTCATGCAAAAATCCAGCCACTTTTTTTTAGTCGGAGAATGTCACTGACGGAGATTCCTCTTTGGAAACCATGGCTGCCCGCGCGCAGCAATCTCAGCCAGGGACACTACTGTATAAGTTACTTCTGCATGCTCCACCTCGGATTCTCGTTGCATCTCTTCGCACCGATAGTCTACCGGCGAGTTTGTTAAAACAGACACGAGCGAGAGCGTGTTTGTTAAAACAGGCACGACAAAGACGTCGGCTGCTTTTGCAGGCAAGGCAATCTCGTTTGCCCGAGCCGGGCATAAATAAGCTCTCTCTTCCCCACCCCCTACAAGTAGGGCCCGCTCATCACCCCGCACACTATTCCCTTCTGCTTGCTATATATATATATATATTCCCCACCTCTAAGAAATAAGAGTCGAAAAGATCGGGAGCAGGAGACGAAATCAAAGGCGCCGCTATCGGCGCCAGAAGACCAGCATTAGGAGATTTTTTTTTTAAAGGAATCACGGCCGCCGGCGAAGAGCTCCCGGCACACACTCGGGGTCAATGGCCACGGATCGTCCTCCTCTCGCGCGGGAGGCGAATGGAAGGAGAGAGGGGCGCCGGGCAATGGAGGGGGGGGTGGGCCGGGCAATGGGGCGGACTGAGGGAGAGAAGAACGCGGACAAAAATCATACCGGGGAGGGAGGGAAAGCGGGCCGCCAACCAGGAATAACATTGGGAATAACAACAGGGCAGGCGGCGGGGGCGAATGCGGGGCCCCCGAAGAAGGGCGAGAGGGCCGCGCGCGTGCGCTGGGGCTGGTGGAGGGGTCCCTCCCCGCCTCGCTCTCCCCAGCGCGCCTGCGCTCCCCTCACCAGGGTGACCCCCCGGGCTCGCCCTGCCCGTTGCCGAGCCCCTTGGCCCGCGGGTCCCCTCCGCCGCCGCCGCCGCCTCACGCCGCTACCTCATCTCTGTCGGGTCTCGGGTGTCCTCTTCACCCCCACAGCAAGGACGGAGGGGCGGCAGGAGGAGCAGCAGCAGCCGGCGCGGCAGCGGTGGCAGCGGCAAAGGCCACCGCCTCCCCGAGACGCACCATCCCCGCCCGCGTCTGCTCTTGCTCTAACCGCCGCCGCCTCAGAGTCACCGCCGCTGTCTCGGGCGGAGTGGGGTGGGGGAGGCGCGTGTGGGCGGAGAGAGGGAAAGAGAGAGGAGCGACCTGCCCGGCTCTCCCTCTCTCGCACACCCGCCGCCTGACTGCGCAACCCGAAGAGAGGCGCAAATCCCGAGGCAGCCAACCAAGCCCTCGCCCAGCCCATAGAGCCCACCCCTCTCCCGATGACGGACGCGCCCAGCCACCATTAGGAGAGGGGAACATTCCGCCGGGTTGGTCGCCGAAAGCGCGCTCTGGGAAAGGGGAGATAAGCCCAAGGGCGCGAGGTGAGGGAAGAGCCGAGGAGGGCGCGCAAGTTTCGCACGGGCCGATAGAAATTGTGTGAACGAAGGGGAACCGAGCTAGGCTGGATATGACGAGAAAGAAGCACGCCTGGTGTTCCGAAAGTCATGCTTATTGAAAGGAGACCGCGGCGAAGCTGACTTGCCTCCCATCCTTATTCCCTCACACGCCTAGTACGGCTTTTTATTGCCCACTCAGTAATTGGAGAGGCGCTGCATGCTGGGACCAATGAGGCAACCCGTGCTGCAAAGCTTGCTGGGAATTGTAGTTTTAACAGGCCAGGAATTCCCGTCGAGGAGCTATTAGAGCGCGCTGCTCCGGAGGGCTCCTCTCGTTTTTCCCTCTGTCCCCCGCCCCCCGTTTAGAGTGACAGCCGTTTGGGCCAATTGGGATCTGCGTTTCTGCGCTGCTCCGTTCTAAGGCTTTCCAAGCTTAGGATTCGCGCTCCCGCGAGAATCAGAGAGAGGGGCCTAAGAAGAGGTAATGGGTTTGTCATGACAACCACCCGGGTCTCTTCTGCGGGGCAAGGGGCTGGGCACGCGAGGCAGAGGGAGCGAGCAGAGCAGCGCTGATCTTTGTGGCGCCTTCAGCCCTCGGGACCTGCAGCCGCCCTTCTTTGACCTCCCATAGCTGTTCAGCATCCGCACTTATTTCCAGTCTTGCTAAAGAAGGGCGAGGTTCCTGAGCTCGGGAGGTTCCCTGCAGCTATTGCTCATCTCATATCCTTCCCTTTAGCTGGTGGTGGGAAATCAAGATCTTGCAATTTTGCATTTAAGAGACCCAGTAAAGTACTGGCACTGTGGTAGGGGCATCTGCTTATTTTGTTTACGCACCGGTTTATTTCGAGAACGTTATACCCTTCTCTTCAGAATAGAGCTGAAGCATAGACTAAAATGCAGTAATAGGATAAAATAATTTAAAAAGTGGAGTTTCCAAAACATGCCTGCGATTGCTAAAGCAAAACACAATGCACCAGCAACGCTTCACTTAGAGAGGCGCACTTAATTGGAAAGTGAGTCCCATTGAATGGAACTCAGCTGAACCTTTGAATAAATGTGCTTTGAGTAGTGTTGTATAAAATGTCTAAAAGGCTGGCACAAATTGAAAGGACATCACCTGGTGCTGAAAAGGCATTAAGCCCAATGTCTGGCAAATATGCAAAAAACAAGGCCCTACAACTGAAAAGCCTTGTTTGGCTCACAGCCCACTTCCCATCTGAGGTTAGGGGAATCCAGAGGAGTGGCTCCACAGGTAGATCTTATTGGCCAATAAAATCCAGATGGGCCTGCTTAGAATAAAATAGGATATCTGCAGAAATTTCCAACTGAGACCTAGAAATATCCTTTCATGCACAACAAATTTGTCATTTCACTTATTTAGTATTCTTGTACTTTTATAGGGTACGTTGGATAAGTAACCGAGAAGTGCTTAAGAGTGAGAGGGAAGATGAGGAGTTACAGAATTGAGGGTGAATGAAATGCACAAGAAACAGTAAAGGTTTCAGACAAATAATCCTTACTAAGTGGGCCATCTTAACCGTTAGAACTAAAAACTAATAGCTCAGATTTACAAATTATATTAGGTGCTTTGTGTGACAGTGCATACATCACCTTCCATTTCCTTGTGTATATATGCATATTTTAGATAATTAGTAGTCCCATCACAAGCTGCTCCTATCTGTAGTCTTCAAGTACCATACCATACTATCACTTCATTTTTTTCTGCATCCGTTTGTCTGCAGAGAGTTGTGGTTTTGCTTTGGACGAACTATGCTTATACAGATGGTTGACTAGACTTGGGCATTGAATCGTACAAACTGAGCACACCTTAGAATATACTCAATGCTCTTCAGGATTTGTTCTTTTAAGAAAAAAAAATCAGTTATGGTAGGTACTAGCCAAGCTAAGAATACTTCTGGGTAAAGGTTGTTCATTCCATTGGAATAAATGGTGATCGTAAAAATAAAAAGGTTTGAGTTTGTGGTAAAATTCTACATAAATGTTTTACAATTTTCAATTTCTTGTAGTGCAGTCCTATATATTTTTTCTAAGATGTAAGTCCCATTGAGTACAATGAGACTTTCCCCTTGGTAAGTAAGTATAATAATGCAACCTGAAGCAACTTAGTGTTGTTCCCATTTTTCAGATGAGTGAAATGAAACGGATGGTGATTTATCCCTAAAGCTAGTAACTGAGTTTCTTTCTTAGATTTCCCAGAACTAAGCCCAGCATGCTGTAATGTAATAAACTACTCCACGGTTAAGAAGTCAATGTATATTCATGAAGTATCTTTGAATTAGGGAAGGAAATAAAAAGAAACAGATAAATGTTTTTCAAACTGTGATCGGAAGTACCTTTGAGTGACTTAGAAGTTTATCAGGGTTCGTGATTGCTGATCAAGACTTACATTACTAAAGCAGGCTTTTCCAATAAGAAAAATGTTGCTTGTATTGCTCAATCATAGAATCATTGTAGGGTTGGAAGGGACAACAAGGGTCATCTAGTCCAACCCCCTGTAATGCAGGAAAGTTTTGCCCAACATGGGGCTTGAACCCACAACTCTGAGATTAGGAGTCTCATGCTCTACCCACTGAGCTATCGGGGCATAATCAGAAGCATAATTTTTCTGTGGAGCTGATGTTATGAGGTGACGTATCTTTCTAATGGATAATAGTACAATATTATAACAGGAAGTTTTAAAAATTCACCTCTTTTGATTTGCTCTTTCAGTTATCAGAAACAGTAGTAATAACACAGATTTTATCTGTGGTCTCTAAATTTATACAAAACATATAAAGTCTTTTATTTGAAATCTATTTAGAAACACTTGGAAGTATATAATGAAACAGTTCCTAGTGCAAGCACTTTTGGCAGAGCAACCCAACTTTCTCACCTAATTTGTTCTGGGTTTTCCCGCAACGCTCAAGAGCAGATTTGTGGGACAGGGGCACAAGGAAAGGGAGAGGAAGTTTAATTGCTAAGTTCAAAGTGCTTGTGCTAGCAGAACTGATTAGATAGATATTGGCCTAAATTCGTATTTAGGTATTTCATTTCCCGCTCTATATTTTAAAGGTCGGAATGAAAGGCTTATATTGGCAGCAGAATTCATCTGGAGAAGAGGCCACTTTTGTTTTCCTGGAAAAGGTAAGTTATTTGCTTAAAGAAATATAAGACTGCATACACATCTAAAATATGTGATGCCATAATTTGTTTTAGAATAATGACAGCTTGCCATCTCATGTGATCTTGTACAAACTGTGGCTAGTTGAAAGAAGCCAACTTCAAACTATAGTTTAAAATGTCTTGATACAGCTAAGTGTTAAGACGAACCACAGTTTTCTGTTTAAATGGCATGCTAAGCTAAAGTTAACCTAAAACAACAGCAGAAACTTCCACTCTCCTTGCACTAGCTCCAGAAGAGGAGGGAGACTTCTAGACTTATTATTGTAATTCTGAACCATGGTTTAACATTACATCTAAATGCCATCCCATCTCAGTTGACTTATAATGGCCAACCCATGGTTTGGCCTTTGGGGTGTGCTTTGGACTTGCATGCTCCACTTTCTGTCTCAAGCTTAGATTCCCTTCCTTCCTGGTGAGCATAAAACTGTATTTAGGCAGAATTAGATGTCATACTTTGAAGTGGGTTTCCAAGTGCTGCATGCAGGTGAACTATAGTTTGAAGACACCATAATTTGTCTGGTTCAGATCTAATTATAAACTATGGTCTGCCTAAATCATGACATGAGAAAGTGGACTGTATGTGAGGACTCAGAGTGTGAGCCTGAACAACAGCCCTGGTTGTCAAACTATGGGTTGGCCGTGAGTTATGAAGAAAGACTTAGATTTGACTTAAAGCTTTTCAAAGAGGGGAAATTATACAACAAAACAAATTACCTTTTTTAACTTTGAAACATCTGAGTGCAGTAACTGGGGTTTTTTAATTTGTTTCTCAATCCAGTTAACAAAATACATGAGAAAGTAGTTTCAGAACCAGAATTATTAAAACATGCATTCCATTTTTGACTGACAGAACAACCCCTATATATGTATGTGTTCATGACTGGAGCCTAAGATGGAGAAAAGAATATCAGACATACAATCAGAATTGTAAAAGGTTTTTTTACTTATTTATAATTTACAACCCACTGTAATAATTGCATATAGTACAGCATCCCTTTTCTGGATATATTATAAGGTCACTTTTTCACTTCCTTCTCAAAGAGGAAAGTGACTTGGAAACTTTGAGTTAACTGCCTGAATCAGAAGAATTCAGCGTAAGATTTCCATAGAATTTAGTTCATTTGTGTGTGTGTTGCATTCTATGTATTGTTACTAAAGTCATTCCCTAGACGTAACTCATACATAATCTTCTAAGTAGCTTTAAAACTTTGCAGGGTAGGATTGCAACACAGTTCATAGGAACAGAGGAAGCTGCTTGGATGAGTCATATCATTGGCCTCACTAGCTAAGTAGTGTCTACACTGATGGGCAACAGCTTTCCAGGATTTCACACGGGGGTTCAGGCCTAGCCCTACATGAAAATGCAGGGGGCTGAATCTGGGACTTCCTGTATACAAAGCTGATGCTCTACCGCTAAGCTACCTTTCTCACTGTAATCTAGGGGAAGGGAAGAACTCTATCCGCAAAATCAGTTAAGCTGAAATACCTAGTTGTGACATACTTACTTGTCCTTTTAGTGGGTGAATCATGTCAATTCAATCTTAGGATAACCTTCCTGTCACAAGAGACAACTATGTGAAAGTGCAAGTGAAAGCCTGTGCTCTAAGTCGGATCGATGATAAGGTACCTGTATTATTTTACTTCATGGAAAGTTGAACCTATGAACCTGCTCTTTGATTCAAATACATCAAAATGCTGTTAACCCATTCTGGTGGCAGTTTTGTTTGCATAAGGCAGGGATGGTGAACCTGTGACCCGCCAACTGTTGTTGGGCTCCGACTCCCATGAGCTCCAGCCAGCATGGGATGGGGGGAGTTGAGGTCCAACAACATTTGGAGGGCCACAGGTTCCCATCCCTGGCATAAGGGAACAGAGGCACCCTTATAATTAACAGCGTAACTCTCTATACATTTATTCACAAGGAAGTCAACAGTGCTCAGTGAAGGTTACTTACAAGTTGTATGTTGGTCCAACAGTCAAAGTAACTGCTATTTACATAAGGTCCCCCTTTTCAACTAAAGGATCACCTTTTACTGAAATCTACCTTATTCAACTATGTAAAACAGTAGTATAAATGAAGGGGGAGGGATTCTAAGACCCAAATGGCTGGCTTCCATACCACTAAAGCATGGGTAGGCAAACTAAGGCCCGGGGGCCGGATCAGGCCCAATCGCCTTCTAAATCCGGCCCGTGGACGGTCCGGGAATCAGCGTGTTTTTACATGAGTAGAATGTGTGCTTTTATTTCAAATGCATCTCTGGGTTATTTGTGGGGCATAGGAATTCATTCTTTTTTCTTTTTTTCTTTTCAAAATATAGTCTGGCCCCCCACAAGGTCTGAGGGACAGTGGACCAGCCCCCTGCTGAAAAAGTTTGCTGACCCCTGCACTACAGCCATTACTAGCTGCGGGGGGAGGGGGGGAGTCCCTGTTAGAGTAGGTCCACACGATAGGCATAGTTGACAGTGAATTGTCCTTGTTTTCTGCAAAGTTTGTGTCCCGCTGCTACAAATGTTTGCTGTTGGTGTGGAGATCCTCCACATTATGAATGATAATTGCAAGGATGATCCTTGCTCTACGTGTTATGCCTCCTTCAGCTACCATGTAGAGGCTGGATCAAGCGCCATTCCCAGGACTGCATATAAATTGGCTCTAATAGAGGCTTAAGTGAATGCTATCTGCCCACACTTAAAGCTAAGCACCCCCTCGGGTACGCTGGTTAGTTCTATGGTCCCATAGTTGTAGAAATCAGTTGGACAACATGTACCCCATCGCTTCTGGGATTAGAGCTAGTGTGCTGTGCTAAGTATACAAATGCGTGCAGTATAAAGACCTGTCTTACTACATTTACCTGTCTCTTAGAACTTCTCTAGCTTACTATGTTTTTTAAAACAAATACATAATTTAAAAATTAAAAACGGATTTATGTGTGATTTTTCTTTTATTTGTTAGTGCAGGTGGTTTTTTTTTGCTTTAGATGGGTATCTGGCCTGCCCATAACATGAACCGTTTTATCTTGTATTGAAGAAGAAATAAAATAGAGAGGGGAAGAAAGCAAGGAAAATTAAGGCTTTTGCCAGGTGTTACTGCCATTATGACGTGATTTATTAAAATTATTAAAAGCAAAGGATGTTGTGTGTGACATTTTCATAGCATTTCAATAATTAGATAAATAACTAAACTACTAAATCATTTTTTAATCATTTTTGTACACAGAGAAGACAGAACATGGTAACTGTAAAGACCTGGGGTTCCATAGCACAGTCAAGTTAGTATTTTTCAAATGTGTAAGATTTATACTGCAATCCTAATCACGTTACTCTAAGTTCCTGTGGAACTTACTTCAAGAAAAATGTGTGTATGATTTCAGCCTTACTGGACTATACTGTATTAATCTGCCATTAAATGTTTGGTGAGAGGCCGTAATAGCATTTTACTGTTCTAATATGTACTCAACATTTATTATTCTTTACAGTAGGCATTCTAACCATTATTTGACTTAGCTTTTGTCAGAAATCAAGATCAAGAAGGAGTTTCTACCTGTTGGGAGGGAAATTGCTGGTGTTGTGTTGGAGAGTGAGTATACTAATAAGTATAATGTTGCTTTTTTCTTTGGCAGTGAAAAATGCCTTGTAAACATTATTTGTACTATACAACATTGAACCCCATTAATCTTCTCAACATGAAACCCAGTTCCTAACATTCTGTTACCTTCTCCTGACATTCGGTCACATTACAGTGTGGCAAAGAAACAAGCCACAGTGGGACTATGCTGATTGTTAATGGCTGGGTTTATTAGGGCCACTTGAATTCCTGAGTGCTTCCGTTTACTTTCTTCTATATAAATATTTTGTTTGTGAATTCCTGGGAAGTATTAACACGTCTTATGGGTTCTATAACTGAGAGTATGAAAATCTCACCTTATCGTTGAGGTCAAGGACTTTCATCTATGGCTTTCTGTTACATCTGAAGAGAGGCAAAGAAGTGACTTGGCACATGGCTGAGCAAAATACTTGAGTAGGCACCTACAGGCTTTGGGAGAAAGGGGACAGTGTGTTTCTGTAACTTCTCCCCATTAAAAGAACCCCAAGGCTAGAAGAATAAAACATGCAGAATCTGCAAGAGCTCTATGTTGGCTACTGTTTCTTGGTCATATGACAGAATGGGGGGGGGGGTCACAGAAATCCACACCCTACTAATTCATCTCACAAGCAGAGAAGCTGACCTGACCTTGCTCTGCCCTCTGCAAACACAGCAAGCTCAGTGATGAATTGGGTGGCAAGGAAAGGCATTGGAGTTCCTTTTCCTTTCATCCCCTGCCATCTTGTCCATTATTAAAGACTTTTACCAAAGGACACGACAGGACTTCTTTTCCAAATGTGGTTCAAGCCCTTTTTTCTGTGAAGTGACAATGGCCTCCAGGCTCTACTGAAGCATTCCTGAACTCTGAACATCTGGAAAACCCCGGAGTCTGTTCTATGGTCTGATGCCGTTCTGCTTTATTATGGCTCAGACACAGGTGAGAAACCATCCCTTCCAGGTGGTCTCCTAAACTGGACCCTCCTGTCAACTAAGTTTGCATTGGTTGAGGCTGGTAGAAGTTAGGAAGGAGTTGCTTTTGCATTTGGCTGTTTCTTTTCGCCCCACTCTTCCTCAGACAGACCTGCCCAACCTGTGATCTACCAAGTCAAACAGAGACCACCAGCCATGCCCTGATGCTTTCACAGTCCTAGATAGACAGAATATACAGGAGCTTTATCAAACTCTTGGTTCTTGTATCACATGTTGTGTAGCCCTGCTCTAAGAAATTAGGAACTAGGGATAGGATCCTGAGTGGACTGCAGATACACCCAGTTACACTTCCCTTTGGCTGATTAACATCCAATGAATGCCTTTTTAAAATGTGTTGGGGAGGGGGACGATTATTGAGTTTTTCTTGTTTTTTATTATGTATTTTACTGCCCTGAAATCTGCAGGTATAGGGCGGTATACAAATTTAATAATAAAATAATAATAATTGTATGGGAGTGTTGATTTGCCTGTGCTTTAGGGTCAGAAGAGCTTTTCCCCAGGTCCTGCTGGTAATGACTTCAGGTATTTTGCGTTTCTCTGTGCCTTGTGATTCAGCTCATTTGAAAGAGTCACTTGGGTTTTTTCCCTTGTAAGTACCTTTCTGCCAGGGCAGCTGGTTTCTGTTTGCTGAGGAAGTTGAAAGGGAAAGCAAAGAAGATCAAATAACTCCAGAATGCATGGAAGTTATTCAAAACCACATTAAAGAAGCTCACCTAGAATATATACAACAGATCAGGAAAGGTACCACTGAGGCCAGGTGGCTAACAGTGTTTTTAAGAGTTGAGGAAGTTATTGGAGGCAAGAAAACCTAAGTCTTGAGGAGAACTAAAAATAAATGTAAGCAGACATTAAAAACAATTAATTGAGGAGTATGTTGCTAAGAACACTAATGGAAAGAACAAAAAAAGTAATTATTAGCAGGAAACCAGCTAGGGAAGTAGTTGAATGACAAGGGAGTCAGAGGTGTGCTAAAGGAAAACAAGCAGACTATAGAGAAACTGAAAGGTTTCCATCTGTCTTCACCATGAAAAATGTAGCACAGATTCCTATTATTAAACTAATCTTGAGCTGGAGTTAGGGTAAACAGTGAGATGGCCAAGCTTGCTGATTACATCAAGAGGTTAAGAACAAACTAGGTAAATGGGCATTAAAATGGCAATTGTGATTCACTGTAAGCAAGTGCAAAAAAACCCCATAAAACTGCCAACATAATAATGCCACTATGCAAATCTGTTATGCGGTCGCATTTGGAATACTGTCCTGCTCTGGTTGCTGTGCTTCAAAAAAGGATACATAAGGTTCAGAAAACACCAACCAAAATGATTATGGGGCTGAAACAACTGTCCTGCATTTGGGGCTTTTTAGTTTATTAAAAAAAAATGTATGTAAGGGGGACTTGACAGGTACACAAAATTATGCATGTTGCAGAGAAAGTAGAAAGAAGCTTTTCTCCTCAGTACTAGAACCTCAGGTAGTTCAGTAGAGTGGAACAATGAGAAGCTCGGGGCAAACCAAAGAAAGTCCTTTTTTTCCTTCCTCCTTCATGGACACAGCAGCAGATGGTGTGGGATAGAGCTTATCTGATCACCTGGCAGCAGAGTTGCTGCTTACCTGATAGTGGGAGGGGCAAAGCAGCAGGGAGGTTAGTGCTGTTTAAACACACCTACAGGCAGGGGCAGAATTTGCACACACACACACACACACACACACCCCCGGTGTTTTTATTTGTATTTTATGCACCCTCGGCTCAGCACCCTGGCATTGCCAACAGAAGTACCTCATTGGCTCTGGAGGTGTGTTTTCACAGCACCGACCTCTGTGAAGCCTTGACACCCTCACCCCTATCCTGATAAGCAGCTGCAACTCTGCTGCCAGGAGATGGGGTAAGTGGCGCCACCACACCCTTCCTTCTGCTACTGCTTAACATGGACTTTCACTACCTCTTCACTGACATCTGCTTGGGGATCAGGAATGGCAGGAAGTTTGCCTTGTAAATTATTGTTTTGCAAATACAGTTTTCAAAGTATAGTAATTTCTCTTGGTTTTTTTTATTTAAATCCCTTTATTTTCTTTTGTTCAAGCTGGAAATAAAGTGACCTTCTTTCAACCAAATGATGAGGTAGTTGGTAAGTTGCAGTTTTTTAATGTAAGCAGTGAATACTTTTTAAGTGAAAGAGCTGCATTGGGTTAAAATAGCTTTCCTTAGCCTGGCGTTCTCCAGATGTTTTGGGCATCAGCCCCAGACAGCACAACCATATTTTTAGCTTCCCAGTAACACTGTGACACAGGTGAGGGGCTAGGCCAAGGGATGGTGACATGTCTGAGGCTAATGAGCCTTATGTCTGCATCCAGATTGTATATGTTGACATGGGGCTACATGCGAACAAATAGCAAATTAAAATAACAAAAATTTTAGATTTCTTTCATTTCTTAAATCTTAAGTCTGAATTTGCCTTTTTATGAGAATCCCCATGATGCCTTGATGTGATAAATTTGGTATTGAAGAATACATAGGAATTGTTAGCAGTAAAATCAAAACTTAGCTATATTAAGGTGATCCTTTACCTATGTGAAAATGATCCACCAATGCAATTTGGACTTCTTTCCACCTGTATCATCTCTTTACTTCAATATTGTGAGCAGATAGTGTAACAAACTGCTAGTCTGAACATGCCCTAAGGCAGGCTTTGCTATGTACACATGAGTAAGCTTCCTGGAACTGCACATAATACATGTTCATTTCATTAATTCTGAGTTCCATAACTATCACTCATTGGTACCACACTGCACTGTCAAGTTCTTTCATAAAAGGGTCAAAGAAGAGGTGTTTGAGTCTGAGGCAATCTGTTATCACAGCAGCAGCGACACTTAGGGTAGAGCTTGCAAATTTTACAGCTTCATCCCTTCCAGCTGCATTATATAGAGGTGACAGAAGCTAAAGGTGATGTGCAGACTAATGATGAACAGCACAATCCTACATGTATCTAGTGAGAAGCAAGTCCTGTTGAATTCAGTGGGTCTTACTCCCAGGTCAGTGAGGTTAGGACTATAGCCTTCCCTTAGAAATGCAATTCTTATTTGACATGTAATACAGTATATATGTGGTTTGAGCTGAAGGGTTTTGTTTTGATTTCATAGGAATTTTACCGCTGGATTCAGAAGAGTCTGGTTTGTGTGAAGTTGTTCTAGTTCATGAACATTATTTAGGTATGTATCTTGTGTTAAGCACCACATGGAACCCAATTAGCACAAAAAAAACTATTTATAAAAGTCAAATTTGTTTTATTTGTATGTATTTCAGTTTATTTGCATATAATGCTCAAGTGTCCTCAGAACTGACGCCTTAAATGCTGCACAATTTATCTCTTCTAAAGAAATTGCAGCAATACATACTTTTCAGTGAGTTAATGTTCAAATAGAAACCACAAGAGCTGACTCACCCCTTTCATTTCTCCTAGGCTATTGCTCTTGTTGCTTCACTCAAATATTTTTGCTGATTTACTCTTAAATTCTAAAAGCAAGCATTTCTGAAAGCAGTGTCCAGCCCTGCTTTGAGCTTTTCATTCTTCTCAAACTTCTTCGATTATTCTAGGCCAGACATCCTGGTTTTCCTCTGGTGCAAAAGTTAGAACGTGCATTTGCAAACTAAACTAAACTAAATAAATAAAAGTAGCAGGCAAATCCAAAAGGTCAAGAGCACTGGGTCGGATCCAAAGTTATCACCGTTCTGTAAAAGGTTGCATGAGCACTAGGGGAAGGGTCTACTCAACCAAGGATCTGGAGCAGCCTTGCCCAGCCTCGTGCCCCCTAGTGCCCCCATCAGCCACAGCCACCGTGATTAATAGTCAAGGATGATGGAAGCTGTAGTACAAAATTTTGAGAGAGCACCAAATTGGAGAAAGCTAATCTAGAACTGTGTCACAGAATTTTTAAAAAAATCTTATGATCCAAACTGTAATGTATCATCATAATTTATCTACAAATCTAACCTCTTGTGAGGGCATGAATAGGGGGCATGTTGTTTCAGAAACATTCCCTTTAGGAAAGATGCTATTTCAGGGGTGGGCAACCTCCAGCCCTCAAGACCATTTCCCCCACTGGTAATATTAGCTGATGGGAGGGCAGGGATTAACCCTGTGTTTGCTGCAGGGCCCTGTTCCCTGGCCTGTGGTGTCATGGAAGAATTGCAGACAATTACGAATCCTGAGGAGTTTTCCACACCCCCAGCTTTGAACTTTAATTGCTATCTGGCATCAGACAAAATCATAAGTCTGTTGTTTCTATGTTACTCAACATGACAATGATGTCATAAGCCCCAACACGCCTATAGTCTTGTAAACTTAAGTCACTCAACTAGGGGTCCAGGTGCAGATGTGCTTTGCCATGTACATTAAAAGGTTGCAGGTGCCAGATCATTGGGTCCTGGGTGGCCTTTGTGATGCAAGTTAGTTATGCATCCAGTTGTACATTTTGCAATGACTGCAGGCATCTGAGGCTGCTTCTGCAGCCTTGTCCCCCTTGCTGGATTGCGACTGTGGCCTTTGCAGGAATCTTTATATTTTTGTGTAACACAAACCTTTCTGAATATTTTGTATAACTAAAGTTCAATAGCAGAACGGCATCCTTTGAAACTATAGCTGTGTTCTGTTGTACTCAATACATGGTAAAAGACAACAGAAAAAGAAACATTGAAAAAATCAACTCTATGTACTTTGGCTACAACCCAGAAATTTTAACTATCATTGCTGTAAACCCAGCAGGGTTCGTATTTTTCCAACAGCAGGTCCCACAAAATGCATCACAAGTAGGTTTTTTTTTTCAAAGTTAGGGAAATTTCAAAATTAGCATGCAGTTAGCAATTAGCAAGCATGAGGAGGGGGCTACAGTAAGGAAAACAACACTGAAATGTTTGAGTCCTGCAAGTCCTGCTGGATAACAAAAAATCTCACTATTTTGTGGCATTCTAGCCTTTCTAATATAGTCATACCTTGGAAGCCAAACAGAATCCATTCCGGAAGTCCTTTAGACTTCCAAAGCGTTCGGAAACCAAGGCGCGGCTTCCGCTTGGCTGCAGGAAGTTCCTGCAGCCAATTGGAAGCCGCAGAAGCCACGCCGGACATTTGGGTTCCAAAGAAAGTTCTCAAGCCGGAACACTCACTCCCAGGCTTGCAGGAGCCAAAACATTCGACTCACAAGACGTTCGTCAACCAAGGTACGACTGTATAAAGGACTGCTAGCAGCTGCCCGAAAATATGTGGATTGCAAGCACTCGTGCCTTCATAGGGCTGTTCACACAGTTAAAGAAATCTTAGTTGGTTAATGAACCTTAGTCAATTGTTCAATTATATATGGATAGAAATAAATGTTGTTCAGGACATGGACCTGACCGGTGGTGGTATAGTCACTATAGCTAATGGAGCATTGCCCCACCAGCCTCATCCTGTCCTCAGCCAAGCCCCACCTGCCTGCCTTCTTTCTGACAACCAGCCCAGAGGTTAGCTCTGCCTGGCAGCTTCCTTCTTCATCTCAGCAGGGAGGAGGATGGAAACAAAACGGGAATTACAGGCTCTAGCTGTCACTGGCTCTGACTTCACCTCCTGCTGATCTTGCTGCCTTCTAACCTACCAGTCCCAATGGACAGCAGCCACTCCTGGAACTGACCCAGAGAAGTGGGTGGCAACATCTGCATACACATAATAATGAAAGAGGCTTTGTCCTCTCTTACGGAAGAGACTCAAAGAATAAAACTAAACAAAACCCAAGCTTCCACTGATGAAACATAAGGAGGCTGATCAGATTAAGTCTCTCTACACCTGGCATGTCCAAAGTCAACAACTTTGGGGTAAAATCATAATAAAAGCTTAACAACTTCAATCCTAAAAAAAGGTTAACAACTTTGGTCGGCCCTTTGGTCAGCCCTCACGGCCCTTCACTTCATCAAATCTAGCCCTCTTTGAAAATGTTTGGACACCATTGTCTACATCCTTCGAGAAGGTTCAGAAATGAATTCTGCCCCAAACTAAGAAGTTTAAACCACCGTTAGCAAATCCCTTCTAAATTTTGGTCTGATGTATGGCATAAAAGTTTCAAAGCTGTCTGGCGTGGTGTTTACATAGACAGCTAGAATAATATCTGGATAAATTATATGATATTCAGGTTTTTGTGTGTTCTGTGGCCTTCCAGAAATGCAAGTTCTGTTCTTAATAGATGTTATGGTAATTAATTTTCCTCAACTTACTTATGTCATGTAATTGTGCTATCAAGATTCAGGTTTTCAAGTAATTTGGATTTGTATTGATTTTTTAAGCTTACTTTGAAAAACATTGAAGTGGCAGAGAGAAGGGAATATTGGAAAAAGAAAGCAGTATTTACTTAGAGTATTCCAGAAAAGGCAGGCCTGTGTAACACTTGCCAGTATAAATTTGACTCTGACCCAACACGCACAAAGTCAGGTGTGGAGTTAAGAGCTCCCAAATTACTTAACCATCTAAACCAGTGGTGGCCAAACTTGGCCCTCCAGTTGCTGTTGGACTACAACTCCCATCATCCCTAGCTAACAGGACCAGTGGTCAGGGATGATGGGAGTTGTAATCCCAAAACATCTGGAGGGCTGAGTTTGTCTATAACTGTCATAAGATGTGCAAGTGTTCATTGTAGTTTTAAGAATCTCCTTGCGCGTTTCACATTGATTTTGAATATCCCAGGACACTGGGCAGAATTTAGTGTTATGCTTTTCTATGTAAGTCAGATAAAATGATCCCCTTCTCTTCCTGCTGTTCTGAGAGGTTCTCCCAACCTAGAGCCAATTTATTTGGGGGCACAGCGCGGGGGAAGCCCCATTGTGTGATCAGAAGTCCTTGTTCTTCCATTGAATGAATGAATTTATTATTTCGGTCACAGACCAGTTCCAGCCCACATACAATATCAAGGAAGTCATAAAACACGATAGGGATACATTTGAATTTTCAATTAAGTATTACAGGGACAATACAGATATAGCAACAGTTAAAAAACATATAAATTAAAACTAGTCACTAAAATATAACCTAAAATTATCTTTTAAGGCCTTAATCATTATGATAGCACAGCTTGTTCCCTAAGGTTTATGGCAATCGCACAGAATTTAGCTACCCTTAACGTGATCTCAGGATCCTTGTCCTCTACCAGGAATTTTAGACATCAAAGTTTGGATTCATTTGGAGATTTTTGCATAGCAGGGGTAATAAATACTGAGCGTATATCCCCGTAGAAACAGCAGTGTAACAAGGCATGAAAGACAGCTTCTACCTCCATCAAGCCGCAGGGGCAGACTCGTTCTGCGTATGGTTTACCTTTGAATCTGCCCTGCAGTAAGACAGATGGCAGCCTTATGCTTCCATTGACGAGGCTCTTTAGGTGAATCTTGCCCTGTGTTCCCCACTTAATACCTTGCCCTATGTCTTTTTTAAGTAACCAAGCAGGCTAATAAATAGCCTATCTTTCCAGACCTCACCTTAACGAAATAAAGTTCTGGTTTTTCCCTTTCCCTGTTTTTATTGTTTTATACAGTACTTTCCACTGGTTTGGAACAGCTTTAGAACCCTGAAGCTGGTCTTAGGAGCCTCATTTTTCAAAGTGATATTATTCCCAAGCATAATCTGTCATAGCACTTAAAAATATGTATATATCAAAAAAAGTATTTTTTTAAATGTACAGTAATTACTTGAATCAACCCAATGTTTATATTCTGACTTTTATTTCTTTCACTGAGAAACAAGACATAATGCTATAAAAATACGGTGACACTTTAAAACATAAAGCTAATAGATTTGTTAAAAATGTTGCAAGCCTATATGACTGGGTTGAGGAAACCCATGCTGTCTTTTCTATCTCTGCAATATGTTTCTTTTAATTTTGATCTTTGGGGAGGAAGGAGAACACTGACCACCATTTTTTGTAATAGTCTGTTAGGTTAAACAACACATTTAAGGTTCTGTTTCAAAAGTAGGCAATCGCCAGCCCTGCTATTTAAAATCTCTTGTCTGCTTCTCTCTCCCTTCCTCCTCCCTTTCCCCCCTCCCCCCGCATTATGAAACAGCTCATAAGCCAGAAAAGGTCTCCTGGCTTGAAGCAGCAGGTACCATTCGTGATGGTCTTCGTGCATATACAGCTCTACATTACCTCTCTTACGCCACTCCAGGAAAAACTGTTCTGGTGATGGATGGGGCAAGTGTAGGTACAAGAAACTACTTCAGAAACAATTATATCTTTTCTTAAACTCCTATTCAGTATATACTTGTCTTGTTGGAATGGACTTGAAAAGTCTTATAGCCTGTGCTCTTTCTGATAAATCAGGAACCCATGGTCTCATCGTTCCCCACAAGGCCATTTCCCCCCAAACCACCCGCACCTGTCATTCAGCTCATGTCACCAAATCAGCTGATGGGTACCAGGGTGGGGCTCAGTTATACTTTGGCTGAACTCACCTGTTCCTTACTGGGATCAAAGCCAAAGTAGATAGATGATCCTGCCTTGGGAGGGTTTAAAATCCTGCTGAATTTGGCTGTACAAGCCTGTCCGCTGTTGGGAACTGCACCGGCAGACCCCCCCCCCTTTTTTTTTGCAGGCGTTGTCAGCAAAAGAGACTCTTCTGCTTGCAACCAAAAGGCAAGCTTCTTTCTCCCCTCCCTAACACCTGATGGGAAGGGAAGAAAGAAGGCTTTACCAGCCCTGTGCTTGGCACTTTGGGGATCCCACTATGAGGAAAGACTGAAGGAACTAGAGAAGAGAATAGCAACATATGCCTGGAGAACTATTGTATACTAAAAGGAAAGACTTGCCCTACGCTGCTCCAGAGGGCGGAACTAGATTTATTGGCTTTAAGTTATGGGAAGGTAGATTTCAGCTGAACGTCAGAAGAATCTTTTGACTGTAAGAGCAGTTTGACAATGGAACCAGTTCTCTAAAGGGGTAGTAGGCTCTCCCTCCCTGGAAGTCTTCAAGCAGAGGCTAAAGAGTTGGAGATGCTGCAACTCTGGATTTTCTGCACTGAGTAAGGGTTGGAGCAGACCTGTCCAGCTCTGTGATTCTTCTTGCTAACTGCTATTGCTGAGGTCATCAGTGGTGGAAGGAGAGGCGGCAGCAGCCATGCATTCACCTGTAGCACCTGCATCCAGGTCTAGCTGAGAAACCCCCTTCCCCAGAAGCTATTTGCAGTATATTTTATGAAAGGCTGATTAAAAAATGTGATGTGTGCTTCCGTTTGCACTGGAAGCCCTCAAGGCAAGGCTACGTAAAGTGTTCAAAAAAGAAACTCACGCATCTATCTGCATGCAACATGGCCTATCCTGCTCTCTGCTGGAGTACTGGCTGCCATAGTAACAGATTTCCGGACCTGAAGTTTGGTCAATGAATGACAACATTTAAAATGTCCATAGTTTCCAAGTTATCCCTGTATCTTGGACTACATGTACAGCATACCAGACATTGCTGATATGGTGTTTTTTCCAAGCATTCTAAAGTATTTCCCCATTGAATGAAATGTGTTTGAAACAACATTTTCAGGCTTTCCAAATATTCGGCGATGAGGTGTGTGAACCTAAAGATATGCTTCCAATCTCACCAGGAGCAATAGAGCTATTGGGGCGGGGACTTCATCTGATTGCAGCTCATAGTTAAGGTCCTAAGGGGTGGGTGGGTGTATATAAGTTCCCCAATACACAAACAATTTTTAAACATATGTACTTGTTCCTTCTATTTGGTGTTAAAAGTTGTAGGCGGGTGTAATAGTTCTGTATTTTAGTTCACCGGTACCAAGGCAATATATTTAAACATATGCACATGCTCCATCTATTTTTCCTCCTGCAGCCATTTGGTACAATCGCTATTCAGCTAGCACAACACAGAGGAGCCAAAGTCATTTCTACTATATATAGTCTTGAAGACAAGCAGTATCTTGAGAGGCTTACGCCATCTGTGGGTGAGTTACATTGTTTGGTTCTAGCTGCAGGAGAGAGCTAATTCAGAACACATGTTTTTATTTTGAAATGTTCGTCTGCATTTCACGAGTGCTAACTGGCTTGGGACCCAGGTACGTGAAGGAGTGCACATATACATCCTTATCAGCCTACCCAAACTTTAAAGTGATCTGTGAGTGCTCTTCTCTAAATGCCTCCTGCATCAGAGACGGGACGAGACTGATGGCAATAAGGGAAAGAGTTTTCTTGGCCTTTGTGCCCTGGTTACAGAATTTCCTCCCCAATGTTGGCAACATTATCATGTAGATACCAGACAGAAACATTTTTTCCCCAGCCAGGTATTTTAAGTACTGTACTTGAGCTTTATCTGCAGTTTTTATTTGTTGTCTGTTTTAGTGTGCTGCTGTTTTGAATGTTGTGTTTATTGATGTACATTCCCCAATTGATGGATAAAATAAATGGCAAATATTTAGAACTGAGATGAAGTCTTTGTTGGTGAAACTTAATGCAGCTGGCTGTTGACATTCCTATTCCTTTTGTGTGTGGGGGGGGAGAGATTGGGCTGCAGTAAGCTTTGTCATCTGACCTAGCAAGCTACATGCAGCCTACCATCTATATATGGCTGCCCACCAGGGCTCAGCAAGGCTCCTGTTTGGTTCTGTACCTGTAACTGCAAAAATATTGGGTGGAGAGATGTCAAAATATATCAGGCCATAGTACATGGCTGATGAGTTACTTTCAGCTTAGTGGGTCACAAGTCAAGCAGACCTGGACTTATAAGCGCCTGCAAACTCCTGTTATATATAGATGGATACCAAACATTCAGCTTTGTAAAATTTACAAGCCTCTTATTAAACGCTGAAATGTCTACTTCAATACCTGAGCCCAAAATTGTTCACATCCCTCAAAGTATTACAATAATCAGACCTACAAATTATTGAGGATTATTTTAAAATGCAGGCAACTTTCTTTTTTCCACAGCCTTTGATTTATTTTTAATCTTATTTACTTTCCCTCTTGGCCATCCAAAAATAAGTAGGGCAGCAGCTGTTAGGCTGAATAGAACACTAACTACAGCCACCGCTGACTTGTGAGCACATGTAAACATTTTCCTTATTATCCCGGCTTGTTTACATATTGTGAGCTCAGGGAATGACATGAAAAAATAGATGTGCTCTGCATGCCTTGCTTCTGTGGGAGAAACAGTTTTCTGAAGTATCTGGCAAGCATATCAGCTCTCCTCAGGGGTGCAAGGATAAATTCATGGACAGGACCACACAGTTATCTCTCATGTAAGCGCCGTGTTGGAATGGCATGCATGGTGGGTGAAGCTTGGTCTTGGACTTCAGAGTGGAGGGCTTTAGCAGCCTGCAGTATCCTCCCACAGATGAGCTGCAAAGAGAGGGGAGGCAAGCAGAATTTGGACAAAACAATGTCTTGCACAGATGGATCATGGCATAATTAAGAAATCTCTTTTAATGGTAAGCAGCTGCAAAGTGTTCTCCGTTAGTACCTCCCTGTGCTAATGTCAACTTTGCTATTATAGGGTGCCAGATGTCCTTTTTAAAACACATAATGCTTCCATTAAAAACTTACATTTCATTGTAAAATATCGCAGCCCCATATAAGTAATGAATAAGTGTTTTCTACCTTCAATTCTTGCTTTGAAAAACCAGTCTCTGTAGAACTCCACAGTTTCTCCTTTTCCCTTCTAATTTTGAAATGTTGTTCCACAGTTGGTTTGATATCTGATATTGTGTCTATTGCAGAAAAGTAAATGGCAGATACCTGCTTGAGCAGCTTCTAGATACTGCTATATAATGTGTGGAATCTAGTTTGAGGGTAGCTCTTCTTGCTGCTTAAAATTCCCTGGAAGTGTGACAAAACAGTCTACATTATGCAGCATCAGTATAATAAAACAGAAGTGCTAATTGCTAGTTAATATGACTTACAAAGCCAAGCAGCCTACACTTCTGAACCATGTTAAAAATGGTCTATACATGAAATTAACCATGAAGGATTGGACTTGAAATTGGAACAGGATATTGTAAACTATTTACCACACAGGCCTTGTATATTGAAGCAGAGCATATCAGCTAGTGCTTTGTAAGCACAAGGAGGTTTAAACATGGAACACATTGACCCAAATAACAGCTTTCCAACATTTTGCTGAATGCAGCTTGAAATGTTTTCTATCAAGTCTTTAAGCGATTCCTGATAGCTTGAGAATAAGTTCTTATTTTGGCACAGTCAAATCAGTGTATTATATAGTTTCTTTTCTAATGTATTTGTATAATTTTTGCAGTCCAAAATATTTTAACAGAAGTGCTTCAAACTCAAAACAAGCAAAGGGCCTTAACTTCACACAGAGAACTTGCTTAGAGGCTTGAACATTTCTACGTAAAACTTGCTACCAGTTTGGAATATGGGAGCAGTGAATCGCTTTTAGAAAATACCCCAGTGCATTCCACTGAGCAAAATGTAAGACTGGGATCATAATTAATTTAAAATAAAGTAATTGTTTTTATTATACTGTGCTGTTAAAATTGTAATGATATGTAGCCGGCCTAGTAGCAGATCACCCCTCCTTTGAACAGGAGTGGCAGAAGGCATCCACTGGCTTTCTGGTGAATAAAGACCAGAATGCTGTGGTATCCATGCACTGAAAGACTGTTAGGAGCTGAGGAAGAAGACGACTCCATTCAGCCCATGTCATCCCTTTCCTGTAGGCCAGCAGGAGCCCAACAGTGTTTAAGAAAATGCATTGTATTTAAATATTTGGAGTATTTCTTACCGTTTCATATGTTCCAGTTCTCATTTTGGTATTTTGCTTTACAGGTGTCAAGCAACCATTAGTAGGTGAGTATAAGAAAGAACCTTGCCATTTTTAATCACGATCTTCATTATATTCAAGTATTTCTTACGCTGCATGAAAGAAAATCCAGATTGTTTGTTTCACCATATGGGGAGGGGAAGCTGCCTGCCTTGTCCTCAGCAAGCCTTGTTGATTGGTGCCCTGATTCTGCCTCGAAGCAGGTGGGAAACACAGGGTGTGGTGGGTGGTCCCTAGCAGTCCTTCATAGTGGCTCATGAACAAGCAACTATTTAGTTTCCTGGGCTGGGTTCACATGTTCAAGCAAACCATATTAGGCTGATCAAATCATAATTTAGGATTATGTCTGAACAAAGCCTGAATGTTGATGATAGAAATGTTCATGTTCTGCAGAGTTTAAATATTTCCTTTGCTTTTGCTTCTTACCAATGAGTCCCTGGTCTTAAATCCCAGTTCTGTGCAAGTTCACTGAGATGTCTGTAAAATCCACTGTGGTTATTAGAATTACTTTTGCAGCTAGGACTAGGATTGCAACCTAAGTCTTTGACAAGTGTTTTCTTTTGAATTCTGCACACTTCTACATTCTCTGTAAATATTGTTGAGGAAAAATAACTGTTTTGTTCTCGTGTTATTCTACATAATGGTTTCTGTATAAGTCTGAAGAATACTAAGTATATGCTGGTCTCTCCCCCGCCCCTAAAATATTGTAATTTACCTTGCCATCCCATCTAGCTCGTATTATAGATGAAACCAATGGAACATGTGACCTGACAGAAAGCTGTTTGGAGGAGACAGGCGGATTAGGAGTGGATATCATCCTTGATGCAGGAGGTCTGTAACTGCTACAAAACTCTTTACTCTTTACTGATGCAGTAAAATATTTACCAACAGTTCCATAGTATTTTATTAATTTTAAAACTTTGTATCATCAAAAACATAGCCAGTTTTATACAGTGCTGTTGTATACTATAGTGTCAGTGGCTCTATAGTTAGTATGTGAGGCACTGTCTGTTAAAATCATGAAAAAAAATTCAGTATGGAATTCGGTATAGAAGACCTATTGATGCTGGTGAAGCAGTTAATTGCATATAAAGTCCCCTGGAGAAGCAAATGAGAAATTTCTGCAGTACTAAAATCCATATATTGTTTATTAGGATAGGTTTTCTGTAGTCATAATCAAAATATTTACATATTTTCTGTTTTTCTACCTTTTTCTTTAATGTTTAAATTATATATATTGTGTTGGTTTGTAATAGCACACATAACTTAATTCTTAACAAAAATGCGGTACAATCCACTCTGAGTACACCTTTCCTTGCAGAATTTACACAGCAGCAGATCGACAGCATAGTCCTATGACAGTGTCACCTACGTGATAGTTAAAAATGTACCCAAGATTCAGGCACTTACAGGCTGTAGTTTTCTGTGCACTTTCCTTTCAAAGAGTATTTTGGATGAATGAATACCCCCAAAATTCCAACAATCTTTTATTTGAGGTTTGGTTTTTTTAACCTCAGTCAATGTAGCATGTTGGGATGAAAATAATTCCAGGGAAACTGATCGGTTTTTTTAAAAAATGGTCCAAGGAAGGAGACTTAAAGCTGTATGTGTAGGTTGACCATGCAACCACTCACCTGTCTTCTGCACTGATTTATGCACTTGACCCTGCCATCAAACATTCACAGGAGACATAGTGAAACTAATTAATGGAACCTTTTCCTCAGTGTATGCTGTGCCCAGAATTCTGAGTAAAGAAAGTCATTTTAAAATAGACCAGAAAAGGGGGGATGTATACTGATAGATTATAAACATGAAACATTTTTATTGAAGCTTTTCTTGGCTTATAAAAGTACAGACATCGTCTCTACTGTATTTTCAGATCATAAAGTCTTTTTTACAGTTCAACACAGTTAAATGTGACTCTTAATTACTTAGCTTCTTTGCTTCCTTTGCTTCTTTTTAGTGAGATTATACAGTAAAGAAAATGAAGTAACTTCACAACAATTGCTGCCGCACAAACATGACATTATTTCATTGCTCAGTGTTGGAGGCCATTGGGTTACCATGGAAGAAAATCTCCAGGTGAGAAGAAAATCTGAAATTACCATGTCTGTAAATATGCTGCCATTGATGACTGATAATCATAAGCCTGTAAAAACTAAGTTACTATTAAGGCAGCAGTCCTATGTACCTGGGAGTAAGTCTGGTTGAACACAAAGTGACCTATTTCCAGGTAAACTTGCATAGAACTGTGGTGCAACACTGTTTAATATCTATAGGGGGGTAAAGAGGACCCCTGACCATTAGGTCCAGTAGTGGCCGACTCTGGGGTTGCGGCACTCATCTCGCTTTACTGGCCAAGGGAGCCGGTCATGTGGTCAGCATGACTAAGCCGCTTCTGGCAAACCAGACCAGCGCACAGAAACGCCGTTACCTTCCCGCCGGAGCGGTACCTATTTATCTATTTGCACTTTGACATGCTTTCGAACTGCTAGGTTGGCAGGAGCTGGGACCGAGCAACGGGAGCTCACCCCATCACGGGGATTCGAACCGCCAACCTTCTGATCAGCAAGTCCTAGGCTCTGTGGTGTAACCCACAGCACCACCTGCGTCCTCCAAGTGCCGCATTACTTGACAGTAATAATCTAGCACACTTCATAATTAAAATAAAATGAAATTGCTACTATAGTGTGAATCAAACACTGGAGTACTAAAAGGTAAACTGTCTTTGTCTCAGAATGACTACCGTAGTTTTCGGTCAATAACACGCGTTTTTTTCCTCCTAGAAAGTAAGGGGAAATGTCTGTGCGTGTTACGGAGCGAATGCTTCCCTCCTCCGTGGTTTCCAGCGGGAGAAGAGCCGCTGAATGGGGAGGAGAGAGGGACAGAGTGCCTGCTTCTTTAAAGGAGCAAAGCGGGAGGGGAGAGGAGCCGTGTAAGCGGCTCCTGTCCAGTTGGCTCCTTTAAATCAAGCAGGCTCTCTTGTATCTCTCTCGTCCCCACTCAGCGGCTCTTCTCCCGCTTTGCTGGAAATAGCAGGAAAGATTTTCAGCTCGCTACGGGGGGGGGGAGGAGGGAGAGAAGCAGAGCCTGCTTGCTTTAAAGGAGCAAAGCACTCCTGTAAGCGGCTCCTGTCCGGTTGGCTCCTTTAAAGCAAAAAGCAAGCAGGCTCTCTGTCCCTCCAGCAAAGGTTTTCAGCTCGCTAAGGGGGGGGGGAGGAGGGAGAGAAGCAGAGCCTGCTCCATGCGTGCTTCTTGTCCCTTGAGTGCTTTTCCTTCCCTCCCCACTTAAAACGTGGTTACAAAGCACAGATCCACATGGATCCTCAGGATTTTTGCACTGGGTCACCCCAAATTCACCATCAGATCACAGCATGAACCACAAAAATCATATGTCCACTGTTTCGTTTAGAATAATTTTTTTCTTGTTTTCCTCCTCTAAAAACTACATGCGTGTTATGGTTGGGTGCGTGTTATCGAGCGAAAAATATGGTACTTGTTCTGTGCCTTCCAGGTCATTCATGTTTGTAAAACAAGAAGCCAATTTCATATATGTTGAAAATCACTTGCATTGTCTGTTACCAGGAAAATTATGTCAACCAATAATTAATGTGCTTTGGTTGTGCCATTTTTGTTTTGGCAAATGTAGCTTAACTATTTTTCATATTTTAAAAAAGTTGGATCCTCCAGACAGTCGTTGCCTTTTCCTCAAAGGTGCTACAGTCTCTTTCCTGAATGATGAGGTGTGGAATTTGTCAAATATGCAACAAGGGAAATACTTATATATCCTTTTTATGCTTATATTTTAAATTGATAAGTAACTGGTTTGTTTTAAAAAGAGTGGGGGGAAATGCAACATATATTGCATATATTGGAACTCAGTACAGTTAAGGGATCTTTACTGCAGACTGTCATAGTACTGGAAATATCATGATATGGGGAATTTAATTGCCAATTAGAGTGCGATACATATGGGTTTCTTTTCTGCTATTTTAGAATAAACATATAATTTTAGATTTTAGATTGTAAACCTGGGGATATGGACTGTTGTCTTTAAGCTGTGCAGAGTGCTTAGTAAACCTGGATAGATTATAAATCACATTAATGCTTTAAAACACTACCAGGCGTTTCTACCCAGATAAGCAGGGTCTATATGGTGAAGCCAATCTCACAAATTAAAGATCTGCATCTCAGTCCTAGCCATGTTTCCTCAAAACAGATTTGTTGGGATTTGCTAGCGTGTTTAGTAATCCACTCCAGTCACACATGTACACACAGTTTTTCTTAACAATTCTCTTATACGCATTCTAGAAGATGTAATGGAGAAGCTATCCAGTGGTGTTTTCAGGTAAGTCAGGTGTGCTACAGTGAAATGGAAGCTTAAAAACTAATCTAAGTATTATAAGTTATGAAGCTCCACATAATTAAAATGCTGCTGGAGACCTACTTTGTGGCTGTAGTTATTGATCCAGAACTCCCAAGAGTCCTGAAGCCCGTTCCATGAGCCCAATAGGTTTCAGACTTACCTTTCTCGAAAAGCGAGCCCTGGATTCTGCACGAGAAACTGCTTTTCTAACGGAAGGCAGCTTCAGAAGCTATGCGTTATAATACAGTAACATAGGGATTAGCTGTTGATTAAAAATAAATAAATACCAGAGCCACTAAGTCACTGCAAGCTCCTTTAATGACTTTAAACAGCCCTTGGTATGCCACCCATTAATATCAAATACTTGGGAAAAATTCTTATTTTTATTTTCAATTAGCCATCTTAGGAAATGACTTGGAGAAAGCCCTCTTCCCTGCAATCCTAATTGCTCTAATACAATCTGCCCATTAGCCTGTACATTAAATAAACCCAGTTTGGACCAGACTTACTCTGCAGGTGCCTAATACTTATCTACAATCCAAGTGCATATTCATAATAACCACTGTGAACTGCAGCTAAATAAAAGTCTTTGTTTTTGTATGAAGAAGCTACTAAAGGCATTCCTTCCAACAGTTAATATTCTAATGGTTACTACAAAGCTTATTTTTCCTTTGTCTGCTATGATTGCAGTCGAGTTTTTGGATGCAGAAGGGCAGGAGCTGGAAGACTTGTTCTCAAAAGCAATATAAAATGGCACATCTTTAAAACTGCTAGTAAAAGCTATTTTGAAATGCCTGCAGTACATTAAACATCTGCTTCCTATTTGCTGTTTTCTCTGCCCTTTGTTCCAGGAATCCTAGCCAACCTATAACACTTGCAGTGTGTTTGAGCTGTAAAGTTTGCATTACTAAAAAGTAAAGTCTATGGCAATTGTCCTGAATTGTGTACTTTTTTCTTTTGAGCATACATTAAGACACTTCTGAGGTATTATTCTCTTTTAGGCCTCATTTGGATGATCCAATCCCATTATATGAAGCCAAAGTTTCTATGGAAATGGTTCAAAAGAACGAAGCAAGAAAAAGACAAGTTATCCAGCTCTGAAGCACAGATTCTTAGCTTTTAAGTGAAGTGTAAATTTGTGGACTTTGTCTCAATTGCCTACTTATAAAGGATTGGTCAATGAGTTTCAACTAATGTTTTAATTACTGTTTGAATATTCTTTACAAGTTCTGGGGAAGAAATTAGAGCTTTGATTTTTCCCCTATTACCATGTCTAAAAGAGTATTTCTGTTAGCAATTGAAAGTTTGCTCATATTTGTGGCCCTCCAACACGCCGTCCATCCGTTCCGCCCCCCCCCCCCCGCCCCCCCGGTCACTCCTGTGCTTAGCAGACAACACTTTCCTTTTGTCTGCTCAGTTTTATGCATCTTGCTGTGCTTTGTTTTACTTGGACCATCTATACACTATGGGGGTGGAAAGGTGTCCCTGGAACACACTTGTAACATTGGCAAGATTCTGAATGTGCTTTCTCAATCTGACCTTATTTTTATGGTGACTTTGCTATGTTTTTTATTTAGCCTTTCCATCTAGAAAACGCAGAATCTATCAGCACGTATAGATGACATGCATTGCCAAGGGTCTTTTTATACAAGCAGCGTTCTGTGGAATAAGTGTACATTTGTTAGGCATTTGTTTTGCACGATCCACATTTCTGTCTTTAAGACAGCACTACGGTGGGTAGGGTACTGCATTTACTAAGAACCTAAGTGCAATATGTGCACTTGGAGAAAATGCAGTATAGGCTTTCATACAGCACATACTCTGTTATTGCAATTCCTTGATGAAGTGTTGTTTTTGTGACTGTCACAAGTACTTACTGGGTATATTCTGTGTTGTAATTTGTAAACTATACTCATGTAAATTTATGATTTACCACTGTTAAATGTTCAAATTGTATATGGCAGAATAGACCTTAGTCACAGTCATTAATTTCAGTGGGTCTACTCTGAGTAAAAGCCAGCTATTCTGCTTTTTTTCCTTTTATAAATTTAGCCTTGTGTTATATATAGTTCATGCATATAGCCCAGTCTACAAAAGAGGGATGGAAAGGCAAACAGGCTATTCCCATCACCTGCCACACCATAGTGGGATATGCTCTGCTGCTGTGGGATAGTGGTCACACTTTGGCTCCTCATCTAAGACCTTCCTCTGTTCTTCTCCTCAATATTGTCTAATTTGTCCCTTCTCTGCTAATAAAAGGTGGTTGCATTCTCAGATATGCCTTAATTGCAAGAAGATTTATGGAAGCAAGTCCTATTAAAATCAATGAATTCAGCCCCTGCATAAACAGTAGGACACTGTGAAACTTTGTACCACACAAACTGTTAAGTTGTGGATGAACATAGCAGACGACACAGCGATTCTTCAAACAGCTCTTCTTTATTCAGATGTCAGAACAGAACTAAACTGGGGCTCAGTCGACACCGTTGCAGATGGATGTCCCGGACACCACAGACGATTCGATCCATCAGGGCATCGTCTAAGTCTCGGAACTCGCGGTGCATCGTAGCCTGTCACAGGGCGGTGGTGTAGTTGTTGATTGACTCCCCCTCTGCCTGGTTCCGGTGGTAGAATGCATGGCGGGCAGCAATCTTGGATGGCTTTGGCGCATAGTGCTTGCGGAGCTTCTCTTGGATCGTGTCCCATGGTGTTGCCTGGACTGCTTCAGGCGCAACCAATGCTCGGGCCGTCTCAAACACCTCAGGCCCACAGAGGCTGAGGAATAGGCCCCGCTTCTGTTCCTTTGATACTGCTGTCAGCTCGTTGGCTTGGAGGTAGCAGTCAAACCGAGCGAGGTAGGAGTCCCATGATTCAGAGGCTGGCGCAAACGGTGGTAGAGGCACAAGTGAAGCCATGATTCCGATACCGGCGTGGAGGGCGATGGATGGAACACCATTCTCTAGCCAGAACAGTCAGCTCTGAATTGGTTCTGTTCAGTGATTTTCCTCAGTGATTCAGCTCAGTGATTCAGCTCAGCTCAGAGGGTGGCTGCATCTGGCTGTGCTCTGATGTCCATCGATCCCACCTTCGTCGCCAGTGTTAAGTTGTGGGCGAACATAGCAGACGACACAGCGATTCTTCAAACAGCTCTACTTTATTCAGATGTCAGAACAGAACCAAACTGAGGGGCTCAGTCAGCCTGCTTATATAGAGCTCCAGAACAATGTAACTCTTGCCATTTTCTAAAACTATCCAATCACTGAACGTCACTTTTCGATCCTTCATTTGCATAACTATCTACAGTATCCCCCTGCTGGCCCAGGGTGAGAACTTCAGTACATAACACAAACCCTGTGGAAAGCTGATATTGTAGTAGATATGTGTGGTAAAAAATTTCCCAGCATCAAGTGATTGCTGTTAATTGCTAGAGAGAATGTGGCTTCCCACAACTGAAGCTGAATGTTGACAAGCCAAATTCTCTTAACTACTGTTCTAAGGAAAAATGTTCTGCCTTTCTCCACAACTATATATTTCTGCAACTAAATCGTCTGCAGAGGCTTCATATTATGCCCCTCAACTCTTTCAGTGTGTGGAAATATTAAGTTAACTAGAACCCAGAAACACAGTTTGAGAATTCAATATAATGTTTTCTAGCTTCTTGCTTTTCATAGTTCTATTCTAATTTTGAAGATATATTTTAAAGAAGCCAACTAGATAAGATATAGGTTACATTGGCATGCTTGGCCAAGGGTTAGCAGCTTTTATTTTGAAAATTTCCAAGGTCACTTCATCGCAAACTTTTTAAGTGGACTGGAATTTTTCTTCAGACTTGAAGAAGGTGGGGCGTAGAAAAAAGCTCCCTTAATATTGAAGCCATATTGCCAGCATTGGTCAAAAGTCATATAGCCTTAGAAGGGATAAAGGCATGTTTATGGGGATGTATCAGCTGAGAACACTCTGCCTTTAATTTCAAGGAAATTTGATGTAAGGCTTTAAGTATTATATGCATGAAATGTCAATCACCAAGAACAAAGCAGGAAGTATCATTTAGAAGACATCTGAAGGCAGCCCTGTCTAGGGAAGTTTTTAATGTTTAATTATGTTTTTGTTTATGCTGGAAGCTGCCCAGAGTGGCTGGGGCCACCTAGTCAGATGGATGGGGTGCAAATACTGTAATAAAATGATGATGATGATTCAATCATGGGCGTAGCCTGGATTTTTATGGGAGGGGCAGAACCAAGCTATCTGCGATGCGACTGGTCAGTGAAGTATTTTTATTTACTTGATTTGGGGAGGGGGCCTTGGCTATGCCCATGGATTCTACCTATACCCAGCCTTGCTCCCTGGGACTGGGATTCAAGGCGGCTGACACGAAGCAAGACAGAGAAAATACAAAAAGCCAAAGGAACACAAGTGAACAGCAGAGAACCTGCACAAACAACGCTGACACAAAACCCCACATATATTAAGTAAAATAGAAACATCACCACCAACCCCACCCCCACTCATCTTTCCCTCCCTCCACCTCTTTCCCCCTATTCTTCCTAATGTCTCAACAAATGAAACCGATTTGTGTTTTTTTTTAAGTGTTACGTGTAAAAAAATACGAGAGAGAGAGACATTGCATATACCTTTGTAAATCAAGAAAATCTTTAATAAGAATACATTAAAAACAAAGAAAATACAAAAAGCTAAAAACATGACATGTAATGATTAAAAACTAAACAGAATCAAAACAAATTACTGTATTAAAATACTGCTACTAAAAACACAGCACAGCCCTTTCCTTAAGGGAAAAAAAACAGTAAAGAGAGGAATCCGGAGATGAAACGCGTAGGATTTCGCTTGGGGCGTGATGGAAGCTGCGCCCCCGGACCAAATAGTGGAGCTCTCGGCTCGCGCGCGCGTGTGCGCAGCGCAGCTTACGGCGCCCTCGCCAGGGCAGGAAAGGCGGCCGTGGTTTCCCGATTGGCCGGTCTCCGCGCGGCAACCAGGAGGCGCTTCTTCCCGCCCTCAAGGCGGAGCCTGCTGCTGCCGCGCGCCAAGTTCGTATCTTGCAGCCGGACGCCGACCCCGCTCCGCTTCTTGTTCTCGGCCGCCTCCGCCGCCGCCATGTGCTCCGTGGTCCCCGGCTACTCCCCCGGCTTCAAGAAGCCTCCGGAGCTGCTGCGCCTGAAGAGGAAAAGGGCGCGGAGAAGCGACGCGGAGCCCGGCCACTCTCCCAGCGCGCCCGCCGCCGCCGCCGCCGCCGCCCCTTGCGCGCTGGGCGGCTCGGCTCTGTCCCCTCGGCCTTACCCGGGGAGCCGCAGGCGCAACCCCTTCTCGAGCCTGGAGAACAGCCCGCGCCCTCCGCCGGGGACAGGCCAGTCCCTCTCTCCGGCGGGCGGCGCCCCCAGCTGCTCCCGCGCCCAGGTAAGGCGTCGCGACGAACGGAATTCGGAGCCTTCGGGGCGGGAAAGCGCTGCGTTGCAGATCGCCGTTTCCCTCTTTCCTCCTTTTTTTGCGTTTGTTAATGTGCTCGCCCCGCCTCCGAATTTAAACTCTTCGATTATCATAGGGCAGCCAAAGCGCATTATTTATTTGGATCGTTTCGAAACGGATTAGTATTAAGACCGCTTATCGAAATGTTATATTGACACGATATGATTATTATGATTATTGCTTTATTTTTGCATTGCGGTTTCTGTGAATCGCTTTGGGCAGTTCTGGTAATTTTGGGGGGAAATATTCGATAACTTGGTAAAAGCGCCTTGGCGATACTTCTTGAAAGAAAAGGTGGCGCATACATTATTCTAATAATATTTATGCGGGAAAGCACATGGGAGGAGACGCAACGTCGGGATCAACAGTAATCAAGCAGGACCCTAGGTTGTGAGAGGTTAAATGGTGGAGTCTTTAGCTTTCATCCAAGAAACTTACCAGGCACACATTCCATTGTGCACTTTACACGCAAGTAGACCAGTAGGGCACCCCCCCCTCCTCCCATAAATGTCACCTATACAGTGTCCCCAAACTTCAGCCAGTTACTGGTTACTGTTTTCCTTCTGGAAACAAAACAAAAAAATCACCCGTGGCATATAATGTCCTAGGAATGCATTGAGTTGGGGTGTGTTTACTACACCAGCCAATGTTAGTAGATTGGGATAATAACAACACCCCACGCATATAGGAAAATGGTGAAGGAATGGTTAAGAAAGTGTGAAGTGTCTGTAATGTTGTTGGGGGACATTTTTCTAACCTGGGACAGGTTTTTTAATTGGGTTAGAAAACAGTCCACAATAGTTATGTATTTTTGTTACTATGTTACATATTTTGTGTTTTTATATAGTAAACCACTCTGTAATCCTTGGATGAAGGGCAGTATAAAAATTAATAAGTAAATACAGATTAATAAAGCATGCCCATTGATACTTAAGGAATTACATAAGAATATCTAGGCTTGAACTTTGCAGAGTGACAGAATTTTAACCATTTTTTTAAAAAAAATAATCTTATGCTAAACACTGCAGTGGATTATTTTATTCACTGTTCATTGAATCTTTGGTGTTCTCTTAACTTTGAATTTTTTTCCAGTTTTTAAATGGTCTGCAAGACGACAAGTCTATCTGGAAAGAAGAGTTTTCTGAAGCAGCATCTGTTGACTCATTGATCAATGTAAGAATCATTGCAACTGTTAAATGTATCTATATAAGAGAATATTGGATTTATTTTATCACACAGGGCTCAAGCCCGTTGCCTTTTGAATGCACCCCCAAAGCTGCACTCGTAGAACAGCTTATTTATTCCTAGTGATGTGAATAAGGATGCAGCTGAAATTGGGCCCCTTGTGATATTCACAGCAAGGCAAACATAAAAAATGCAACTGTGTATGTGGAAAGGAAAGGCTGCAGTTTTTGCTGGATGACTTGAGTCATTCATGCTGCTTGGGGCATGGTCAGAGAAACTGACGGGGGCTGATAGTGTGTGCTCTTTTCTGCAGCACTAGAGTACACCTATTACACTTTTTAAAAAGCAACAATCTTTTCTACTCTTCACTAATATTGGTGTATATGTAAAAAGATGCTGTTCTTAATGCTAGCAAAGGAAGGACATGCTTCTTCTAAACATTTAAGTGATGGCATTTTAATGAAGGAGCTGCTTCCTTGTAATTTTTTTTCAATGTTTATATTTTTCAAGGACCCATATCTGGCTGTTTCCAATACTGACGTTTCTTCCTCACCAAGTTATGAATTTCCTGCGGACTGGAGTATTAAAACTCGACTTCTATTCACATCTTCCCAATCATTTGCATGGGCAGATCACTTAAAAGCACAAGAAGAATCCCTAGGATACGTCCAGCATTGTAGAGGAGCATTAATAAACTTGCCTCAAAGTATTCAGGTAATTAGTTCTGTTGAACCGTTGATCAGGAGAATAGACTAGAGACACTGAGGTAGAAAGGTGCCAATTCACACCTGCAGTGAGATGTTCAGCACAGTATATATTTTTAAAATTTGCATGGCCAATCATGTCTTCCTACCATGTGCAAACTGCCTTCTTCTCAATGTTTTATGGTGTATATTGAGCAGGACAATATCGATGAAAAGATCTTGGCTCTGTGACGGATTTCTGCCGTATATAGATCCTTTTTTTCAATAGCACTATGAAGCTGAGACAAATGATATAAGACTCCCTAGTCCTCCTGTGTTACCATTGACATTGGTAGCTTGCCAGGCTAACATTATTCAGAAAGGAATAATCTGCCTGCAAAGAACATTCTGAATCACCTGACGTTTTGTGTGTCATAAAGATAAAACTTAGGATAATAGGTTATGGTTATAAAAATGGTGGTATTTTTTCATGTAGAGAAATTATAACAGGATTGTGCCTACCCCAAAACATATAAATAGGCTTCTTATTCAGCTTATTAACCCTTAGAATCTCTTTGAACTTTTGAGACCTGTTCATAAGCTGCAAAGGGACCTACCACTGTACTCATCGGCACAAATGCATGGTACTGTCCTCGAAGAGTACTATAGCAAAAGGGTGGCGCTGTGGTCTAAACCGCTGAGCCTCTTGGGCTTGACAGAGTGAGCTCCTGCTGCTCTGTCCCAGCTTCCACCAACCTAGCAGTTTGAAAGCATACCAGTGCAAGTAGATAAATCTGGCACTCGTCATGGTCCTCCATGTGCCAGTAGTGGTTTAGTCATGCTGACCACATGACCCGGAAAGCTGTCTGTGGACAAACACCGTCTCCCTCGACCTGTAAAGCAAGATGAGCACCACACCCCATAGTCGCCTTTGACTGGATTTAACCATCCAAGAGTCCTTTGCCTTTTACTTACTATAAAGGTAAAGGTACCCCTGAATGTTAGGTCCAGTCGCGGATGACTCTGAGGTTGCGCGCTCATCTCGCTCAATAGGCCGAGGTAGCCAGCATTTGTCCGCAGACAGCTTCCAGGTCATGTGGCCAGCATGACTAAGCCGCTTCTGGCGAACCAGAGCAGCACACAGAAACGCCGTTTACCTTCCCGCCGGAGCGGTGCCTATTTATCTACTTGCACTTTGATGTGCTTTTGAACTGCTAAGTGGGCAGGAGCTGGGACCGAATAACGGGAGCTCACCCCGTCATGGGGATTTGAACCACCGACCTTTTGATCGGCAAGCCTTAGGCTCTGTGGTTTAGACCACAGTGCCACCATAACTCCCTTTAAATGTATGCAAAATATATCACTCAGGCTGGAGTTGTTATAGAGATGTGGCAGAAATGGCCTGGTCAAACTACCAAACTTAATGAAGATTAGGAATGATTGCAGTATAATATACAAGAAGTTTGTAACACAGTGAGTATCTTATATACTGCAATGAATTTATTGATCTGAAGTAGAGCTGTCACAGTTGCTTTGCTGTTCCCTAAAAAAGTCATACTATTTCTTCCTGGTCTCTTACTGATTGCTGTGTAAAAAAATTAGGGTTTTTAAAAATGCACTTCTTTCCCGCTCCTTTCCTAAACATAGACAGAGGTGCACTCAGCAATAAGTCCACTTTCTATGTAAAGTGTGGATCAGCTTTTAGTAATGTTTCTCCCTCATGGCAATTGGGCTGGTAACTCATTTGCGGTTTGATTGCAGTTGCTGCATAAATTTGTGTTGAATCAGGGTAGATAGATGGTGCCTTAGAATTCCACATAATAAATTTAATACTTCTCATACTCTCTTGGAAAAAAGTACCTGCTTTTGTGGCCTTTCAGCCTACAGGGTAAATTGAATGAAGATTTTTCAGACAGCTTATGAATAGCTTTAAAAATGTAATTTCAACACTTTGCTATCTTAGGAACCGAAGCTCTCCACAGAACTCCGATGTGCTTTCCAGCAAAGCCTTGTATACTGGCTTCATCCTTTCCTGCCGTGGCTAAAGCTGTTCCCTCGTATTGGAGCAGATAGAAAAATGACTGGGAAAAATAATCCTTGGTCCTATGATGAAGGGCTCCAACAAGTTCTCATGAGTGAATGGTGAGTTGAAGTGAATGGAAATACATCACCAAGCAGCTAAGAGTCAAATAGTACTGATACTCACAGGATATTTTCATAACTACCACCACATTTCAAAATTTGAGTTGAGTCATAATGCAAAGTCAAGGAATTCATTCTCAATAATCAGTATAGCAGCTTTGGTTCTGGGGCCAACTGCACTTTGCATGCAAATGCTTACAAAAATCTGGACACTTCTATTTCAGATAAGAAGCTGTATTTGGAGAGGGGAAATTTATAGAAGGGAGGATGTATTTGTTTTCCTCTCCACCCTTTCTCTGCTCCCAAGCAGCTTTCCCCTCTATAATGTTCAGAAAATTGGTTTGGCTGATGTGTAAATTTGAAGGAGAGAAAGGGTTAAGCATCCCATTATCTTCGCACCTCCAGTCCTACTCTAAAATTTCTCTCCTTTGTAAAGCAACTTTCCACTTTATAAAGCGGTGTTATGTAAGGCGCTATTTTGCAACTTCAAGTTGTGAAAGGAAGAAACATTAGAAGCCGTGTTCTGTGGAATAAATATGCATTAATCCGCAAGGTCAGTCTTCAAGATAGCACTACTGTGGATAAGGATATCCTGATTTCCCACTGTCAGAAACTTGTGGCCTCCAAGCGATTGTTTGACTTCAACTCCCATCTTCCTTGCATGGGAGTTGGGAGTCCAACAAGTTCTGGAGCACCAAAGGTTCTTTGTTCATTACTTGCTGCCCTTCACTTGGCCAGTATTTCCCTTTTTGACCTGGAGAAGGTGTTTGTGTGTGTACACGCTCGGGTTATCTACTCAGGTTGGTGATTTTTGTTTTAAAGGCATTTTGTCCATTTGTGTGATTTGTTTTTGATGTGTGTTTTGCCTTGTTTTCCAGAAGTTTATATCTCAGGCTTCCCTTAATCAGCATTCTGCCATTTCATCATTATTATTGCTTTTCTCAGTCTATTTAGATTTTCAGTTAAAATGTCAGTAGCTTGGTTTTGCTACTAACAACTTCCCCTCAACTCTGTGTGTGCTGGTTTGCTTTTTCTTTATGCTTGAAGGTGTCAGTTTGCATTTCTTGGTACAGAAAGTATTGATCTGATGTGTCGAGATCTTTCCTGTGCTACTTAATTCAGGAGGGTTCTGGAAGCTTCTCTGTGTGAAAGAAGGAGCCGAGTACAGCTGCTTTAAACTGGTTCTGTTATCTCTTTCTGTCAAGGTCATGCTAACAATAATAGTGAGGCCAGAAGGAGCCTGGGTTTGTTTCTTTCTTTCTTTCTTTCTTTCTTTCTTTCTTTCTTTCTTTCTGTCTCTCTTTCTTTCTGGTGTGGTGTTCTGTATGCTTAGTGTTAAGATTTAGACTTACTATAAGTTACTGTAAGTTTACGTTAAGTCTGCTGCAACTAGGTTTTTTATGGACAGTGCCAATCCTGAATGTATTGGATTTGTGACCATTATGTTCATTTTCCTCCAGTAGCGGTAAAGCTCTGCTAGATGAAATGCCTCAGGTCTATTTTGGAGGAATGCTGCAACGTGTTTAAGTTTTTACTCTGCTAACGATACATTGGAATCTACTGTGGATCAATATTGAGTAGAATTTCAATGACAGAAGGTGGTGTGGGAATCCAGTCCCCCATCCTGTCCTTGGTCTGTGGCTAGTGGAACAGACAGGAGCTAGATTGGTCTGGGCTTCAACTGTCTTCCACTCCCCATACACCAGAAGCACATTTCAGGTTACGTACCAACTTCCTGTTGTAAACTACTCTCTGTGTGCGAGTAGTTTGGTTGTCTCTGTGTTTTGTTTCCCTCAGTTTTGCTGTTTCCAAATTGCAGGCTGATCATTCTGCACCTTGATTCTTTACCTTGCAGGTGTCTCAGTTTTACCTCCCTTTATAATCTGCTGAGAGCCAAGCTTTGCCCCTATTTCTACGTTTGCACTTACCAGTTCACGGTGTTGTTCCGTGCAGCAGGGCTTGCTGGAAGTGATGTGATCACTGCGCTAATTTCACCCACAACTAGAGGCTTAAGGGAAGCCATGCGAAATGAAGGTGAGAACAGTATGTTATTAAGCCAAATGACTTACAAAAGCCCTCTTGTATATTGTCTCTACACCATTAATTTGCTTTTTCCACTCCTTCTCAGGTATTGAATTTTTGTTACCTTTTCAAGAAGTTAGAAAAAGGAAATCGAATGTGTTGGCATCCCACTTAGAAACAGGACTTGTTAGTGGCTCTGAAACAACAGGCAAGGATGCTGAGAATGAAGAGTATGTAGTTCTTGTTATGGGGTCTTTCTCATTGGAAAAGCTGGCTCTGTCTTGTTGCATTTTTCTAGCACAAGAACTACTTTTCTGATGCAAGATAAATCGTGTTTTGTTTTGTTTTTACTCCCGAACTGATTTCTGTACAGTGGTACCTCGGTTAAGAACTTAATTCATTCTGGAGGTCCGTTCTTAACCTGAAACTGTTCTTAACCTGAAGCACCACTTTAGCTAACGGAGCTTCTCGTTGTTGCTGCTGCCCCGCTGCTGCGTGATTTCTGTTCTTATCCCGAAGCAAAGTTCTTAACCCGAGGTACTATTTCTGGGTTAGCGGAGTCTGTAACCTGAATCATCTGTAAACTGAAGCGTCTGTAACCCAAGATACCACTATATTAATAGATGGCTCACATGTTGCGACCTACTAAAGTGGTGTCTCTTTGCTTAGGGGACGAGGAATGAGTGATGTTGATGACGATGAAGGATTTTCATGGTTGGAGGAGATGGGAGTACAAGACAAGATTAAAAAGCCAGATACAATTTCTATCAAACTGTATCCTTTCAAAAGTGAAACACTTCCTTAAGTTGTGATTTTAAAGCTGTGTGCAAGACTTGTCTAATATACAGCTGAGAAAGCAACACTCAACTACTGAGAGGCAGGAACATTTGGTGCTTGTTCCTGATATTTGGAGTCAACACGGTACATTGAGTGCAAAACGCTTTCAACATGTACTATAGTCAGTTAAACTCATTTTGATACGGATTATAATCAGTGCAAGTGGGATGATTGCCAAGGATGATTAGGAAAGGACCTTCCTTTCTACTGCTCCTAATGAGGCACATAACATGCCAGTGCTGAGGGTTCTGCAGCGGCTGTGTATTAGCCACTGAGACAGTTTTACATACAAAGCCCTAAAAAATCTCTGCTTCGGGTTACCTGAAAATCCATCTTTTTCTTCACTGCCCAGTAAGGGTGCTATGACCAGTAACTGGAACTCAAAATAGTTTTGCCATGTCCTGGTGTCGTATCAGTTTGTGCTAACCAGGAGGTGTTGAATTGCCTTCCCTGCAGCTCTTGAAGACACACCAGTTTAGGAAGCCATTCCCCTGAACTGTGCTTGTGTTTTTATGTTACCTGTTAACTATGCTTCTTAAAATTGTATGTTTTAATTAAGGATTATTTGTTGCTGCACATTTGCTGCTGTCCATATGTTGCTGCACGTTTTAATTATGGGTTCATTTCATACCTGTAAACTGCTTAGAAGCCATTTTGGTACATAAGCAGCATGTAGATGAATTAATAATACTGAAGTAGGCAAGAGTCATATTGGCTAGCAGTTTCAGATACCCTTGATGTGGTATGACTAGCACATCAAGGTGAGTATGAGGAAATCACAATTTTTTCCACAGCAGGTTTTTTCGGGGGTCAGGGATTGTTTCTTTGCAAGCATGACAAGATCAAAGCTTTTTCATAGCTAGGCGAATTATTAGCTAAAATTTAAATAGTAACAGCACAGTATTAATGTGTACTTAAAGCACATTCCTTGCCTCTGAGACAAGGGTGAAATGTGTCTTTACCTTGTAAATCACTTGCAAAAATTAAATAAGGTTATGACTTTCAATTTGTATTGACTTTGTATTCATCTTCTGCTGTTGTGTGTGTGTGTGTGTGTGTGTGTGTGTGTATACCTTTCCCTTGACATTTGGTCTGTAGCTGTAAGGAGAGAAATGAGGTACAAATGGATCACAAGCCCGAATCTGTTGTGCTGGTCAAAGGAACAAACACATTCACTTTGCTAAACTTCTTGATAAATTGCAAGAGCTTAGTGGCTGCTGCAGGCCCTCAGGCTGGCATCCCTCCAACACTGCTGTCACCAGTTGCCTTTAGAGGGGCAACGATGCAAACGCTCAAGGTAAAAATTACTGCAACATGATTTCACATATTGTTGGCTTTATGGCGGGGGAGGGGGAATGGCTTGTGTGAACACTGGTGGCAGGATGGGGAAGCTCATTTTTTGGATTTGCCCTCCCCTTGCAGCTTCTTGTGCCCTTTGAAAAATCTCTTATGGGGGGTGGAATGCCAGGCTAATTGGAGAAAATTGGCTTCACCCAGTCCTCTTAGTGGGGTCCTCCACTGGATCAAAAGCCTTCTATGAAAGAAAGGAGACCTCTTTGTGGAAGACTGTTAGGATCCAACTTGCCAGATTTAATTCCTGGAATCTGTTACTAATCATTATCACTTAGCATGACTATTGTTGGTCTGATAATTTACCATGTGTTTCAAAATGCCTGCCTCTATGATTCCGTGCTCCCTTCCCGTGTATCGGTATAACATGAAATGATTGCAGGCTGCTACCAGACATTTGCCTTAGTATTGTATCATATGGTGCAGCAAGACCCAACTTTTTAAGAATTTCTCTAGCGCACCAGCAGCCACCCTGTCAGGCCTGCTGGAGGCGGTGGCCAGCTGGGCCTTGGAGTTCCCTAACCTATTGGTATTGGGGGACTTCAACATCCATGCTGATGCCACTCCCTCCTCACAGGCTCTGGACCTGGTGTCTTCCATGGCAACACTAGGGCTCTCCCAGTTTGTTTCAGGCCCCACACATCAAGCAGGCCACACGCTGGATTTGATCTTTGGCGTAGGTATAGATGTGATCATGTCTCCTTCAATTAAGGTGCCATGGTCTGAGTCACTACGCTCTGAAAGCCAGGATTGACTTTCCACCCCCACCCTGCTTAGGTGGCGAGCCGATTTGGGCTCGCCCGCAGAGGCTGATGGACCCTGATAGATTCCGTCAAGCCTTGCGGGACCTTGCTCCCCCCTGGCGACTCATTGACTGAGCTTGTTGAGGGCTGGAATACCCAGCTCCTGGCAGCCATAGATGAGATCGCACCTAAGCGCCCTCTGCGACTCCGCAGAAACCGGGCTCCCTGGTTTACCGAAGAGCTTCGGAAAATGAAGCGGGACCTCAGACGGCTAGAGCGAGTATGGCGGGGTGCCCGTGACGGAGCCTCAAGAACATCTTATAGGGTTTTTATGAAAACCTATGAATTTATGAAAACCTATGAGATGGCGGTGAAGGCCGCTAAGAAGTCTTACTTCTCGGCCTCCATTGCATCCGCTAGCTCTCGCCCGGCGCAATTATTTAGTATAATTAGGTCTTTAACGTCCCTTGAAGGACAGCCAAATTTAAATAACAATCTGACACACAGCTGTGAGGCATTTGCGAGCTTGTTTGCGGAGAAGGTCCTGTTGCTCCGCCATGACCTCCCTGCCAATTTGGATACAATAAAGGAACTGGAGGCCCCTCGACTGTCCTCGGGTCCAGTATTGGACCACTTTGATCGGATATCCCCAGCCGATGTGGACAGACTCCTCCGAGCTGGAAAGCCCACCACCTGTCCTCTTGACCCGTGCCCGTCTTGGCTGATTAGAGCGTGTCCAGGCGAGGTGCGGGCCCCTGGGGATATCATCAATTTGTCCCTTGGCACCGGGATATTTCAGGGAATTGAAGGAGGCAGTGGTGTGCCCGCTCTTAAAGAAAACATCATTAGATCCCTTAGATCTATCCAATTACCGCCCGGTTTCGAATCTTCCATTCCTGGGTAAGGTGATTGAGAGAGCGGTTGCTGAACAGCTTGGTAGGTTTCTGGATGAAACATCGGCTCTGGATCCATTCCAGTCTGGCTTCCGCGCTGGTCATGGGACCGAGACGGCTCTGGTTGCCCTAACAGATGATCTCCGCAGGCAGCTGGATTGAGGCGGGTCGGGGCTGCTGATTCTTCTAGACCTGTCAGCAGCCTTCGACATGGTTGATCACGAACTCCTGGACCACCGCCTTGCCGACGTGGGGATCCAGGGCACAGTCCTTCAATGGCTGCGCTCGTTTCTCTCCGGTCGGGGACAGAGGAGTGGCGTTGGGGGGGGAATTGTCATCCCGCCACTCCGTGGTGTGTGGAGTGCCTCAGGGTGCGATACTCTCCCCGATGCTTTTAACATCTTTATGCGCCCCTCGCCCAGCTTGTCCGGAGTTTTGGGCTGGGTTGCCATCAGTATGCCGATGACACCCAACTCTATCTGTTGATGGATGGCCATCCTGACTCGGCCCCAGACACACTGACCAGATGTTAGAATCTAGAGATAGAAACTTGTGTTGCTGCAGACTTTGCTCTTAGCAACCATTTGCTTTGTCTCCATTAGCCTAAATCAGCTGTACTAGCCACTCCCTATAGTAAATCACACATTCATGCACTCAAATTATGTAATGCTTTAAGTTCTTAATACTGGAGGTGGTAGCTGGGCTTTTTGCGTGCGAGCAGAGGGCAGTATCTAAGTGGATATTTTGTGATTCTGCTAGAATTTTTAATAGGCAGGGCTTATTAAGTTGTAAATTCTCCCTTTTCCATAATTCATCCGCATGAAGACACCATGCTTACACCCAACCTCTTGAGCATCTATCAATGGTGTGTTCACATTCCTTCTGCTTTGTAGATTGCAACCATTTAAATGCTTAGTCTCTCATTTATGACCACATACTTTCAATTTTTTGACTTTCCTCCAGTACCATCCCCCTGTAATTGCTGCCTTGCATTTTTCCTATATGTAGAATTGACCCACTGTTAAACTTTGGGTGCATAAAAAGGTTAGGTTTAATTTCAATGTTTTTGAACCTTCGTGTCATATTGCTTAATATTTTTCCACAGGCTCGAAGCATAAATGTGCGGACACAGGTCCAATCACGTTACAAAGATTTATTTAGTCTGGAGATTGTTGGTCCTGTCATGCCTCACTCTATGCATTCCTTGTCCATGCTGCTCAAATCTGCTCAGAATGGATCTTACTCTGCTGTGTGTTCTACACATGACCCAACAGCAGTGTTCAACACAAGCATCGGTAATGAACAGAGCATAAAAGAGGTAAAGAGATTTTACTTAACATTCATCTGAATTGGGAATAATCTGATTAACGGAAAAGAGAAAGCATGCTAGCCCTGTTATAGGTGTCACATAATACCCATTCTGCATTTGTAAGAAATTGATCTTTTAGTGTGGTGCCGGCCTGCATTCTGGAACCCCCTGCCTATTGACACTAGGCAGATGCCTTCACTGTATTCTGACACTGCTGTAAACAGTTTAGACAAGCCTACTCCACACATGTAAAATGATGGTGTATTTTTAATATGTTTTTAGTTCATTGCTGATTTTATCTTTTGATTGTTTTAAAGAGTTAGTTTTTACTATTATATTGAATTATTTTCTTTGTAAACCACTTTGTTTTTTAACAAAGTGGTATGTGAACTTTTTAAAATCAATGGTTCCATAGGTGCTCAAAGGATAGGGTGTTTGGTAGACTTGTGAAATGGCATGTTAAACAGTAAGAAATTGTACTAGTAATACTTTTCTTAATTTTTACAGGAACCCCATAGCAAGGACCTTAAGAAGTGTGGATTGCATCCTAACACTTTAGAACAGCTTACTCTTTCTCCAACATTAGGAAAGTCATCCATAAGGCTCCTAGAAATGAACAATTATGCCTACACATGGAAAGCCTAAACAAGCAATATCGGTCAATGAAGAATTGCCATTGGTGTTCCTGAGATGTTTAAGCCATGTTGGGTGGGTACAATAGCATTCTGCCAATAACAAACTGTACATGTTAATGTGCAAAACCTACCAGCTAGATTAGCCTTCCTAAGCAGTTGATGGAAAACTGCCTATTCTGTGTTGTATAGTGAACTCAACCTTTGCCTTTTTTTCCCACGATTGAAACCTTGGTATTTATAGATTTTTAATTAAACTTTAACCCTAGAATCTTGTGTGTTTTCTTTGAAGCTAAAAGGTGGAAGTCTGAGATTATACAGGACTATTCTTCAGGGTAAAACAAATTAAGTAAGCCATTTGGTTCACTATAAACAGGACAAATTGCACTAGACAGTAAATAAGGAACTTGTGCTGCTTTATTGACCAAGCCGAGTACAACAACATCATTCTACATCCCCATCCAGTTATAGCTGAAAATTCAGTTACCACAAATGTATACAATCAACATCAGGCATTGTGTTTGACTCAAATTACAGTTTCATGTTTCTTCTACCAAACATGCAGGCAGATAAATTTATATTGCAGTTCTTATTTCTGTTGCTGGATGTGCTTCATTCTCACAAGTGTAATTTTTTTTCTGAGCTAGACAATTTTGCTAGACTCAATGGCATTCGGATAGGGGGAATAGCAGTAGTTAGCATCATCCAGCAACCGTATCCATTTTCTCTTTGCAGATAAAATAGGAGGGCCTGGCACTTGTCTAGCATGAGCTACCAGTCATTGTCATTGTAAACTTAAGACTACACAGCTTTAACAGAAAGTTTACCAAAAACTATGGGAACTGCATCATGGTACAAAACAGTAAAACTTTAAATTTTATATTGAAGGTAAAGATCGGTTGAGCTTTAAAACAAATTACAGATAACTCCATAGTCATGTGTTTGGATTTTTAGTAATTTAAGAAATGATGGCATCACTAACATCAATATACATACCAAAACCATGTGATTTAAATATTTTCCATGTACAAAAAGAAAAGCCTGAAGGTGTCTGTACAGTTTTTACAATGAGTTGCTAATGTATTTACAAAACCACAAAAGAGAAATATCCTTTGCGTAGAATAAAAATATCTAGGATGTCAATATAAAAACAGTTGTTCAGTTGTGTGAGGCACTCCTGAAGCTGGTGGCATTAGCCAAGAGCTCCTTTGGTACGAGTCCCAATGCCTGCAGAGCCACGGTTGCAGCCATGGCTTTAGCATGCTTCTTATTAGGACTGACACTGTTAGGCTTGTATTCAATTCCATTGACCAATACCTGTAAGACAAATAAAAACAGGATGCATGTAAGACTTAAAGTATCACATTTCTCCTTCCTACTGAAGACTAAAATTTTAAGGACACACACCTCTCTTAGTTTCTTGTATACCTCGAAACCCAGGCGCTGTCAAGGAGTTATCCCTCACATCTAAGCCCAAGCCTAAGGCTTGTCCACAAAGTTAAGCAATAGGACTCAAATTGTTCATGTGACTTGCAATGTATAATCCCTTGATAAAAACCTTGGTTTGGGTAAAAATAATCCTTCTGATGTGGTCAGCACAATTTCTTTGGATTGGAAACCAAGATTCGCTTCATCTAATGGAAGGTCTCCTTCCATCAGCAGAAGGGAACCTCCAGGTCCAACCATTTGTTTTCATGTGACGTGAGGCATCATCTTAGGCCTTCGCTGCATGAAAAAGGGGCAATTCCTCTTCCCGTCTGCATTTTTTTGTAAGTGATTGTACTTAATTATATTTTTATACCTTCCATCACTTTGGGTGCGCTTTTTGTAGATAAGTTTTTAAAATGAATTATCTAAATCAAGCAAGCATTGCAGCCCTACAAAATGAGTACATTTTCCATCATCTTTCAAAATAGTCCACTAACTTCTCCTCTGTCCAGACAACTTCACGTAATCACAGCCTGGGTTAAAAACTGCAAACGGGAAACAAAGCGAAATGCACTTTCTAAAAAGACAAGTATTTGCTTTGTGGGCTCAAAATGCAAGTTTTGAAATTATTATTTATTAAGGACTTCCACGTATGTCCCAAGCAATGTACAAAATATAATAAAAAGTTACAAAATAGTATACAAATAATAGAAGATGAGGTTAAAAAGAAAACAAGATGGACACTTTGTTGCTGTGGCGGTTTGAAGCCATGGGAAGAGTAGAATAGATCAACATTCCTTTCGTGCTATTGTAAGCATCTACTTTTAAGTGCTAAAATTAATTTCTAAGATTACTGACCATTACAAGAACATTCTAGCTTACCTTAAAGAGAAAATGCTTATTGTGTTCAGGTCGATTATCGTTCACCAATGCGAATATGGGAGGCAGCCATCTTCGTTTGTTACAGACTTCCAGCAATGCAGAAACGGGATGTTTGCCTTAATAACAACAGGTTTTGTTTTAGAAATGTAGAAATACCACAATTAACAGAATTACTAAATCTGCCTCATTCATACCAGGTCAAATGCTTTGTCCATCTGGCCATATTCTCTGCTAAGGGATGGGTGGGAAATGCTTTTTGGCTCGAAGGTCACACATTCCTTCATAGATAACCTTCCAGCAACCACATGCCAGTGGTGGACTTGCCCAGACACTGGAAGTGGCTCTGACCTTTGCACAGGAGGCCACAGGCTAGTCATGCAAACATCACAGGTTCCTACACCCACACACGAACCTCTCCAACCTCAATCCAGGTAAGCCAGAGGCATCATCAGTCAAGCAAAGCACTTGAGAGGTGTGGCCTGCAGAGCAGACATGGGCTGGGAGAGTCCCAATAACTGGATAGAGACAACTGGTGGGCCATCTTTGGTCCCTGGGCCTAAGGTTCCCCACCCCTGGTGTCCTGACAGCAGCTCTCCCGGGTCTCTGGGCCCTGCTACCTGATCTTTTTAACTGGAAATGCAAAGGACTGAACCCGAGACTTTCAATATTGCTGTACCCATGAGATATGGTCGCTCTCCTTGAATTTTTAAGTCTCACCTGAAAGATCTTTCACTGCGCTGAAAGGTCCATGTCTCTTCTGTGTCTTTTCTCCCACCGCAACCAAGCCTAAAGAAAGCACATTAAAAAGTGTGTTTTCATAAGCTATGGAAACCTGGTATTTTAAGCCAGCACTGTGGGACTCTCCAAAGCAGGAATCAATGTAACACAACTGGTATAGCTGGCAACCACAACCATGCACTCTTTAAATCTTCGCTAGGGTTTCTTTAGTATCAAAATACCTAGTAAATGCTCATACTATGAGATGTGGTGGCAATGTAGTTACTGGCCCTTGGCTGGTTCTGAAACCTGTAAGCTCAAGTGCTCACACATCAGATGTTCTAGTACATCCAAATATGAATGCAAGTCCTGACCCCATTTGGTTCAAGTCAGTGGAACAGTCTACCACAGAAACTGGTATTCTTGAATTCACATACCAATGGGAGCTTTTATCTGAATGAAAGCCAAATATTTAACAAAACCATAGCAGATGACATAAATTTCCAGTAAACACAGGAATGCAGACAACAAAGTCCACAGCAGTTTTTTGGGTTGTTGTTGGGGTTTTTTTTTGCAGAGTTGAACAACCTACCCACCATACAATTACCACCCAAAGACCCACCTAGTCTACTGTTCTGTTCTCCCAGTGGCCAACCAGATACCTATGGGAAGCCCACAAACACAATTATCCCTCTGCTCACTGGTGACCCAACACCTAGTATTCAGAGGCATGCTGCTGCTGATAGAGGCAGTACAAGGTCATCATGCCTAGAGGCAATTGACAGGACATCCTCCTTGAAAGTGTAAGCTCTTTTTAAAGCCCTCCAAGTTGGGGGCATTACTATATCCTCTGGCAGTGAATTCCGTATGTTAACAGGCAAGCTAGTTGGGCCACACAACGTTGAGCTATAGAAAACCACGAACATTTTCAAGCAGTAATTTTCCATTAGTCATCGAATGACTTGGATCATAACTTTCCTTCAGTAAACAGAACTCGAGGCTTTCCCACCTCTCTTCTGCATTCCCCCATGGCTTGGAAAAGAAACCTGTGAGGGTATGAGAAATCTTCCAAGATGGGCTGGCATGCAGCACAGAAGACTGTAGAAGGAAGAGCTTTTGATGAAAAATGTCACCTTGTGTAAGCAGAAATGCCTTCCGCTTGCACAAGAGCACGTTGAGATCAAAACCAATGTTTTTATTAAAATATCCTTTCAAGTACCAAACATCCACTATATTAACTACAGTCTTCTTCAATTCTTTTAAGTTTTTACTGAAGCTGTAATATTTATATTGAACCAAGCGTAAATAAGATATATAACATCTGTTGAAAGGTATACGATTATTGGAAACCAGCAAATAAATTTCTTTTTATATGTTAGCCGGGAGCTGGGTGAAGTCAGAATAAAAATTAGAATAAAACAAAATTCATGTTTTAGAATACTGCCCTGGCCCAGACCTTTGTCAGGCTTTATATTCCATATTTGGCCTCAGCAGGCGTAGTGAAGCTAATATGTAACGTAATATATAAAGCATTCAAAATGTGCCCTTGCCAGTTTTAAGTCAAACTAGAAATTAGTACAGAGAAAATTTTCTAGGAAAATAGTACATAACATTTTTACATAAAAATGGAACTACTAAAGAAAAATTAGGCTTGATTTCTAGGTCAGCCACTCAAGAAAGAACTGTTTAAGAAATGGGAGTTAGATCATTTTGGTACCTTATGAAGAAAAGCATCACTTTAAGAGGGCTCTTTCTGTACCAGAGAAGCAATGACCCAGATACAGAAATTCTTTCATAAGGAAGACATTATTGCCAGTATTCAGCTGCACACATCTGATTCACTCAACCGCTACAACAGGCAATAGGCGCTGGCACAGTATTGTTTCATGTGGTATGTATTGTACATCAGAAGTGTTGGGATGAAAGTGCTGAATGTAGGGTACCAAAGCCTTCCTGGATTACACAGGATTTCTATTCAGAACAAGAATCCTCACAAAGGCACCTGTTTCCCCAATGGTCTGGGACAAATCAGTATGAAGTTGTTAACATCAGAGAAAACAACTCACCTTTCCGATCAGTCTTAAAATCCACTAGAATTGGTTCCTTGTTTCCTTCTTTATTTTTACCCAAGCCTTCTCCTTCTCTCCATCCCATTTTCCTCATGAGTTGGGCTCCCATTCCTCCAGTTACAGGGGCAGCTCTCAGAAACTGATCCTACCCAAAGAAAAAAAGTAAAAAGGAACCCTTCATTTAGCACTCTGGAGGAAAACTACAGAACTTTCTAAAGCTTCTAACTATTAACTATCAAAGAAATAGGCATGTATTTTTTACATTACATACATTGAAGAAATCTACCTAGACATATTCTTAAAGTAAAAGTTTCAATCAGTAAGTGGAAATATAAATATCCACTGCTTATATATACACATAATATATTTTACAAGCATTTTAAATAATAGCACTTTGGTTCCAATGCATCTCTTCTCATCTTGTGGAAACATTTAACTGGCAAAATGTGTGCTATGTATACCTAGTTACTGAATAGAAAAAGCAAACTTTTACACATATTTTAAATATAAAAGAAACAATTTCTCCCACTTTATTACACAACTGTATGATCATTTTCCACCTGAAAATCCCTGTGCATGATACAAGCAATTCTTTAAAAAAGAACTTAGCCACACAACTCAACAGTAGCCTGTGACAACTGCTTCAAATAACCACAAGAGTCATATTATTATTATTAAATGCTGTAAGATCAAACATAGGTTTTAAAACATTTTATCAGCTTTAAAGTACTTTTAAAAACTCCTTAAATTTTTACGTACCTAGGCCTCGATGGCCGCAGTGTTGTGAATAGTAGGGCTGGCATTGACCGTGGCAAGAAGGCAGCTACAAGGCAGATTTGGCCCTGAAACAAGTTTCCATATAGAGGGGTGAAAGTTCACAGGCTATTCTGTGAACTATCATCTCTCTTTTCTGCCCCACCCAATGACCCGACGCAACGAACGGCTTGTGTTAATAATATACATTGGTAGCATCAACACAATATATTATTCTCACGTTCTCTTTTACAAAGGCACAAAGCTTAGTATTTGGGTATCAACCTACACATCAAGTATTTCTTTGCTTTCATTCTACATTCCATTCATTTTCATTTACTGAAAATAGATTGCAAAAGCAAATGAAGAGTACAATCTTCCTTATGATTTCCTCTTCATGGCACACACCCAGTTCAATATGAATCCCCATATGGTGATGTTAAGAAACCAAAGAGCAACATTTCCAGAACATGTTTGACTTCAGTTCCATAGGCATCCTATACCCATAATATAATTAAAACTGCTGCCTGTAATCATGCAATAATTGGATATTGCTCTGGGGGGGAATGCTCTGGTATAAGGAAAGGCAAAACTGAGAAAGATATTACCTCTCATGGAAACGTTTTGACTGGTGCAAGCCATGCAGTTTGTGTACACAGAGACATGTTAGCTGTTGCCAGTTACCAACTGCTTTGAGTTGAGGCACCTAGAAGGGCATTTACTTACTTCCATTTTCATCCTCCCCTCTCCTTTCCAGGAACCTCTCATTAGAAAAGGGCAACCATGCAGAGGATACAAACCCCAGTCAATGTCACCCAGGGCTCCGACTCCTCTTTTGCACCTGCTTTGTAATGATAGAATGTTCATCAACAAGGTCTGGTTCATCACCAATGTGTATCCAGTTCACAAAGACGACAGAGACCAACTTTCTGACCAAGGTCTTTTGAAGGTTGCAGGAACTTCTCATATACTTTCCAAAATCATTGGGTGTGCATGTTTGTGCGTTACAAAAATAGCCCTTTCAGGTGTAAAAGCAAAAAACATCTTTAATGGGTATTTTGCCTAGAAAGGTGGGATATGAATTTTAATAGAATTAAGGGTTTTAGTCAATTGTCTCCCGCTGTTCTTAGAATACTCTTTGCTCCGGTGGATGCTTCCATTAACAGAAGAGGGAAGGAAGTGTTTTTTTTCCTGCAGCTGCTCATGCCATGTCCCACGGCTGTTCAAAAAAGTCTCCCAACCCACTAAAGTAGACTGGGAGGGGGAGTGTTGTGGAAACCCCCACCCCCCACCTCCGTTCATAGAAACCTGTGCCAGTCAAAGGGATACAGCTGGCTGAAGTTTTAAATGCAGTTCAGCTCTGAAAAGCACCTCTGAAAAAAGGCATCCCCTTTCCTAATTGGCTTGACGGGATAGTCATAACAGATACATCCAGATACATTTTATGATGAAATCCAAATGAAAACAGTAGCGCTTAGGCTACATCTATACCCACTTATTGTAAGCCCCACTGAACTCAATGGGACTTCTTTTTAAGCAGGTGTGTGAGCCTGTACTGCTAAGTACTTAATAGTGCATTGAGGTGGTATTTATTTCAATGGGACTTCAGCATACCTTGCTCTCTGGATAGTACCTCACAACTCCTTATCAAATGCAGCAGAGTCAAGGAAGCTCATTCTGTTAACTAGATATTTACCACCCAAGCAAGCCTCTAAAGTCACACAAGTTATTTCAGAAACTTTTCTAACGGTAGTGATACGTAGGTTTCACTATCTAGATGGGAGAAACAATGTTTATTATATACGGCAACTGCCAACATAGTAAGGCAGGATGTCAGGTTTATACGCCACCATAATGTTTATAGACTTTTTATAAGCACAGAAAACATTATGTGGAAACTGAACCACTGCTTGAAGTGACAGAAACACAATTCCATTTTGACATAATTCACAATGTCACTAAACCTTCTGTTTCAATCTGTTCTAAAAATTCACACAAAAGTACTAATTGGTATAGTTAGAGTGTGTGGCATAGTCAAAGTAGGATTAATTTCCACTTAAGTTAGCAAGGCCAACAATTTGAATCATGTGGGGAATGTCTAAAATATTCTAAAAGTTAGATATAATTAACAGCAAGATTAATTTAAAAGCAAATGCTTAATAGAAGCAGCAAGAAAGAGCAATGGGGAAACTGATACTTTATTTTGTTAGCTACCCAAAGGCATTTATGTTTTCATTTGAATATTGTCACTTCTATGGCAATTTACCATGTGCGAATCTTCAAATTTTCCTGCGCCACGCAAAACTAGTTGAACTTTAGGTCTTTTACCACTAGATGGTGCTAAGCTATTTCCTCTTCATGAGGTGGGAAAGGCTTGATAGATTCATCTTCAATTTACAGGACCAGGAATTGAAACCTAATATGCAGGACCTAGTGATAAGAACTGTGTGTACAAGGAGAGGAGGGAATCGACACTGGCACAAAAAAAGAAAGGTCCAATGCAATACTAGACTGGCACAAGCAGAGTTAGAAACCAAAGAGGAAAGAAATTACAATTTACCAGATTCATTCAATGCCAAGAGAAGCCCACACAAATGGGAACTCCAGGAATACCCAATCCTGGGTGCAAGGGTGAATACCTATAAGAAAAACACAGAACGGACTACAGTGAGCAGACCAAGTCTGCCACTGATAGTATTTGCAATATTTATAAAGAAGTTAAACTTAATACCAGTGCTTTACGGAGAACCTCTTCTGATCCAAATAAATATTTCTCACAGACACCAGGACTCCCCCATCTACAAACATAGTGGTTATTATAGTTTTCTGTACATGGATAAAGGCATGGTAATATGGTATGTGAATTACAATGGACGGCGGCAGTGAAGTTGCCAGGAGTGGAGAAACCTTTGAGCCCAGAGGCCTGATGGGTCAACTTTGGCAAGTGGGTGGGACCTACTCAGTTTTCAATCATCTGACATTATGACATACACAGATAGATGGGCAGTCCCACCCATCTGTCAAGAGTTGACCTGCAGAGTAGATGAAGGAATCAACTGCTCTGCCCACCAGCTGATGGGAGGAACATTCAATCCTGCTCTCTGTAGGGGTCTGCTTCGCCCTAGACCCTAAACCATGGGCAAGGGTGTAATTTGGGGGAAATGGCATTGGCAGGCAAAACTGGACTCCCTGGCAGCCGAAGGTTGGCCTACAGGCCAGAGGTTCCCCATCCTTGCTCTATGCCTGTACTTGTACCTATGGGTAACAAGCCCAGAAGGTCAAGCCTGCTGCCAAACAAGCAAAGACGGAGGAGGAAAACAGCAAGAAAGGTTGCCAGTGCAGACAAATAACACACAATCCAATATTTTGCACTTAGCATAGGTTTTGCATGTTTACTTTCCATAATACACTTCTTCCTAAATTCAGGATGCTGAGATTGGTGTAACATGGCCACTAATGTGAAAATAAAGAATACAATCTTGGTGAACGGATTGGGAGCTGCACAGGGTAGTGAAATTCTAGAACGGTATCCAACAAAGTCATATCCTAAGCAGACCCCCGGAAATCAATGGACTTGTGGCAAGGTTTTACTTCAATTAACTCCTGCTTCCTGATCACTAGAAATCACAACCTAGTTCCATTCTGCTTTCTGAGTCTTCAGAAAAGGCACAATGTATTTTTCCAAGCTGTTTTCTGCAACCACAATGGCAAACACACCTTTTAAAAAATGCTGAAATTTCCAGGATGCTAATTGCCATATTTTGCATTTCTAAAGTGGGTGGGTGTGCATGTGTGCAAGTGCACACACATTTGTATGTGTGTGGACGTGCAGCTGAAACTATTTGCCCTAAAATATATTACCCATAAAAAGCCAAGGATTACTTTTGTGACTTCATGAGAAATAGATATTTAACATATCATCATGTTTAACTTGCATGTAGAGAAAAAATATCATGAGGGGTGAGGTACCTGTGGTCCTCCAGCATGGCCAGGTCAGGGATGATGGGAGTTGTTGTCCAGCAACACAACTCACGTTTCTCATGCCTGATGTACTTCCAAGTTAGGTTTTGGTTTTTTTTACGGTTAGATACATGGGCTACTGCTTAAGCCTCCGGAAAGAATCCTGAATTAGTGAAACAATTTCCCCACTTTTTAGAAACGTATACACCAATCCAGCTCCTTAAGAGAAATTAAAACGTCTGTCCTTGCTCACAATTTCCTTGTTTGTTGTTATCACAAAATGCTTACTTTGTTGGAGATCTTGCAATTGCTCTCAGGAAACATTAATATTGGCAGTCACTGATTTCTGAAGTAAGGGAAGATCATCATTACAGTCCAACACCAATGAAGCACTACCCCTCTCTCCTATAATTGTTTCACCTGGGCACTCTCAGCAGCACGAATCCTGTTCATTGCAGCAATCACAAAGGTCAGCGTAGTCAAGGCCCTCCAGATCCTGAAGTGGGACACAGTACTGGGACAGGGGAAGCTTCAGAACAGCACAGCATTCAGAACAGCCACAGCATGCAGGCAAACGTTCTCACCTCTTCGCCCTCCACTCATTCACAACATGCTGCATCATGCTAGAGCTCTGGAAGGGCTGTCCCCTTACTTCCAGTAATACCATACAGTGCCAATTCTCGTTTCACAGAACCTTTTCACTCTCTCGTTTAGCAAACAGGATGTAGAAGAATATTATAAACTTTCTATCACTTGGGGTGCCCAAAGTTCTTTTTGCGTACATGGTGACACACTACAGTAGCTTTTCTACAACTATGTCATTGTACACCTTGGGAGTCAAATGTTTCGGCTCCCGAATGATCAAAAACTGGAAGTGAGTGTTCTGGTTTTCGAAGGTTCTTTCGGAAGCCAAATGTCCAATGGGGCTTCCACAGCTTCCGACTGACTTCAGGAAGTCGAACGTTTCGGAAGTCGGACGGACTTCCGGAACAGATTCTGTTCGACTTCCGAGGTACGACTGTAATCAATCCAATTGTGCACACAAGTCCAAATACAATATAGGTTGAACAAAAAAATAAGACTGTAGTCCCAAGCACTTACAAGATGTAAGCCTCAGTGGATACTATGAAACTTATTTTTGAGTAAACGTGTACAGAATTGGACTGTGGCTAGACTCCAAAGAGATACTTTAGGCATTCCCAGTGAAACTTTCACTCCAGCCCATATCACAAATAGCTTCCCTTCAGTTTCAAAAGAGGCTTTCTATGTGGCATGGAGGACCGTTTTTCCAGAAACAGACTTCCCACAGGCACATGGAATTAGTTGTGCAGTTCTTTGAAACTAGGCACAAGTATTTTAAAAGCATTCCCTCCAAAAAGCCTAGTAGTAAATAAAATAATCCTAAAGGAAGAATGAATGTCTTGCACGTGTGCTGTGAAGAGTTTAATATATTTGCATTTGTGAACTGATTACATCATTGATAATGCAAAACAGAAATAATTTCTGCCTGAAAGTGTTCTTTTCAGAATACTGTTCAACAACCTAATGCCCAAACATTTGATATCACACTACTAAAAGTCAAACAAATTTAAATAAAACCAAACAACAAATTGCTACTGGGTTTTTTTTTAATGTGGCCTTCTTTCTATCCCATGAAGCATATTAACAAGAATATCTCAAGTTAACTCTATAGTGACTGAATTTTGTTATGCTCTGCCAAAACTAATTAAAAAAAATTAAAAATGCAACACTGATGTAATTTTTCATTTCTCAAACAAATCACCAATTCTACTTTAGGTTCCTTAATTAATTCACCACAGAATCAAAGTAGTACAATATCTAGAAGACTCCAAAGCACCCCGATTTCTGCGTTCGTAGAAAGTAAAGTGAGATATTATTAATCTGGGTAATGATGAATGAATTTGATTTTCTTATGGTTTCATTTCCCACCTCCACCCCCAAAGAAAATCCCCATCTTATTCATGTTGACTTGGACACAAGTCCTACTGACTTCACCATGAGATTTACTTCCAAGGAAAAGCACCTAGTACCCACAGGATAAATGAAGAAAGTCCAAATACATTGTAGAAAAGTATTTTCAATCTCAGGAATTCTACACTGTGGGCAGCAGAGAGATCTTGTCTCCTTTGCATCTCACAGCCTGACTTCCATCACTCAGCTAGAAAGTTTTGAATAGGAAAGGAGCATCCATCTCCTCATAATACCATTTTAATATTTCAAATGAAGTGACTTTCTGAATAACAAATTCTAGAAAACCTACGAGGAACTGTTTTCCATAGACATCTGATTTGCCTGTCACTGGAAAGACTTAAACTTTACAAGGAGGGGGCCCACTGACGGACTTTCCATTAACCCTATGTGAAAACAATTCAGGAACACTCTGAACTTGAAGAAGCATGTGAAGATAGGGCCAACTATTACCAGAGAGCACGGCAATTCGATCTCACAGACTTCAGGAGAAATGTTCTACTCAACATTTCTTTGGTATCTAAGGTGACACAGGACTCAGGATACAAAGTAGGGGGAGGATGGGACACAGGATGCAAACGCCAGTGCTTTGCCATCCCCACCTATGCTTACAATTCAGCAAACTCACATGAAAAGTTCCCCAGCAGGATTCTTCCTACTCCTGACAGAGCCATGCTCCATGTCCTAGGCCCTCAGTGCTCCTTGCATCACGAGTACCAATGACTTGGATTTAGGCATAACTAAGCAGATTTCAAAAAGGGCAGAAAGCAATTGTGCCTACAGTCCACATGATAAGCTTATATTATCAAGTAGAGAAAATCATTACAGCACAGGAGAACCAATGAGAACTCTTGGTCTATGAAAGTCTAAGGACAGTATATCCTGTTTCGAGAATCTTAAGCGAAGGAAGTCATGAGCACCCTAGCACTACTGCTATCAGGTGGCATCATCAACAACACCTTGCTTTTGAGCATTTTAAGATGGTCAATCCAAGGTCAATCTCTAGCAGCTGAATAGGGCAAAATATGGAACCATTACTGCTTGAAGATGGACATACCCCTGGACACTTCTTGCTACAAAGGGCAAAGAACCATTATTTGGAACTCTTCAGTTTAAGGATGTCATGATTCAAGAATCATTTGTTCAATCTTCTAGATTTTATTAAAAATAATTGGTGTATGCCTAATTGATACACTACCAATTAAATTATAGCAAGTATGACTTTTTGTGAACTGTACATGGGTGATGAAAGACAAACACACAATGGAAGCTTCAGCAAAACCTTCGCTAAAATGGCGGCTGCCATTCCATAATTACCCCTGGCTCCCCACTTTTATATCCACAAAGAAAACCTTTTCAGCAGGTAATATTTACAGATAATAATATATTTACAGTATTTCCCATATAGTTTAATTACAAAAGTGTAAAAGAGTATAGTACATTTTATCAACAGAATACAGTTAAAAAACTCTCTGGTTACTGTATCTAAGCGCTTATATTGACTCAACTACAGCCCATTTTTCAAACCATTGGCTCCAAGAAATAGTGCTACATAAAAACCAATCAGAGCTAGAAGGTAAATTTTTTTCTGTTGGAGGAGTGTACATGGAGAAAGAATTTTCACTGAGACTGTAAAAATATACTTGCCAAGCAAACAAGCTAACTCCACCCCAGTCTTTTGAACTCTCCAGTACTGCGTAGTCAATTCTGAAACCTAGCTGCACAAATTATGACTCATAAGTTCAAGGCACCTTTGATGTTTCTCCCTTTAAAGTCATCAAATACACCATTAAGTTCTACAAGCAGGTCAGGGCTTGAGTTATAAAAATCAGCTGTGAGTGAAGTATCCAAGCATCGTTTTTTGTTGTTGTTGTTGTTGCCTTTGTTGCTTTCTTAACTTAAAGGCAAATAAATATGTTCAGCTTTTCCTCTGCCCCCACCCTACCAACACATACACTCTGCTAATCCCTTGCTCAGCAGACTGCAATTCCCTCCTCCATCTAATATTTGTGTAAGATGCTCAGATCAACTTGTCTATCCCTCACCAATACTAACTTCATCAAGCCAGCCAATAATTCTCCCTTAGGAAGGACAACAAAAACAAGCCTTTTCCCGATTCTACCCCCACAATTCGGGAAAACCTAAGGCAAAGCCTCCTCTATTCATACCTGATCAAGCAAGTCCAGTCCTTCCAGATGGTGCTGCAAGATCAGGCAGGGATTAGGGGCCTGTCTCTCTCTCTCTCTCTCTCTCTCTCTCTCTCTCTCTCTCTCTCAAAATGAGAGAAAAGTTAAGTCCCCTGCCTCTTACCAAGTGGTAAGGACATTAAACTATGGAGAAAAAGCTCTCCTGCCATTTTCAGATTCTCATCTCTCCGCCAACAGAAGCAAGCAAGTGGATTTTTACAGCCCTCTGGCAATCATTTATTGAATTCACTGTCAAAATTTTACTGAAATCGCAACCAGATTGATCTCTTGGCTAGGTAAGTAATGGAACAGCATCATTTAATTGTACCCCGCATTTCAGGACAATTTCAGCACAAGATAACAGTAACCGTGGGAGTAATTAAAACAACTCTTTTCAAACGTGAGCATAGATCATTCTCCCAGTTTCTACAGGTAACCTACGAAACCAGTATTAACACAGAGCTAGTTAGGCATAGTAGATACAGATTCCAAAACAAGAGTGCAACACATCTTGACAGAACACAGAAGTAAATTAACTCATTTATTTTCTGCACCTATTTTAGGAAGCTATTAGTGTCCTAAGTGGGTCACTGTCACTTCTTCCAGTGATTTCAAAGGAATTTATCATGTGACATTTGGACTCATCTGTCTGAATATCATCTACCTTTTTAATCCAAGCCTGGGGACCGCTGTTGGATAACTGTTCTGATGACAAGACCTGTGCTCCAGTGCTTCCTGTAAAATGGCCTGGGATGGAATTCAGCTGAGCCCAGGCATCAATCTGCAACCATAAACGAAGATAACAATATAATTAATTACTAAGTTCCCAAATGCAAACACGCACTGTAGTAGCAACAGCCACTATATACTTTTACATGGTACACAGTAGAATCATAATCCGTTTAAAAATAACTTAAAATTTGATGTTCTGAGAAAATTCCCACCGGCTAATGCCGCTTCACCTACTGCTATGTTTCTTTTGTGGTGTCATTCTTTAACTGAGAAGAAAAACCATATTTTGCTCAGAATCATAGAATTGCAGAAATATGCAGCTATCCCATATGGGGATTGAACCTGCAACCTTGGGTCTTAGCAGCACCACGCTCTAAGCAACTGAGCTATCCAGGTACTTCCTTAAAGAAAAGAAAAAAATCACCTCAGAAGCATTTTTCTTTGTAAACCACTTCATTTCAAAGCATGGTACTGTACTGGGAATCTAACTTGCAAAAATAAAAGGAATTATAGCATCCTTTCAATGTTTGGAAGTCTAAGTTTAGAACATACAAAAGCTAACTTGGTTGTTTCTAGTCCACATTCTACCCAGAATTATGGTGAGTTCAGACTAAACTTCAAAGTATAAGGAATTTGAAAATTAATATTGCCACTAGTATATGAAACAGTAAAACGATTTCAGAAAACACAGCAGGTTGGATCCAGACCTGTCCTTCTATGTTTTGGAAGGCGCCTTCTGTTCACGGAAGGGACTGAGATCCATCAAAGGCTCCTCCACCTGTGTATGAGCAGGGAGAGGCGATTTTTGCCAATTTCCCCACTGCAGCCCCCAGGGCCACCTCCCACGCTGTTCTAGAGAGTCCCACAACCCATCAGAGTCGCTTTTGAGGGGGCGCAGAGGGTTGCAGGGGGAATGGGTAAAAACGGCCCCCTTCCACCAGCACAGCATCTCATGGGTTGCGTTCTGCCCACAGGTAGTCTGGCTCCAACCCAACATGTCTTCAACTTTCCCTTTCCGGGGAGATCAACAAGAAAGAAACTGCAACCTACCCGTTCCTGTGCACGATTTAACAAACACATTGCCTCCATGTCAAATGTATTTTCTGTAAGCCTCTTTTGGGCTATGGTCCGCTCAGTCAGTGCTGACGAGATGTCCACAGGCTAAAAAGTAATAAAGATATCATCTGTTTTGAAGATCTCCAGAGCTAAGGCAATGCATCCTTCATAGAGAGTGTTAAAAATTATGTAGAAGGCAGTTCCCAAAATTTGAACACTTTTGCATGATCAAGAAACAGAAACTGGGAGTGAATATACATAAGAAAAGGCAGTGGGCTTTATCCTTTTTAAATTACTAAAAATAGGACTATAATTCAGATGGACATACAAATGACTTCTGTGCATACAGAGGGTCTTCCTCCCCGCACCCCACTCCCTTGACAGCTACAGGCATGGTTTGGCAAGCCAATTTTGAACACAGGGAGCTTCAAAAACAGTTTGAAACACAGCACAAGGAACAGTGCTGATGCTAAATCAGAATCTCCTCTGATGGCACACCAATCCTTTAAATATGCCTCTGCATGTTCTCTGGAGTGCTGTCTAAATTCTACAAATTGCTTTTCAAAGATTGCCAGTAGCTCTTATTTCTTTCAGGGGAACATATTTGTATCTGTTTCATCAAGCATTTTTAGAGAATCTGATTCTGTGTTTGTCATCTGTTCTGTTTATGATTTCATAACTTTATGATGTTTTTATTAAACACGACCATGATTTTTAAGTGAGCTGTAGATTCTAAATACTCATGTATCTATAAGGTAATGAATAGGTATCCATGTATTAAGATCTTTCTGCTTTTTACCTCCAGATTGGCTGGGTTGGGGAACACATCGTCCTTGTTCTCATCCTTGTTCTTTTCAACTGGAACCCATTCTCCATACGCACTATCTGATTCTTTTTTCCGGTGTTGAGATCCAGAAGAGACAGGAAACTCCTTCGTCAAAGTAACCTGATTTTTCGGAGCTGCCGGTTTTATAGTAGGAGTCTTAAAGGGGGGGGGGAGAGTATTATAATCATAAGCATTTATTTCTAAGATTTCTTATAAGATTTCATCATCGTAAGGTCCCAGGTAGGTTACAACAATAGAATGTTAAACTGGCATCCATCTGTCTCAAGAACATACAATTTAAAAACAGCTAAAACTCTTGCAATTATGAAACAAGTAAAGCTGCTCCAAATGGAGGCCTCTACACTTAACAAACAAATGTAGGATGGTGTGGAAACAGGGATGCAACATCATGGACTGGAGTCGAAGCACCAACCCATGTCTGTTGCCACAGAACTGACCTCTACATCAGTAAACATGTGAATAGCACTAATGTAAAATGCTTGTGCATTCAATACTAATTAGATAGATGTTTGAACATCTGCAATTCAGCTCCAAAAGCCATTTCCTAAGCAATTTAGAGTGTGTCTAAACAGGATTAACTATTGCAGTCAAACATTTTTCAAAAGTTGTTGAACATGGTTGTTAATGTTATACATTATAGCACGATTGGTTGCTCTAACATTAATTGGAAGCAATAATTTTATAATAAACCATTATTACTAAGTCTCATTTGTCACAATTATTTTCTATAAAATTATCAAATAAAGAGTTTGACGCTGCAATTCTGCAGTACTCACAGTTAAGTTGAAGAAAATAGGTTTGGGCTCATTAAGTTTAAAGGGATGGTTGATAAAAGGATGCTCTTCCTCCTCTTCGTCAGACACATGAGGCTTGTTCACAATAATATCATCTTCCTGGCTTTGTGCAATCTTCTTGCATTTCTTTTAAAAAAATAATCACCACAATAATAGGAATGAGGCAACAGTTGAGCAACTAAATCTATATAACGTCAGTTACCAAATACTGAAAATTATGGGAATCAAAGACTTTGACTGCTTGGTAACAGCACCGTATTCAAGACCAGACCTGGAAATGATATCCATTATACCTGCAAGACCATAGTCCTAATACAACAGATACTACTGAGATTGCTGTGAAATTATCACGTGCAGAAGATCTACGCCATCTGGCTGGCTTCCAATATAAATGGATTTATCTTATAGCACATAAAGACTAATTCAGTTTTACTATGCCCATCACTAAACTGAAATAGCGTCATATGCCAAAGGCAAAGCAACAAAGCCCCTACCAAGTGGTCCACCTCTCACCTGAAATGCCTGTGACACAGACACGCTGCTCAGAGTGAGAAACAAGCAGTTTATCGCCCTTGCTTCCTGGAGGATAAAAATATCAGTACAAGATTGGGCAGAAAGCAGAAGAGACCTATTATGGGTGTGAAGCCTGAAATCTGAAAACCTGGGCGGAAAATAAGCTGCAACTAAGATCCACCAAAAGGAAGTACAGTCGTACCTCGGAAGCTGAACAGAATCTGTTCCGGAAGTCCGTTTGCCTTCCAAAACTTTCAACTTCCAAAGTGCAGCTTCCTATTGGCTGCAGGAAGCTGCAGAAGCCCCCTCGGACATTCGGCTTCCGAAAGAATGCTCGAAAACCGGAACAATCACTTCCGGTTTTCGATTGTTTGGGAGCCGAAACTTTAGACTCCCAAGGCATTCAGGAGCCGAGGTACAACAGTATATGACATTTGGGTATATCTGCAGTTTCTGTTTCTATAAAACAAAGGCATTTATAGTTTTAAATTTTCTAAATATGCAAGATGCTATGGTTTTATATTCTAAGTTATAAGTGATACATTTGTGTGGTAAATAATGAGCAGTTGTTTATTATTATTATTAATCATTTACCACCTAAAGAATCTCCAAGCAACCTACCATTTTTAAGAGCATAAAAAACAACATAAAATCAGGAAAAAAGAATACATTGTAATAAAAACCATACAACATATAAAACCAACCCAATAAAGCAGCAGCAAAAGCATGCCATCAGTAGACAGCAAAATCAACATACTCTATCAAATGCCTTGAAGAAGCTTACATTGATAAGGAAATAAGGATTTAACATATGTCATTGTCCCCCAAAAAACATACAGAAAAGATGTGGTTTTCCCCCACAGCTTTAAAATTTCCAGAAATGTTTTATCTCTACCCCACATCCCTCATTAAGTTATCTAGAAATCCTGCAATTTTAAAACAGATTTTAGTATCTTACTGGATAAATGTTGCATTTTATATTGAAATAGTAATAGTTGCAAGTTTCATTTGATTCTCTTACCTCAGTGAGTTCCAATATTGTCTCTTTTGCAGACTTTTGCGCAACCTTTTCTTCCTTCTTTTCTGGAGTAACAACAGGCATCAGGCTTGGCGGTAAAGGAACACCAGCCTTCGCACACATGGCAGCTGCATTTGCTTTAGCTATTTCAAGTAGCTGTGCCTTGTCTACAAAAATAAGAATTTATTTATTACTTCGTATCATGTCCATTCTCAGGATGAATTCCTACACCGCACTTAGAATTCCAGAACTGCACTTAGAACTTGGAAATATGCCTGGCTCCTATTCTAAAGAACACTCAAGTAATGGAAGATTCAGTCCTAAAAGCGTTTCCTCTCCTATCTCTGAAACCAATTCAGACAAACTCACAGAACTGATCACTTTGCACAATCAGCTATCTTAAAACAGGAAGGGAGAACCTATGGTTTTCCAGATGTTGTTGGACCACAAGTTTCATCATCCGCCGAGTCATGGCTGATGGGAGCTGAGGTTTCACAGTCACCGTGTGTGAAGTGCGGCACTGCCACTGAGCAGCCCCCTGTACCACCTGACAGGATGTGAGAGGTAAGGTGACAGCGAGAGCCCTGGACTGGCAGCAGGTGCCAAGTATGTGTGCATTGGAACATGCTCTACCACCAACCCAGTGTTTTCCCTGCCCCCTTCCAGTACTAGTGAGCAAGCAAGCAGGGCGACAGTAAAGCATCAGCTGTAAATTTGTCCAACAGCATTTGGAGGGCCACATGTTCCCCATCCATATTTTAAAATATTTCTCATTTCTTCAGCATGGGCATTAAAATTATCTACAATAACACGTATGTAAGTTTTGGTTTGTGAAATATACCGACACTGGGAAATATCCAACATTGTACCAGCAGATGAAACAGGACTTCCCGTTCCTCTACTGCAAAGGGTCCCCCAAGCTTCCAGAGCAGATTTTGAAGCTGTGCAGGGAGATGCAAGGAGAGAGCAGGAAAGAGGAGCCTGATACGTGTGAGCAGAATTCTGTTGCACAAGCAGGCTGCCACTTTTGGAATGTCCCTCTTTAACAACACTTAAAAGAAATTGTTTCAAAATAAAGGAATCTTAGAAAAACCCGAGAAATTAAGAGATACCAATTTATGTTCATAACATTATCTATGTAACAAATTGCTGAATATTAATTACCCAAGTCAGTCAGCCGCTTAGGTGACCTGCTTGAAGTTCTGGATCTTCGATGATCAGGTGATATACTGGTGCTCCGTCTTCTCCCTGTGGATCTGGAGCATCTTGGACGAACAGGTGTTCGACTTCGAGATCGTAATCTGAGGGGTATTCTATAGCTGTCTCTTGAATCAGACCTCCTCCTCCTCCTGTCAATAGACCTTGACCGGTTTCGCCGAGATCTCCTACGCCTTTCCCTGGATAAAGACCTTTGTCTTGACACAGATCTTGATCTAGTCCTCCTCCATCGTCTTGAACATGATCGGGAGCGAGATCGGGAACGTGTTTGAGAGCGATGATCAGATTTTGATCTTGAGGACCTCTTCCGTGTTGCTGATCGAGAACGGTTTTTTCTAGATCGTGATGCTGTTCTATGCCTACGAGATGGTTCAGAGGACTTGGAGCCTTTACTCCTTGATCTTCGCAAAGGGTCTCTCTCTCCCGTTTTTTCCAAAGATTTAGACCTAGATTTAGATTTATGATATTCAGGAGACTTGGTATGATTAGGTGCTTCCACAGATTCAGTTCCCTCTGTTTTTTCAAGCGATTTGGACTTTGATCTAGATTTGGAGCGTTTTCTTCCTGAAACATCTGAAGAGTCTTTATCTTTTCTTCTTTCAGGTGATTTGGATCTGGACTTTGATTTTGACTTAGATTTTCTGTGTCTGGATTTTAGGGAGGGGTCTTCTTTTTCAGTAGATTTTGTTCTACATTTATTATCAGCCGACTTGGATCGTCTCCTTTTTGATCTTGATGAAGTTTCTAAGTTTTCAGCTGATTTGGATCTAGATTTGCGATTATCAGAAGACCTGGACCGTCTCCTTTTTGCCCTGATGGAAGTATCTCTTTTATCAACAGATCTGGATCTAGATTTGCGATTATCAGCAGACCTGGACCGTCTCCTTTTCCCCCTGGATGAAGTCTCTCTTTTATCAACAGATTTAGATCTAGATTTGCGATCAGAAGACACAGACTTTCTTCGCCTTGTCCTCAATGAACTCTCCCTTTTGTCAACAGATTTAGATCTAGATTTGCGATCAGAGGATCTGGACCGCCTTCGCCTTACTCTCAATGAAGTGTCCCTTTTGTCGACTGATCTGGATCTACTTTTGCGATTATCAGAGGATCGGGACCGCCTTCGCCTTACCCTCACAGAACTCTCCCTTCTTTCATTTGATCTGGATCTAGACTTACGATCAGAGGACCGAGACCGCCTTCGCCTTGTCCTCACTGAAATTTCCCTTCTGTCAACTGATCTTGATCTAGATTTGCGAACATCAGGGGACCTGGACCGTCTCCGCCTTGACCTCACTGAAGTTTTTCTTTTGTCATCAGCTGATCTGGATCTAGACTTATGGCGATCAGAGGATATGGACTTTCTTCTCCTTGTTCTTACTGAAGACTCTCTTCTGTCAACAGATTTGGATCTGGATTTGCAACGATCTGAGGACCGAGAACGCCTCCGCCTTGTCCTCACCGAGGTATCTCTTTTGTCAGTTGATCGTGATCTGGATTTGCGACGATCAGAAGATCTAGACTGCCTCCGCCTTGATCTTATCAAAGAATCTCTTTTGTCAACTGATCTGGATCTAGACTTGTGATTATCAGATGATCGTGACAATCTTCGCCTTCTTCTGACCGATTCTCTTCTGTCAACTGATCTGGATCTAGACTTGTGATGATCAGAAGATCTGGACCGTCTTCGCCTTGACCTTACAGAAGTTTCTCTCTTGTCAACAGACTTTGATCGAGATTTAAGCCGATCAGAAGTCCGTGAACGTCTCCGCCTAGACCTTACTGAAGATTCTTTGCTCTCTTTTTTGTCAGAGGATTTTGATCTAGATTTATGACGTGAGGTAGAGTCCTTTTTTCTCGAACGAGAATCATTCTTACTTCTAGAACGTGCTCTTCTTGATGCTACCTGTCTAGAGGTGGAACGTGATCTAGATTTTTTTTTACGTTTTTTAGACTTAGAAGGAGATTTTGATCGACTCCTTTTTGCTTTTTTCCCACTCTTACTTTTATCTTTACTTTTGCTGCTTACTTTTTCACTTTTCTTGTCTTTTAAAATATTTTCTTCCTTTTCCTTCATTATATCAGAAGACTTTGGAGCGGTGTCTGAATCCTGATCCTTCAAAGAATCCTGTAGAGTTACTTCCAATTCCTTCTCCTTGGCCATTTGCAAAGGTTCAAGAGATGCTTCTGAATCTTTCAACAATTGTTGGTTTGATTTCAGGTTTTCTGCTGCTGCACTTACAGATTTTATAGCTGCCTTTAAACCTTGTTCCTCCAAAGAGACTTGTTTCATTCCATCTAAGTCTTTTTCCTTTGGCTTGTGCAAAGGCTCTGAAGTTGCTTCTGAAGTTTTCGCCTCCACAGTGAATTGTGGAATCATTTCTGAATTCTTAGCTTGTTGTTCTGTAGTTGACTCCAGATCTATCACCTCTGCCATGCACCTCACTTTGGAATTTTGTTCTGTAATGTCTATGTTCTCTGCAGTCATAGGAGCTGGTACCGAATCTTTTGTACTAAGAGCATCGGCAGATTTTAAAGACGCTTCAGAGATCTTTTTTTCTGACAACAAAATAGGAGTTGAATTTCTTTCCAAATCCTGAGTCCCCAAAGCTAACACAGATTTTGAAATTCCTTCAAAATCCATTTGCTTCTCTTTTCCCATTGTTGTTTGGGCAACTTGCAGATCTTTTACTTTCCCTATAGAATCACATTTAGTGGTTGCTTCAAAATCTTCTGGTTCTTTTGAGTGTATTGATTCTGGAGCAATCTTAGATTTTAATAAGGATTCAGTGTCCTTCAACTCTACTATATTCATAAGCCCTGCATTTGCCTCAGAACTCTTGCCATCCACAATAGATGCTATTTCTACAGTAGGTTCAGAGTCGTTTTCTGTACGTTCTAAAGCTGTTCTTGAACATGTTTCATCAAAACGCATTTGTAATTCTAGTTGTTTTTCTGAATCATTTGCTGTTTCTGTAGCCAGAGATGATATTGTGGCTCCTGAACTTTTTTCTTCCACAATACTTGAAAATTGAGGGGTAGTTTTTGAAACATGCAGCACTTCTTCACATGTGCCACTTCCTTCCAAATCACTTGCCTCCATAGTGCACAGGGATTGTGGAAGAGTTTCTAAGTAGGTTTTTTCCTGAGCATGTTTAGATTTTGCAATAGTTTCTAAATCTTCCTTATTGACCAAACCTACAACTGCTGAAGTTGTTTCTGAAACTTTCTCTTTCATCACACTTTCAGATTCTGGAGCTGCTTTGCACTGATGTGTCTCAGGGGCATATTCTGTTTCTGAAGCCGATTCTAAATATTTTACTTCCAAAGTACTTTCTGCTTTGCTATGTTTCTGAGAGCCTATTATTTCCAGTACTTCTGTCCCTGTAATTGTACCAGAATCTGAATTTGCTGTACCTAGATTTCTTGGAGTAATTTCCAGTTCTCGGGTTCCTGTAGAGTCAACTAGTTTTAATACAGAGACTGATTCTGAAGACTTCAATTCTGGTGTATTTAGTTGTGCTGCAGTAGCTACTGAATTTTTTATTTCCAATACTGTTTCATAATTTAGAGCTTTTCCTAAATATTTGGTTTCTGCTTCAGGTATGGATATAGATTCTACAGCACCATCTGAATCCCTCACCTGTGGCACACAGAGTTTAGAAGTTGTTGTTTCAAACTGCATAGCTGCTTCTGAATTCTTCATCCTTCTTGTATCTAAAGTACTGGAGCTTGCTCCCGAATCTATGACATCCAACATAAACACAGACTGAGTTTTGTCACTATCCTTTCTTTCTGAAACAGTTGCAGATTTAGAAATAGATTCAGAATATTTTACTGCCAATTTTGTGTCTGGTTTTAGAACTCCAAAATCCTTTTGTTCTGCTTTATCTGCAGTTGTCAACGTGCCTTCTGAAATATGTGCACCCAAAACTGGTTTACATCTTTCAAAGGTTTCTGAACCAGTCACATCAGATTTGGGAGTAGATGTGAGCACATTATTCATCTCGTTTTTGTCCAAAAATGCTAGATTTGTTTCCACCTTCCGACTGGTTTCTAAATCTTTCACACCTGTTATGCGAATGGGTTCAAATGTATCTTTCAATACATGCACAGATTCAGAGGATGCCTTCAATTTTTCTATATCCACCACCATTTCAATTGTTTTAGCCGCTTTTAATCCTTTATCGTCAGTTCCATGGAGAAAGCTGGGAGTTGCTTTTATATCTAACGCATCTGGGACAAACAAAGTTGCTAGAGCCATTTCTGGTTTTTTTACTTCAAATTCTGCAGTATCAATCACACATACAGTTTCTGAATCTGCTTCCAAATCTGTACCTGCCAGTGCTTCACTTCTGGGTTCTGCATCTGACACTTGTAATACTGGTGTGCACCGTGACATTTCATTATGGTGGGGAGGTTCTGAAGCAATTTCCAAAATTGATCCTAACAACAATTCACGTTTTGGAGGATCATTTGCAATTTCTATGCCTGCTTGAACAGTAGATTCTAAATCAGCTTCTAGGTCTATGATTGTAGATTCTGAAGCTGTTTTTGAATCTTTTGCTTGAATCAAATAGAAAGGTGTTAGGGTGGTCTTTGAAAATGTTTCTGTCACATGCATAGATTCTGGACTGTGTTCCAAATCTATTACTTTGTTAATCTCGTCAGATTCTAGAACTATAATCTTCTCTTTCTCTGATACACAGAGAGATTCTGGATCTGTAAATCCTCTTGATTCTGTCCTTTCTTCCAATTTCTGCTTCTCTTCCTGACTAGTTAATTCCTCTGAAAACAGAAACTCTGGACTTGTTCCTGCATATTTAACTTCCAAAGAATACAGAGAATCCAAACCAACTCCCCTGATTTTTGTCTTCACATACTGGAGTTGTTCTAGATTTTGTTCTGCATGAGAATCAGGAATTGATGGCAAATTCTTCAATGCTAAGGGTTCCTTAGGCCTGCTCACATCCACCACAGTTGTTTCTTTTAATTCTTGTATCACTGCTACATCCTCCAGTTCTGGAATTCCTTCTGAACTTACTATATCCATTTCTTGCAGAGATTTTGAAATGAGTAATGAGCCTTCACTCTCAGCACGCAGCTTATGGTCAGATATTCCTACAGCTACTTCTTTAGTTAGTTTCTGATATCTTGGTAAAGTTTTCAAATCAGCTGCCTCAGCACCATTCTGATTTTTCTCCATGTGCGCTATAGCATCAGAAGGCTTCTCCTGTATTCGGGGCACAGGGTGAGATTCAGTTTCAGTGCTTTTGCTTTTGGCCACAGTTTCAGATGCTACAGGAATCTCAGAATACTTTCCAGGTGGCACTGAAGTTACTTCCATATTTTTCACCTCTCTGTCCAGTGGTTTTAATTTTTTACGTAAATCATTCAACTCAACTATTGTTTCAGGATCTACAGTTTTAATGCCTTGGATTTCCCCAGTTTGTAGTGCTTCAAATTTGTTTGCATCCACCATGTGCAGTGACTCAGGAACATTTTCTGAACTTTTCAACTTCATCATAATCTCAGATTCTGTATCAGGTTCTAGGCTCTGTTCTGAATAATTTGTAAATATCATATGCAGTGAATCTGAAGTAGCATCCATCTCTCTCTCCTCTTGCTCTTCTTCTGTCTCTAGACTAGTTTCTAAATCTTTTCTCTGAGTTACTGCATCAAGTCGAAAAATGTCTTTTGCACTTTTCATTTCTTTTGTGTATTGAGATTCTGAAATGCTGTCCAAATTTTTCACAGTCATTAATGATTCTGGAACTCTTCCAAAATCCTTTACATTCCCCACAGTATTACTTTCTCTTACATCCACATGTTTTGAAGCTTCCAGATATTGTGTTTTTACTATCTCTGGAGCCATTTCTAAATTATTAATATTTAGAACAGCTTCAGATTGTGAAATGCTTTCAGGAACTTGTACATCAATCGCTGCCTCAGAATCTTCAGTAATTCCTGACGCTCCGCTCTTCCCTACCACCGTTTCTAGGGGAGTTCCCAAATAATTCACTTGCCTATCTCCCTCAAATTCTGGAGAACTATCTAGATTCTTCACACCCTTCATTCTAAGAGGTTCTGGCACAGCAATCCACTTTCCCATTTCCGTTATACGTTTAGATTTTGCTTTTAAGCATCTCATGTCCATCTCCCCAACTTCCATAGTCCTCACTTTTAAAGTTGAATCTGTGCTTTTCATGTCCTCTAATTCTGGTGCATCTTTTGCATCTGCTACAGTTTGCAAAAGCATTTGATGTTTTTCTGCATCATTCAATGTTGTCTGGACTGGCGAAGCTTGAGCTGCTCCTAATTCTTTCACCCCTGCCCTTGTCTCAACATCAGGGGTTGCTGCTGTGCATTTCTGGGCATCCAACTCTGTAATTATTTTTAATTCTTCTTGATGATGCTTCAGTTTAGTTACTACAGCTGGTTCAAAATATTTTTCAGAGATTGTATGCAGAGATTCTGAAGCTGCTTCCAAGTCTTTCAACGCTGCTGTTGACTCAAGCTGTTGACTCAGTTGCAGATCTTTCACTGTGACGATGCTCTCAGAGTCATGCAGTAAATCCTCTTTCATATCCATAAAGGTAGCCTGATCGGGGCTTATTTCAGAAGCTTTCACTTTTGCTGTATTCAAAAATTCTGAAGTGGCTTCAAAATCTTTTCCTACCACCATAGCCAAAAACCCCAGAGTTGTCACTGAATCTTTGGCTTCTGCAGCTGCCTCTGAGGGAAGGTTGGTGAAATTACAGCCAGCAGTTTCAAATGAAGTTGCTACTGCTTGTTTCAAGATTTCAGGATTGAAAGATTCTGAGACAGAGTCCAAATCTTTTACCTCCATTGTGTCAGATGCTGAACTTGTTTCCAAATATTCCAGTTGTACTGCTACAGACTTTGGACTGCTTTCAGGAGCACTTGTTTCTTCCATAGCCTCCAATGTCAAACTAGCTTCAGGCTGTTTGTATTCTTTTATGTTAGCCACTCTACCTTCAACATCAGCAATATTTAAAGATTCATTCCCTATGCACAAATTCAAAGCTACGTTGGTAGGTTGGTAGGTGTTATTTTCCAATTCTCTCTCATTTGTAAGCTTGACTTCATGGAGTTCTTGAATATTGGCTAAAGTAGAATCTCTAGTTGTATCCAGTTTGCTGTTAACTGAATTATTTGCATTATGTGAATTTGACGTGGCTAAATTAAGGTTTTCACATACAGTTTTTTCCAGAAGCCACCCAGAAGTCTGTTTCGAAGAAGATACAGGCTGTAGATCTACATCTTCTGCACTTGGTACGGAGCTCGAGCTTTCTGATTTTGAATGAGAAATGGACTGCGTATCTCCACATTCTTTATGCTGCTCATTTAGTTTTGATTCCTTGGGTTGCTTTTTATATTTTTTCTCCCTTTTCTCCTTCTTCCTTTTCTTCTTCTTTTTCTTATCTTTGTGTTTCTTATCCTTCTTAGACTTTTTCCTTGGAATTTCATCTTCTACTTCTTCGGATAAGCCTCTTTTAGTAGAGTGAGATTTATTTCTCACTGTATCCTCGCCACCATCTAATAAAAGAAAAAAAATTGTGTTAAGATTAAAAATCAGAAGCCAGATTTCAGAAGACTGAGCAAGAAACTCCCAACATTTTTGCTGTAGCTATAATCTGAAAAATTATGTTGCATGTACAAACTAGATCCTTTTTGATCAAATGTAGAAAATACTTACTACAAAATTATAGCTTTAAATCAAGGTGCTCAAGCAAGATTACCTTTCTCCATGCCCACTGATTCCTCCATTTCAAGTATAGCTAACACAGGGGAGAATCCAGATAAATAAAAATGCATATTCAACTACATTTAGAACAGGTGACTGACATAGTCAAAGTTGGCAGCATCAATCACCTCAATTGTACTCAACACACAGTATGAATAGAATAGTGATGTAAAGGCCCGAAAAGATGCCCAAACAAATGAGGAGGAACCATTTCTCCCCCAATTTTTCCAGGTCTTCACATCTCCAGTGATGTATCATACGTTGGATTTGGGAAACAGTCCAGCACTAGAATCTACATATACAATTTCTAATTAAGCACAGAATGAACACGCACATTGTCCTTGCTTAACTGGAATATTCTTTTTTATATATAAACAGCGGGAGGTATCCAGCAAAGTAGCTCCATCAGCACAAGGACATCGAGATCTGCAACAGAACATCCCCTCCTTCTCCTCTCCCTTAAATCTGTCCTGGGGGTTTCGCCTAACTCTACAGGACAGCTTTTTGAGAAGTAAAGGAGAAGAAGGAATCAGTTAAAATTCCCTTATCCCTTCCTCTGGGAATAGGGTCTCATTAGAAGAATTCCATTCATGAGATTCTGGATCCAATCCTTTATTACTATTTATTGATAATTACACAGCACCATTAGTATGCATGGCGGTTTACAGAGTATAACAGAACAGGTTGGTGTACAAAGGTACATCTATGTCAAACTAAGAATGGATGCCACAAGCAAAAGCTAATACTCTTCTTCACTCTTCACCTACTTAATGCATAACTGCGGTGCTTCTCATAGCCCATGTGATACAAGTGTAACATCTCTTGGATTACAAATTTCACTACATTAAAAAAACTTCAGGTTTCCAAAAAATTAGATGTAACTATGAAATAAAGAACTTCATTGACCCAGGTACAAATTGAAAATATTTTCAAATTTGCCTTCTTGAACTGTATGGAATACTACAGTCTTATTCAAGAGGTTATTATTAATAAATGAGCTTATAAGAAATGGAAAAATAAAACAAATACCAGAATTGACGTTTAAAGAAGAGAATATGAAAGCACAACATAGCACAACTCTTGGTAACCAAAATATATTATAACTTAAGATAACCAATAATGTGCTGGGCTGTACGCAGAGATCTACTCACAGAAAGGGATGGATGGAAAGTGAATCCCTGTCCCATCTTTTCCCAGGCATGCCCCAGGCCCTCAAAAAAGCTCACCTGAGGCTAAGGGGACCCTGTTGAATGAGACAGGCTATGGCATAAAGGGTTGACGAGGAAGAGGGAGATAGCAGAAAATTGGGCCAAGGAACCTTCTGTGATGGTGCTTCTATCAACTTTTTGTGAGGATCAATTTTCCCTAAAACATTTTTGAGAGTTTCTAATAACTAGAAATAGCAGGAAAAGCACCTTCCTCTCACACTCTTCAACGATCTCTCTAGATCCAACCCCTTTAGATTTAAAAGCTTGAATTTTTCTGCACCCATCATACATGACATCAGCCACAGGAAAAGTGGGCATGGTTTGGCCCAAATGGCCTGGTGGGTCTAAGTAGGTGGGTCCCCTATGTTATACATGCTTACTCAGAAAAAGATCACACTATATTCAATTTGCCTTACTATCCAGTAAGTCTGTTTAGGAGTGCAGCTTAAACATTGATGAGTTTCAGAAATGGATCAGGAGATATACACGGTGGAGTCAATGCCATACAACAAAGTATTGTAAAGCACAACAAAATAATAAATCAATACGAAACAGAAATACTTGCACAATACAATCTGATGGCTTTGTGTGCAAGAAACAACATTTACCAGAAAATGCCTGTTAATAAATATGTGTGTGCTAACAGGCACCAACAAGAGGGAAAATAGCTACACCAGCTCCATGCTAGGACAGAAGAGGAGGGACCTGAACCATAGGTGCATCAGCCCCTGGAATGCCTGTTTGGCTTCTACCACCAAGAGTCGATAGATGCCTGTGGAGCTTTCAATGGATGTATCAGGCAGGGGCCTCCAGGGTGAAAATGCTGCTCCAGCAAACTTGCGCATCCACCCATCCTAACACCCTTCAGCAAGGTTAGAATTGCTCAGTTGTTGTTACTTTTTATGCAAATCTATACATGCCTGATAACCCTGATGTAACTCTAAAACAGAGCTTTCCTAACTGTGTGTTGTGACGCATTAGTGTGTCAGCTGCAGTGTGTAAGTGTGTCGCACAAATGCTCCCCGCGGTCCTCCTGGGGCTGGAAAGGGTTACCATATTTTTCCATGTATAAGACAAGGTTTTTTGCTAAAAAAAATTAGTAAAAAATTGGGGGTCATCTTGCACGGAACATGGGCATCTGGGGAGGATTTATTAAATATTTAAGCATATGTCTCGGATTTTGGCTTGGGTGGGCTGAGGTGGTCCCTCCTGCTGCCGTCCCCCCTTTCTCCTCCCCCTCCGGGCTGCATGCTGGTGACTGGCTCGCCTCCTGAAGCCCCCGCTGGCTCGACCACCGGAGCAAGAGCAGTTGCCACCATCGCTGCTGAGAGCTGCCTCAACTACCTCTCCTTGCCCTTCTTTCCTTTTTTCTTCTTCTTCCCCTCTCAAACTCCCACCCTGCCCCCAACCGACTCACCACCTTCCTCAGCTCAGTTTGCTCAACGGTATGGCCCGGCACAGAGTGGCCACTGCCTTGCCCCAGCTCTTCCTCAGTATCCTGCTTGGGAGCCTCCTTCCCCTTGCTTCCCCGCTGCAGCAGCTGCCACCGAAGGAAAGCATGTGGTGCCCCAGCTGCTGCCTTTGCTTCTGCACCATGGCGCACTGCATGCACCTCATGCTGAAAACTTTGAAGGCAATTGCCAAAAACAACATAAACTTGCCACCGCAGATCATCCAGATTTTCACTTCTATTTTGGTGTTTTGTTTTCTTAATTTTGGGTTTAAAAATAAGGGTAGTCTTATACATGAGGGCATCTTACACATGGAAAAATACGATAGTTTAACCTCAAGTTTGCTAGTAAAACTGAATTACTGTGCCACGAAATGTGGCATGTCGAAAAAATGTGCCACTAGCTTGAAAAGTTTGGCAAGCTCTGCTATAAGAACACATTTTTACAGAATCTAAATATGTCATACAACTATTCAGTGTATTTAGTGTTGTTGTGTTTTTTTTTAAAAAAACAACCCTAGGATATCAAACCATGTTTGATTTAACTAATCACAATCAGAATAAACAAATTCTCCAAGTTCTAATGCAACAAATAAAAAGGTAAAGGTAAAGGACCCCTGACAGTTAAGTCCAGTCATGAACGACTCTGGAGTTGCGGCGCTCATCTCACTTTACTGGCCGACGTTTGTCCGCAGACAGTTTTTCCGGGTTATGTGTCCAGCAAGACTAAGCCGCTTCTGGCGAAACCAGAGCAGCGCATGGAAATGCCGTTTACCTTCCCGCCGGAGCAGTACCTATTTATCTACTTGCACTTTGACATGCTTTCGAACTGCTAGGTTGGCAGGAGCTGGGAAAGATCAACAGGAGCTCACCCCGTCACGGGGATTCGAACCGCTGACCTTCCAATCAGCAAGCCCTAGGCTCAGTGGTTTAGACCACAGCGCCACCCATGTCCCTAATGTAACAAGTAACTGTGGCTCATTCAAAAGGAAAAACAAAGTTGTCCCTCAGATCCTCTTATATACAAAGGAGCAGGGAGCTAGACTTAATCAATATTGCAAATTTTAATTTCACCAGTCAATCTAACACTAATTTTAAAAAAATACATCAGTATGAAAAGAAGAGAGGTGATTTAAGTTGAGGAGCGGAAGTTTATAAGTAAGACCTGCAGCAAAACATTGTGGTGTATCCTCAACTAACAGGATTGTTCCTGTTTGGGGTTCTAGCCAGGAAGCCAGCCATGCCCAGCTTCAGGATACTACATTCCATTCCCACCCCATTCAGCAGTTTACTTTTCTCACTGACAATTCACTTCCATGATTACTTGGCATAGTCAGACCACACTGCACTGTTGAGTGGGGGGCAGACTGTTGCCCCCTTAGGTGTCACTGGTTTTTAAAAATATTTTTGTACTTCTGCAAGCCTTGGGGATTTCCTGAGCATGCCAATATATTCCTCTTGTTTATCAGTGGTTCTATTTTGATGTCAACACTCATACCTGAGTTTGCTATTAGGAGTAAGATACCAGGGTTATATAAGATTAATTTAGTCCGCCCATAATATTTTATGGTACAATTTACCATAACTGCATTAATACTTCTGGAACTTGGGTTCTGACACCATGTCTGAGGTCTCACTATTCAGGCGTTATGTTAATTTTCTACAAAAGATAAATGAATGATAATAGTTTTTAAATAATTAAACGCAAGTCAAATGATTCACATTAGACCAGAGTAAATTGTGCAGTATCTTTTAAAGAAATTACAGTCATACCTCAGGTTACGAACGCTGCGGGTTGCGCGTTTTCAGGTTGCGGACCGTGCCAAACCAGGAAGTACCAGAATGGGTTACTTCCGGGCTTCGGCACTCGCACATGTGCAGAAGCACAAAATGACATCAGGCACATGCGCAGAAGCACCAAATTGCGTCATGCACATGTGCAGACGCGGTGCTTCAGGCTGCGAACGCGCCTCCCGCACGGATCACATTCACAACCCAAGGTATGACTGTATTCAGCAGCTGAGGTGACAAAAAACAAAACAGTGATCTGAGAAATCAGCTATTGTCCAATATATTGGTTTTGTGCGTTTAACTTTAAAAACACATGTGTTTTAATACCATAGGTATATGGCAATGACTTCACACACATGAAATGTGTGAAAGCTTAACCACCAGCTTTATCAACAATAAGCACATTCACATTGGGCTGTATTCAATGAAGTCAGACTCAAACATACATTTAACTAACTTACTTAGCTGCGTATAACCCATTGAATCCCATTCAAATAATCAGAAAAAAATAACACCGTATTTTACTATTAGTAAATAAATTTGGCAATTACAACTCAATCCTAAATCTGTTTGCTTACAAATAAATCCCAGTAATTTCAATATGCTTTACTCCCTAGTGTGCATAGAGAGCTGCAGCCGTAATTTAACATTTACATGAAAATACTTTATATATACTTGTTCTAACTAGTTTTACACGTTACATCAATACACTGCTAGTTTTCCAAATGTAAAAGATCAATAACTTAACTCATTTTTGGTAAGCAGAATACTTTGAAAGACATAACTGTAAAACTGCCAAAACCACCAAAAACAGGCTTCCTCAAACTCAGACCTCCAGGTGTTATTTGGCCTACAACTCCCATGATCCCTAGCTAGCAGGACCAATGGTCAGGAATGATGGGAATTGTAGTCTCAAAACATCTGGAGGGCCGAGTTTGAGGAAGCCTGACCAAAAAGCACAGATGGCACAAATAACATATTGAAGAGCTTTCTGTTAAAATAAAAATAAAATTGAGGACAACATAGTACAGACTTCCCCTCTTCCTCTGCTCCCACTGAGATTCCCCATTCCCCCCCAGAGGATCCCACAATCCTCTAGAGCAGATGCAGACACATGAGGGACTGCTAGGGGGACAGAATTTGAAGGGGAAGTTCCATAGTGGTGACAGAATTCATTCCACTGAAGAATGTAGAGCATTAGATTTCAACCTGAAGGTGCACATTGAAAGAAAATTATATACAAGGGTTAAAATATTTTTATGTACCTGGTTTGTACTGTGACTCTGCACTCAACACTTCTGATAATACTTGTTCTATCTTCTGCACTAGTGGATCATTCTGAAGATTCCCAATAGACGTAATTGTATCATCTGAAGAGTTCACTTGCTCAGATGAGTTTATTTCACCATTGTGCTGGCTTCCTAACTTTGCACTAATAAAGAAAAATATGCAGAATCTCAATATTAGGTATACATTAAAAACAAATGGCAATAATATAACACAATAACATTCAATTAACATATAGCATTGGATGCAGACTTGCTCATTCATGAACAGAAAGGAATTTCAGCGTACTGTACAAACACAACTAGGAATAGGAAGCTGGATGTGCCTCACATGTGGCGTATTGCTATACACCATCATTCAAGGACAAAAAGTATATTGCTGTACAGTAGGTGGCATGGGCATAGATGTGTTTGGATATTGATACAATATTACTCCCTATGGAAGCCTTGTGGATACATACCCTTTCAACTAACTTAGGTTAGATGTGGTGATTTAAGACAGGAAGGAAAACAGTTAACAATTAAGGATTAATTAAGGTGAAGGGACCCCTGACCATTAGGTCCAGTCGTGGCCGACTCTGGGGTTGCTGCGCTCATCTCACTTTATTGGCCGAGGAAGACGGCATACCGCTTCCGGGTCATGTGGCCAGCATGACTAAGCCACTTCTGGTGAACCAGAGCAGCACACGGAAACACCGTTTATCTTCTCGCCAGAGTGGTATCTATTTATCTACTTGCACTTTGACGTGCTTTCAAACTGCTAGGTTGGAAGGAGCAGCGATCAAGCAACAGGAGCTCACCCCATCGCGGGGATTCGAACCGCCGACTTTCTGATCGGCAAGTCCTAGGCTCTGTGGTTTAACCCACAGCACCACCCGTGTCCTTAAGGATTAACATACTGCTTCATTAAAGTATCTTCTGTTTACTGTACTGATTTTTGGGTGCTAGTGTATAAGGCTAGTGACAGACATCCTACTGGACATTTGGAATGGTTTTGAAAATTTTCAGGGCCTTGCACTGAGACACTTAACTGTGTAATAGTGGAGAATTTCAGATCTTCCTAACTGAAAGTGAAAGAGTACAGTAAGAAATGCGGTTGTTTACAAGTTTAGCTTGCTTCTGTCTATTACAGCACTGATCTCAGACTGCATGTATCATTATATCCTATTTTTCTATTTAAAAAACCACTTTTGTACTAAAAAAAAATCCTGACATAACAGAAGTATATGATTTAACTGATTTTGGTATTTCTTTTACTGTTTCTACAGTACTTAGCAATGGGATTTGACACCATGTGATGAACTGAATCTTTGAGAACTCTATTTTTTGTCTTTTGTGGACTGTATACTTCATGTGTCACTTTGGTTACTTTCTCTATTTATTTAACAGAATTTGTATACTGCTTATCCAAGTGGTTTGCATAAAATGCTAGACATTTTAATAAATGAAATTTCTCATCCATTCCAGTCAAGGAGTTTACACAGTGAATGAAACTTCCACCATGGACTACATGACTAAATGATGACTGTTTTACAGTCAAGTTGTGTTATTTTTCTTTGCACAGTGCTTAACAAAGAAACCCCACAACAGAGCAATATTATTAAGGAGTCAGTACTAATGTTTACACTTTAAGCATCAACAACAAATAACCCTGCAATACATGCTCCAAAACGTCTACAGTACAAGGTAGAACAAACCACTAAGAAAAAAACCACTAGGAACCTCTACCAACCTTCACAACTAAGTTAACATTCCCAACATTTCTGAAAATACTTAATTCCCATAAAAAGCAATTACATATTGATTAAGAGAGAATCAACTCTTGATGTTTACGGTAAAATCCTATGCATATTTAGAATTGGCTCTTTAGCCTCACAAAACGTTGCCTTCATGAACACCATCCTTTCATTGGATTCTTTTCTTTAATACTTTGTTTACCGGCCAGAACCACTGAAGGAACAGCTAACTTCCTCGAGAGCAGTTCTTCGAAACACTGGCTTCCTTAGAGCAGGAGCGGAGAACCTTTGACCCCCCAAGATGCTGCTGAACAACAACTCCCATCCGCCCCAACAAGCACAGCGAAGAGCCAGGGGTGATGGGAGTTGTAGTTCAGCAACTTTTGGAGAGGCCTAAGGTTCCCAAGGCCCGCTTCAGCGGCTTCGCAGCTCAGGGTCCGTTTGTAAACCCTTATTCCTCTGGGTGCCCCCGAATTCCTCCACGAAGCTGGCTCTTAACGCCTCACGCCGGTCCGAAGTCGGCTTGAGCGCCAATCCTCACAGACGCCGTCCTTCTGCTCCGCCGCTTCCCTCAGCAGCTGCCCTTCATTGTCTCTCCCTGGCGCCTCGGCCCCCCCGGCGCCCCCCCCCCCCCGGCCGCGGCCGTAAGCTCTTCGCCCACAGCCCCCCCCCGCATCCCCCTCCCTCGACATCCCTTCCGGTCCCTTCGCTCTGCCCCTCCCCCACTCCGCCCGTTACTCCACGTAATGCCGCCGCCGCCAAAAGAAAACCCGGTGCCTCTGACCAATTACCTGCCGAACTGCTGCTCCTGGATCTCCCGGAACTTGCTAACGACAAAAGACCGAAAAATCTGCTCGATGCTAGTCGCCATGACAGCCTCGCGCAGCGCAGGCCCCCCCACTTCCCCTTATCCCCCCCTTCACTCGCTCTCCGAGACGCAGATCCGCCTGCGCTCTACAATGCAACACCGGAAGAAGACGCGGCCGGGCTCTTCTTCCCCTCCCCCGCTCCTCCTCGTCCCGCCCTCCACTTCCGGATTGCCCTCTCGTTCTCCTGATTGCTCGTTCCGACAAGGGGCGGAGCCTGAGCCGGCTTGAGGATGGGCGCTCTGTAGTCGAAGTGAACCATAGAGCGCCTACTCGGATGCCTTGGAGGTGCGAGGCGGACGTGACTCCGGGCGCACCCCCTCCCCGCCTTGCGTAACTGTATATGGCCGCTTTCTGGCTTCTCGTCAGCTCAGGCGACGTCCGGAGTTGGGAACACAATGACAATGGCAGCGGTTGATTCCGCGGCTGGGAAAAAATCTAAAGGCCCGCACTTTGTCCTTCTGTTCGCCAAGGGGGACGCTTCGGTCCTCTCTGTGTCCGTCCCCCCCCCCCGCCCCCCGTTTCAGACGTGGTTGTGCACAAGGTCAATGAAACTGGATGCAAAAAAAACCCCAAGGTGCCGCACGCTTCTGGCGGCTCTCGGCGGAGAGGCCCAGTCCTTCGGAGTTGGACGTTGCACTGCCCTCCCTCCGACCGGGGAACAGCGGCCATGTTGTTGATGCCGCAGTTGGAGGCGAGGCGCCGCCGTCCTTGCTTCCCGGCTCGGAAGGACGCCATATACACGCACAGTCTGAAATACAGATATATGCACAAACACACCACTTTCTCTCACACACCCCAGGCACCAAAAGCTTTCAGAGTTTACGTGATGGGCGGGCTGAGAACCCAATTCCGTGCATGTTTACTCGCAAGTAATTCTGCATAAGATCGCAGCATTTATTTCCCAATTCAGTGCTTTGTATTCCGTAAGATGTTAACGCGCACACCCCTAGCCCAGAACTGCTAAAAATAAATACACAACAGCTCCCGAGACGGGCCTTGAAAGGCATCGGTCGTGTTATTATTCACTGCTGAAAGACTAAATAAATGCGTTTCTAAATAAAAAAATGACTGTTAGGCTAAGGTACGCCTGGAGCATGTACACACGTTTATAACACAGTTGAGGGAAGGACCGCAGCTCAGTGAACGGAGCACATGCTTTGCATGCAGAAGGTCTGGGTTTAATCTTTAAAAGTAGGCAGAACCTGAGATCCATATAAACCTAGTCCATGTCTTGGGCTGACAAGAACTGGAGGATCACAAGACTCCACATCCCTGTATTAGTGGAAATATTTTCATGTCACAGGGTTTTAAAACGAGAGTTTTAAGTGGGAAGTACATTGGTTTCATCTGGATTCTTAATATAGTGTTATAGGAAAAATATAATTCTCATAACAATAGTCTGCTTTATGGTGCACATAATTATTATCTTTGCCTTATATAATCCACTTAGAAGCATTTATTAAGCAGGCCATAAATCTTGTCAAAATAAATGTGGTGACTTAACCTTTAGATACTGCATTTTTAATATTAGAATATTCTTCAAAATATGGGACGCGGGTGGCGCTGTGGGTTAAACCACTGAGCCTAGGACTTGCCGATCAGAAGGTCGGCAGTTCGAATCCCTGTGATGGGGTGAGCTCCCGTTGTTCGGTCCCTGCTCCTGCCCACCTAGCAGTTCAAAAGCATGTCAAAGTGCAAGTAGATAAATAGCGGGAAGGTAAACGGCGTTTCCATGTGCTGCTCTGGTTCGCCAGAAGCGGCTTAGTCATGCTGGCCACATGACCCGGAAGCTGTAAGCCGGCTCCCTCGGCCAGTAAAGCGAGATGAGCGCCGCAACTCCAGAGTTGGCCACGACTGGACCTAATGGTCAGGGGTCCCTTTACCTTTACCTATTCTTCACAATTGTCTAACTTCATTAGTTATCTCTGGAGGTGGTGCTTGTTTCTATATTCATTTTAAATGCCCATCAGTAAACATTCCCTGGGAGGCTTACAAATAGAACAAGTTTAAAAATACAGTACAAAATAATTATAGTAAACCATAAAACACAGCAAAATAAACTGAAACAGCATAACTCAATTTACAACCCGGATTTAATGTTGTCAATTGAATACTATTCTATGGACTTTTTACTCAGAAATCATTATGAATTCAGCTGGACTTACTCAAGGCTTATTTGTGCCAAGATTCAGCAACTCAACGCCATAATTTGTTTTCAATGTCACGAGCTCAACCCTAGAATTTATGGAGTTCCTCTGCAAGTTGCAAGGAGAGGAAAGAAAGTTTCCAATGCAGAGTGAGTGTTTCTAAGACAGTTGAGGTCTAAGTTCTGCTGCATGTAAGTGTGCATAGAACTAAAGTCTGTACAGTAGTAGGCTTTGGGCTGGAGTTTTATAACAGCGAGATAAATTGGTGTGCATTTGTCTCTTAACTATTTGTGTTATGCAACCCATATCGTGTCCTAAAGCCATGGAATTCGATCTCTGGCTCACAGCTCCCCTGTAGCTTATTAGTAACGATAGGGGTTTGCTACAATACAAGGATCCGGCCCAGCATCTGCTTGTTTTATTTTCAAAGTGCTCTGACACAGATCTGGTTAGCTTCTTACGTACGTAGCTGTTACTTTTCAGCTCTAGAGTATTTGTTAGACGAAATCCCTTCCGTTTATTAGGAAATCCGTTCCTTTTCTTCTTCCCCGCAGAGGGTTAAAGATTGCTACATTTGAAGCATTCTGGGAAATGTAGTTTTTGCCGTATGGTCCGGGAAACTGCCCATTTTTTAAAAGCTGCCCGAAAAGTAAGTTTTTGCTTTCGCTGGGGGTAGTGGGTGGACATCGCTAAAAATACATGGCTGTGTTATGTGCTTCTTTACAGTGCGTAACAGAACTGTTGCCCTTACTTTGCAGTGAGAGAAGTTTCTTTTTCAGATTTTCGTGACCACGTGTTTTGTTTTGCTTTGCTTTGCTTCTAAGGTTTTACATGGCTTCCTTGCACTTCCTAGAAAACCCGTGTTTGGAATGCCAAATATCTTTTGCGTTTCTTACGGGTTGCTTCCATTTCAGTTTGCTGCAGGCATTTTTAAAGTAAGCAAGATGCCATCAGTACTGGCATCCCCCAAAAATGTTATAATTTGTATGAATATAGTTTCGCATACCTTTAAAATTTTTGTTGTTGTTTTAAGATCAATGGGTGCTAGAACTTTAGGGTGCAAACTTTTAAAGTTTCATGGGTGTTTGTTGTAATGCATGAATTGTGTGTTCTCTAAAGACAACTGATCCCATTCGTTTTTCACAAGAATGGAGAAATATTTGCATTGGGGATGAGCTTCCCATCTTTCCTTTCACATTAAAGCGGTATTGCTTAATCATAAGCAATGTGACCAGCATAAATAAAGTTTAACTTAATTCCTAGGTACCATGTTATGGGTGTTCAATGCCTTGCAAGCTTTTTTTTTTAATATGGGGTGGAACTGAGTGTTTGAGATCACCTAAAAGAAAAGCAGTGCCAAACTTGATGTTGACAAAATAAATGATGCAAGGAGAGAGAGTTGCAGCCCAAGACAGTAAAAGAGCTGGTAAGAGAACACTTAGCTACTTTAAATGAATTCAGATATCCAGGGCCTGATTTCTTCCCAAGAGTACGGTAGTAATGGAGCTTGATGATACAATCTCAGAGTCTCTGTCTATAATCTTTGCGAATTATTGGAGAATTGGTGAGGTCCCTATGAACTGGAGGTGGGCAAATGTTGCCCCTATCTTCAAAAGGGGTGGAAGACCCAGGCTACTACCAACTGGTCACCTTGTCATCATACCAGGAAAGGTCCTAGAACAGATAATTAAACAGTCAGTTTGCAGAGAAGCTGATAAACTGTAAACTGGACAAGCTAACTGTTAGGTGGATTTGTAGCCTGGTTGACAAAGAGTTGCTCACTAACTGTTCCTTGTCATCCTGGAAAAAAGTGAAAAGGAGGGTGCCGCAGGGTTCTGTTCTTTTGTTGTTGTTTGACATCTTTATAAACATCTTTTTTATGTTTAGTGTGTCCTTCTCAGCATAGGGTAATTATTCTGTTTGCCTAGTCGTGGCCAATTCATGTCAAAATGAATTGTTACTTAGAGGGTTGCAAAGACTTTTGACTTCAACCTTAAAATGTTATTGATGTAGATTATATTTCCCCCTTCCATTCCCTCCCACAAACAGCACACAACACCATGTCATTTTTCTGGTGCAGTTTCAAAGCTCTGAACTGTAACATATTTCAAGGATTTTTTGATTTTATTTTTTTAAGGCATCTGAGCTTCCATATCTTTCTGTTTTTCTCCTTAAGATACAAAAGTAGCTTGTGTTAGGAATACATCCTGTACCAAAAGTATACTGGGTTATTGTTTCATTTGCAACAGTGGTACCTCGGGTTACAAACACCTCAGGTTACAAACGCTTCGGGTTACAAACTCCGCTAACCCGGAAGTAGTACCTCGGGTTCCAAACTTTGCCCCAGGATGAGAACGGAAATCGCGCAGCAGCAGGAGGTCCCATTAGCGAAAGCGCGCCTCAGGTTAAGAACGGTTTCGGGTTAAGAACGGACCTCCCGAATGAATTAAGTTTGTAACCAAGTTAGACTGCAGAAAGTGTTCTGTGCACGGAGATCCAATCATGGTTATAACCCATTTTGAATAGATCTCTTTCTATAGCATCACCTCAGCTGTACCGTGTTACATAGGAGGCTAGTTTCATTGAGGATAGGATGGAGGTTTGGAGTAATATTGTGCATATTAATTTCCAATAGAAATAGCTCATAAAATATGGCCAAGATCCAAAGAGTTGCTTTCAGTGTGCCCAAATTTGGGAGTGTTTATTTGGGAATTTTGAGGGGATCTATTGTTACTTTTGAACGTTTTAAAAATGGATTGATTGGCAAGTGGCTTGTGGGGCACTGTTCTTTGAGAAGCGCAAGTCAAATGCCCCTTGAGAGTTTTGGACCTAGATTCATGGCTCTTTGATCCCAGTCTGTGCAAAATTGTGAGGCAATGCAGTTTTAAAATTTAGATTTCTTTTAAAAAAGAGCAAGATCTTATCTACCCTGGAAAATGTTGTAACCACCCTCTTTACGCTAAGCTGATGTCTCCTCTTCATTGGTCACTCATTAGTGGGGTTTTGATAGGCATATAGCCAGAGGCTGCTTCTTCTTTCTTTCTTTTTTGCATGGCTATTGGAAACCCACTCTTTCCAGATTGCTCTTGTCAAGATCACAGTAAGTACATTGTGTGTCATAGTGTAAGCCTCCAGTTCTAGCAAGAATGACTTATGTAAAACCAGTCCATCTCTATTATAATAGTCCTAAATGCACTTACTTGGAAGTAAATCCCATTGATTTACTGCAGTGCTAAGCATGAATACCAGGAGGTGTTTTCATCAGAAGTCTCTTGGATTTGCTACCAAATGCAAATGTTTGGGCTTGAGGATTTAGTGCATATTATTTTGTGTTGATTTTTCTTAATTTGCACTTCAGGCATGATAAATAAGTCATCAATTGAATTATTTATCATACGAAAGTATATATTTTTCACTACAGATTAAATGTTTTAGTTACTAAAACATTTACTAGTAACATTTAGTTACTAAAACATTTGAAGGACAATTTAATTATTTGACAAGTGCTGGAGCACTGTAAGGGAGATGAGCAAAATTGAGTTGTATATTGCATTTATTGCTAAAATACCAATGATTGCTAAATAAAGCATTGCTTCATTGTATTTTCCTAGTTTATTTAACCATAATTACAATTTTTGTGCTCAAAGCAACCTCTGCAAAGATCTGTAACAACCTGTTATGTGTCTGCTTTCTGAGAACAAAGTACGGTATGTACATCTTCACATGAGTCTTGATAGGTGTATTAAATCCTGAAAGAACCTCAATACAGTACACCATATTCTACTCTTTCAGATTTGTGATTGAATTATTGTGGAGGCAGCTGATGACTTTCTGTATGCATAGTTATTTTTTAATTGATAATTTTATTATTTAATTTTTTTGTAAACTGCTCTGAGGTTTTTGTATAATCAAGCAGTATATAATTTTTATGAAATGAATGAATAAATAGAGCACATTTTATCTTATTATGATGGTATTCAGCTAAATTTTACTCAGACTGCACCCACTGAAATTAATGAACATCACTAAGTTAGGTCCACTCATTTCAGTAGATCTGCTCTGAGTTGAATACCACTCATTTATTTTTCTATTATAGTAATTATTCTAAAATTGTTATACAAATTTAATATACAAACAGATTAGCATCTGCTACTATTATGCAAATCTGTAGCCTCTTTCATCCTATTTTCTGGCCAACTGTAGTTGTGACGAGTTGGGAAGTCATTGACTTGGAAGTGGGATATATGCATGCGTAGTGCTACTATGCAAAGTGGTTTGAGTTTAGAAAGGAGCATAACAGACCTTATTTTCCCCCTTCTCCAAATGGATTGCGTCTCTGCATACCCAGAAAGAAGTGTTTGGCAGGTTTTGCTTTTTATCTGTGCCTGACGTTGGGAGGAACTGTACACATTGACTAGAGTGGGGTTAATGACCAGCTGCTCTTGAGAATTATACTGGAGGGGGGTAGGGAAGGGTAAATGCCATGTTTGCAAAAATTGCAACAGGGGGACTCCTTGTTTAAGTGAAATTCTTAACTAGTTCGGAACCTATTCCCTCAGGAGCTATACAAAAGTTTTCATAGCAAAGGCAGCCAATTAACCATGCATTTAAAAATGTATAATCTATATTGCACATTTCAGCAGCAAAAATAATCTCAGTCAGCCAACCGTTTGTTATTTTTTGCATTTTCAAATATTTTTAAAGTTAGTGTGGTATGTATAAAGAAAATCCTCTGTTATGGTTCAGTCAAAAATAGATCATTGCACTATATACCATATTTTTCGCTCTATAAGACTCACTTTTTCCTTCCTAAAAAGTAAGGGGAAATGTGTATGCGTCTTATGGAGCGAATGCAGGTGGGAGGCTCTGCTCAGCGCTCCCTTTAAAGAGCCGTGTGTAGCATGTGTGCGGCTCTTGGGGGCTTTTCTTTAAAGGGAGCGCAGCTCTTGGGGGAGCCATAAGCCAGGACAGCAAGCGGGATCGATGTGCAGTGATCCCACTTGCTGTCCTGGCTTCTAGGATTCAGATTTTTTTCCCCCCTTGTTTTCCTCTTCCAAAACCTAGGTGCGTCTTATGGTCTGGTGTGTCTTATAGAGCGAAAAATACGGTACTTTATGTTGCAAACACCAGTGTGATATGGAAAGCAAAATGGCACGTTATGCCACTACAGCTGTTGCTCAGTACAGCACTCAATATTTTGCATGTCCTGCTTCTTTCTGCACAGACCGATGGCTGAGCACGTGCTTGTGATTGGCAGCGGAGGCAGAGAACATGCTCTGGCTTGGAAACTGGCACAGTCCCCACATGTGAAACAGGTACTGGTCGCACCTGGAAATGCTGGTACATCTAAGGATGGAAAAATCTCTAACGCAGGTAATTAAAGAAAATGTAGAGTAAGTTGAAATGCTTCGCTTCACGACATTAATCTTTCAGTAGTTCCCCCTGATAAATTGTGGCCATTTTCATCTTTCAGACTCTTTACTTTGTGAGTTTATTAGAAGAAGCAAAAATTAAAATGGCTGGCATCAATTACTCTGTTCTGTGCCAGAAACTCTGAGTCTCTGAGATGGCATTTCCTCCTTCGTTGAAAAGAAGGGTTGCTGCATCATATAAAGACCAATATGCTCTATTTAGCTATCCTTTTCATGAAGAGTGAAAGAGATGCCTTGGGCATTCACGTGGCACTCATGTGGTCTGTTCAGATGTAGAGCATGAAACAAAAATCTTTGTCTCTGTGCTCATTGAATTAATGTTGATTTCCTCTCCCAAAAACCTTGTCTTTCACAGGACAGTACCAATGTTATGGTCAAGATTACTGTATTTTCATTTATATAAGTGTTACGTTTTTCCTGTTGTTTTCCCCAATGAAAATAGAAGATGCAGAAATGTAATCTGTGTGTCTGTGTCTGTCTGTCTGTCTGTCTGTCTGCCTCTATATATTAGAAAAACAGCTTCTTAAAATAATTTTTTAAAAAGAAAACTTTTCTCCTGATTATGTAATGCTTAAAAGTGCACGATCTGTTTGCATGACATTTTTGCTATGATCTACCTTTTAAATCTGAAGCAGAAGAGATAGCAGATTAGTTGTGGGAAAAGGAAGTGGTAATGTTTGGTCCCTGGAGGCATTTCTATACACTCAAATTTCCATAAAGCCCAGACCTCCTTTGACCACAAACTATATTCTACATTTCACCTTTGTGGAATAATTAAATCCTAGAAGACAAAAAAGCATTCTTAATCTGTTGGTATGATTCTTTTAGAAATGGGGGAAGTCACTCAAGGGCAGTTTTTCCAAACGTTCATTCAGCATTAACCAAAGTGAAAATTTATTCTATACCCAACCTTCATCCAAAGATCACAGGACAGTTTTGTGGGAACACAAAATACATAATAAAACAATAACGAACAGATCAGTAACCCGCCCCCAACACATTTAAAAGGCCTTAGAATGTTTAATCCCCCAAAGGCCTGGTTATAGAGAAACATTTTCACCCGGCACCTCAAGATACGTAATGAAGACACTAGGCAAGCCTCCCTGGGGAGAACGTTCCACAAAATGGGGAGCCACTGCAAAGAAGGCCTGTTCTCAAGCTATCGTAAAATGCTACACAGCACCTTTATCAGTACCCACCCCCTCTGCTATTTAAGAGTTGTCAAATCCATATCAGGAATCACATCACAGAAGGAAAGAAGGCTACAGGTTAAATACGCTTGGCCAATTAAAATATATTGCTTCATGTTTGTCAAGGGATGAGCAGTTTCTGCCTCTGTAACACCCCTTGAAACTGCCCAATGCTTGTCATGTGGAACGAGGGGGTAGGAATTCTCCTGGCCAATTGGTTCACATGACCCAGTTCACTTCAGACTTTGGATTTATTTATTCTTGATAAAAGTCAGAGAGTAACATTTTATTTACTGTGTGTGGGGGGGTGCTACCTGGTTTTCTCTCCCTTGCTGGCACACATTGGTGTTTGTGTGTGCCTGACTGGTGCTGCTTATTAAAATTAAAATTACTCTCAAAAATCTCCTTACAAAAAGTTGGGCAACTTTGCCATCTTTACTCACAGAAAAGTCTCCCCAAGTATTGTCCCGGAATTAATGTAACACCAGGACTTAATATTAACTGCAGTCAGTGACCTAGAACTCACAATTCCCAATTTAGACATGTGGCTTTCTGTGTACAATGCGACTTGAACCATTCATATTTGCAAATGGAAGATTGCATAATGGAGCTGTTAGGTTCGAACGCCTGCTCAGCTCTGAAGCTCACTGTGTGACCTTGGACCTTATCACTGTCTCTCAGCCTAACCCACCTCAGTGGGATGCTTTGAAGGTTAAGTGCCTCTCTGAGCCATGTGGAAGGGCAAGTAACAAATGTAAGCAGTAAATAAAAACAACAGCTAATTGCAGCCAATCTATTCTTTTTGTCCGTTGATAGTTATCTCAGTCAGTGATCATGCTGCTCTTGCCAAATACTGTAAAGACCAGAAGATTGGACTTGTGGTGGTTGGTCCAGAAGTCCCTCTTGCTGCCGGTATGTCTAAAAGAAATTATTCTGCAAATTCCTGCCTCCTGTTTAATCTACTAATTTATGACTCCTATATGCCAATCTGAGTGTATAAAAACACACAAGTATGCTAACATACATGCAGTATAGGGCATCTCTTCTACCAGAACATGGTAATGAAGGGAGCAGACATTAAAGTGGAAAAGTACTTTTTGGCCTTTGTGGTTGGCTAACAGTTCAGAGATCTGGAGTGACTCTGTTTTGGTCACAGTGTTTGCCTCAAACAGTTCTTTGCTCATTGTCTATCTGCTTCAGCTTTTGAAATAGCTACTCTAGATGATAGCCAAGGAATGGATTTGGTTACTATGGCCTCAAAGTTCTCTAGCTGCTACTTCTGCCAACATTTACAACTAGATACCATTTTTGTAATCTCATCTCAGTTGTTTCATTTTAAATTAAGACTTATAAGTAAAACATGCACAGAATATTCCCGTGTGAAGTGCTTTTGCATCTTTCATGACAATCCATTCCATTCTATTGCCTCTTATGCAAAAGGCAGCTAATATTCCACAGCCACTGTGCATGCTCGGAGTTTGTTGCTTCTGAGCAGAGGATGGTGACTGCCCCCTTAGGGCTTTTTCTGTAAAGGGGGGCGGTATTTGGTACCTCTGCTACCTTTGAGGTTTCCCCGAGGCTGTGAAGACCTTCCTCTGTGTGGATGGTGTACTCAGAGTACAGTGTTAGAGCCATGATTGTGTTTCAATTAACTCTTTTCATAAAACCCATAACACTTTGGATTATTTCTGCTGCTAGGAATTGTTGATGACTTGACAGCTGCTGGCGTTAGATGTTTTGGTCCTACTGCAAAGGCAGCTCAACTAGAGTCCAGCAAGAGCTTTTCCAAAGCCTTTTTGGATCGTCATGACATTCCAACTGCAAGATGGAAAGCTTTCACTAATGCAAAAGAAGCCTGTGCCTTTATTACCAGGTACAGCATCTTTCAGCACGGGGAGAATACTTTGTCTATTTTTGTTGCATCTTCCCTGCTTTTGAGAATGTGTATAGAGCTTGATATCTGAATGAAATTCCTCCTACTTACTTACTTACTTACTTACTTGCTTTCCTCTCTCTCTCCCCTCCCCCCATTAAGTGCGGCTTTCCCTGCCCTAGTTGTAAAGGCAAGTGGTCTGGCAGCCGGGAAAGGTGTGATTGTGGCCTCTAATAAAGAAGATGCGTGCAAAGCTGTCCATGAAATAATGCAAGTAAGTTGGGAATGTATTAATAAAAACAATTTTATCATTAAGATTACACCTAAAATTGTTTTCTGGGAGCCTAGTATTGGGCCAAACCAGGACTGAGGCTGCACTCCTCAATGCACTTAGTGGAGAGTAAATTTCACTGAATGCACTGGACTTGCTTCTGAGACATGTTTAGAATTGCAGTGCCACGTAGACTGCAACCTATGTATGCTTACCTATGAGTAAGCCCCAACAAATGCAGAGAGACTTACTATTGAATAAGCATTAACTGTGCTATTAAGGATGTGTAGCACTATCATTTAAGGCAAGGTTAAGGAGTCTGTGAGCTCCAGTTGTTGCTGGATTACAACTCCCATCATCCCTGACCATTGGCCGTGATTACAGAGGCTGATGGGAGTTGGAGTCCAACAGCATGTGTAGGGCCACAAGTTCTCTATCCATGGTTTAAGGGGGTGTTTATTCTGTTGCTTTTATCTGAGCGAGTTCTTCCATGGAACTTGAAATGTATGATATCTTAAAATAGAAACAGTTTGAGAAGGAAAGAAAACAGTCTCTGCTATATTGCTGGGTTTCTGAAGAAGATTGAGAACACGTTTCAAAGCATTTGTTCTTCTCTGCTGGATCAGGCAGATTCTATTTGTTAGAATACTATTACAAATGAAAGTCTGTGTTCAGATGTGTATGTATACTTTTCATGCAGGATAAAACCTTTGGAACAGCTGGAGAAACAGTTGTTATTGAGGAGCTTCTTGATGGAGAAGAGGTTTCTGTAAGTATATCCTATAATGTCTGGCAGCCTTTCTGACACAACTTTTCTTCCATTCACTGAAATTCCTTCCCATTCATGGAGCAGCTCTGATGGATCCCACCTGATGTCCATCATGCAACTCATAAAGCAAGTCCAGTTGGTTAATCACTTTTATCACTTACAGTTTTCAGCAAATGTTCTTAACTTTGGCCAGGTAATGCCCGTTCTGTATATTAAGTACAAGTCCTGACTACTTAAGGACTTAAAAGCTACTCACTGAGATAGACTGAGTGGTACTGTTTTGAGCTCTCCCTATGTGAGTTGCCAAAACAAAAAATATTCTATTTATGTAATCAAAATACCGCATTGCTGAGTGGAACTTGGCCTTGCAATGTTACAGTTGTTCCATCAGTGCAAGCATTTCTGCTTTCCATACAGAACAATCTCCCCTCTCCTCCCAACATGTACTGTAGTGACTACTCAGAGCTGATTTGGGAGGGCATGTGGGGAGAAGAAGAGGTTGGAAGAACCCAGTTACACTAGTGGGACTCATCCCGTATTAGCATTTACTAGTGAAACTGTTCAGTTGAATCTGTCTCCATGCTTTCAAATTGGCTTCCTTTTGAGTGATCCTAAATATTGATCCCTGGCTCTTGCTAAATATTATTGATCAGTCATAAGAGTAAGAACTCCATTTCAAATCAAATATGGAATTTTCGGGGGGGAGGGGGAAACCTGTGCCAGAAAAAAACCCCAGCAACAACAGCAGCAGCAGCATATTAATAGTCCAAAACACCCACTCCTGGGGCCACCCATAAAGCATGGAATGTATATTTAATTGTTAGAAAGGAATTTAATACTTCTGTTTTCCAGAAATGGTGGGTGCCATCCCGCTAGATCATATTAGAGCACACCCACTGAAATCAAATGACTTCAGTTCACTGATTTCAAGGGGTCTGCTCCAAGTATGACTATTGTTGGATTTCACCAAGCACCTTCAGAAAAATATTATGAATTATATCAACATTTACATAATTTGCCTGGCTCCTAATTTGTATAAGAGATCTCCATTTTCAAATATTGCATGTGTTTAAACGAATGCAAATGAACTTAAAGTATTGTACCATTGTATATTGTTTAGAGAAATGCCAACTGAGTAAAAGTAAAATACCTTGGACTAAATTTAAAAAATTGTCCAGTAGCACCTTAGAGACCAACTAAGTTTGTTATGGGTATAAGCTTTTGTGTGCATGCACACTTCTTCAGATACCTGCACACGAAAGCTTATACCCAGAACAAACTTAGTTGGTCTCTAAGGTGATACTGAACAATTTTTCAATTTTTCAATTTATTTCGACTGCGTCAGACCAACATGGCTACCTACCTATACCTTGGACTGTCTCCCATCATTAGGAGGGCACTACTCGTAATTAGCAACTTATTAATCATCTTTGTAAACCTGGACACTGAATTAATTTCTATTATTACCTGGCATAGTTATAAACCATCCATGGTTTACCTTGTTTTTCTTACAGTGTTTATGCTTTACGGATGGCGTCACTGTTGCCCCGATGCCACCTGCCCAGGATCACAAACGCTTAATGGATGGAGATCAGGGCCCAAACACAGGCGGCATGGGTGCCTATTCCCCAGCACCTCAGGTAAAACTCATGTTTACAGTGCTTCTTACTGTAAGAGCTTATTACAGTAAAGAGCACCTGTCATCAGAGATGAGTAATAGGAAAAACAGATTCTTGACACCAGGAGCAAAAAAAAAGCATGACACAATAGATTCTTGTTGCTAGAATTGGTTAAATTCTCTACATTCTTAAAAGCTCTACTTTTGTCACATTTTATTAGCTGTCCAAGGAACTTCTTCTGAAAATCAGAAATTCTGTTCTCCAGAAAACAGTTGATGGTATGAGAAAAGAGGGTATTCCTTACATTGGTAAGTGGGAGTATCATTGTATGAGTGATATCCATCATTAGCCACATGCAAAGTAGACCCATTGAAGTCAATTGATTTCAATAGTTCTACTTTGAGCATCTGCTATATGAGTTACAGCAGTGTTTTGTTTTTTAAATGACAGCAGTCCAAAAATGCAACTAATTGTGGACAACTGCGGTGAATGCAAACAATTGCTGACAAAGCTCCACATACTTCGCTAGATGGTGGAAATAATAGTCATAATCTTAAAATAATGCAACATTCTTTTAAAATGTACTGGTTGTGTTTGTCCTCAATATCTTGTGCCTTTTTCCTTTAGGTGTCCTGTATGCTGGATTAATGCTAACCAAAGATGGACCTAAAGTCTTAGAGTTCAATTGTAGATTTGGTGACCCGGAATGTCAGGTGAGTGACACTGTATATCTTGGGCTGCAGTACATCCAGTTGCCTTGGAGAAAGCCCCATTCAACTCAATGGGATTTAATTTTGAGCAGATATGTGTTAGATTGCGCTTTAACCTTTTTTCTTTCCCAAACCCCTCTATGGATTGGATCACGCTGGACTAATTCAGTTATCCCTCAGAATGCATTGGCAGATCAAACTTTTATTTAAAAATATATATTATTATTTTATTATTATATATTAAAACACTTCTGCAAAGTAATGTTACTATGCACTCTTACAATATTGGAAGAGTGGAAGTAATTGAGATGCTGTGGGAGACCTATTTGTATGATAGCACCTAGAAAGCTCATTGTTCTTTTTTTCTTGTTAAGTTCCAGCAACCAGAATTTTAATTGATTTACTTAATAAAATTCCTGCAGTTGTGCAATAGCAAAAGTCCTGCCATTTTTGTATTTTTTGCATCAAAGATGTATTTGAATGATGAGTCACTATTTGTGCACTTGAACTGAACCCCTCCCTTCTTTGTGGGATGGGCCAAGGCTCCACCAGTCTTGCTAAGTGCACTGTCAGCAAATCTCATTCTCACAGCCATCAATCCTGCCATACACTTCCGTTGCCTCTGGGTTAGTGACTGGAGGGGGGCAACTGGTATTCCTAGGGAAGCAGATTTGACAGGTAGATGAGAGAAAGCTGCACTGCACTGCAATTTAAGCAAAAAATGTGCCAGTACAAGTAGCACATCATGTCGTGGTACCATGGCTCTAAACGTTTCTTCTGAATGATTGTATAAGCATTGGTTTAAATGTAATGTGTGATCATATTGTGAGCATCGATCAAGCAGGTTTATTTGCAATATCATTTAATAATCACATATTTACTTACCCTTTGTTTCTGGTTTGAGGATTCTTGTTTTTTTTTTTACATCTTTAATAAATAAAATTATACACACACACACACACACACACACACACACACATATATATATATATATATATATATATATATATATAAATATATAAAATAGCCACAATGGTAAAGTACCACAGTCTAATTCTGTGATCTTCATTACTTTACTATACTGCACTGCAAGGTATATTTAATATATTGTTAAAGTTCAGTATACTTGTGTGTCTACACCAACTCATTCTACATGTTTTAATAAAATATGTTTCCTAATCAATGTGCTTGGGGTGGCATACATTATATAATATACATTGAAATGCTTCTTTAACTTTCTTGTCATTTCCATGGTATTTCACTGGGAGTTAATTCTCTAGTTTTCTTATTTTTTTTAAAGTAACCCCAGAAAGATGTGCCTAACTCTGGTCTATATTTGTGTAGGTAATTCTCCCGCTACTTAAGAGTGACCTTTATGAGGTTATACAAGCAACGATGGATCAAAAATTATCTCGCCACATGCCTGTATGGTTAGAAGACTGGGCAGCTGTGACTGTAGTCATGGCTAGTGAAGGCTATCCAGGAAGCTATCCTAAGGGTTTGGAAATAACAGGTAGGAAACTGACGCCCAGGTTCTAAACCTGTAGAACATTATATCCTTCCACTTTCATGTGACAGACAAGAGACTATGTGAGTCTCTTGCAGGCTGGCTATCTCAAATAACGAATGCTTTGGTTTGAACCAGTTGAGTGTCTGCCTTTGATTCCTAAAGCGATAGTTTCCACTTTGTCTCATAATACAAAGAGCAACTTTAATTTCTGCAAGAAAAGACTGGTTACAGTATAGCCAGACACTGGTTGTATATTTAGGTAATAGATAACTCCTTTTACTTAAGTGAGTAGTGAATCCCTTTGATTTCATTGGGCTTTATTTCCTAGTCAAAGTGCTTGGGACTGCAGCATTAGAGAGCAATCCTATACATGTCTACTCTGAAGTAAGCCCCACCGAGGTCAAAGAGGTTTACCCCAGGGTGTTGGGCTGCAGCCTTTGAGACCTCGCACTCCCACTTTCAATCATCATATCTACAGGCTGCCAAAAGAAGAGAAGCTTCTCAGTAACTCGGCCCCCCTCAGAGCAGTTGCTTTAGGGCCCTTTCTGTTTGGTATCCCTTTGCAAAACATGTGGCCATCTTGGTAACTTACATGGATGTCTTGGTGGCCATAGCCACCTTAGGGAATGACACCTTATCAGAAGGCGAGAAGGAACAGCAACAACTGTAAAATACAGGCAGTCTGGCCACCTGGAGATATGTTTTTGCCCAGCCCTGCAGTAAACCATATGTCTCAAAGAAGATAAGGTGGAAGGGAGTGAGGAGGTCTTTGGGTGGGTGGGTGCTTTTGTCTCTGTCCTCTTTGCGTGTGCGTGTGTGAATGCCAGCAAGTAAACTGAAGCCTTTGTTCACCCTACATTATCAAGAGAAAGCAATGCATTTTACATGTTTTTATTTTACCATAAATATTTTCAATGGCTTTTTATTTTATTTTTAATTGTTTTAGCACTGATAGATTTCCTGGCACTCAAGTCACAGAACGGTGTCAAATGTCGGGATGTAATTTCATAGAACAGGGATACCTAACTTATGATTCTCTAGATGTCATTGGACTCCAGCCAACATAGCTAATAGTATCACCATCAACATCTTAATAGATATTCTGCCCTTCCTCCTGAAGGAGCCCAGGGATATCAGGAATGAAAAAGACATATTTTAAAGTATTCTCAAAACAGTTTCAAAACATTCTCTCAGCCAGTGATTTCAGGGTTGTCGGGAACAGTATCTTTCAGCCATATTTTTAAATTCTTCCTGAAGGTCTCAGCGAAGGAGGCAGACACAAAAGGGGATGATGTTAGGATAGATGCCATGTGTGAACCAGCAACGTTGCGACAACCACATATAAGCCACTCCTGCCGTAGAGGTTTCAGACAGATCAGTTATGGCCCACACGTGTCCTTTTTAATCAACTTTTTATTTATTAATGGGTTGAGTTCACTGCCATTTTTATTTGATTAGGCATATTTATAATTGCTTGTGCACTCAATAGACGTATGGCAAAAGATTTCAGGAAACTTTAAAAAATAAATAAATTCTCACCTTATAGGATTTCCTCGGGCGAAAGAGCTGGGTTTGCAGGTGTTCCACGCAGGCACAGCCATGAAAGATGGCAAAGTGGTGACCAATGGCGGCCGAGTCCTCACTGTGACAGCTATCAAGAAGGACCTTGTCACCGCACTGGAAGAAGCCAACAAAGGAGTAGGAGTCATCCAGTTCAAAGGGGCCATTTATAGAAAGGATATTGGTTATCGGGCTATAGCTTTCCTTAAAGAATCCAGGTACCTATCTGAGGCCAAATCAGAAGGTGATAGTAAGAATATGTGTTAAACATAAGACATAATTCATGAAAATCACTACATAATCATTCCATGTTTCAGTAAAATTTTGTATCAATATACAATATCCTCATATAACTATTCTTAATGGATATCCTTGTGTATTATCTCAAAAACAACTAGGATTAATTAATGGGTAATGAATAAATATTTCTTTTACTGAAGACTTAAAACACTATTGATCAAAACATAAGATAGCTTACACCTACTTTTTCCATGGCTACTAATGCAACAGTCTTGACACAATATTAACCAGTTTATCTGTCCTGTTTTTGAGAAGATTAGGACTCTCAAAGAGAGACCTTTTTTTTTGTTTCCTCTTGGAACTACATTGCCCGGAATTCTTTGTAAGGTTGTGTAGATTTGTTGTTAACAAGTGAAAAACTAGTGGGTGGGAAGAATGAAACAGCAACGTGCACCTACATGAAGTTGGTACTCCCAAAATTCTTAAGAGTGACTCTCTTCATATTACTATGAATTAATCCATTTTTGAGGGAAATAAAAGTTGAGGATGCAAGAGGCTGGTACACTTAGGCTTTAGAGCAAGGATAGGAATCTGACCACCACCACCACCCCAATACTATTGGACTACAACATCCATCACCCCCAGCCCTGTCCTAGCGTGTGAAAATCTTCTGACACATCCATTTGGAGGCTACTCTTGTAAAGATCAAGCCAAGATATTTTTACCAGTATAACTGCATCAATTGCCATCTTGCACTAATGCAGCTGCACTGGTAGAATTAATCCAACCTTTAACCTAAATGTTTTTGTCAGTGCCACAAAATATAAACTATTGAAGAAGTACTACCTTTTTATAAAATAGCCTTCTACTATGAATGAAATACACTGTTAGTATAAAGCTTGAAAGCATATGGCATCAGGTGTTAGTATACTGTAATAATAGTCTTTTTGTGTATGCAATAAAGTTTCTAAGAATGGTGCAGTATCTAGCTTTATTTTTATGGAATGTGTAGTATTTGATTAGAAGTGGTAAATGATATGAATCTGTGTAGTGTGCTCTATCCATTGAGTTGAATTCCGCCCCCTGCCCCCCAAAGCAGACAAGGCAATATTTGGCCAGATGTAAGAGGACTCATTCATGCACATTCTAAGCCTAAACAGCAATAGTGAATTTGAGTTGATAGCCAGCACATCTGAGTTTATGCCTAGAGAGTAAATGGTGAGCTCAAAATACATTTGGGCTTAGCTGATGACAATGATGTGTAGCTTTAAAAATATTACAAGTTATGTATACAAGATATATTTTACAGGGCATGTTCCTGTTTTACTTCTGATAAGCCTGAAAACCCCTGAAAAATATATTGTTGTTGACAAAAGTCAGCATGATCCATTTAACAGATACTGGACTTGGACCCGGGAGTCTTGGGCTTACATGTCAACTAAGACTGCAATCCTAACTCCCACTTACCTGGCAGTAATTCAGTAGGGCTTACTTCAGAGTAGACCTATTCCTTCAATAGCATGCAGCTGCTGTGATACACATCTGGGAATGTGAAAAGTGTGGAGCAGGGATAGGCAGGGAACTAGTCCCAGCTGAGGGACCACTCATTCCAAGAGCACAGGGATCGTAAGGACTGCCACAGAGCTACTGACCTTTGAAATCAGGCCTTTTGGAGCAAACACTCTCACTCATACTTCTTAAAGGCACAGGAAAAGTTCCCAGCGAATTCTTACACCTCTATACTGGCACTGGAAAATACTGCTATAGATGGATTGTATGTATGAATCAATTGACTATTGGCTATTCTGCCCTTTTAGGGGCCTGACTTACAAAGACAGTGGTGTAGATATTGCAGCTGGTAACACGTTGGTTCAGAACATTAAACCTTTAGCAGCGGCCACATCTAGGCCAGGTAAGATAAAATCTGTACATTCTAATTAAAACATTTCTGGATTAAGTTCATGAAAAATTGAGTTCTTTATACCCATACCCCTTACTATTTTGTAAAAATATATATGAAACTCTTGTATTTTACGTTTTGCACTAAGAATTCCAGATGAGGCATGCAGTTTAGCCATCATGCAGAGATTTCAGAATACTGGAATTGTGCTGTAGTTAGGACCTGCAGAATATATTTAAGGAAAATCATTCCATTTAAGATATAGATATGGATAGAGACGCTTTAACTGACTGCAGCGTCAGGATCCCACCCACCCCTCACCTAATTTTTTTTGTAAAGCAGAGGTTAACAGAGCAAGGTGAACTTTTTTCTCAGTTGAATACAGTGGGACTTGATTCTGAGTAAAAATGCACTGGATTACATTGTGGAGCAAGTTAAATGTAGGAGAAAGGAGAGCAGGAGGGAGAGGCTCATCCCTCACCTTTGCTCTTAATTCCAATTGATTGGCTGCAGAATAATCTAGGCAACAGGGAGATCCATGGTGGGAAGATCTTTTGTCCCCTTTCCCTGCCCAGTTCGCTCTGCAGTGCTGCTTCCAGATCTGAAGAAGGGCAAAACCAATCAGGGATGTGGTTTGACAAATAATTCTATAGCCGCCTCTAAATCACCTCCACCATGTGAACAAGACCTTGGTGAATGAGTCCTTTTCTTCCTGCTTGGTAGGCTGCAATGCTGACCTAGGAGGGTTTGCTGGCCTCTTTGACTTGAAAGCAGCTGGATATAAAGATCCAATTTTGGTATCTGGAACTGATGGTGTCGGAACAAAGCTCAAGGTAATGGGAAGGTTGTGTGGACTGGGCAGGTTTAATGGATTTTTGAAGGTTTTAGGCTGACAACAGGATTTTTACTTAGTAACTGAGTGTTTACCACGCAAAGGGATCATAGTTTGGCAGCAGAGCATGCAAAAGGTCCCTGATTCAGTCCTTGGCATCTACAATACCCTCTTTCCTTCCGCCCCGCCCCCCCAGTGAATAACTTTATTTGCATCACATTCAGATATGTGTCTGAAATGGATGCCAGTCCTTCACAGGAGAGCAAATGGAAGGGCATAGTTTCTGAGGCCTGGCAACCAACAAATTTTCCAGTATACTTTTGAAAAAATGTCCAAGAGCACAATATAGCGTCAATGTCCCTTTCCCAAGCCTGGCTGATATAAATAGGAGTTGCATAAAAGTATCTTGGAGTCTCCTCTGATTATAGTCACCTATGTACCTTCCATGGCAGTCAAAAATGAAATCACAGTTATGTTCAGTACCAGTGGCTGGGAATCAGAAGTGGTGAGAGTGCTATTGCATATAAGCATCTGGTTGGTCACCACGAGAACAAGGAGGCTGGACTAGATGGGCCTGTGGCCTGATCCAGGAGGGTTGTTCTGATGTTCCCAAGTCTCGCCAAGCTTGGGTGTGATTTGTCTCCCAATTCTCATTACAGATTGCCCAGCTATGCAATAAGCACGACACCATTGGTCAAGACTTGGTTGCCATGTGTGTCAATGATATCCTAGCTCAGGGAGCTGAGCCCCTCTTTTTCCTGGACTATTTTGCCTGTGGGAAACTTGATGTCGGGACGGCTCAGGCAGTCATCGCTGGAATAGCTGAAGCTTGTAAACTGGCAGGATGTGCGCTCCTCGGTAGGAATGATCACTCATTCCTTGTGTGTGATTAGAAAATTCTCGGGTTCCTGCATTTAATTGAAAGCAAACCTTACTGTTGCAGAAGGTTGATTCATATACTGTGTCCGGCTGCTATGGATCCAAGAATCAGTTTACACATTCAGTTTGCAGTGGGTCATCACAGTGTGCCCTGTTTTGTGAGTGGGGGGAATTTAAAAGGGGAATCTTCTGAAGAGGTGAAGTGTAGAAGGCAGGGGCAGGCCTTGGTAATATGGCGCCTTGTGCCAGGCCAAAATTCATGCTCCTCCCCAGCCCTTGCGCTGCCTTCCCAAAACCAGCTAAGCAAGGGGCCATACTTTGGGAAGGTGGTACAAGACTCTCTCAGGGTTGTAGAGCCCTCCTGTGTCCTTCACAAAGCTGGGCAAGTGCTATCCAGGCTTTGGGAAGGAGGTAGGAAGGTGCCCCCTTTCAGCTCAGTGCCCTGTGCAGGGAAACCAGTCACACTGCCCTAAATCTGCCTCTAAAGAAGGCTGGATTCAGTCCCAGTCCTTTCCCTCTAACATGCTAGTTTTCTGTGTGCAGGAAGCGTTTATATAATGGGTGAGGTTTTAAACACATGATCTGTCAGCCCCACCACCAGCCCCAATCAGCAGTCTGAAGTGGCACAACAGCAAGAACTGTCTTGTGTGATTCTCCTGGTTGTGTAACTTGGTACAGACATTTTGGCACCTGAGTCTAATGGAAAAATGGCAACCCCCGTCCCCACCAGGGAAGAAGGGGTGGGTGAAGATCTACATCAGGAACAACAGGGAAAATAAAGATCTATATCTGCTACCCCTGTGGATCCTGCTGCCTGAGACAGTCACCTCTCCTTGTGTCATGAGTGGGCTCACCGTGACTTTGTACTTAGGCAAACTCTCATAACGACCTTTTCCTAGATTATTTACTTATCAGAACTGCTGTTTTGCTTGTTCTGGCTGTTCCATTTTGAAATCCTTTGTTCTTTACTTAATCGTGTAACACACACATACCTCACACATGTTGTTGACTGATTTCTCCATTTTAAAATGGGCAGAATTTGAGAAACTGAATCATTTTTCATGGCATGATCCACAACATGGGAAGGGAACATGCTCAGTGGCAGAATATCGGCCTTGCACACAGAAGGTCCCAAATTTAGTCCAATGGCATCTCCAGATGGAGCTGGGAAGGACTCCTGTTGAGAACCTTGCCATGTTGCTAGCAGTCAGTGTGGGCAGTATCGAGCAGGATAGATCTGTGGCAGGATTCTGTTTAAGGCAGTTTCCTGTTTTTCTGTGTGCTATTCCTTAAGAGTGCCAAAAGCACCTATGATTTTGTTGTTCTTGTTTTTCATTTCTTCCTTTAGATGTACAACTTTGAAAATTCAATAAAATGTAATCAACAAGCAAAAAACCACAAAAACCCCATCTTAAGACAGGCTGTGCTTGCTATACTTCCGTGTATATAAGAATCTGGGAAGTAGAGTTCCTATAATGGTCACCAGTGATTTTGCTTTAACACTCACAGTCCCTTTCTCTGTCTTCTGTTGCCACCTCAGGAGGAGAAACGGCTGAAATGCCTGGCATGTATCCACCGGGAGAGTATGACCTGGGGGGCTTTGCCGTTGGCGCTGTGGAACGAAGCCAGATGCTTCCCAAGCTAGACAGAATTGTCGAGGGAGATGTGGTTATTGGAATAGCTTCCTCTGGTGTTCACAGCAACGGGTTTAGCCTTGTGAGAAAGATTGTCGAAAAATCCTCTTTAGATTTTTCCTCTCCTGCAGTGGGCCGCTCTGGTAACCAGACATTAGGTAAGTTCAGTAATTGCAGCATTTTCCTCTTCTGTCTATGTCGCGGGGAACAACCTTTGGTCAATTTTCAGTTATTAGGACATTTGGGGTCTTTTTATCAAAGGGCGGGAGACTCAGACCCTGGGGCCAAATGTGGTTTTCCAGGCTTTTCGCTTCTCTTTTTGGCCCTTGGAACTCTCTCCAGACCGCCCCCCTCACAGACCTAGCCCCTCCCTGAGTGTTTTAATTTCTTTAATTTCTTTCCTATGCTTTTGGAATGTGACCTCGAGCTGTGATAGTGACTCCAACTTGCTTGGATGTGGGGAGGTGCATTGAAGCCTCTCAATTTCGCATGGCTTGGCTGTAACTAACTGTTTTAAGGCGAAAGAGTCACACTTGATGCTCCATCTGCTTCTTTGCCTTTGGCCACATCGGCCACTGGAATAGATGGCCCCCAGATCATTGCCCATGAGGGAATGTGGCCCTCACGTTGGAAAAGGCTCCTGACCCTGCTTTCTATCAAAGGGCAACTAGTGAGGAAAAATGAGTACGTGCAACTGTTGGAATACTTTTACCTCCTTCCATTTTTGTGCGTACTTGTGTGACATTTGCACTTCGTTAGCCGCCTTCCAATGCTAATCCTATGTCCCTGCCTCCAACATCCATGGATTAGGCATAAACATCTTCAGAGGGAATGCCTATGTGCATAGGTATCCTATGTAAAACTGGTTTGGGCTTGCTTACAATCAAGCAGTGTGTACATGTTATGAAATACAGTGGTACCTCTGGTTAAGTACTTAATTTGTTCTGGAGATCCGTACTTAACCTGAAACTGTTCTTAACCTGAAGCACCACTTTAGCTAATAGTGCCTCCTGCTGCTGCTGTGCTGCCGGAGCACAATTTCTGTTCTCATTCTGAAGCAAAGTTCTTAACCTGAAGCACTATTTCTGGGTTAGTGGAGTCTGTAACTTGAAGCGTATGTAGCCTGAAGAGTATGTAACCCGAGGAACCACTGTAAATAGAAATAATAAAATGTAAGCTAGAGTGCCAGTCATGCAGAGTTCCAGCTCCTGTGGAAGTCTATGCATGTAGAGGTCTATGCGTGTAGGCTTTCTCCCCTCCCCCCAGCCCTTATAGACACCCCCACGTTGAACGTGGATCCCAGGTGCAGGACTGCAGAAGCCATACAATGCAATTAATATGGAGCCCCTTTCATGCAGTAAACACATAAGGAAGGGCCACAGCAATATCTTCGTAAGGTCTCCTTGATGCATTTCATCCTGTGTGTGCTTTTGTGCTTTATCATGCTTTTGCATAATAACCTGCTAATGACTTACGTTCACAGGAGAGCAACTGCTTACGCCCACTAAAATCTATAGCAAGATTCTCCTGCCGGTTCTTCGTTCAGGCTACGTGAAGGCCTACGCCCACATCACTGGAGGAGGGCTGCTGGAGAACATTCCACGTGTCCTCCCAGCATCCTTTGGGGTAGTTCTAGGTAAGAACGTCTTGGTCATGGGGAATACCTAGGCAAAACTTGCAAGCTTGATATAATATTTCTTAATTTTTATCAATGCCATTTTCCTTTCTTTAACTCGGTTTCTCCCTTCTCCTCCTGCCCCCATTTATTGAAATCCACATTTTATCTCAAAATTGACTGATTGAAGATATTTTAAGGATGGATTTTCATATTCACTAATAAAGAGTAGAATGAAATTTAGACATTCCCTTTCATCCCAGTTTTATATGGCTTTCTGTGGGTACTCAGTCTATGTTTACACCATACATTTAAACCACTATGTTGCCACTTCAAACAGTCCTGGTTTCCCCCAAATAATTTTGGAAGCTATACAGTAGTTTGTTAAGGGTGTGGGAGTTGTTAGGAAGTACCTATTCCCCTCACAGCCCTACGATTCCCAGAGTTTCCTGTGTAAAACAATTGTTAAACTACTATGGGAACCATAGCTCTGTGAGGGGAATAGGTGTCTCCTAACTCTCAGCACTCTTAACAAACTACAGCTCCCAGAATTCTTTGTGGGAGGCAAGGCCTGTTTAAAGTGGTATTATTATGCCTTAAATGTATGGTGTGAATGTGGCCTTAGTTGATTTGAAAAGATTTTGGATCAATTGAAAAAGATAATAATTTTTAAAATAGGTGGTTAGATTGGTTAAATACATTTCCTTCAATTGCCAGTGATAACCATTGGATCTTCTGCTATTACTGGGCTTATCACTGTTATGTTTATTAAGTTCAATCAGAATTGTCGGCTTAATTTCTCTGTAATGCTTGTTGACTGATTTTAAAAAAAGTGTGTTACAATACAACTCTGGTTATTTTCAGATGCCGTAAGCTGGAAGATACCCAACATCTTTTCTTGGCTTCAGAAAGAGGGAAATCTGTCGGAGGAAGAAATGGCTCGAACATTTAATTGTGGGATTGGTTCAGTCCTGGTTGTGCAGAAGGAGCTGGCTGGGCAGGTCCTGAAGGACATCCAGAGGCATGAAGAGGCCTGGCTGATTGGAAAAGTTGTACGCTGTCACTCAGGTCACTATGCATCTATCTGGGGACGACTTGTGAGGGTGATTATTTTTAATGGGGTGATGGTGCTGCAGCAGTCCTGAATTAGGAGTGCATCTGTTTTGCATGCAGAAGGTACCAGGTTCATCCCCTGCCATCTCCAGGGGAATGTCCCCAGTCTGAAACCCCGGAGAGCTGCTGCCAGTCAGTGTAGACAATACTGAGCTAGATGGACCAAATGGTCTGACCCAGTAGAAGGCAGCTCCCTTTGTTTCTAATTTTTTAGTTCTATTTATTTACAGCTAATGTTTCTTTTTTTAATTGAAGGGTCTGCCCACGTTGAAGTCAATAACTTGCTTCAAGCCTTACAGTCAAATAGGATAGAGTCCTTCCACAGCCAACGAAGCAAAACCCAACCAAGCAAAACAAGGGTCGGCGTCCTCATCTCTGGAACAGGTGAGACTCCTACATTCTCCATTGTGAGAAACGAATGCCATCTTTGAGGCCATAGGTTGGGGTATTCTGGAAGACTGATTTGAAGTAGCTTAGTCAGACCATACCATAAACAGCTTTGGTCCTGCACACCTGAAGGAGTGTCTCTACCCCATCATTCAGGCTGGACACTGAGATCCAGCTCTGAGGGCCTTCTGGCGGTTCGTGAGGTTACAGGGAACCAGGCAGAGGGCCTTCTCAGTAGTGGCACCAGCCCTGTAGAATGCCCTCCCATCAGATGTAAAAGAGATAAACAACTATATGACTTTTAGAAGACATCTGAAGGAAGCCCTGTATAGGGAAGTTTGTAATATCTGATGCCTTACTGTGTTTTAATTTGTTGGAAGCTGTCCAGAGTGGCTGGGTTAAACCGGGTCAGGATTTTATGGGGTAGATGTTGCTTTCAAAAACTCTTCTAATTTGAAAGAAATCCAGCCGAATACCGGAGGTTTAAATGGCAGGATTTCTGCAGCTTTTTTCTTTTTTTTAAATATGCACTATGGAACAGAAATGAAAAGAACCATGAAAGAAAATGCACTTGTTCAGAGTTTGAGTGGCATACAGTTGGAATAGGAAGAACCCCTTGAAATCACACAGGTTTCTTTGGATGTACTTATAATGAAAAACTCATGCCTCAAGAAAAAAAATACTTAGCATTTAAATGTGTGGAATGTGCTGCAAAAGTGTATTGTGCCATCCAACCTGGTGATAGTTCTATACTTACTGAATCAAGTTGCTATTTTGCTGCTTTTAAAAATGTTTTCAGAATATTTGAGTCCATCTTAAATATATTTTCACTTGATTGTCTTGGATCTTTCAGGTACAAATCTGGAAGCTTTAATAACCAGTACAAAGAAGCCAACTAGCTATGCACAAATAGTCCTTGTCATTTCTAACAAAGCTGGTGTAGAAGGGCTAAGAAAAGCTGAAAGAGCTGGCATTCCTACAAAAGTAAGTAAATGGTCAACAGTTTGGCATGTGTAACTTAGCGGTTAGGTGTCTGTGTCTGGCTGTTCAAGATGTTCAGTGTTTCTGAAATATTCAGCATTAATGATTGGGGGGGGGGGGTAAATAAATGTATCCCATAATCTCACAATGTTTTACCCTTTCTTAGGTAATTGACCACAAGCTGTACAGCAGTCGCACAGAGTTTGACAGCGCAGTTGATAAAGTCCTTGAAGAGTTCTCAGTTGAGCTGGTCTGCCTTGCAGGATTTATGCGGATCTTATCTGGTCCTTTTGTCAGAAAGTGGAATGGTAAATGCATCTGGGTATACTGCACTTGGAACTGGAAATGCCCATGCCGTTAAATGTTGTGTATTGTATGTGAACCAGTTAGACAACAGTTTCATTTTCAATTAGGAGATTTTGCTAATTTCCTAGTTTAAATACAGCACAGTGTTTCCCACAGATTTAGAGGGATATCTCTACATTTTAAAAATAACCATTATTGATGTGAAAAAGGGACACTGATATTCTCCATGTTACTAGTGAACCAGCTGTATCATAGCTGTCCCATTATTTCTGATTCCAAAATGCAGCTGGTTTCAGATTCTGGGTTGGTGGCTGCGGTTTGTCTGATAATGTTGATTCAGACATTATAGTTTCTAGTCTATATCTAATTGTCACCAGTTCATTCAAGCAGAAAAAACCTGCTTCGTTTTACATATTTTGTTTCAATTAGTACATCAATAATTTCTTGTTTAAGCATTGTAATGCTAGGAGAACTAAAAAAAATGAATTTTGTTTTTTACTTCTAGGAAAAATATTGAATATTCACCCATCTTTGCTGCCTTCATTTAAAGGAGCAAATGCCCATAGACTGGTACTGGAGGCTGGAGTCAGAGTCACTGGTTGTACTGTGCACTTCGTTGCTGTATGTTCTCCTTTTTTGCTACTCTGTTAATAATAATCTTAGTTTGAATTGATTGTCAGATCGCTTCTCAGCCAACAATGAATGCAGAGGGATTAATTTACACAGACTGTGAAAGGGTTGGCCAGTGATCTGAGCACAAAATGTACTAATTAGACAGTTGCTGCACCTCCTGCCCACTTCAGCATAGCCTGAAATCTATTACAGCTCAGTAATTGGGGAATCTTTTTGAATCCAGCCTAGCCTGACTTCTGCCAGCTGCAGACCAGGTCAAGGTTAACTTAAGGAATCTATGCAGCTGGTGAGCAGTCATTGGACTGCTTCATTTACTTCACAATTTAGAAATAATTTATTATTGTGAACTGTAATACTATTTTACCTGGTTTTCATAGTGGTGTGGGTTTTACAGTTTTCTCTTGAATTCTCTTCTACAGCTAACTAGACCAGACAGGAGTCAGACTAAATATTTGTGGTACAGAATTAGCCAATTTCAAGATAGTTTGTAGTGTTGAAGATAATTTCTTAAAGTGGAAGGAGTCCCATGAGAGGTCATGAAAGCAAACCAAGGCCATGTTCTAGAGCTCATAATTTCGTCTATCTCTCCATCTTGTCAACGTTTCTGACCTTCCTTTCTAGGAAGAAGTTGATGCTGGAGCAATCATTTTTCAAGAGCCAGTCCCCGTGAAGATTGGAGACACAGAGGAGACTTTATGTGAAAGGGTGAAGGAGGCAGAGCACAGAGCCTTCCCTGCTGCTATGCAGCTAGTGGCAAGCGGAGAAGTACAGCTAGGAGGAGATGGGAAGTTACGCTGGAATTCGGGAAAGCACAACTGAAATGCAGAGGACAAGAAAACAGCAGCAACCACGATGCATAATTTTTGCTTTAATTCTGTAGCATAGGGCAGCAAGATGAGAAAGCCAAACAGAGCCAAATTGGGAAGGGGATGAATTTGCCATCTCAAATATTCAAATACTTTTGCCATAATACAGGTTCTTAAAATGGACCTCTGCAGACACAGGTCCTCATGGTAAGCCATACGTATGATTAACACCAGGGTCACCCAAAGCATCGTGAAAGGTGTACTGAAATATCCAAAGCCCTTGTGGGCAACCATTTCACTCAAACAGATTGCCACCTAGTAAACACTAGTACACACTATGCCATGCCTGTATCAAGGGGCCAGCTACATGGCAGTGCCCTTATCTAAATCAGGCATTGCCTTCACAAACAGACGGTGCCTACTCCCAGGAAAAGGGAATATACAAAAAAACTATCTGTGGTCACAGCATTAATTAAGCATTTTAATATCCATCCTTTTAACATTTCGTTCTGAATAGCAAGGTGAATCAGAATCAGGTTTTTTGGCCATTGTGCTAAAGATTGAAGTATTTCATAGCAATTGGTGAGCACAAGAAAATCAAAGAAACACATGGCTTTAACCAGGGCTGTATTCAGCTAATCACATGTGGGATATTTAATCCCCACCCCTTTTCTAAATATATTATACTATGAAACATATTGTCTATTAAAACTTAACCCATGACATCATGGAGACATGCAATAACATGTTCTTCAGTATGTTTTTATCATAGCTAGATAGCACAGTGAGAAAGGAATTGACCTAACTTTGAAAGAAAAGAAGTGGGTAGCTACATATTACACGTGCCTTAAAAAAAATCACCATGATGGTTCATTGAAGGAGAGAATACTATATTTCCATTGTGTTATGATTTTGCGATTTACAAAACTAATCAGTGTTCAAATGCTAAGCTTCCATAGGAATTGGACTATATAGCACAATACTGTTACATTCCTCTTATCTGTTTTGTACCCAAATGTTCAGTGATACCAAACCCCATTCTAATAAAAAAATTAATTTAAGAAATTACATACATATCTATGTTAATTTCTGGGTGATAGTTAAAAGATTTCTCTCCTTACAGTTGCGAAAGATGCCTTGCAGTGTCTTGTCAGTTCCTAAGCAAGTCTTGCTGGTGGAAACCTTCCAGAAAAGAAGCAACCTGAAGCCAAAAATAATCCAGAGGTGTTCTGCTTTTAATGATTAGGCCATGTAAGAAGACAAGTTTACCCATTGTATCTAGCTTTTAGCTAGAGTATGTCATATATTGTTATCAAGAGAGATGACATTGGTACACTAATCTCTGGTTAGCCCCTACCCAGAGGACCATGTTCCAACAACAGCCCAAGCTTACCCGTTATTTCAAGGAGGATGGTTTTGTGTACTCATGCACCGCTGCCCCATTTAAATTGTACAAATCAGTCCTTCCAGGAGAGATGGCTGTGTACACTCAAGTCACCGTGTGTGAAAAACGGTTTTGCAATGCAATTTCATCCAATGTGTTTGTACATAACAAAAAGTAAGTACAAGAAACATTATTCTTACTATGTACCATCTTAGAGTTTCCGAAACATGATTGTGGCACACCCTGTGAGAATAGAGCTGAGGATCATTTGAAGTGAAAACTATCATAGCTAAATACAGAAAGTTTGGGGAAATTATCAAACAGCACCCATATTTTGCTGGATATCCATCATATATTGACTGACTGACTAGCTTTATGTGGGAAGTTATTTAAAAGGTGATTCAGGCGTGCTTTGAATGGCATATAAGGGAGCTCTCAGAAGTTCTGGTTTAAAGATCTTTAGAATATAAATCCAGTTGCAAACCTGAGGGGAAAATAATATCCTTTGCCTTTACAAGTGACACAAACACACACTGATTTCATGCAGTTCAGCACATGCCTGCTCAAGTTTCTCATTCTTGTTCCCTGCAGTTGGCAAAACCCAGCTGCAACATCCCCTTATCTGTTATTTGTTACTGTGGCTGGTGCCACAAAACCCATAGTTTTTATAATACCAGCAAAGGCCACAGAAACCTCTCCTCTGTGGTGGCCAAGACAATGCAGAATGAGAAACAGAATGATAAAACTTTGTGTGGAGTATGGGGAAAGGAATCCTAGGTAGCTGCCTTATATGGAGCCATCTCCATTGGTCCATCTACCTCAGCATTGTCCACATTGACTGTCAGCAGCTCCCTCCCCTCTCTACTTGGAGATCCCAGGGAATGAACCTGGCACCTCCTGCATACAAAGCAGATGTTCTGCACTGAGCCACAGCCCCTCTCCACCTTATCCTTTGGGGGGGAAGCTATGTTGGTAACAGAGATTTCCCCTCCTAATGCTTATTATCTGGTGGGGTATGCACATTAATTTCATGAAGTCAGGGGGAGTGTAAAATCAACACCTAGGCTGCCCTGAAGCTAATTATGCACCAAATTGTGTCCATTGAGCATGCTTTCCTCACTTGAAGAAGCAATATTGACCCCCATGCTCTGAGTTTAGCAAAGGAAAAGCACTTGGATAAGAGGAATTTGACAGTTTTAGCCTTAATTATTGTAACTGTCACTATTCGTTGCTGCATTGTAGCTGCTTATAGGAAAGTTTAAGAGGAGGAGCAATCCTGCCTTTCCTTTTGATGGACCAGCTCCCGACTCTCTCGTTTCCAGTAGGTTTTGCCATCCTTTCCTAGTTGCACCATTCCACTGGCAACCAGCTGCAGGGCAACAGGAAATACCCGGCTCTCTGCTTCTTTGACCTTTTCTGACAAGGTCTCTTCTGTGTCTTCTGCCTTCACAGAGACGGGCTCTTGTAAGATTACTGCTTCAAGACTAGTATCCTCCAGAGAGAAAGAGAGAGAGAGAGATTCCATTAAGATAGGTGACTTTCCACATGAAGAGCAACAGAAGCAGAAAGTGCTTGGGGCAGAGTAGTGTTACTAAAATTCAGCCTGGAAAAGATTAGCAGAAATTTAAATTGTAATATAAAGGACAGGTGGCAGGTTGAAAAGGGATGAGGAGCACATTATGGCCCAAACTACATACGACCTTGATGATATAAGTAGCAACCACTTTGTAAAGTGATCTTGATAACAATTTCACACACGCACCCCCCCCCAGGTATTTGGGTTTTTTTAAAAAATGCCACCTGGTTGTTCATCTCATCTTTACAGTCACTTGTAGTTAGGTCATTAGAAATGGCATGCAGGAAGACAAATGGGTAATACAACTAGGCAGAGGGACAGGTTAGGAATTGGTGGTTGGAGATGTTTATTCGAGAAGGTGGTTAAGGTTTCAGTTTTAATCCCACTTTCAAGGGAATAAGCACCATTAAACTTAAGGGGACTTCCTTCTGGAGGAACAGGCCATGCATTTATTGCAATGTAAATGAGCTTGGAGTTAATATTGTTACGACAGCTAGAAAACTTCCATCAAGGGCTGAGGAGAACAAGGTGTAGGTATATGTCACCAGGAACAGGGAGGTCTCAGAGATTCTAGTGCAGGCATAGGCAAACACCGGCCCTCCAGATGTTTGGGACTACAATTCACATCATCCCTGACCACTGGTCCTGTTAGCTAGGGATGATGGGAACTGTAGTCCCAAACATCTGGAGGGCCAGAGTTTGCCTATGCCTGCTTTAGTGAACTGATTCCTTTGTTCAAAGCAAATTGGAGGAATAGCAAAATTACATAGTCTTTTTTTGGCGGGGGAACCAAGGCAACATTTATAACTAGAAGGTAGTTACTCTAAATAACATCAAACTCAGGGATAGGGCACCTGTGGCCCTCCCAATGTTGTTGGGATTCCCATTAGCCACAACCCGCATAGCCAATTACCAGGAATGATTAGAAGTGTAGCCCAATAACATCAGGAGGATCACAAAAAACCCCATCTCTGACCTAGATATCCCATCTATGCCTGTGTCAAGAATGAGAATTATTTGCAGGTGTGCAGAAAACAGAAAGAGGTGTTTTCTTTATTCACAGGAAGATACTTACAAGCACAAAATGGACCGTACAGCCAGCAATTTTGTATGCAGATGAGAGTGCCTGCTTGTGGGCATTTCCTCCTTTAGTTAATGGTGAAAGTGATGGATAAGTGCTCAAAATTTTCCCTATAATTAATGAAACTCCTGTTCAGACATATCAAAGAGACAAACAAGGATGTGCAAAATGGAAACGGTAGCCCCACATGCAGATCACCAATTGAAAATCACTGCTTTGATTGAGTACATGAACCCAGCCTTGAAATTCTTATGATCCTAGTTTGCCTTATACATGCTGAATCCTCAGCAGCTGTCAGCCCTTCTGAGCAATTAAAAAAACAACAACACTTAATACAACAATAGTTCGTTCCACTTGCTTACCACTCCATTTCCTAAGGAAGTTGCTAGTCAAAACTCTTATAAATCCTGCCAAACAAATCAGTTCCACAGAGAATTCTTCAAGGACTCTGTCAAGTGTGCCTTCATATTCAGATCTGCTTCCATACAGCTTATGGTCAATTACCTACAAGAATTAATGCAAAAGATTAATGCAAAAGAAACTTTCAAGCACCGTGCAAATCAAAACTGAAGAACACAGGCAGCCTTTTGAAGACCCTCAAAATTTACATTAAATTTATACAAACCAGGTTCTAGATGTTGTTGGTTTTTTTACTTGTAGACATAATGGTCTCAAGAATACTTATCTAAATATGAGGCATGGGGCGGTACTCTGCAGAGAAATATTGTAAGTGAAGATACTTTCTGGCAATGTGGGATTTTTTGGCCATGAAATTATAATGCAATGTTCTCCTTACTCTGGTGGGGATGCCAGCCAGGGTTGCATTCTTCAGTTCTTCCACCCCAGACCTGTTGGCGATGACAAGGACTACTTGGGCACAGCTTGCTGGCTCTTTTGCATATCCGAGAAGTGCTGTCAGGCTTGTACCTCAAATGAGAAGATTAAGACACAGCCAGTTTCTAGTAGACATCGCAAACATGTGCCCAGGGAAACAGCAAGTGACCTTTCCAAAGTATGCACTTATAATATCATTGTGAACTAACAAACCCATGTTCTCTGTCAACCTTTTACATAGGTTGCCACTGCATTTTAGCTCTTTGACTATACAACTGCTTAAGAATTCCTGTGCTTTTAAGAAAATATTTGTGATAGGTAACATTCATGTTGTATAAATGGTTGTAGTAACCATCAGAACTTTGCATATTTGAGGCTGGAGCAGAGAGGGCTCTCTGTTATATTCAGGCAGAATACCAAGGCCTGCATATGCCTCATTTTGTTCTACAAAGTTTCGGTATCACCTAATATATCAAAATTAACAACAACACAATAAAACTGGATGATAAATTTCTGATCTTCAGTTAATGATTCTGTGTTGTTGGTTGTTGTTTTGGTGTTTTTTATGATCAGCTTCTAGTGAATATCTTCATAACATTCTTAATATTCTCCCCCTATTCTTATTCCCAGTTAATCCATAATGTACAGGTAATTCTATCCATTTCTAAACCAAAGTAAATCCCATTTAGTTTAATGGGGTTTTCTTCCCAAGTGAGCATGTGTAGGAAAGTTTCTGAAACATGATTTTCTGCCTATTTTTAATAAACCAGTATGGATAATTCTTCAATTCTTGTAAATTGCCCTGGCAACTAAAGCGTGCTTGCCCATTTTTCAATAATTGTGATAAGCTTTGGTTTATTTTTATGGAATTGCAGTATACAAATATTTTTATAAAGAAATTAAAACAAGGTTCGACTAGATTTCAATTCTGATCAAAAATGCAATAATATAAGAACCATCTGCATATTAACAACAATCAGTTCTATTAATATTGAGTGATTCTTATAAGGCACCTTCAATGAGATGTAAGTTCACACAAGCAACTTTGCCATAATATATCAAAGTCTACATGCTCCCACAAAATCTCCATTGCAGAGATGGTTATTGAGTGCTGTAGCAACTGCAAGCTCACCCATTCCCGAGATAAGAACAGCTACTTTCACTTTGCTTTTTCTGCATGTGGTCTGGATCTGGCTGTCTACATTGGAAAGATTCTTCATAAATGGATATTTGTTTTGCAGCAATGCTTCAAGAAGATTCTTGATTACTACACGAGAACACCCTGAATAAAGGAAAGGTAATTCAGTGTACACGCTTAAAATATAGTAGCACATACATTTGGAAAACTAAACTGCCAAAGGGATAGGAATGTTTATAATATCCAGTTAAAAGCTCTTCTCCTTAATCCTACAAAAGAGTTGAAAGCAAATAACCTATAATTAATTGGTGTTTTCATATATATTTTTTGCATTGTGCAGGACTTGCAAATGGACACCCAAATACAAACTAAACATTGGCCCAGTTCACATGTCATATTATACCATAGTTTAAAACAAGCTATGGTTTAATGTGAACAAGTTCTTTCAGAGCTCCTTTCCCACTCTTGCTGATGCCATGCACAGAACAAGTCATAATCTAGTTTGCTGTGTTGTCCAAACTGAGGTTCATGGCTTGTTTCCCCAAAGTAAATTACAAGCATGACCAAGAACAAACCTTGGTTACCACTCACAGCTTGGTGAAAACAAGCCATGAGCCTGGGTTCAGAAAGCATAGCAACCCAGACTTTGATTTGTTTTGGCTGTGGTGTGGCAGCAGCAGGAACAGAAGAGGGGTGCTGAATTTACTCCTGCTACCCAAGTTAAGTTACATAGCTGCAGAAACTTAATATAATTACGGTCCAAATCACAGTGCAACCCTATATATGTCTACAAATTAAAGTGCACTCCTATATATGTCTACACAGAAGTAAACACCATCATTTTCAATGGGCCTCACTCTCATATAAATTGGTATAGAACTGAAGCCTTAGAACATTTTAAATGCTTTTGTTGGATTTTAAGCTGTTTGTATGTCTGAATAAGAAATGCAATAACCTGCAAGATGGTGAATGACTTTCCCGATCAACCACGCATCCTCGTATTTCTGGAGATCTTTCAAAATCTGTCCAGCAAACTCCTTTTGTACCACCAGCACAGCACCAATCCCACAGTTAAATATTTGAGACATCTCCACTTCTGAAAGGCTTCCCTCTTCTTGAAGCCAAGAAAATATTGAAGGAATAGTCCAACTATGAGCATCTACAAATAATTGAATTTGTAAAGAACAACACTGTCCTTAATTCCATCCGTGTTAAAGCCATGGCACAGGTTCATCCTTCCAGCCTCAACTCTCATTAGCAATATTGGATACAATCCAGCAAAAGATAGGAACTACTATGTCATGCTGAAATTGTCTATGTGAAGGACATACAGAGACCTGAACATATGAGTAAGAGGAAGAAATTCATTTCAAAGGGGTGTTCTGATATTTCTTCTCAAATTCTGGGATGAGGGACTGCAACTGTGAAATACTCTCGGATTAGTTATTTCACAATCAGACTCTCAAGAGACCTATTGTCATGGTTTGGAACTCCATCTGTCAGCAGAGGTCTCTTGAGACTCCTAGGAAGGAGAATATTCAGTTCCTCCAATGCTATAGGAGACAATAGTTGAAATAGCCACCCCCTCCAGACACTTCTATAGAGGGGCTCCAGGACACAGTGAGGCTTCCAGACACTGTCCCTTAGAAAGTAGCTATTTTAGACTTGCATGCATCACCCCACTGGAAACTGAGAGCTCTCCTTTCCACCCCACTAAGCCCAGGGTCTGGAAGAGGTCTTTCACCCTCAACACAGCACAAGCCGGCATAAGAAAAGTGCAGTCTCTTGTTATTAGACAAGGCTCCTTTAAGAAGGTGTGGCTTGACAGGAATATTTAAAATGGGAGGCCTATGCGGTGCCCTCCTGATGGATTCTAATTCCATCAGGTGATCCATTATGGTCAGTGTTCAGGGATGATAGTTGTTGTTCAGTCCAGCAACATCTGGAGAACATCACTTTGGGGGCTCCTGATTTAAACATCCATTGGCTGCAGACTACATTGAAGCAACAATCTCAATCAACTTTTGGCTCTGGCCTGACTTCAAACCAAAGTCCCACAATGAGATGTACATGTTGTTGGTTCTTGGCTCACTGAATAGTCATGCCAGGCTAGAGTTGCCCCTGTGGTCTTCCATCTGGAACAGAAAACTTATATGGAGTTTGGAGGCAATTGCCCCAGATAAAGAAATACTGGGTCCCAGCCAAGAAGGTCACGATATACACACCACTGGTGACTGCTGTTCAGAGGGGCAGAGGGAAAAAAAATCCCATCTTGCTTGTCTTCTATTTGGAGCGTTTAGGCCAGAAGTATTTCAGATACATGTTTACATATATACATACATAATTTTATTTGTATGCTGTCTTTCTGCAGTTCAAACCATGCTCAAGGTGGCTTGTAACATGGAAAAAACCACACACAACTGCAACATAACAAAAGTAGTCATAAACAATAAATAAAACACAAAAAATACACAGCCAAACTGCACAAATTCCACATAAACCACAAGATCTAAAATAAAAATTCAAAAAATGAATAGCAACAACATCAACAACCCCCCCAAACAACACCCCAGCCCCAAAGTCTGCTCAGCAGCCTCAGCTTTTGTAGCTGGAGTCAGTCAGCATCCTGCCCTCCCAGGTCAAGTGGAAAAAGTAATGCAAGTCTTCCAGCCAAGATGGTTTACTTGAGGGTGTGTGCATACGGCTAGTTTCCAAAACGCCTTTATTAACGTCATGCTAAAAAAGAATCATGTGTATATTAGGGGCGTAAAGGGGACCCCTGACCATTAGGTCCAGTCGTGACCGACTCTGGGGTTGTGCGCTCATCTCGCGCTATAGGCCGAGGGAACCGGCGTTTGTCTGCAGACAGCTTCCGGGTCATGTGTATATTACATATAGATAATACAACAAGAACAAAAATTACTTACCCAAAACCACACTAAATTGTTCAGGAAGGATTGTAGAAAAGCTTCCCAGCAACCCACCTTCTGCAATGTGGATGTAGGCTTTCACATTTCCTGAACGGAGTACAGGCAGCAGAGTTTTGCTATAGATTTTGGATGGTGTTAGCAACTGCTCCCCTGTGAATGTATGAGAAGTTTTAAACTGTAGATAAAACCATTCATACAATCTTATAACAAGCAGGACAAGATTCCTTCCTCACCAAGCTGCAGCCTTTCCCAACCTGATGCCCTCCAGATATTGCTGGACTACAACTCCCATCAGCCCCAGCCCAACAATATTTGGAGGACATCAGGTTGGTGAAGGCTGTCATAAGGTCTCCTTTGTTTCTTTCTATGGAGAAGAAGAGGACAACAAGGATGTCTCTGAAGACACTGTGGGGAAAAGGTGCAGTAAAATTCATGATGGAGGACTAAAGCTGAGAAGTGTGCAATGGCTTCAAAATCAGGCAATTATATACAGCAGAGAAAGAAAGAAAGAAAGAAAGAAAGAAAGAAAGAAAGAAAGAAAGAGAAAATAATAAGTGTATGGTATTAATTTACAAGAAATGTTCAGGGTAAGAAATTGGGGAAAGCAGATATACCTAAAGTCTGGGGACCACATCCACCAGGAACAGAAGAGAAATAGTGTAGGGATGATGTTAAAAGAATCTTCCTCACAAGACTAAATCCTTGGTTGTGAAGGCCTGAAGAAGCTATGCCAATGAGGAGATCACCGCTGACAATCTTCTCCTGCTGTGGAAATCCCATTTCTTGTTCCACAGCAGCAACAACAAAGCCAACCAGGTTGCACTCTCCAAGTGCAAAGGTGCTAGACATTTCACTGGTCTCTCTTCCTAGGAAAAAGGAAGAGAAACCAACAGCAGTAAATACCATAAATGTCCATGGACTTGCATTCTATATGGGTATACTCAGTGCTTTGTGTGCAGCAGTAGTCACAAATATGGAGTACCATCACCTCTCTTTTCCCCCCAGCCTATGGCAGCCATTTTGCTTTGGCAAACACAGCACTTTTATCAACGTAAGAGTACCAACACCTAATTTTTGCGGGGGGGGGGGGGGACATTGGGTATGCTTAAGAGTGTGTAAATTGTAAATAAATGAAGGATGTTAATAAATATATGCCAATCTTCATCCATCCATCTACAGCACTGATGAATTTTGGAATAATTCCTAATGTCTGGTTTTAGGGAAGTGAAAGAAAGATGCTCATATTGGTACAAAATAAAAATGTTTAGCAGGGTGTGTGCATGTGCCTCCAAAGCCTGCACATATGCCACACAAGAGACACAGATGCACCAGCAACTCACATGCATCACCATGTCAAAGACCCTACAGCTGACTTGTGCCACCCAGTGTGTTAAGGCTGGCATGAAACAAACAATTTCTACAGCCCCTCCACCAATTCTAGTTTCTTTGCTGTGCACTTGGGCACCTCTTAAGATACTGGATCCCAATTTTGCACAAGGGTTTCTAAGATCAAATAGCAGGTTTTTGTTTATCTATGCATACAATTATATTTTGAATCAAGGTGGTGGGTTGAACCTTACAAGACTGCACTGAGTTTAATCACTGGTTTCAAAACTGCATCTTCTTATGTTTCTTAGAATTTCTGAGCAACGTTGGTGACGAGGCTTCTAGTTCTAATATATATTAGTGAAGGGCTGGAAAGCATAGCTATTTGCATCACAGCAAGTCTTATCTGCTCCCCCTCTATAAAATGGGAACATGATATTGATGGTGCCAGCCCAGACCTGGGCAATGTTTTTCCAGGGTTGTTGGGTTTTTTTCATCTGGAAGAACCCCCAAATAACGTTCAAGCTCAATGGGAAATTTATGCTACCACCACCACTACAACTTACAGCTCCTAGGACACAAAGAAGAAATTTTCAAAACTGAGAAGAGAAATACTGAGACGTGGCCATACCCAGAAGAGTACATCCTGCAAGTTTGCAGGCTCCATCTATCCCATCTCTTATTGCCTGAGCCACACCAGCATCCAATTTTCCATAGGCAAAATGGTCAAGGAAGAAGAGAGGCTCAGCTCCCTGAACCAGGACATCATTGACACACATGGCCACCAAGTCCTGACCAATCATGTCATGTTTATTGCACAGCTGAGCAATCTGTAATGAACAAGTGAATCAGTCTGGGATTTTAATGTGAATGCATTACTCCGGTATAAAATATTACTTTAGGCAGTGTCAGACACTGGTCTTGATGTAGCCAAAGGCTCAAGGGATGTTCTTTTCCTATATGAGCAACTGATGCCAAGCAAAAGGCAGGAGCTTGTGGTGGATCGCCATATAGGACAGCTGGGATGCATTCAGCTTAGTACATCGCAAGTTCTATAGGGGCTAGCTTAGAAAGCTCAAAATTGTATAATTATATTGATCTGAAACATTTATAAGTGCCGGTTACTTCTGTGTTTATGGAAAGGCCGTTCCATCTTGATTTGACCAGTGTAGTTTTGTGGTCTCACATGGAAAAACGATGCACCACAAGAGACATGGGCATAGCACAAGCTACAGTAGGGACATGCCTTGGTTTACCTTCATTTTTGTCCCAATGCTTTTAGTTCGGGATACTAGAATGGGATCATTATAACCAGATGCTCTCAAATCAAAGAAGGCAGAAACACTCCCCCGATGCCCACAGCTGCCTGAAAGATACACAGAAGTCAAAAACATTGTGGGAAATAGCACTGCTATTGAAAACTTATTACTACTCCCCCTTGCAAATCCTCATGTTTGCAATAGATCACTGAGACAAGGCTGAGATGTTGCAAGAGGTTGGAATATAGGAGTGCTTCCTGTTTCTGTTTTAGATTCTAGTTAAATAGAATATCTTTAGAAAACAGCAGAGGCTACCGCTGTTGCTAACAGGAGCAAAAGCAGAGCATCAGGTTTCACATTCAGCCCCATGTGCAATATGATACCATAGTCAGGCAGGTGTTTACACATTCCATTCAGCTATTACTGTGAAGCAAGAAGGAAAGAGATAAGTTGACATTTCCATAGATAAAAACATTGCCTGCACTGGCAAATTAGGTGTGGGCAACAGAGCAGCATACAAAAAGCAGAAATAGTCCATAACAGTCTGAAGTTCCAAACAAAGATCATGACAGCCGTATCCCAATTAAATACGTTATTTTTAATTGATTTATCGTATTTGTTTTAGTTACTTGATTAATCAATGGCTAAAAATTATGATGGCTTTATACCACATCTAGTATCACTATTAGTATGGCTCTGAATAAATATCAGTTCCTGGGAAACATGGGGCGGGGGGATAGGGCTATCACTCATCTTCCACAAACATCTAGTTGCCCACTATGAACAAAATACTCAATTGGATGGACCTTTGGTCTGATCTGGCAGGGCTTTACTTATGTTCTTACGCTATCAATTAATTCTCCCCATAGGTAAAAACAACATTTCTAAAGCAAGAAGCTTATTTTCTTTGTTTTTAGATGCTGCATCTCAGGCATTATATCAGAAGATGCTCTCTCTCCTGTATGAGGGGAAAGTGAGAACGATTCTTATGTTATGGCATTTGCCACCTGTAATTGTTTTACAAAAAAGTTTTATAACAAAAAAAAGCTAGATACGTAAAATGATATGGATATATGCTGTCCAACATAGGAGCCAACTCCTAGGGGTTGAGGTCCTTTGCCTCACCCCCAATAAAATGTTTGAGGGGGCCAAGTCCCCCAAAGTTGATGGGCAGTGCCATTCAAATGGTGTGTGTGCACAGCATCATGTGATTGATTAGGCGGGGGGGGGCTTATCTGCCCCCCCAATATTTTATTCAAATTAGCACCCCTGATGTCAAATTAATTAGGGGCATCTAGTTAGATGAGCAAATGTTTTTAATCAGTTAATTTCCTAAAGTTTAGTCAATTGAACATTGTAGCCCTAATCACACATAATTCTCCTGCTACTCTTTGTGCAAGAGAAAACTGCTGATATGCAAAGAGCAATAACTTCTGAGGATAAGGGAGGACAATGAAGTGAGCTCTTGCCAGAAGCTGGTTAGTATATCCATTTAATAGTTTGGTTCACATCGAATAAATTTGAAAAACTGAAGTGGTCTTCAAAATCCTTTGGGAATTCATCACTTCATCAGATCCTTACCTAATTTGGAACCACTTGCAGCTGTTAGGTTAGGTGGGCGAACCAAGACATTGCAAACAATAGGATCTGCAATTCTGTCTTCATATGATGGACTCCTAAAACAGAAGCACACGTCACGGTTGTTAAAACATTTTTCAGTTACGATTGTGATTGCAAGAGAATCCTGGCAGTGGCAGACTTTGGACTTTCAAATGTCAGTAGTGCCCTGTGCGATGCCAAAATTTGGTGTGTGCGTCCCCACCTCTTGCCTTCCAATCTAAGGCATTGTTGCAGCGCCTCTGCCACACCCTCTCAGCTGGGCACCCAGTGCGGGTGAACCAGTCATGTTTCCTTAAATCCACCTCTGATCCTGGGCAAAATAATAAACATTGGGTTAGCACGCATGATCTGCCAGTGCCTATGTTTACATACGCAGACTGTCTGAGAAACCTCATAGCTTGATAACCAACATCTTTTCGATAAGTTGCACCCTGGAAATAAATGGCTGCCAGTCCTCTGTAGGCAACTTCAAGTGCTGACGCAAGGTCCTCCTTCATGGCTGTTACTGTCAGGACTCTGCTGCCATTAACCAGCACTTTGTCATCCACTGCTATGGTAGCTCCATGGAAGATCTCCAGGCCTAGCTCTCTTGCCTGAAGGAGCCCTACAAAAATTGAAAGGAAAATGGGCTCAATTATTATATTTAGAACATATTCTATAGATGTAGGTGGTTGTATTGTCATTTCACGGGGTCTCAAAATATCAGTGGAAAGTCCGCACTTCACATTTCACTTAAGTTTCCCTGTTGAAACATTTAACAAGAAATACATTTAGTAAATAATTCAAAATACTGTAACTGAAAGATGATTATTGTGGTATTTTTTAAAAAAGGAATAATGACTGTCAGAAAACATAAAGCGAAATTATTCATTGTACCTTGTAATTAAACTGTTCAGAATAAAAAAGAATTACCAGTGATCTCTTTGCCCTGATTAGAACATTCCAGATGCCCTTCACTTGCCATGACAATCGACACAGCAGTACAATTCTCTGACCAAGCCAGCATGGAACTGCAGAGCCTGCCATTAATAGTGGCTTGGATCACTTCATAAAGATCATTTTTAAGAAGCTGAACAACCACCTGCAAAAGTGGACATAGGTGGCATTTTATATACGATTATAAACGATTCAGCAACTATATCTAGTTCAAATCACTGCTTTTGCAATGCTTTTCTATTTCCAAAAACCAGTGGCAATTAGCTTACAGTGATTACAAGTTAGAAAGCAAGCCTAAAACCAGATGGCCTGTTTACAGAGCGTTTGTCCTGATTTGTTTGGATAAAGTTTGCAGCAGTCAATCTGATTTGACTGCAGGGAGATTATACTACTGTGAACTCCTCAAAGGAGAGACTAGTATAGCACAGAGACTATATTGATTCCGTTTAGTTGCTGTGCTACACTGGCTTTTCTTTTGTTAACTCACAATGTCCACCATGCAGCACTACAAACTGTAATGCTATGCTGCCGGAGCAGAAATTACATGCAATCTGAAATATTAATTTGCTGTCTTGGTGGTTCACAGGATTAGGTTGTGTAACTCTGATTTACCTGGCATTGGGGGTCACCAAAATAGCAGTCAAAACTTAAGACTTTCACACCATCTTTGGTAAGCATTAATTCTATCTGCAGCACACCTGAAAGGAATCAGAGAATTATAGATAACAAAATCAAAGTATATATTTTAACGTGTCTTTAAAATGCATACAGCTAGACTAAGGCATGAGATGAAGTGAAGCATTTTTTAAAATTCTGCATATTATTATTATTATTATTGGTAGAAGATCAAGTTCTCCATTCATAAAACAACTCCTCCAGAAGTTGTCATTCATTAAGCAAGACTCAAAAAAATAGTAAGTTGTTACGTGAAGACAAGAATGAGTTTTCAATATGATGAAAATCCAAAACATAAACATCAGACGGGGTAATGTCATATGAGAGAATAATCATTCCCAAGGAACTTGATGTCGAGTGTAACTTCTTACCTACATAAGATATGCCTTCTTGCTTCATGCTGTTGATAATGTGTTGAAGAAGTGTACCTTTAACTTTTTCTAGAAGGACTTCGGAAATCTAATGAGCAACAGGAGAAGGACACATGGAGACTGCTTTATGACAATTTTTTCCTCAGTGTAAAAAATCAAAACATAGTGATAAAAAAGTAACCGAACACCAGTAGGGGCTGGTTCCCATTGGGATTGTTCACACAAAGACCAACAGTAGATGGAGCCAAAGCCAATGAAAGGCAGAGGCAACTAATTCAAGTTTTGTCTCCATCTGTCTTCCTGCCATCATCTACAAGGGCAACCCTAAGACTAAGGAAGTGCATACTCGAGCAACAAAAATAAACATTAGAGTTTCACACCATTCTCTAGTTTGCATCGATTACATGTATTGTCCATTTCTTAGAATAATTTATTTTAATTCTGCTAGTCACACGGAAGGACAGACAACTCCATGGAGGCCAACAAAGTCTTGCCCTTGACTCCTACAGAGTCTGCTTAGAGCCCTCCCCGTCATCTGCTGAAAGTTCCCCCCACACTATCAAGTTTACACCTGCAGTCTTTGGGGCGGGGGATGGAGCCGAGATTATCAAGCTGCTAAATTTCACATTCAATACCAATTTATGCGCTTCTGAAGTATGACTGTGGAGTACAACACACCTTTGTCAGTACAGCATTAGCATGCTAGAATCTTGTTATATGATTTTCCATTAACAGATGCACCAACTTGTACAGAAGACTGAAGGGGAAGCAATGACATGTGTGTTCTTCATTTGGGGTTGCCCCCCTCCAACAAAATTGGGAGGGCAAAAGAGTGGGGGGGGGGGTCCAGGAGATGACGCCTATGTCCATTATTATTCCAAGGTCAACAGTTGTCATGGATTACCCAGAAAGATTTGAAAGCATCACTCAAGAAATTACTTAGAAATCAGACTATATGATTTCCAGGGGAAAGGCATATGGAGTCCTAAGCAGATAGTGAATAAAACTTGTTGGCACCTGAGGTACTGGACCATAAGCTCCCATTCCAACAGTGCTTGGACCCCAGTCTTCATCAGATAGTCGCTTTTGGATCTGGACTGGTGGCATGAGAGCAAAAGTGACTCCATCCACAAAGCATAAGCACTGAGAAGAAAATACATGAAACTGAGCAACAAATATAACAAACTAAAATCACACACATTATACATCAACATGCATAAGTTTCTCTCTTATTAATTCAATCCTTGAAGTCCTGCCTTTCACAGCAGTGCTGAAATTAGCAAGAGCTTTTCGCCACACAGAGGTGAACATTTTCACCAGCTAATGGCTGCAGGTAAATTGTAGCTAAGGTCACAGAGTCAATGTTACCATGTGAAAAGTTGGCCCATGCTATTCTCTACTCCTCCACCTTCTGACTGCCACAGTCCACCCTACCACTAGGCAGAGTAAGGAAGCTGCCTCTGGCAGCAGAAACCGGGGGAGACAGAGAGCGGTGATCTGTTGAAGGAAAAAGCTGTGTGAGCTATGCATCGTTTGCCTGCTGTCCTCAGATGCAATGGAGAATGCTGTCCTGTTGCTGGTGTTGTAAGATTCAGCTGCCAATCTGTCTGACTTCCGTGCGTGGAATTGGGAGGGGAATTGGGACCATCTTGTCCTTCATCTCAGGCAAGAAAATGCCTTAGGCACATCTGTTAGCTCCTTCCTCCCCCAAATCCACAAGCAGTCACCAAGTCTCTTTTCCTTTCTTTGGAATCCTTGTGGGGAGATGCAAGTCTGTGCAGCAGGTCACTACCAATTGCTTCACAAGGAAGAAAAGCAGAAGTATCCAGTTGTGTTTCTGTGCCTTCCCCTTCTGTGGCTGAAACTGCTGACTTTGAAAATCCTGCCTGTATTTTACCCTGCAAAGGTTTGCAAAGCAAGTCCCCTTAGTATCCCTTGAAGGAAATACTAATTATTGTGTATCAAAGTTTACAGCATGCTAAAAACTATGATAACAATGCACAATAAAATCCCTATATTTGCTGGTAGTTCTCATCAGACACCCAATTAGCACCCAAAAAATTAGCACCCAAAAGCTCAAAAACTCCTTGTGGTTCAGCAAGTTATGTGGTTCCTCTGGAATTTACCCTGCCCTTTCCCCAAGGATTTATGGGCCTCCTATTCTTATCCACAAAACTGGGAGGCAGTTAGGCTCAGACCATGTGAGTAGCCCGGGGTGACCCAGTAAGCTTCATGGCAGAGTTGAGTTTTGAATCTACATCTTCCCAGTCCAACAAACTTTCCACTAAACCACACTGGGAAATAGTAGTAAATAATGCTGATGTTGTACTAACATTGTGCTTCATGCTAAGTGAACCACGTTGCTATAGTCAGGGACAGCCCATCCATGAGGCTCAGTGAGGTAGTTGCCTCAGGAAGCAGGCTGAGGGCAGCTGCGTGGGACAGCAGACCCAGGGGACCCAGGAGTGTATTGCTCGCCACGTCCTATACTTGTTGCTCAATGCTTCCTCAGTCTCCCACCAGTATCTCCTCTGCTGCTGTCTCCAATGCCCCAACTGCTCCTCTCTGGGCTCGTTACCACCTCAGGTAATGAGGTGGCCTCAGGCTGGCCTTGGCTATTTCTATTAATAACAATTAAAGTTTGTGGACTATACAAAAACAATACAGGGTAACTCTGACTGCAGTACTTAATGAAAACGCACAGAAAACTCTTCCCCTTTAAGAAGTTCTTCAATTATTACGGTATCTTGGGTGTCTCCAAAAACATTGCCCTGCATTAAAAAAGAAAAAAAAATCCACTGGTCAGATTCTACTTTCATTCCATCTTCCATTTTTAACGAGAAAGCTCTTTTTTAGAGCATTTCCAATAAAGTCACTTTTTTTCTTCACCTGTAAACCTTCATGTAGTCTACATTCTACTTGAGTAGAATCCCTACTAAATTTTTATGAGGTGTGACAATTTGCAGGTTAAACATATAACTGGTTTTTGTACGTCAGAACACCATTTAAAATATTATATAATTACGTCACTGCACAATGTCACAGTAGAAGAAAAAACCTACCCAAAATACAAACATAGGTAAGGTAAAAGGTAAATGACCCCTGGACAGTTAAGTCCAGTCAAAGGCGACTATGGGGTGCGGCGCTCATCTCGCTTTCAGGCCAAGGGAGCTGGTGTTTGTCCACAGACAGCTTTCCAGGTCATGTGACCAGCATAACTAAACAGCTTCTGGCACATCAGAACACCGTGCTGAGTAACAGAGTGCACGGAAATGCCGTTTACCTTCCCCTATTTATCTACTTGCACTGGCATGCTTTTGAACTGCTAGGTTGGCAGAAGCTAGGACAGAGCAACGGAAGCTCACCCCATCGCAGGGACTCGAACCACCGACCTTGCAATTGGCAAGCCCAAGAGACTCAGAGGTTTAGACCACAGTGCCACCTGCATCCCCATTTACCTTACCTTACAAACATACAGCTGCATATTCCTGCACTGCAGGGGGTTGGACTACAATCTAACTACTGAGTGTAAGATTTAGCCTTACATAAAAAAACCATGATAAATGAAATTAAAGCACACAACAGCTGAACAAAGAGGCATAAATCACCTGCAGAATTTCTTGCGCTGCATTGCAGGCTTCCTCTCTGTTGGACGCAATAATTATCTCTTTTCTAGGACCCAAGCCACTAGGCTTTACCACCAATTCAGGAAAAGCAGCACTTTAAATTAAGATAGAGCATATTAGAAGAAAATCACTCCTTTTCATTATATGGTCAAAAATTTCCTCTTTTGAAAAAAAAATAGTTCCTGGACTGTCTGGAACACAACATTTTAGAGAAAGGAGAATTTTAACACATCTCCAAGCAAGGCTGAGAGAGAACCATGGAGAGTTACAGTCAGTCTGTGTAGGCAATACTGAGCTACGTGAAAATATTCTAATTATTTATATTCTAAACTTTATCCAGCCTTTCTTCAAGGAAGGCTTGGGCTAGGCCTCTATGGAAGTTTCCCATCTAAGTATGAGATGCAGCCTTGCTTAGAGTGATTAAAGGTGTGAGGAGAAAATTCACCCTGATAAATTACTGCACTTTAAACCTTCTTTAGAAGTATCTAAGGAATAAACATTGTGAAAGGCTTTATCATCCTCCTTATTTTGTTTTGGTATCCCCCCCCCAAAAAAGAAACAACCAATAAAAAAATTGCTGTTGTAGTCAAGGCTGATGAATAAATAAGAGGAAGAAGTGCCCCCTGTTTTCTGGGACCCAGTAGCTGACTGCGGAGCCTTGTGGTTGTGATCTGCAAGCAGATCCTAGCTGTGGAGGGAGCAGGTGAACCAAGCAGGTCTAGTGTGTAGTGAGGGAGAGAAAGTTGAGGGTGAACGTGGAGAGACTGAGATCTAGAACAGTAAACTTGTCAATCTTTGGCCATTCTACAATATTCATCAACATTTTTCAATACATTTGGGGTCCCTTTTTAATTTAATTCACGAAAAAGCTATACCATCAACTCTAAAGAGCGTAAGCTAATGGAGAAAATAATGCTTACCTATTAATAAAAGTGCAAGCGTCTTGCGGATTTAAAAATTCATTCCATCTTGCTGTTGGAATTCCATGTTGATCAAGAAAGACCTTAGCGAAACTTCGATTTGTTCCCAGTTGTGCTGCCCTGGCTGTAGGGCCAAAACATCTAACTCCAGCCGCTACCAAGTCATCAACAATTCCTAACAACAAAATACTGAAAGGCTCAGACAAAGCTTGCTATGGAATTCAGATTTTTTTTTTTATTAATACTCCTTGCCTGTCTCAGAATGGTATCACAGAGCTAAAAGAGCAACTAAAATTATCAGCAGGCAGCTCACCAGTATGGAGGAAGGCTTAAGAGCTTGGGGTTTTATAGTTCAGAAACAAAAAACGATGCAGTTTATCATGTCACCTTGAACTTTCTCTTAAAAAGTCTGCCTGCATCTATAATAAACTTATCAAACCTGTAGCCAAGGTATGTTTTAATGCCTAATACAGTGGTACCTCTGGTTACGAACTTCATGTCTTCCGGAGGTCCATTCTTAACCTGAAACCATTCTTAACCTGAGGTACCACTTTAAATCGCCGCCAGCATGCGATTTCTGTTCTCATCCTGAGGTAAAGTTCTTAACCTGAGGTACTACTTCCAGGTTAGTGGAGTCTGTAAGCCAAAGTGTTTGTAACCTGAGGTGCTTGTAACCCGAGGTACCACTGTAACGCAATGGTTTTTAAAATAGAATCTACATCAATATGAACTCTGGTCTAACAAGCGAGTTATTTTATGTAATGTTCCAAGATGCTACATGCATATGCTCATACAAGAGGCTGGTGCCTGCTGTCTATCTACGTGCAGGATTATCAGTAGGAATCACACTGTCCAGAGTTTCAAAAAGGCAAGAAGAAGAAGAAGAAGAAGAAGAAGAAGAAGAAGAAGAAGAAGAAGAAGAAGAAGAAGAAGAAGAAAGGCCATTTCTCAGTTGCAAAAAACCCCAGCTATTTGAAACCCATTTTGCTCTCCAGTTGTTGATACCAAATACAGTGGTACCGTATTCCGTTCTTAACCTGAAACTGTTCTCAACTAGAGGCATGCTTTCGCTAATGGGGCCTTTTGCTGCCACTGTGCCGCCGGCACATGATTTCCATTCTCATCCTGGGGCAAAGTTCTCAACTTAAGGTAACTCTTCCAGGTTAGTGGAGTTTGTAACCTGAAGCATTTGTAACCTGAGGCATTTGTAACTCGAGGTACCACTGTACTGGGTTCTTATGCTACCCAAGGCTGGACCTTTATTTTTTAATCTAGAGCACTTGTTTTTTTCCTGAGAAAGGAGTTACTCTAACTTTACCTGTCACAAGGAGAGATTCTGGTCCAGCAATCACAAACCCAATGTTATGATCTTTGCAGAACTGGGCTAGGATAGTATGGTTGCTAATTAAAACCCCTGAAATAGATAATAAATAATAATAAACACCAGGATCCAAAATGTATGACAGTTATGTGGCTTCAGGAACCACAAAAGGAAAACATGATAAAGATTTATTTCAATATGTTAAGTAAAGATATAGTTGTGCATATGGATCTGCAATAAAGAATTTGGTAGCTTAGATTCCAAGATAACTTACATCAAAAGCCTATGTGCCCTGGCTCCCACAGTAACTTAAATGCTCTAAGCAGTACATAAGCAAGACAAGGGTTGAAGGTGCAAGGCACGGCTACACAAGCTAAGACATTGATCCAACAAGTGCCCTTGCCCTCTGGGCTCCCATTAGAAAGGAATAGGGTGGGCATGCACCCCTTAAAAGGCTGAGCAATGTAGGATGGGCATGTGGGCCATCTGCAGAAGCAGAAATTGACTAAAACTGTGCTTCCAAAAACTACTTTGTTATCTAGGTAACAGTTTCAGGGGCTGAACATGTTTGATTACACACTCCAACTCCTTCATAAATGGTCAAGGTCAGTTAGTCATCTCTGATCTGCAGAACTTAAAGTGCATCACAGATTCAATGAATGTCTTGTATTTTTTAATAGCACAGGGGTTGTCAACCTGGTCCCTACCGCCCACTAGTGGGCGTTTCAGGATTCTAGGTGGGCGGTAGGGGGTTCTACGGCACAAGCTGAATCCTCCTTCCATTGAGCACTGGTGGGCGGTAAGGAAATTTTACCATCAAGAAAGATGCATTAGTGGGCGGTAGGTATAAAAAGGTTGACTACCCCTGCTGTAGCGCTTGCATTTTTGTATGTGCATTCTGCTAAGTTAACATAAAAAGTCAGACATGTTTGAAGCATTGATTTTTCTCACCCAGCATTTACATTTATGCAATACATTGTACACTGTTTTGGAAAGGTGGCGTGGGTGTGTTTCTCCACTGTATGACCATTCAAATACATAAAAATATATCCAATGCAGGAAAAGTCACCAAATACTACAAGCTATTCACCTGAATTAGAGATTTTGCCATCATTAGCTGTACCGGCATTTCCCGGAGCAACCAGTACCTGTTTCACATGTGGAGACTGTGCCAATTTCCAAGCCAGAGCATGTTCTCTGCCCCCGCTGCCAATCACAAGCACTCGATCAGCCATCTGGATACTCAAAATAAGAGGTGCATTGTCATTTATAGGTCTAATGCCTCAATCATTAGCATTTTTATTTGGAAGGCAAACCAATTACTTATGAGGAAACTGACTTCTAAACTGAGGCAAATTTAGATGCTTGGTAGCCATCTCACACATAGAATCATAGAGTTGGAAGAGACCACAAGGGCCATCGAGTCCAACCCCCTGCCAAGCAGGAAACACCATCAGAGCACTCCTGACATATGGTTGACAAGCCTCTGCTTAAAGACCTCCAAAGAAGGAGACTCCACCACACTCCTTGGCAGCAAATTCCACTGTCAAACAGCTCTTACTGTCAGGAAGTTCTTCCTAATGTTTAGGTGGAATCTTCTTTCTTGTAGTTTGGATCCATTGCTCCATGTCCGCTTCTCTGGAGCAGCAGAAAACAACTTTTCTCCCTCCTCTATGTGACATCCTTTTATATATTTGAACATGGCCATCATATCACCCCTCAACCTCCTCTTCTCCAGGCTAAACATGCCCAGCTCCCTTAGCCGTTCCTCATAAGGCATCGTTTCCAGGCCTTTGATCATTTTGGTTGCCCTCCTCTGGACACGTTCCAGTTTGTCAGTGTCCTTCTTGAACTGTGGTGCCCAGAACTGGACACAGTACTCCAGGTGAGGTCTGACCAGGGCAGAATACAGTGGCACTATTACTTCCCTTGATCTAGATGCTATACTCCTATTGATGAGGCCCATAATTGCATTGGCTTTTTTAGCTGCCGCATCACACTGTTGGCTTATGTCAAGTTTGTGGTCAACCAAGACTCCTAGATCCTTTTCACATGTACTGCTCTCAAGCCAGGTGTCACCCATCTTGTATTTGTGCCTCTCATTTTGTTTGCCCAAGTGCAATACTTTACATTTCTCCCTGTTAAAATTCATCTTGTTTGTTTTGGCCCAGTTCTCTAATCTGTCAAGGTCGTTTTGAAGTGTGATCCTGTCCTCTGGGGTGTTAGCCACCCCTCCCAGTTTGGTGTCATCTGCAAATTTGATCAGGATGCCCTTGAGTCCATCATCCAAGTCGTTGATAAAGATGTTGAATAAGACCGGGCCCAAGACAGAACCTTGTGGCACCCCACTAGTCACTCTTCTCCAGGATGAAGAGGAACCATTGATGAACACCATTTTAAAATGGCATCATATTAATGGTGAATATCCTCTAAAACGGGAGCATTTGAAGCAGCTACAGGCATTTTATACCAATTGTCCATTTGGTAGAGAATAAGTAAAAACATAATTCAGTATTTGTAATGTCTTTAAGGCTGCAACCCTAAACCTGCTTACTGGAGTGTAAGCCCCACTGGACTCAATGGAATTTACTGCTGAGTAGGTATCTATAGGAGTTCACTGTAAGAGGCAAGAACCTACTTATCTCACCTTCCTTGAAATATGTAAGTTATAGTAGGCTGCCTTGCACCAAGTCATATCAATGATCCATCTATCTCAGTTCTGTTTACTCTGTACTTACTTGTAGTGGCTTTCCAAGGTTTTGGTACACACAATCCTCCCCTCATGTTTTTCTTTTCAAAAAATGCTAAGAACACAACTGGCCAAAAATCACCTAGTGAGCTTCGTGGCATTTGAACCTTGGTTTTCCAGGTTCTATTCTGACTCTCTAACCACTATACCACATGGGATCTCTGAAGTCCCCACTCTGGTAATTTCATCAACCGCTGAGAGATCAGAATATGAACAGCTTCTGCTTCTGCACACTTTGCTGCTCTGACAAATTGTTGGAAAAAAACAAATAATTTCCTTCTTCTGGTCTTTGCTTTGTCTGAGTTAATTTCACCCCTAAAAGCTGAGCCATTTTGTGTATTGTTCTTTTGCAGCTTTTTGATACAAAATATTATTTGCTCTCATCTCCTCTCATACTGTAAATCAGAGGTTTTCAACCTTTTTGAGTCCACGGCTCCCTTGACCAACTACTTTCTTTCTGTGGCACCCCTGTGGGGCTCAGGAGCCCAGTTAGGTCATGCCTTGCCTGCAGAGCTGGCAGCCTCTCACCCTTTTTCGAACACCCTTGCTTGCGAGTGTTCCCTCAGCCTCCTCTCCTCTCCCCCCTCCCCCAGCTGCCACCATAGTCTTTGAGCTGCCCCCCTGCCCCCAAGTGAGGTGCCTCCTTACAGTGTCCTACAGGGGTCTGGGAAGCACCCCCGGCCAGCCCCAGAGGCACCATTTGCCTGGGGAGCTTGTAGCCAGGGCTGATGCAACAAAGAGCTGTGCAAACCTTTGGGAGGTAGAGACACAAGAGGACATCAGAGGAGGAGGGAAGAAAAAAGGGATGCCCTGACCATTATTCAAGGCACCCCACAGTACCACGGCACACTGAAAACCACTGCTGTAAATAGTTCCTGCATGAATAAAACCTTTGAACTCCAGAAACTAAGTGAATATTCCAATCTAATTCACCCAAGATGCAAGGACTGTTAACACAAATAGCCAAAGGGGCACACACACAGCATCACAGCTGAAGTGCAAAAATGGATGTGGTTGTGTGTTATGCATCTTGCAAAACAGGCATCACTGCAGTGTGCAATTTTGCTGTGCATTGCTTTTCATACTGTAATTCTTAAAACAGCAGCAAAAACAATAAGAAGAAGAAACCAAGAGGGATATTGTCTGGAAAGAACAATATACTTAAGTATCCCAATATTATTTTTTCAAATGATTTTTTTTTACTTATTTCAATAACATCACACCTTCATTTAGTGTCCTTGTTGTTGATATGAAATGGGAACAAGCTACTATAAATGCCAAAGGAGGGGGGGGGGGAGAGAGACACACTAATTGACCTTTAAGAAATATGCTGTTGACATTAAGCAGCTATTGCCAAGAAGATACATAATTAAAATACTGTGAAATATGCCAACATTACCTCTGTAATGAGTTTGCTGAATAATATACAGAAACCAGGGATTCAAGATATAATGTTCTGAAGAAGACTTAAAGAATGACCATGTAGAAGGTTCTATTTTCTAACAAATGTAACAAGTAGCTCTATCACAACAACAGAAATTTCTACTTGATTGTAAGTATTAATATTCACTTAATATATTTAGGAATTTTTAAAAAATCTCTCATTAAAAAAAAGTTTTAACAAAATTAATTGTGAAGAACTACATTGAAAACTAATCCATCATTCACTATGATGAATGCCACAATTAATATTAATTTCTCTATTCACATTAACATAAGGCTGCACATTGTCCTGTGCCTATCATTCTAATGCAAGATAAACAAAGTCCCTTTCTGAGTAAACCTTTCTCCACATCTTTTAAAATGTACCTTATATTTCTTTGCCAAAGCAATCAAATTTGAAAATGATTTTTAAAAAAAAGTATTCTAGCCAGTTGATATAAATGTCCAATAGAATGTGGCATATGGATGTGTATGCAAGGGACAATGAAGTATAAGTGAACAGGATGCAACCAGAGAACCTCCTACCTTTGCAGAAATATACTGGGCTGTTAAAATGTCCTTCTGAAAAGCGCTCACCCCCTGCCCCTCACCCCACATACACAATCTTCAAAAATTGTCAGGGAGCCGCAAGTTTGTACATCCCTTTTATTGTCAAGAAATGTCAACAATAGAAAGTCTCTCAGTCAGCCAGACTAGCAGGCTGATAAGAAAGCAGCTGTGGGTGGGAGGAGGAACTGGCCTTGGAGAACATATTGTTGTGCTTTTTCCAAGCTCAATTTCCACCACAAACATAATTTAAACTATGGGGAGAAATTGCTCTCTCTTTCATGACTTAAAAGGGAGCTATTGAGGGGAAAGGGTGTGTGTGTGTGTGTGTGTGAGAGAGAGAGAGAGAGAGAGAGAGAGATGGATTGGCCAATGACTTAAATTTTAGATAGTTATTACACCCCCATTTCCCCAAGATAACTTGTGATAAGGGGCAGGATATAATTCCTATAAATGAAAATGCTGCAAGAGAGCAGTTTGATCATGCAAACTGGGGCGACGCATGGATCATTCAAATTAACTCCATTATTCCCTCCTTTTTTCAAGGAGCTGAAGGTGTTCCCTTCACAACAACCCTGTGAAGTAGGTTAGGTTGAGCAGTGGTGACTGTCCCATCAGCACCGGCTGAGAGGGATTTGGTTGCCCCCACTACCCAATGCCAGCTCTCAAAATGTGCTTGTCCCTGACATATACACAACATACTATATATTAAAGATAATCCATATCACCATCCAGAGGAATGTTTTGATTAGAAAGAGGGGTATTTTGGAGTTATTTCTATTATATAGGTACCAATTTGAGGCACTGAGTAACTTTTCTGCAAATCTGAGAATTCTGCACAGAAACCTAATATGTCAAACTCTGACATGTACCCACCAACATCCATATGGGGTATGTGTGTGAGCATGTATTGATACTCTAGTAAACCATTTCATTGTGGTGATCCGTTGTTACCATCTTTACAAAGAAATCAAAATTTCCTGTGCTGCTGTCCCACAGTGCTGATACTCTATCTATATCCCAATCCTGTAATTTCCAGGAAACAGCAATGCTGTGGATCTAAGGGTACTGTTTACTTTTTAGAACTCAACTGCAGTACTGCTGCTTAGAAGCTGTTGAGCAAAATAACCCAATGGCTGCTGTTGTCGAATGCCACCAATCTTTGTTTTTCTGTTTACAAAGATTCCAGTGTCTGAGTTTGAACATAAGAAGAGTCTTTTTTAATCAGGCCAAAATCCATCTAGTCCAGCATCCTGTTCTCATAGTGGCGTATCTGTACTTTTCTTTTTCTAGGTTGCAGACGGAAAACCAAATGAGAAGCAACCATGAGGCTACTTTGCCCTCCCCTGTAGCCCTCACTAAGCCTCTGAGCAAGCCAACGTCCACCACTACTCAATTTCCCATCTTAAAAGGATGCTTAATTTTACAATACCAAAAAAGAAAGCATTGCATAATGTAATAAAACAAGTCAATATATTACATGATCTTTGATACCTATTTGGTGTCTGTAAACTAGGTGCATTTAGGACAAAGCTGATATTGCCCCGCCCTAGTTATACTCTGTCCCCTTCTCAAAAAATTTTGGGTGCTTCCAGACTGGTGTTTATTGTGGGATCAGTGTGTTGCCTGCATGTCTGGTTTTGTGTGCTTTGCAGCATCCACATGATCCCGCGGGCATTAAATTTACATCAAAATGCCACACCATATTCCCCTCCCTCCACTTCCTCCTTTCTGTAGAAAATCCAGAAAGTTATGAAACAATATTGTCAAAGACCCATTTGCAACATTAAGCCCCCAAGTGGAAAACCCCATAGCAATTGTGCTAGCATTCACCCTTTGTGATTCTCACAGACATTCATTCAACATGATAACATTTCCAAAACAGTTTCCCTGAGTAGACCACCAATCTGTGGTGAAACTCAGCCTAAAATGTTTCATCAATCCAAAACAAAAATAGTGCTGAGATCCTACTCACATATAAAACTGTTGACTATTTTCAGTATTTCCTTTTATCTGCTTCATGCTTGAGTCCTCTCATTCTGACACACCAGATGTAAATTTAAAGACTACAATGTAATATGCTCCCCCTAGAACTATTGCCTGCTAAAAATTAGCAGATATTCTATCTTAGGACCTCATAGAAAGCCTCATTTATGAAAACATATGTAAACATAACTTACCGAATGTTTCTAAGGTATTCTGCAATGTATGGAAGTCAACAGTTTGTGTTCTTTCTTCTATACTGTACTAAGAAGTACTAAAAGGAAACTCTTCAACTTGATACCAGATTAAGTTACATGAACATTTGGTGAAGGGGAGGAAAAGATTGCTTTGTTGCTGGCAGAGAGAATGCCTTGGTCCAAACAGCTGAGAGAACCCAGTGCCTAAAACTCCATCTCCTTGTGACCAATCACAACAGAGGAAGATACAATACATTTGCATTAATTGCATTGTACAATGTGGCTCAAATAACTGACTGATTTAAAGTACATGTGTCTGGTATGAGAAAGAAATAATGAACAAACCATTTTTTGGGGGGGGGGGAGGGAGCTATGTTGCTATACTGTATAAAGAAACCATCAGAAATCAGGAAAGAGCCCAACTTGTCAGGGATCTAAATCAGAATGTAATGGTTCAACACAGACTACAAGACTGCAAGATCTATATTCAAAATGCAACAGGCAGTCAAATTTTGTTAGCCAACAAGGTACAGTTCGAGAGTAAGCTCTAGTCATTATTCATTTAAATTTTTTATTTAAATGGTTTTAGACTTTATTAAGCATAAGCTTCACAAAATTATTTATAATACATCACAGTACAATTTTAAAGCCTAATACAGTGGTACCTCAGGTTACATATGCTTCAGGTTACATACGCTTCAGGTTACAGACTCTGCTAACCCAAAAATAGTGCTTCAGGTTAAGAACTTTGCTTCAGGATGAGAACAGAAATCGTGCTCCGGCAGCGTGGCAGCAGCAGGAGGCCCATTAGCTAAAGTGGTGCTTCAGGTTAAGAACAGTTTCAGCTTAAGAACGGACCTCCAGAACGAATTAAGTACTTAACCCGAGGTACCACTGTAATAGTATAAAGCATATAATATTAATTTAAAAAACAAAATCTTACTAAAGATACTTGATTTATTACTCTAAAATATGATTGTTTAGAAATATTTCAGGAGTCAGGTTCTTTTCGGTGCTAGAAGCATTTCTGAAATTTTTTGTGCTCCTTCACAATAACATTTTCTTTGTCATCCTGAATTTCCTGACCAAATAGAGCAAACTTGCCGCTCCCAGTTTGGCGGTTGTTTATGTCTCCAGAATTAGATCTTGGTGAACGACTAAAATTCTATTAATCATTTCAAAGACATATTGCAGTTTGATGTTTCACAAGGTTTACAAGACAAAAATCTTTTTAAATATATTATTCTGACATATTCACATCACACATGTATCGTCTGCAACCCATACACGCTAAAGAGACTAGCAACCTGAAGTGATTAACTGAGGACAGAGTGGCCAGAAAGATATCATATGTTAGAGTCCTGAGGGGAGTCCATCTGTTTTTGATGTGCAAATGTACTGCAAATATATACATTTAGACTGTTGTTTCTCCACACAAGTGCAGATGTTTCAAGAAACAAGGGCAGAAATAAGAAACCACTGAGCGTCCATGGATTTACAAATCGCAGATTGGCTATGTTTACTAGCACCCTGCGCATGCTCAGAGGTACTCATTGCTGAACACGTAATCCACAGCTGAGTCCTTGCAACGAAAACCCAGATTACATTACAGAGATCGCTAACGTGTAAATTATCTAAAAGTGTAGGTGCAAACGGCGAGCAACATCAACCTGCCTCAGACGGGTATGACGACAACTATGACAATCACCACCAACATTTTATGTGCACAAAGGAGCCACGGTTAAGTACCAAAAATGTAAAATTAAAAATGAATCTCAGCCCAGTCACACAGGGAAAAAGAGAAGAAAGAAAAGCCTGCAGCTGTGAGTAATTCTAGATGAAGATGGTGCATCTACTTCCGCCCTGCTTTCCTCTCCTTTTTAGCAAGTCCGCCGCACGAAACAGGCTTCACCTTCCTCTCCTTTGCAAAGAGAGCGGATGACGCAAACGCCGCCTTTACAGGAACTACGTCTCCCACAATCCCAAGCGGCACAACGAGCAGCGAGTGGACCTTGGTCTAGGGCAGCGGGGGCGTTAGGAGGGGAAGGCCGTTCGTTAAAGGGCACAATGATAAATACATAGAACGCGGCAGGCGCGAGAGAGGTGGCTGGATGGAAGGGCAAAGAGAAGGTGAAGTGGGCGGGAGTGGGGCAGGGGCAAGGAAGGCGAGTGGAGGGCCTGGCAGGGCGGATGGGTAGCTTGGGCTGCTGGTGACATCCAGGCTCCTGTTATTTCACTCTGTCCAAGGGGAAAAAAGGGGGAAATAATATTTTGATGCAACCTACGTTTTAAAAAACAATCTATTTTATTCATTGTATATCATTTTTATTTGTTGTTAAACAAGACTATAGAACAGAAGCAGTCATACAGATGTAAACGAATTTACAAAGTCTGTCAAAAAGGAGGGGACTAAATATATAGTTATGTATCCAATCTGAGATACAGACATTTAAAGAATGGTTATAGTTTTAACCTTGGAATGTTATTATGAGTTATGATGATAAGAGAGAGAGCAGCTGTTACCTTTGCAAAAGGCTGGGTGGGGAAGTGGAATATATATACAGCAAATGTATTAGCCCTATTTAAAAACAATTTTGAGCTGCAGAGCTTAACTAGCATTTTCTGACATGGTTGTGCATGTCTCCTTCATGCTTGAAGAATTATCTTGTATCTGCTTAAGAGTAAGACCCACTGAACTGCTGAGGCCCTGTCCACCCTCTACGTTTAAAGCACAACACTTTAAATAGTCATGGCTTCCCCGTGGGAGACATAGTTTGAGAGGTGTGGGGTGAACCCTGTTCCTCTCACAGAGCTCATTTTCTCATGGAACTCTGAGAATTGTAGCTCTGTGATGGGAATAAGGGTCTCCCGACAAATTTCAGCACCCTTAACCCTTAAGCTACAGCTCTCCCGATTCTTTGAGGCAAGACATGGCTGTTTAAGGTGGTATCATACTGCTTCAAATGGTACACATGGGGCTGGAGATTGTCCTTAATAAATTTAGGAAATGGCCAGGATGGGTAATACAATGAAAACACTGTTCAATGCATTGGTATAACAAAATATATGTAAGTGCTTTAAATTGATGCACCGGCTACTCATCTTAACTGATAATTATTTACATCTGATATCATTTTTGATAGGGATTTTCATTTTTCAACAGTCTAAAAAAGCTGGTGGGAGATTTTAGCGTGTTCAAGACATGCAGAATAACCATGCTTCTGGAAGAATGGAAGGTAACATGCTAGTAGCCTTTTGCTTTCCGATAAAGAACATTTCATAATTGCACATGGAATAACACGTTTCCTGCTGTAATTGCATGAATGGGCTTAGGCGGCTTGAAGTGGAATTACCTGTATGTAGCTGACCTGATTACGTGTTTGTTTAGTTGATTAAAATCCTGGTAAATTACCAGTTAAATTGAAATTTTGTGATACTTACATGTAGCTAGATTGTACCTTTACAAATTACTAAACAAAAATGAAAATTGTTTGGAGGAAAATCCATCTGTAACATTATATATACAGTACCAGTGAGATTTGCAACAAAAAGTTGCTGTGTATCTTCGCACATCCTCGCAGAAGTGTTCCTGTTCAGGTTCCTGCCAGCAAGCTATGTTCCACTCCAAGGTACTGTAAGATGTGAAGAGCTCAAGCAGGGCCTTTTACTATGGTTTTTTTTGTAGCTACTGAGCATTGTAGAAATGCATATGCATACAAAAAACAATGTGAGTTATGCTAACTCCTGACTGAGCCATTTTTTGTGGGGATGTGCCCTTTTGGGGGGGACGGTTTAACTTCTGAAAATCTTGGGGTTCTTTTGAGCGTGCTGCTTCTTCTCTCTTGTTTCTCGGTGATCCTGTTTTGGCTCGGTTTCTTTCATCACTCACAACTTGAGTTCATTATGAGAGAGTGATTCCTCTTACACTAACACACAGCAGGCTAATCAGCATAGCTTCAAAAATGTTCAAATTCCATTGCTACCGTGGAAGTTCCAAATGTGGTTATAAAATGTAATACACAAAGCACAAAGGCTTGCAAAACAATCCTATGCATATTTACCCAGACTTAAACTGAACTAAACTTAATGGAGCTTGCTGCTTAAGATTGCAGCCTGGGCTCCAAAATAAGTGCACGTATTTGTATGTCTTAATTAACTTCTCTTTTCTAATATTATCTCCCAGAAAAGAGCTCAGTTCCATCTGAACTTGTTCAGATTTGCAGTTAGATGGTTTAGACAAAAGCTGCATTGAAGAGCTGTGAAGTGGCACTATATGATGATGATGATGCTGAGAAAAATAAAGTGTCGAGTCTGGATATGCTCAGCATTGGTTCCAAAGACAGACAAACCATTTCTACATCATTTTATCTATCACCATAGACTGCTGTCAGATCTCAGACCTAAAAGCATCAAAGACTCTTACAGGCTGCTTAACCTTCAGGAAGGCTGTTCAATGGATGATGTCAGAAATTCATATCGAGACCTTGCTAAGCAATATCACCCAGACAGTGGATCTGCTACAGCAGATTCTGCAACTTTTGTGCAAATAGAAGAAGCATATAGAGTTGTGCTTAACTATATGACCAAGAAAATGAAATCAAGTGAAAACAATGAGGAGGATGAGGAAGATAAATTCAAATCTAAGACACCACAACACAGACAGTATTTAAGTTTTGAGGGTGTAGGTTTTGGAACTCCAAGTCAGAGACAGAGACAGTATATGCAATTTAGAGTTGATCGGGCTTCTGAACAGGTCATGGAATACCGAAAGCAGAAAATGGAGCGCGAACTAGTAATGAGTGAGGCTATGTTAGCCAAAGATGTAAGGCAAAGTAAGAAGGCAAAAATCACTCAAGCGATCGAACGGTTGGTTGAAGACCTCATTCAAGAATCTATGGCAAAAGGGGACTTTGAGAACCTTAGTGGTAAAGGAAAGCCACTGCAAAAATTTTCAGACTGTCCACATATTGATCCTATGACTCACAACCTGAACCGTATTCTGATAGACAACGGATACCAACCAGAGTGGATTCTCATACAGAAAGAAATACGGGAAACAATTGAAAAACTGAGAAAGGATATGATGGCTTCTAGGAATAAACTGGGAGAGCCAATGACACCACAAAAAGAGAAACAATGGAAGGAATCTTGTGAACAGTTTACTGAAAGCATCCAGGCACTAAACAAAAGAATTAATGATTTCAACTTGGTTGTTCCTATTCTTAGCAGGCAGATGGTACATTTTAATGCTGGCAAAGAAATTTCGCGTGTACAGGAGAGCTGCAAAAGCCAGATGAAAAGGAATTCTGAAAAGGAGACAAAGAAAACAGAAAATGAAAGTAGCAGATCATCTGACATTAAAGCCAGTTTTTTTAAATGGATGAATCTTATTTTGAAATAAGATTACGCTGATAGCCATGTGGTTTAGCTACTAAATGTACACTAAGATTCATATTACTTCCAGAAGACATTACATTTTTCTCTTTACTGTCTTAACAGTGTTGTAGAAGTGTAGGAACAAATAAACACATTTATACCTGCCAGCATTGTTTTGGTTGGCATTCCTTTACTTTTGGGTATGTTGGATTAAATTTTAGAAAAATAAAATGTTAGATTACATTTGCAAATTAGGACATTTAAAAATGGAAGGGAAAACAGACAAGTTTTTGTTCTTGAAGCAAAAGGCAAAAAATGATATTCCTTCTCCACTCATTTTGAGACTTGTAAGTGAAGGCAGTTGAGAACATGAGTTTGCAAATTCTGTCTGACACAGCTGTTGCATATTATTTCATGGTTCCTGCTGTTCCACATTTGTTGCTTTCAGCTGCAAGTTGAGAAAAAGTGAAAACTTGGCCTCGGTATTTTTAAAATGTATGTTTCTGGATTTCTCCAATGACGACAATATTGCTTTCTTTTCGTGCTTTTAGTGCAATTAATGAATATGACTAAGTTAGACCAGTTAATTTCAATGGGTTTGCTTTCAGTAAAGCTTAGCTGAATACAGTACCACCCATCCTAGCCCAGGCAGGGTGGAGTTCCATTGTATTGGGTCCAGAACACTAAATGTACTAAATGTTTACATGTAGTTTGGCTAGCCTGGGTAGTAAAAGATTATTATAATAAAATTATATTTAATAGGAGCTGATGGTTATGATATCAGATCTATTTGTATGCTTTAGTAACCAGCACACCTCAAAATACGATGTCTATGGCAGCTATGCTTAACCAGCCTGGAGGAAAGTGTGAACAAAGGTGAATAAAAAATCAGTGCATATGACAACTGGGAAGGCAGGGCATACATCCTCCAGGGAAAACAGCCATAGCAACTAACAAAACAACCTGTTCTGCAGCTGAGTAACAATTATAAGGTTATTGTGTAAAACACTGTGTGGCAAGGCACTATGAAGGATCTTAGCAGCCTTTCCCAACCTGGTGCCCTCCAAAGTTTTGGGTTATCATTCCCATCATCCCCTGCCATTGGCTGTTACTAATGGGAGCTACAATCCAAAACAGCAGGAGGATATTGGATTGAGGAAGGCTCTGATGTTTAGATCTGAGATGGTAATAATAATAATTTATTATTTATACCCCGCCCATCTGGCTGGATTTCCCCTGCCACTCTGGGCGACTCCCAACAGAATATTAAAAAATAAAACATCAAACATTAAAAACTTCCCTAATCAGGGTTGCCTGTTTAGTAAACTTGTGGCTCTTCACGTGTGTGTATGTATGTCTTCATTAAATGCCTAGCCAACCCTTCTTCCCAAAGGAGACGATGGCAGCAAAAAACAAATCAGCAGAGCAGTATAATTAAAAGAATAAGGTAGTAGAGGCAAAGTGTAAAAACATCTAAGAACAAGATGCTGCTGGTCCCATCAGCCCCAGCCAGCATGGCAAAAGGTCAAGGATAAGGGGAGTTGGAAGTCCAAAACTGTATGGAGGGGCACAGGTTCTCTAGCCCTAGTTTAGAGGGAATAAAAAATTATTAGCACACACACTGTCAATATCATTTGAAGTCTGTAGAAAAGAAGCAGTATCAATGGAAATGAATATGGGAAACGTGTTGTAGCTACACTCATTTTGAAGACCTCAAGAGGCCGTGTAGTCCACGTCCACCCCATATAGCTGCCTGCCCGCCTTACAGCTCCTTGCCAAGGGCGCAAGGGAGCCTAGGTAGGCCTCTGCCTCCCGCCCCCCCGGCGCCTAAAAAAATCTTGTGGCAGCGAGTTCCACAGTTTAACTTCGCCCTGTGCTAAGAAGCACTTTTCTTTTCTCTCTCTCATTTCCCAACGTTCAGCTTTACTGAACGACACCGGGTTCAAAAATTACGAGGGGATAAAAAAACTCCGAAGTCGACGAGGTTGCGCGCGCTGAGGCCTTGGGCGAGCCTATACCGCGAGCTCCCTCTGCACCGCGCCCTGATCCTGGAGGCGGCGAAACCGCTCCAGCGACGGCAGCCACCTGCCCTCCTCGCCCTCGCGGGTGGAGCTCTTTTGCTAACAGCTCGCGAGGAGGAGGGAGGCGGGAACTGAGCGGGGGCGACAGCGCTCGAGAGCCTATCGCGAGTCCCCCTTGCCAACCGGCAAGCCTCGCGCGGCGTTTGGCGGCCCAATCAGAGCGCTCCCTGCCGAGCGTTGTGACGGAGGAGCCCCGGAGGTGGATTGGCTGAACTCCCCGCGACTTCTCCCCACGCCTCCGGCCGGCAGAGCAAGCCGGGTGACGGCCGCGGATGGAGCGGAGCAGGGGGTCTTCCAGGTGAGGGGGTCTCGCGCGGCGGTTGCGGCTTTTTCCCCACCCCTTTTTTCTGAGGGGATAACGACACGCCTGGGCGAATATTTCCTCTCCCCCCCCTCACACGTCCGTAATTCAAAACAAGTCCCTTGTGAAGGTGTCTCTTCCTCGGCCTGGAGAGAGACCGGCCCCGTCACGCCTTTTAGGGGCACGACCCCTCCTTCTTTGGGGCCTCTCTTCTCCGAGGGCCGCTCCCTCACCTTTTTCGTTTCAGGAGCGACGTTATCCCCCCCCCCATAGCTACCCGGGGGCGTGGGGGGCGGCGGCAGGGAGCCTGGCGCTCGGCTGCTGGTCGATTGACCTTCCTTAATGTCAAGAGGAAGGAAGGGGAAAGGGAAGGAGGCCGAAAAGTTTCCTTGCCACACTTTGAGGGAAGCATAAATATCTAAAGAGGGGGGTGGGTTAAATTCATCAGGTCCAGAGTCTGAAATTACTTCACTACACCACTGAGTCTATTATCCACCAAGAACAGGCGCATCTAATTATATATTTCCTTCCCACCCCACCCCCTGCAAAGCGGGGTTTCCACTCCCCTTTTACTTTCGCCCGCCAAGCTTCTTGCATGCATGGATGCATTTCTGGCTTCGTCTGCTCGCACGTTTGCGTATGTGCCTCCCCCACTTTTTTTTTTAGCTTAAAGTAGTTCGTGGGAATAGCTGGGGATGCGATTTCCGCTCACAGGTGTGCATCCACAGAGCTTTCAACTAAATTACAGACGCGATTACCTTGCGCATTATCTTTGAATCTCCTGAAACCGGTTCCACTTGTGGGACCATGCCCTGAGACGGTGACGAAAGCTTTTCTGGGTTCTTACGAGGGGCAAAAATCATCAACTGAATGAAGCCTTAATAGCATGTACTGGGATTTCTTTAAAACTCCCCCTACCCCGTCTTCTTTTAAATGTTTCAAACCAATGTTTGAAATGCAGGGATTTAATCAGCGGTGGTATGAGGATTCACTGATGGACCATGTTTTGTGTGGATGGGTTGGATGTCAGGTTGCTGTTTGGGGCAATGTAGCACAAGCAGCAAAGAGAGCTTTGCTTATTTGCTAGACGTTGGGGGTTGATTGGGCTGAGTTCTAAAGGAAGGCAGTCCCCATCAATGCTTTTGGAATAATTTAAAGGTTCACTTCTTTAAACTTCTTAAATTCGCCTTGCAAGTTTGTGTTTTTAAAGCAGCCCAAAGCGGTGGAAGTAAAAGTTAGCAGGTGTACAGCTTAACTAATGATTCACACATGCATATATATCATTAAAGCACTTCTTTGTGACTTGCAATGGAATATGTGAACTGTTTTCATTGAAAATTGTTGATTTATTATTATTAATTTCATTTCTATACCGCTTTATATTTAAAAAAAAAATCTCAAAGCGGTTAACAGAATATTAAAACATCAATAAAACAATTTGAAGAAAGTCAAATATAGAATATACAGTCAAAGCAACATTTAAGCACTTCAATCTAATTGATTTCAATGAGGTTATTTTTAAAGCATCTTTATATGGTTAATTCCCATGCCCTATTTGAATTAAATGAAATTTGCATCCCTGTTGTTTACAAGTTGTTTACTTAGAAAATGGGTCCCTAAAAGTTCAGTAGAAACATGCATAGGATTGTAACCTTGAAATGCATACCTTTGACTGCATAATGCCTTTTGTTTGCAATTTCTGATCTTCAGTGGCTGTCTTCCATCATCAGTTGATGATCTAATTGCTGAATGATTGACATGTATTGTAAGCCTGTTTTAAGTGCGTTTTTGACAAAGGCTTACTGGATACAGTGGTACCTCAGGTTACATACGCTTCAGGTTACAGACTCCGCTAACCCAGAAATAGTGCTTCAGGTTAAGAACTTTGCTTCAGGATGAGAACAGAAATTGTGCTCCGACGGCGTGGCAGCAGCAGGAGGCCCCATTAGCTAAAGTGGTGTTTCAGGTTAAGAACAGTTTCAGGTTAAGAACGGACCTCCAGAACGAATTAAGTACTTAACCTGAGGTACCACTGTACATTGATTAGAGATGGATGGATGGTGAGAGTCATCTTCATTATGAGATGCTGACCACAAGTATATTCACATTCTACTGTTTTTAGTAAAGTGCCTGTGGAGGGAAATCTGGAGAGTTATTCCATAGAATTTGGCTATGTTGTCTAATTGGCTTTTGCTCTATAAGTATACATTTTGCTCTATAAGTCTCTGTAATTATCCTTGCCATGTTTTCAACACTCTTTTGTAGCCTAAATCAGGATGTCTAGAGAAGGTTTTAGTGTTTCAGTTAATGGAGATTGTGGGGATGTGTTTTTCATTCTTGATAAACGCATTCTTGATAAACGAGTATAGCACCAAGGTTGGAGTGGAGGCCTCGGATAATGCATGTAGCACAAAGGTTGGAGTGGAGTGCCATATTTGCTGTGGCTTACCTCTTCGCTCCTGGTGTTTGTTATAACATTGTTATGGACTATGAGGATCAGTCTTTGAGACTTTGCTTTGTGGGTGATGCTGTCTCAAGCCTGTAGTTGGGTTCAATGATCTTCTGATTCTTTCTTGTACTGTAATTACAACCTCTCAATGTGTTACAAGGCATGTGGTGTTGGGCATTGTCTTCATAGAATCCTTTGTTAGCGTAAATCCCACCCCCACCCCTGTGAGAAATATTTATGGAATGGCTTGGGATAGAACAGGAGTAATTTGAATTTGAATACTGATAGGCTTGAGCTGTGGTTTTCAAAACATGAAGCTGTATTACCTAAGAAAGCATGGGACTGTTCTGCCCCACCCTAGTTTGTGCTGCATTAGACAAAAATTAGTGGAAGACAGGAGTGCCTGGCATGCTCTGGTCCATGGGGTCACGAAGAGTCGGTCATGACTGAATGACTAAACAACAACAGACAAAAATTGGGGGGTTGTGGTGGCTAATCCACAAGAAGTACTTCTTGTTTCTCAGAGGCATTTTCATTTCCTAGTTTTGCATCCTTTTAGACCAGTGAACACATTTTAGGCCTGTCATATAAACCTCTTTTCTTTTTGTCTGCCTCTTTCCAGAAGCATACTTTTTCCTTTCTTTCTTTTAAGATATACATGTTGCACCACACATAATCCTATAAGAAGAGGGAATGCCATTTTTTTAAAATGGAGGGGGCTTTTTAAGTTTAAAAAGGTGTTCCTCCTTACTTTGGTTGTAGTTTGTTTTTTAAATATTAGCATGCTTAGATGGCAAGCATCAACTTTTAATAGATCGATTAAATGCCTAATTCTTATGAATAATTTACAATTGAAAAAAGAGCAGAGAAATTAAGATTGCTTGCTGAGGACTTAGCTAGAGTACAGGTTTCCACTTCCTTTTTGATTCTGTATAACACTGAATCTCTTATATTGCAGTCCTTTGCATGTTTACTTATCAGTTAGCCCCACTATGTTCTGTGGAGCTCCCAGGTAAGTGTGCACTATGATTTTTTTTTTTTAAGTGAAGTGTTACACTTGATATAGCTGTGGAATATAACAGTTCAGCCTTAAGTATCTCTTTATTGTCCTACTTTTATGTGTTGGGTAGTGTAATCTTATCAACTCCTAAGAAAAAGTTGCTGATATATTTTATATTTCTGTCCTGCTCTTTCTCAAAGGAGTTCAGAGCTAGTATTAGCTGCATGAGATCTGTGAGCCAGGGAGTCCCCAGATGAAATCTCTCCTCTTCTGTGAGCTTGCAAGAAAGCCTTAAACCATTGTCTCTTAAGTTGCCTCCCCTGCCTGCCTGCAGCAATTCTGCCCAAGACATAAACATAAAACTTTATGTTCCTAAGTTTTTGCTTTTTTCTAAATTCCAAGAAATAGAAGGAACATAAATCTAACCCACAGTTCAGTTAGTTTTAAGATCCTTTTCAGCCTTATCCAGGACAAAGCATGAATGTAGCCCCGCTGATCTTATCTTTTGTAATGGCTACAACTAGACTAAATAAGTAAATAAATAATACACTGATCTTTTGGTTTCTCTCTCCCCCCTCCCTTTTTTTTTATTTAGGACTTGGAAGATTCATGAAAATCTAATGTAAATAACACAGGTAAAAGAGACATCCTGAACTTGAGAAATGGCAGGTTTCCTAGACAATTTCCGATGGCCTGAATGTGAGTGTATTGATTGGAGTGAAAGAAGAAATACAGTTGCTTCTGTGGTAGCTGGGATTCTGGTAAGTCTTAAGACAAATGCAATATGCCAACTGGTCTGTTGGAAGGGAGTACATCAGATTTGTCAGTGCCTCACTTGATGGTAAAAAAAAATCCGGTCACATTTACAGGATGTTTGCTCAGTTGCTTTGTTTGTATTGAAAGCCAACTTGTGAGTTCTTGTGCTAAATCACAGGTGGACATCCCATGAAACCCTCCCAGGTCCAGGAGAGCCTGCTCAGTTTGCTGATAATCAGCCATCAGCTGCATGGCAGAGAAAATATTCTTGTTCCATGTGGGAGCAACTGTCTTCTGTACACTAGAAACAGGAGGGGCTTTAACATCACCTCTAGCATTCCCAGTGTAGTCCAACAATATATGTACCCCTGATGGTGGCTGGGCAGCAGGGAGAATATGTGTGAGTGGGGACGGGCAGGGGAGGATCTGAGTGTTGGGCGTGTGGATGTTAATGGCCACATTCACCATCAGGGCTGGCCATGCCTGCCACCAGGCTGCAGTGCTGGATATTTGCCTACCATTAAGTTCCATTCAACTGAGAGGGATTCTGAAAAAGCAAGCTTGGAATTGCACTGTTAGTTGTCTATCTCTTGAACATGTGTTTTGTGTACACCCATTTTGCATGCTAGGCATATACCCCTACCAACACAACTGTGTCTACTTGAGAGGAGCCACAACACTTGCTATGTTGGTTAAGGCAAAGATGTTGCTGTTAGCATTCTTACCTTGCCAGAAAATGCTCTGAGTGTGGTAGGAATTGCAAAGTGGGGAGCTATTGGTTTTTTTGTCTTAAGAGCTAGCAGCAATTTCTTCCTGCCCATACAACTGGAGTACTGAGAACACAGATTTCTTAGATAAGCATATTTGCATTGATGGTTACTTTGGCTTTATTTCAGGCACACTTTGTAAATGTTTTAGAAATGGCGGCTGCGTTCCTGATTAATGTTTAATTTTTTCCCTCCTCAAGTGATGTCTTCAGTCACTATGAATTCAGATAGTATAAATTATTAATCAAATTAGCTTCTGTTTTCATGTTAATCATTAGCAGAAATATTGAGCTATAAGGGAAAGACATCTCCCCAACCTTATCTATATTCACAAACAAGCACGTTTTTAAATAAACAAATAGGTGTTGGTTGTTCATTGGTATATTGTTTATATGGTAAAGGGAGTATGATTGTGTGCTGTTTTAATATTGTGTTTATTGTACATTGTGGTATGTGTGTTTTAATGGAAAAGCAGTCTTAAAAGTTCAAAAAGCACTACCATTTATTTATCTTTTACCACAGAGGGGCACTCTTTTCATGAAGCCGGCTGTTGAATCTTACAGTTAGAAGCCAATACCAAAATACGATGCCTCTTAATTAGTTGGCTGGGAGGCCTTACTTACCATTTGAGTAAATATGGAATCTGTTTAGTTCTTCACTGTGGCCTCCATATTGAGCTCATCCATGGCAGGTGGATCTGGTAATATGGTTTATAGTACATGTGCACATGAATACTTTAGTGGTACCTTCTAGTCTTTGTGGCTGCGACGGAAATGAGTCCCTAGCTAAAACAATGCACTTTGGAGGGTGGGGGTGGGGTGGGCTAGGAAGTTTCTGTTAATTGGAGTGGGTAGCTGGGACTCAGATGATTACAAAGCCAGTGGAGTGAAGGAGAAGAGAAGCAGCAGAGTTATGTGGCTGACCTTTCTGTAGATATTTGCCATGGTTTAATGATCATGTGTTTTACAGTTTTTTACAGGTTGGTGGATAATGATAGATGCGGCAGTAGTTTACCCTAAGCCAGAGCAAATGAACCACGCATTCCATACTTGTGGAGTGTTTTCTACTCTAGCTTTTTTCATGTAAGTACATATAATGATAGGTCCATACAAAAGTAGCAGTTGTTCATCTCAAATGGCAAAGTGCACCTACAAAATAATCCCCCCCATCTTTCTTCTTTCTTTTCTCTTTTTGCTCTTGTGTTCTACTACTATTTCTCATCCTTTAAAATTGTTGAAGTGTGCATGCACAGCTTACTGTTTGTAAACAAGTCTTTCTTTCTAAAAGCAAAGGTTTCCATGCATACATAAATGTATTTCTCATCATCTTCAGAGACCCAGTTTCCCCCTATCCCTCCATTTCTTTTCCTACTCAATTTGTTCTCATGCTTTGAGCCAGTGTGGTGTAGTGGTTAAGAGCGATAGACTCGCAACCTGGGGAACCGGGTTCGCGTCTCCGCTCCTCCACATGCAGCTGCTGGGTGACCTTGGGCTTGTCACACTTCTCTGAAGTCTCTCAGCTCCACTCACCTCACAGAGTGTTTGTTGTGGGGGAGGAAGGCAAAGGAGAATGTTAGCCACTTTGAGACTCCTTCGGGTAGTGATAAAGCGGGATATCAAATCCAGTCTCTCTCTCTCTCTCTCTCTCTCTCTCTCTCTCTCTCTCTCTCTTTGTATCCACTCTACTAGAGTATAGTGACAGCCCTCTTTTACTTTTTGGCACTGTAGTACTGCTCACCAGACACTGTCATTGGTAACAGTCAAAAAGAGATTTAAGGATTGTAGTAGATAAATGACTAAACAAATATGACAACTCTAGTATCTGAGAGAATATGCATATACTGGGCATTTTGGTTTTGTTAACTGGTCAGGTTTAGCATCTGGATTCAAAAGGAAGATTGGGAAAGAAAAGAAAATACTTAAAATTGGAGAGGGAGTATTTTGTGGATCCAGATTAGTGGACTTGCTGCCTTTTAGTCTTTTGCACAATTCTTTAAAAAGTAATTTTAGCGCCTGTTTTTTATGTGTTGCAGGATAAACGCAGTATCAAATGCTCAGGTGAGAGGAGATAGCTATGGTGATGGATGTTTAGGAAGAACAGGTGAGGGTTCTCCTATTTATGCAGATAAATTCACACTTCAGTCTTCATTTCAAAACTTGGCTGTGCAAGCAGCGAAGAAAACATAACAAAACTTTCTGTCCTGGCACATGTCACAAAAAGCAAGATGTTGGACTGGTGCTGGTGGTACTGTCAATGGTGCACAGATCTTTTCATGCTCACATTAAAAAAATGTTAGTAATGATTTCTAATACTAACTAGATTTTATAAGAGATTTCAGATTTAACAAATGAGGGGGTGAAATTTATTGGTGAATCCTAGAAGCTCACGTGGTTTATCACTATCTTTTCTTGCCTTCTTCCATGGGACTCTTGTAATTTTATCCTCTTTGCAAGCATGTTAAGTAGGATAGGATGAGAGATGCTCTTAGAGTTATCAATTAAACTTCATGATGGAGCTATGAACCCAAGCCTCCTTTGTCCAAGTCTAAATTTCCCACCCCCACTAAATCACTTTGTATTAGCGTTGCCAGTGTTGTTGTTCATACCACCTACCGCATTGAGCTTACAGGTCAAAAAGCTTAGACTGAAGCATATCTCCCTGGCGACATATTCCCAGTTGTCTTACACCTGGTAGTACATTAATTTTCCTAGAATTTATCATGGATCACTGATTTAGCAGTTGAAGGTAAACTCTCCTTTATGTCATGCTGTGGCATGCTGTGATGATGAATGCAAGTCTTGTTAAATTAATTCATTTAAAAGCATTTGTAAACTGAGTATTTTAAAAAATCTCTTAGTATATACAGCAGAAAAAACAAAATAAAATAGTAGTATACAAGCAAATAAAACAAACATTCAGGGGATTCATGCGCGTAAATCAGGGTCTAATCTTATGAGTTGAAGAAAGCTTCAGTGGGATGATGAGGGATGCTGTTTCCCACTGCCCCCTTATTTCTGCATATTATTACCCTAGCCTAGTGCTTGACTTCATGTGTTCTTGCAGGCGCTCGTGTCTGGCTCTTCATTGGCTTCATGTTGATGTTCGGCTCCCTTATTGCTTCTATGTGGATCCTTTTTGGAGCATATGTTACCCACAGTAAGGATGGTTTATTTTTAATCAAGGGGAAAGAAATGCACTTATAAGTGTCTTTGTGTTAAATGAGAGAGATGCACATATCACATTATTAAATACCTTATTTTATTTTGAAATAAAATTAAATAACTTCTTTTGAAATAAAATCAAGGTATGCGTAGTTCTCTTCTTAAAAACAGTGGTACTTAAAAGTGCTTCACTTTGGCTGGATCATGCCCCTGCTGTTTTGACCAACATCTTCCACTTCCACTCTTCCTGCTGAAGAATCCGAAATGTTGTAGGACTGATCCAGCTGCTTTGTTGGCTGCTTATTTTCTGTTAGAAATTTTCAAGGGCAGAATTACTGGATGTAAAAACAATAAAATAAAAGATACAATGTTAAAACAAGAAAGAGATGGTGATAAGCACAGTCTAAATAAAAGCAGCAGGTGGCAGTATATTAGAAGTACTGGATTGGTAAATGTTAAAAATAGTCTAATGGCTGAATGTCGATGATAAAGTTGGCTTCCCTGTGGATGATTTGGGGTGGATGGGGAAGGTTTGTATGAGAGATGTTCCTGGAGGTAAGTGGGGTCTAGGCTGTTAGATCTTTAAGGGAATCGGGTGAAGGTCAGGTGGAAAGGTGCTCTTGAGACTCTTAATGGGTCTGATCAGGGCCTTGATAAAAGTTAATGTGATTACTTTTCTTGTTCATGGTACTTCCTAGAAACCTGTTTACCTAGCTTTTCCTCTTACTGCTGTGAGCCATGCAGGATCAGGTTCTATACAGAAGAGAGAGATCCTGCTGGCCTAATACTCTGACTAAACTTTAGTTGACTTGTGTACAAATACATTGTTTCATGACAAAATTACCAACACCCTCTATAGATTTTTGAAAAGTCAACACTTTGCACTCCAGGTTGTTGCTGCTTATTCTATATTGTTTTCGCTGCAGCAGTCTTAACATGGCTACAGTATAGAAATATGCACATGTCTGTAAGTCACAGAGTATAAATCGGCTTCTTACAAAGAATCAAGGGAGCTTTTTAGGGAACTGCAAGCTCCTTTGTTCCTCTTCTGCTTAACAGCCACAACTCTCAAACACTGCGAAAGAAAAATGTTCTCTGGGTTCCTTTCACCCAGAAAGGCTTCTGCCACCTGCTGGAAGGAAAACAACAGATGTCTTTCCATCATTTAGCCACAGACTGTTTTCGACTCTGTGGCAGTGAAAAAGGGGGAACTATTAAATTTGGGCAAAGGGTCAAAGCGTGGAAGCCGGAAAAAAACAACCCATGTGGTTTCAAGTCCTATCCTGTAGCTGTAAATGTTCAATATGCTAATGTAAGTAAGCTTGAGTGATGGCTATTTATGAAAATGTGCATACTTAGGACACAATCCAAATATCCCCTTCTTGAGACTTTGCTCTCTCCTCAGTCTTGCAGCATTTCCAAAGCACTGAATATTCTTGTGACAAAGTGCAGTGTTTTGGGGTGACACTGGAATGTGTAGAAACCTACTGTAGGGTGGGGGATGTCCGACTTCATAGCATACTCCCATAGATCAAGTCTTAATTGTTTGTAGATAGAACTGAATTATCATGATCCATCTCCCCCCTCTTTAAAAATGCCGTTTCATAGCTAAATGAACACAACATAAACTTAGTAGTGACAAGTTTTGAAAACTTGTCTCAATACTTACCTATTTATTGCATTTTTATTTTATAGATATTAATGTCTACCCAGGCTTAGCAGTGTTTTTTCAGAATGCTTTGATATTTTTCAGGTAAGTAACTAATGCCTCCAAAGTCTAATAGTTATAACGATACAGATGTTTTCGGTTTGCACAATTTACTCAGACGATAGAAATGGGTGTGTGAGGGTTCATTGTGGTGTTCTAAATCTCTGTGAAAAATGATGTTACTAGAAGCCAAATAATGTTCATTAATCATAATACACAAGTGACAGAGATTGGGGCATACAGCTCTACCAGTATAGTAGTGCCAGTTATCATGTCATCTGCTTCTAGAATTTTGATAATTTTGCCATATCATCATTGGAAAGAATGTCTGTCTTACAGATCTAAACTTTTGTTTTCATAGCACCCTTATCTACAAATTTGGAAGAACTGAAGAACTGTGGGCTTAAGAGTACTTTTTTCTTCATCTTGCTTAGCGAGCCTTGTATGTAAATATAATTTACATTTCTGTTTTATATTTTGCCAAATAGATGTTGCATTACACCTTTTGTATGTTTACTTATTTTTGGAACGTGAACTGATTTAAATATTCTGCTCAAAGTTAGCTATCTTTTCATAGAATGGATAGTAATGTGAATATGTACATACTATGACTATCTGTAAAATATAAAAGTGAATGTTAAACTTTCATTGCACTTGGCAGTTTTTTTCTGCTCTGATATGTGAATAATGTTTTGGGATTAAGGCTCATAGCTTGTTCAAGATCATATACTGTTCTTAAGCACAAATGAGCTGTAGTAGCTTCCTGAAGAGTTGAGATTTTGATTTGGTGATCAGAAAGTGAAGTTAAAGAATATTAATCTGAACGGCATCTCCAAATAGCCATTGATGCATGACCCCCAGTAAGACAAATACGTTATTTGGAAGTGTAGTATACTCTGGCATCATATGCTGAAATTTCATCTAGCGCTAACTTCCCAATTACTAGGAATGTTTTACGCTATAGTACAAAATGTGTACTGAACAAAGGAGGCATGAAGTATGTATGGAAATTCTATTTAGCAAAAAAACTCACGTAAAAAACCAAAAGATCTTAAGCATTTATTTGGTAGTGCAGCATGCCTTAAAATGGAATGGGCCAATCCTTTCTCAGTGAATGCACTGTGAAAAATATTTAAGACTGACGTATTAATGTGTTTGACAAGCTGTAGGAGAATTCTAGGTTTGAACTTTTAAGGTGTGTTGTCATAAACCCATCAAAATGTCTTGTCAGACATTACTAATTTTACCATGAGACTGACTGATATTTCACATGCTTGTGCAATTGATATTCAGAACAAAGGAGCGATCCCAAGTTCAAAGCATCACAGGACTGCTTGTTTTGTTGCTTACTACACAAGGAAAAAAGGGACACAGGTGGCACTGTGGTCTAAACCACTGAGCCCTAGGGCTTGCTGATCAGGTCGGTGGTTTGAATCCCCGTGACGGGGAACTCCCGTTCGGTCCCAGCTCCTGCCCACCTAGCAGTTCAAAACCACGCTGTGCAAGTAGATAAATGGGTACTGCTCCAGCGGGAAGGTAAACGGCGTTTCCGTGCGCTGCTCTGGTTCGCCAGAAGCGGCTTAGTCATGCTGGCCACATGACCCGGAAGCTGTACGCCGGCTCCCTCGGCCAGTAAAGCGAGCTCAGCGCCGCAACCCCAGAGTCATCCGTGACTGGAGCTAACGGTCAGGGGTACCTTTACCTTTATACAAGGAAAAAGCATATTTAAACACAATTCACTAGATTTTTCTCTTCCCTTTTGTCCAGAATCTAATCAGCTTCTCTGATGAGACTATCATCTATTTTCCATGTTTTTCTGAACTTTATTGTAGTGAATTACAATATGTATGTTTAGGTACTGTGATGTTAACTGGAACTACCTGTATTTTATTTCACCCAAGCCAAATTGTGTACTGAGAAGCATATCAAACTGCATCATTTGCAAAATGTAACAAGGACTCCATGTTAAAAATATTTTTGCAAGACAGGGTCTAGGGGCATGAAGAAGAATCAGATGAGGTAAAGGTACTCTACATTCTGATTTTTGGAGACCCTGCAAAATGACCTTTTCCAAACATTCTTCACTTTCAGACTTTCGGACTTCTCTCCCAACCTAGGAAATACAGCTGTGTTAGTTTATTTTCTGAAACCATTTTCATTTGTCTTCAGAGCCCTTTTCAGGACAGACTATGAAGCAAATACTATGCTAAGAGTTGTCCTCTTATGACATTAGACTATCTTGCTTGTTTATTGTAAATACATTAAAATCCAATAAAGATTGGTAATGTATTTTGTTTTACAAATGCTAAAACTCCTCAGTATTCTTCTACAGTGTAATATTCTCTCTTTCACACAAACACATATAGATATATCTGTTGTACAATGACGTTCCGCTCTGGCTGGATAAAGTGATTTTAAGTGAACTCTGAGTTGAACTTCAGGGCCATTGCAGAGCCTCGCATTGCTCTATTTCTATATGCATATGAGCTTTACAAGATGTGATTCTGCCCAGCATGGCATAGTGAAAAGTTGGGGGTTTTTGTTGTTAAAACACAGCAGTGTTGCTTCCCCAAAGCTTGAGAGGCTAGACTTTAAAGCTGATTGAATACATAACATTTTAACAATAATTGGTAAAAAAAAAACAAAAAACTGCCAGTGTCCTTTGATAAAAGCATACATGTCCAAATTAGTCTTCTGAAATCAATTAACCTGATGTCCTTGCTACTGTTCACTAATTTTGGTCTCAGCTTAGGATTCACAATTCAAGTAGGTATTTTATTCCATAAGTGCAACACCCCCCCCCCCCAATCTCTGAAGTATTTGCATTAAAGTGGTAAAGGTGATTTGAACATCAGTAGCATACTGCCCCAGGGGTCTCCAAAAAGAAGGTAGCTGCAACTATTCTTCTTAAAGGAATTAATTTTACAAAAGATTGAAAACCACAAGAAATCAGTCAGGATTACACAGTAATGTTTACACTACTTGAAGTGGACAGGAACTTGTTTGTAGGGTATGGCTGCTTCCTTCTCAGAAAGAATGCATTGGCACAAACCACTGAATATTTATATTACATTCAGGATTAACCTGCACTTCTAGATTATTTTCTTTTACTAAAGATTAAAAACGAAATGGAGGTGGCCTATTTCATTGTCATTTAATTTATTTATATCCCACATTTTCTTTTAGGCAAAGCCCAAAGTGGTAAATAGAAAACAGAACACAAAAATAGATGAGTCTAAACACAAAAATAGCATATAATAAAAAACAAGTGAAAAGAATACAGTAACGCCATTAAATTAATAAGAATGTACACTAGTTTTACGACCTGATCTGATAGCGATAAATACCCGTTACTAGCCGAAAAATAATGGGTTAATATGTATCTCAGACAAAATATATTAAGAACCCTTTATACCTTGCAACTGAATTCCTGTATTCCGTACCTTCTTCCCAGTATTGTTTCTAGGGTTTTATCACAATATGACAATAGATTTTCTGCTTTCAAAATGGAGCTTGCAAGGCAATGGGCAAAACTAAAACAGATTCAAAAACACATTTAAAAATAAGGACAGACAATTCAAGCAAAATTTATCCACAATAACATGTAAAATGTGCAAGAGTGCAAATTTAGAAACAAACATTTTCATCTGTCACTAGAAATTATAAAGTGAAGGCAGAATACGCAGGTCCCCCTTTCTGAACATAATGCAGTCCCTGGAAATAGTTTGATAGGTGAGCATTCACATAACAAGTTGGTGATTCCTATAGGAAAATTTCTAAAGTGTTCTTGACCATGAGATTTTAACCCCTAAAAGCAAACACACACCCAGGAAAACCCTCTTAACCTTACTAAAAGTATCACCACAGTTCCTCAGCCAAACAGAAAAAGGCAAACAAGGAAATAATAAATGCTCTCTCCTTAGCTATTTGAATCAGTGCTGTGTAGTGAGGTTTGGGTACTAATTCCTCCTGTTCAGATAAGTGAATTTTCACATAGCAAGCATTCAGAAAGTGGGACCTCCGTGTAATTTAATTACTTGATAAAGCATCACACAACATAACTGTTGCAAAATAAAGGTTCACCAGTTTAGATCTTGTTACAGTAAATGAAATAATGCAGAGGAAAACCATTTCACGTGGCCCCAGTGAAGAGCAAAAACCTGTACGGCCCAGTGCTTTAGAAAAAGATCAAATAATTTCAGTGGATTTTTCCTCTGCGCTGTAGTCTGAGTAAGGACCGACGTAGTCTGTACCAGCTGAAGTACTCAAACAATCTTCAAGGTCACCTTATTCCAGAATGGATACAGTAACCTAAGTGAGAGGTTATTGCATGAATGATGGAAGCAAGTACCGAATCAGCAAAGAAAGGGCTGGATTCAACTACTTGGTTCCATTGGCAAATGCCAGCACAAAGACTCGCAAGCAGCAGAACAAAGTTTTCCCTGCTCTCCTCCCCCAAATCTACTCTGCAGGGTCGGGAGAACACCCAGAAAAAACAGCATGCAAATGGAGGAAAGGGGAGATGGTTGTCAGGCAAGCAGAAACGCTTGTGCTGGTGGAACAATCTCCGACCACTAACATGAATTCCATCCAAAAACTGCAGCAGCCCCACTAGCCAAAATCCATGGAAAGAGCTTATGTACATTAAGCAGCAAAGGGGAGTATCAATTGGCACCTCCAGATTGTCTTTCTGCTCTTTCAGCAACCAAGACAGGTAAAATTGCTAACCTCATTCCATCAATATAAATTATACAATTCAGTGCCTGCGGCGGGTAGGAGGGACCCTTCACAGTAATTTGACAAGTGTTCAAATACATCCATAATCAAGTCACAGCATATAGCATGTGTGTCCTCTTAATGCTTTTACTACTGGTTTCTCATTCACAGTTTCACACATGGATAGTGTGTGTGTTTTTTGCAACTAACTGTTCTTAAACAGAGGGCATTAATACAATTTCTCTGTAGTGAAAGTCCACAAGTTGACGTTGAGGTTTAGCATCAGTACATGAGAGTTGAAGGCACTTAATCATCTTGTCATCTATGTTCTTCCACTGTCAACTCTTCATTTTGATCAGTGAAATTGTCTGTCACAGTTTCTCTTTGTTCAGAGATTTCTGACACATTGTCCCAGTGGTCTTCTCCAGCACAGTTCTGAAATTCTTCAACCACAGTCACGTGAAGATTTTGTAAATCCTGGAGAAAAGCAGCATTAGATTGTTAGAATCTAGTAATTCTATTCTGCTGGTTTAGTTCTCCCTTATGAATATGGTTTGCTATTATAACTGCCCACATACAGAATGGCAAATTTCAGAACTCTTACTTCCAGGCAAATTCTACTGAAATCAATGGGAATTTCATCTAATGTCATGTAAAAACATCTTCATTTGGTTGGATTAATAAACCAAGAGAGTGACTTTTTTGGAGTTCAAACTTCAAATTAACTAGTAAGTTTCATGGCATGATATCTACTAATTCAACTTGGGTTTTGCAGCCTCTCCACTGTGCTCCAAATTCCAGCTGGTTTATTTTGCTGTTACGTAATATTTTGATAACTTCAAGGCTGGCGTTTTCAATATCTATGAAAAGCATTTCTTCAAATATCTGAAAGTTATCTCACTACATCAAAACAAAAATATTTACTGTAAGACAGATAAATACAAATGCAAATATTCACTCACAATACTAAAGAGGTGGCTGCAGTGATAAAAAGCAAAATTTAGCAGCATAATTAAGTTGTAGCGCTTCAGATCATGGTATGTTCCCATGTTACTATTTCCCCTAATTCAGCAAGCTGCTAAATAAATATGCACATAAACCTATATCCATTCAGGTATCTCCAACTGGGCAAACAGTGGTATCCAAATAGCCAAATCAAGTGTCTGCAAATTTGCTCACTAAGGAGGTGCCACAGTGGAGATAGCCAAGACTCAGACATCCTAAGCTTAAATTTTGAGACTGCAGCAGGAAAAGTGAAGGGCACATCCACAATTCCAAGCTGTGGAAAAGGGTTGAAACTCATCCATTATCCCCATGCATTTTAGAGGTGACTGAACAGAAGATGGACAAGCCCTAGCCTTCAGGAGCTTGAAGAGTTGGGGAAGGTGCAGGACTCTCAAGAGCAGCCAAAATGCAGGGACTACAGAAAATGACCCTGTTTTAAAAAACCACATGCTGACATTCTGCTAATAAGCTGCTTGTGTGGGGAGTAGAAGAGGTGGATTCATTCCTACCGAGCAGCTGATCAACAGAATTTCAGCTCTCTTGTTTTTTAAAAGGAGTAGCTTGTGCTGAAGCAGCCAGGAGTGTTTAATACAAAAAGACAAAGGATCTAATGAGGTATCCAAAATGTAATTAGGGTAATTAAGATTTTCTCCTGCCAAGCACCCTCCACAAAAAATTCAATGTTCTCAAAAATCTGTAGGTTACATCTTATCCTATAATTTATCCAGGTTTTATATATGAGCTCCAATCCCTTCTCTAGTCATACTTCCCAAGGGTAGAAGCAGGCCTAAACCCATGCTGTTCTCCACTTGATACATTGCTCTTAGCCTCTTTCCCAGACCTAGACCTAGCCCCAAAGCATCAGCATCCTATATGCCTTGAGATACAAGTGAGGAACAACTCACTTGCCACCTCCAAGCCCTGGCTGAAAGCAGAAAATGCATTACAAACATACTGCCTCTTTCTCACTACTCTCAAGCTGCTTCCAGAAGGAAAATCAATTGATCTCTGCACTCTCCTCCATTTATTTTTTCATACCTAACTTTCCACACCTAATTTCCCCAAGAACGCAAGGCGGCTATCAAATCAGATAACAGTATAAAAACAAAATAATCATAATCCCACCCCTGCCATGGGATCCACAACAGCCCTCTGGTCTCTCTCTAGGCCACACCCCTTCCTGGCTCAGCTCCGCACCCTCTTCAAGCACATAGTTGCAGTACTGGCAGCTGTAATTGTGCATGTGTTTAATAAATACCTCTCTTCACTGATAAGCACCAGGAAGGAAGAAATAAGTTTGATCTATTCCTGAAACATTTTCACTGGGTGTTAAACTAGCAAGCTTAAACCACCCTTAGGCTTCTTTTTCACTGAGTTGGTAAATCTACCTGGATTATGCTACCTTTATGCAACAAGTGGAGGCTCACATAATGCAGTGTTCTTCCATATATATATCAAAATGGACCTAATAATAATAATTATTTTTTATGTGTCACCTATCAGACTGGGTTGCCCCAGCCACTCTGGGCAGCTTCCAACAAAGTATTAAAACACAAAAAACCTCAAACATTAAAATCCTTCCTGTAAGGGCTGCCTTCAGAGGTCTTCTAAAAATAGTAACAAGCTCATCTATGTCAATTCTACTCCACCCCAGACTATCTTCTCTCTTGAAAGAAATGGATCAGTCCATCTTTGTAACTTCAACATTACACAACTGATGTTCATCAAGCCAACACTAATACTTCAGTTCTGGAAATCCTAGCCTTCAAAAAGCTACTGATGAAGTACATTATTTGTGCTGCTTGCCTTCTATCACTGTGCCATTGAGAGCGTGCTCACTTATGGCTTATGTGTGTGGTACGGAAGCTGTACTACCCAGGACAGGATGGGGTTGTGCAGGGTTGTTAAGGCAGCAGAGAGCATTGTTGGCTGCCCACTCTCCACCTTAGAGCAGATTTATGCCACAAGGTGCCATAGGAAGGCACTGGACATAGTAAAAGATCCATCGCATTCTGGTCACTGTCTCTTTGAGCTCTTGCCGTTGGGACGGAGATACAGGACGATGAAGACAAGAACGAGCCGTCTTAAGAACAGCTTCTTCTCCAGAGCGATCTTGGCCCTGAATGGGAAGCCCGGACTTTGAAAGTCATCTAATCTCCCTTGCTGTATTATACTGTATTGATTAATTAGTGTTTTTATGGAGCAGTCAAGTAATTTCGTTGTCCCCGAAGGGGGAACCCACCAGGAATTGTGAAACAAGAGTTTTAAACCACTGTAACTCAGCAATTGTTCACATGGTTTCCCTGAAACACGGACAGCTTAACTTCATCAAGAAGGTTATCCACAACAGACTAAATTATATCTTTTTTATAAGGGATATAGTCTTTTGCTTTATAATGGGGAAAATACTAAAAAGTGGGTAACTCCTCAACTATACAGCACTTTCCATGGTTGTACAACAACTTGCAAAAATGCCAAAGGGCACAGAATGCTAAATGACCCCATACAGGAAAAGAAAGGAAATATGTGGGAGGAATGCAAAGGAATTGGGGGCTGGAATCCTGAACAGAAGTACTTCATACTACACTATTTTATTGGGGAGCCCAACCACCAACTTTCTAAACTCTATTACTGTAGGCTATCCACTTTATTTCACCCTATTAATCTCTACAGCAACAGCAACCTACACAAGGAAAGACTTGAAGTGCTAAATAAACAAGAAATCTGAGATGTTCTGCTGGGCCAAACCCAAGAATTATATTCATAATTGCATTTTATAGCTGGCTAACTTCTGAGGTCATTGAAAAACTACCCAGTGAAATGTTAACTGAAGTTTCCATCTAGTCAGGAAGGAACTGAGAAAGAGAAGTTGAATGACGTAGGTTGTGTGAAGAAATACTGGAACTGCTCAAACACTTAGTTGACTCTTTGACTAACCAAGGCTTTCCAGATGTTGGAAGACAACAACTCCCATAATCCCTGATCACTAGCTATGCTTGCTGAGGCTGATGGGAGTTGGAGTCCAACATTTGGAGGGCCACAGGTTAGCCAGTCTGGCTCTAAACCTATGCCACTACAGATTAACCACACTGGTTTTAAAATCAGTGGAAATCCCAGTACACATACCTCTTTGAAGTGGGATGGAATTGTTAGAGGCGGCTTCCAAAGTGCTTTGATTACACTTCTATATTTCTGAATTAACATTATGCACACAAATATTCCAATGAGTATAAGTATTGCAAATCCAAATATCAGTACGACATGCAGAATTCTCGTTAACTCTGGAGGAAAAAACAATTATTACTAATTTTATCTCAAGAATTATAGATGAAACAATTTCTCAATAAGAATGTTCACAATATTGGGACAACAGCACTGACCACCAAGGCAGCTTCTGTGAGGGAAATGAAATGTGAGTTTATCTCCACAAACTGCATGCAGTGCTTCCTGTCTGTGCTGTTGACAGAAAAAGGTGGGCTGGTGGGCAGAAAAGTCCATAGACAAGTTTGTTAAAGGCAAGTGGTACGGTGGGGGGGTAGTACACAACAGAATAAGCAGAGAAAACCCCAATGGAAAAAGAAACTCTGGGGTGGGGGAGAAAACGAGGTGCAGTAACTAACAACAGGAGAACAGAAAGATGAGTGAGCTTTGGAGGTAGGGAACTACAAGGCTGGGAGCCAAGGGACTTTTTTGATATGCAAGGCTGAATTTCACATTCTCAGCTGAACTAAGCAGTCCCTAGTAGTTTATATTTGGAGAAATGGAGCAATGAATGTTAGATCATGACAATTGTACAAAAAAAAACCTGCTTCCTTCAGTTAGGGTTAGAACTAAGATTTACACCACTATCCTGAACACATTGCACAGTGTCCAACTAAACATTTCCACCAGCACAAGGAATTTGAAGTGTGCAGCAGAACTTCTCCGCCCTTGCCACTCCCTGTACCACCTCTACATCTGTCATGGACTTTCCCCTAACTCTTCAGAGAATACTTCGAGGTAGCACTGGAAGAGGAGAGGACAGGGAAGTTCAACTGCAAAGCTTCAAGTCCTTAGGCTAGTGTAACTGTTTAGTTGGATCCTGCCCATTATATAGTCCATGTGTTGGTAACCTCAAGGTTGGATACTGTAACATGCTGTATGTGGGTCTGGTTTGAAAGCTCCAGCTGGTGCAGAATGCGACAGCCAGACTGCTGATGGGGGCCAAGAACATGTTTCACCGCTGTTAAAACAGCTGCACTCGCTGCCCATCTACTACCAAGCCAAGTTTAAGGTCCTTATATTAGGTACAAGGTACTTCAGGGACGGAACCCTTATATCCCAGCTTGATTATGGAGATCAACGGCAGGTGGGTCATTGATCATTCCTCAAATTGCTAAGGCCCACCTGTCAAGAAGAAACTGAACCTTTAGTGTCATCAACTCAGCCCTGTGGAATATTCTGCCAACAGAGATTCAGAAGGCACCTACTAACACTTTTTAATGCCTTCCAAAAACTTTTCTATTTCACCAAAGAATTTTAAGAATACTGTACAATATTCCACATTAGTTAATACATCTCTGGTTTTAATTATTACTACTTTTATGGTTTTTATTGCATGGTTTTCTGTATTATGGTAAACCACTTTAATATTTTTCTATGAGGTAGCGGGATATAAATATTTTTAGAAATGAAATAAATAGAAGACTATCAGCAAATTCAATGGAACATGTTGAAGCAATCACTGCTTCCCGCTTCATCCTGTGCATAACCAAAGAGTATTTCAGCATAGCAGTGTACAAAGGCTGAAAACCTAAAATCCAGTAAGGAAAGAGGGACCACCAATGCACAGAGTATAACGTACAAGCCACTTAGGACAGCAAGTCTGCCCTTGAAGCCTAGACATTTGTTAAATGGAAGCACATCAATGAGTTATTTACTAATTAACAGCTACATTTAGGTAAAGGTAAAGGGACCCCTGACCATTAGGTCCAGTCGTGACCAACTCTGGGGTTGCGGCGCTCATCTCGCTTTATTGGCCAAGGGAGCCGGCGTACAGCTTCCAGGTCATGTGGCCAGCATGACTAAGCTGCTTCTGGCGAACCAGAGCACCGCACGGAAACGCTGTTTACCTTCCCGCTGGAGTGGTACCTATTTATCTATTTGCACTTTGATGTGCTTTCAAACTGCTAGGTTGGCAGGAGCAGGGACCGAGCAACGGGAGCTCACCCTGTCGCGGGGATTTGAACCGCCAACCTTCTGATCGGCAAGTCCTAGGCTCTGTGGTTTAATCCACAGCGCCACCCGTGTCCCAACAGCTACATTTAGTAGCATGTTTATACATTTGGGGAACACTACTCTCAAGCATCACATTGCAGACCTGCTGCACAGGTAAGGGGAGCAGCAACCTTTTTTTGCCTCATAGTCATGGTCCATAGGAACCTACATTACAACAGTCTCTTTGTGAAGCTTTAAGTAATATATAATCTGGTAGGAGCAGAAAAAAATAATATGTGAGATACTATTAACAGTAGCATACTTTCTAGCCATCACATTTGGAAAGGGAGCAAAAAAGCAGATGTAGCAATTAGAAATACTTAGATTTTTTTTTTTACACATTTCCTATATAAGGAAGTAGAGAATGTGTGAAAACAGCATGAAGATAATCATGTCCAATAATTGCTAACATCTGTTTTGCTGAGTATACATGTGTTAGGAAGATGAAGATGGCTGTAGGTTCTGGAGCAGGGATAGCTAACTCTCAAACCCCTTAAGCAAATTATTTCTCACACACTGCAAAGATCCCACCAATTTGGGTGGTGGTTGTGGGAGTAGTTAAAATAGAGACAGCTCAGTGCTCTGATGAAGATGCAACTCGTCCCCTCCATGGTCATCAGCTTGATCATTTGATGAGGGGAGGGGAGGGGAGGGGAAGCAATAACCCCCTTCTGCACGGATCAGGCAGTCTGCGCCTGTGTATGTGTGGGGAAGCTACATCCTCCAGTAGCATGCACCCCCCACAGAATTGGCCAAGAGTGGATATGACCCTTGAGACAAAAAAAGCACTGTGTACATACAGCAACATGGATATGTGCTGTCTTCAAACATGGAAATCTGTTTCACACATTTTTAAAAATCTTACACAGAACTTTTTTTGTAAACGAGACAGCAGAAATGACCCTTAACACATTTCTCAACCCTGATCTCTTTGCAAAATATTTGGCATACAAAATTTCCAATTCTGTATTGCCAATGTAGCTGCTCAATGAAGTCATTTAGGTGCCCAAAACTCCTCCGTAATATATTAATTGAAACAATTTTAGCATTAGGAAATAAGTAGCCAAAGTGACCTCACATCTTCAAGTCCACATCAGTTTCATGACACAGAAATAACTGTATTGCTTATGAAGAAAATACACACCAATTGTAGTTTCTTTGCACTTGATTTCACTTTTTTGGCATGTTAGGATTACATGTGGGATTGATGCTGTTACTTGAAAGCAATATACAGTCCTTTCCTTCAGATTCTTGAATGTTTCCCTCCTATTCTTGCTCAAAACTCTCAGCTGTGCAGATGGGAAGATGGAAAAAGTAAGGCGGTATTATATAGCAATAATAAGCAAATTGACTTTACATCTATTCATACAAGCTGCACAGTTTAGACCTTATTAGAATGTGGAGATACGTTTTAGTTTGCATGTACATTCCACAAGCCATTCTCCAAAATAGTTTTACTCTGATTCTACTAAAAACTAGACGAAAGTCACCAGGATTTCTTTGGACTGCTGAAACTTATGCTTCATAATATGTTAAAACCACCAGAATTTGCCTTGGCCATTAGCATAATGTCACAACAACAGAGATCTAATGCCATGTTTGACTATGTTGCAAAGTTGGCATTTCTTATCTCAAATTTTTACAGTGTAGCTGCTGCCCCCCCCCAAAAAAACATGGTGATCTAATTTCTGCCCATCTCACCCAAGTGATTGTCATTTGTCCTTCACTAGCTGCTCAGATATTTTTGCACTTTAGAAATGATACAAACAATACGCAGATGATCAAAATGTACCTGAACATCTGCAGCAGAAATGAAGAAAATATAGGTGCATTCCAGAAGCTTTCCAAGTAAACAATAAAATTTGCAAAACACTATTTTCAGAAAATTCCTACTGAAATAGCCCATCCCATTCTTACTAGAATTGATTGATAGCAGGCTGAAACATCCCTTTAGATGTAGCTCCCTCTCTCCCTAAAGTGTGTATGTATTCACATTCAAACCCATGCCCACCCCTATATCATAAATAGGGCTTTTTGCTACTTGTTTTTTTTAGTCTTTCAACTTTTCCAGGAATTACTGGCTTGCTGAGCAAAGGCAGGTACTCACTATTTCACTTGTTGATTCCTCCCAGTATTCAATTAAATATTCAAAATATTCAGTTTTATTTTCTGCAGGCTCAAAGGGAGGCAAGAAGCTTATATGAATCATGGTACCGTCTGAGCTTACATTGATTGCTCTTGGAGGTCCTAAAATAGCTGAAATGGGTAAATGCAAACAAGTATAAGTCACATTTTCTACTAATTGTGATCAAACATAATCCAATCTGAAGTCTCACATGGATTCTGGGATGGACTTCTGCTGGGTATACTAACTACAGTGGAACCTCGGGTTACGTACTGTCCCCTTTGCAAATCCTTCAGGATCAGGATACCCAGAAGTAGCGGGAAGGTTTCCACCACCCGCGCATGTACAGAAGCGGGCTACCGCCACACGTGCCTGTGCAGGTCAGGCGCCGCTGGATACGAATGTTATGGGGTAAGAACGGACTCCCAGAACAAATTAAATTCATATCCAGAGGTACCACTGTAGTTCATTTCAATGATGGCAGCAGATCTGCATTCACAAAGGAGTGCACAGCTGCAGCATTTTCTGCTACTGTCATTTACATAAGTGGAGCAGCCTTTGCAGGAGTGGAATATCTTGGTGGTCTCTGATACCTTTCAAGAAACCTCTGCAAGAAAATCTCATGAACCCTGGAGAAGTTATGATGACAAAAGCAGTAGTGGGAGCAGAAATCAGATTGCCTATCCATGCACCCAAGAATTCACCTTCATATAGAACAGAAGGGGAGAATTTGTTGCCCCTCAGATGTTGCTGAACTACAGCTTCCATCAATCCTAGCAAGCATGGATAATGGGATAATGGGAGCTGAGTTCCCCAACATCTGGAGGTGCAAAGGTTCCCTACACCTCTGTAGAATTTGGTAGGGAATGTGACATGACAGGTATTCTTAAAACATCTGGACAAGTTAATCTTATTACATGTGTTGGGAATATTTCATTCTGGCAAATGATAAAAGTTCTCATTTGTTACTACCACTCAGCAACATCCGTGGAACACTGGTTCATGTCATGCTAAATCAAATCATGACAGAGCACAAATGCACAAGCATGTGGGCACCAGGAACGGCGATCATGACTGCTTTGCTGCTGCTCCCTGGTTGTTCTACTACTGTGCTGCACTAAGAAATGGCTTGCTTAGCATATCATCCAAACCAAGACTCCTGGTTAAGGTTTCCCAGATAAACCATAAGATATAAACCACAGGACAAACCTTGGTTTCAGCTCATGGCTACTCTGAAGAAAACTAAACCACAATCCTGGTTTCAGACAATATACTGAGTGGTATTCAGTTTAGACCAATTGAAATTAATGGGCCCAAGTTACATCATGTTCAATGTGTATACTCTGAGTAAAACAAAGTTGACCACTACTCACTAAGCCACACCATGACTTACAGCAGTACCAAGGAGGAGCAAAATGGGTGTGTTCTCCTCTCCAGGAGTCCACACAATTGCACTAAACCAAAGCTTTGCATGGTGTGTGAACCAGGCCATTGTCTGCATTCTTTCTTGCACTGAGAAAGGGAATTGGACAACACAGTTGTAGAAGCAAAAAATGACAGAAGGCAACCCTAATCTAGAAGGGCTATTGTAGCACCAGCAAGGTTATGATGACTGAAATATAAGATGTTCATAAACACATTTCCCCAAGAAGTAGCAACATTTTGTTTTTACTGCATCAGACTAGAGTCTTGTGGCATTTTAAATACTTTAAGATGCCATGATACCCTTGGCTGTTATTTTTTTTCAGAATATCATTTTGTGGAAGAGAAATATTTCTCCCCCAGAGGTACTGAATAAAATACAGTAGATGAAAATAGAAAGAAACATACTGTCTTCCCGTGCTCGAAAGGGCTTAGTTTCAGTCCAGGCAGATTTTAATTCCCCTTGTTCAGCCCTAACATGTAAAATGATGCAGTCATGATTCCTCTCATGATTGAAATTACATTCAGGTTTTGTAATATCTTTGCAATTCACTTTCTTCCATACTTTTTCTTCTGATGCTCTGCAAAAAAATACAAAGAACCCACCATTATTTGAACTCCTTATTATTGCATTTGTGTATGATCAATTAAAAACTTCCTTTGAAATAGCTAGCTGAATCTTGAAATACCAGTTTATACATTCTACATTAGTGGTAAAGAAATATCCTGCTGCTTGGCAATGAACAAGTGTTGAAAAACCAAACAACGCTAAGGCAATAGCTATGACAGGGCTCACAAAGCCAAACTGTGCCCTGTAGTTCCATAAAGTCACACAGTATAAGACATCTCTGCCTCAAAATGAAAAGGGGTTACATTACCATACATGAATCAGTTATGCATAGTGACAGAAAAAAATTGCCCATTTTGAGAAAAAGAACTGTCCATAATACGGCTTCATGTGATCTTACCATGAAAGGTGAGCAGAGAAGCCACACTTCCTTTCCCTGTCCTCTTATCTCCCATTTACATCAAGTACTACTTTACAGGTACAAATAAGGGCTATTTTTGTTTAACACCTGTCACTTTCCCCAGATAAGCAGCCAGGTAAGTATAAACATGACTGAAACCTCAATCTGGAACTTTTACTGGAAGCAAGCCTCTTTAAAATTCAATGGGAGCTATTTCTAAACGTTTGAAACAACAATGCCAAATTCAAATTTGATTAACTGTTACTTACAACTATGTACCGTATTTTTCCATGTATAAGATGCCCCCATGCATAAGATGCCCCCTATTTTTTTGAGCCCAAAATTAAGAAATAAATATTTTTAAGTATTTTGTGTATAAGACGACCCCCAATTTTAAACTTTAAAAATTTGGGAAGAATATACACAGAAAAATACAGTGATTACCCATTCTCAAGAGCAACCACCCTAACATGCAGTCCAGTCCTATACACAGAAGGGTCTCTTTGATCAACAACACTTACTCCCAAGAATGGACTGGATTCAAGCTTCAGTTAAGCAATCAATTTACAACAAGGTTTTACAACAGGCATGTGCCTTCTTAATACATAGTACATTTCATGTGTTCAAAATCTTCACATACATTGGGTGCTATATAATATTAGTCGTACAGTAGACTCACTGAAGCCAATGGGCAGTATTGAATTGAATGGATCCATTAGCAGAAGGTCTTTTGACTGCCCAAATGAACTTCCCCTTTCTTCTCCCTGCCATGTCCCCATGCCCCTGTTCTGGGGGTTCTTTTAATCATTCAGAGCAAATTTAAGGGGGGGGGAGGGAAAGACCCACTTTGCAAACAGAAAGTCCTGCACAAGCATATCCATTAAGTCTACTCTAAGTAAGATTAATTGATTACAGTGGTTACAGGGTTACAGGGTTAAGAACTTAATTCATTCCGGAGGTCCGTTCTTAACCTAAAACTGTTCTTAACCTGAAGCACCACTTTAGATAATGGGGCCTCCTGCTGTCGCTGCACGATTTCTGTTCTCATCCTGAAGCAAAGTTCTTAACCCAAGGTAATATTTCTGGGTTAGCAGAGTCTGTAACCTGAAGTGTCTGTAACCTGAAGCATATGTAACCTGAAGCGCTTGTAACCCGAGGTACCACTGTAGTCAGAAAGAAGAAATGAGGAGTTCAATGAGGCATATCTTACTGAGTAATTCTATACATAACCACTCAATAGCAAGTGTGCATTCAACTACATACAGTCTTGGCATTGCTAAAAACATTCCTGTTCAGACAAACCTATCCAGAAGCTTAGAAAGTTGGGGTAATTTTAATTGTTTTAGTATTTTAACTTTTGTATATTTTAAAGTAGGATAGAAATTTTCCTTGATTTTAATGTTTTATCTTTTGTAAACCACTTTACAAGGTTTTTGTAAAGTTGTTTTTTTATATAATCAATAGGTGTATAAATTTTATGAAATAAATAAATACAATGAAACTCTACTTGGGAGCAAGTACTATGGTTTCCAGTGGAATCTCTTTGCAAAGCCTGAAATAGAAGCACAATTCAATTCAAACTGCATTAGGAAAATCAGAGCAGAAGGGGACAATTAGGACTAAAATAAAGTACAAATTATGTCTTGTCTTAGGATATGAACTTTTAATTTAATGAACACTTGCACATTTCCATTTCTTTAATTCAACCACCACTCTAATTTCCATTATTTCCAACACAATTTGCTAAAAAATACTTCAGTAAATATGTTTAAACAGTAAAACCCAATTTTGTATACAAACATATACAGATCTTACAAAAGCAAACACTGTATACCATAGAATGCAATTTTGGAGGTATACAAGAACCATTTACTTACATGAGTGTTTTAAACCTCCATTCAACACTATAAGTCACTGAACCATTGATCGCTGTAACTGGAGACCATTTCAATACATTATCGAAATTATATGACTGAATTGTCACATTCTCTGGCGCAGATAAGGAGGAAGATTCTATAAAGACATTAACAACAGAGTATTAATACACATTGACAAAAATACAGGTTTAATGTAGATGCCTCCAAAATTCAGGGCAAATAAAAATACTAATGAGTTGTGAGTTGTAGTGAGTTGGGCCCTGATGCTGGTGCAGGTAGAATATGAATAGGTATAATCATAGCTAAGCTGGTGTGGCACACAATAAAGTTTCGCCTGGACCTTGATGGACAGACCATCCAGTTTTAAGTACTGCACAGAGGCTGCATACAGGTTCACTGCCCTTTTAGTCAGGCATTATTGGTTCAAAATGTTCAAATTACCATACAATCTTACATCTAAGGGATGAAGAACCTGTAGATGAAGAATCCAAAGGTTGCTGGACTCCAACTCCCATCATCCCTGAACATTTGCCATACTGGCAGGGGATGATAGGGTCAGAGTCAAACAAAATCTTGAAAGCCTCAGGTTCCCCACCCCAATCTAGATTATCAGGGTAGCATATGTGGGGTTTCCTCCCAGGAACTGACCAAACCCACTTTTAACTTCAGAGATGGAACTCTAGAAGGCTTCTTCTGATTCAGAAGGTGAGAAGTCATTAATTTAACACTGAAGTAACTAGTTAATTAATATTTGCACATAATTTCTCTTCTCTGAATTGAAATGGGGAAATGAACACACCAGAGCTTGGTCACTGGTCTTTGTTTTATACTGCCAAACAAATAAGAGAGAATACTTGCTAGTACAAGGGAGCACCCCTTTTTTTGTCTTCCATTGCTATAAAACCTAGAAAGGTACACCAGAGACAAAAACGAAATAAAAAGGGTGTTGCAGTCAAGAATTCCAAACGATGATCACTTTTCAGTGCATAAGTAGTCACACAGTAAGGGGAGGGGAGTTGGTGAATGCCACAGTGTCTTAAGAGACTTACTGCTTTTGGTTTCCACCCAACTATAATATTTCAGAGCTACAGGCAACACTTTCAGAAATAACAGGGAAATAGAAAAGTGACAAAGCATATTAGCAAATAAAACTAAAAAGGAAGGTGAAACAAATTCACTAGATCCAATTTTTCATCTATCAGTTCTGAAAAAGGAAGGGGCCCATGGCACCCTAAATCTAATTTATAATGGCTCGAGTTTTTATAAATGCTCAATACACTGCTTGCTTCATCAGATTAGTTATAAGAAAATAATGTTGAAATAACTAATTCAAGTAGTCTGGATCACCTGGTCCAGTTTAAAAGCTGGGTGCATAGTTTATGAAGAACATCCGTCCCACCATGCTATTAACTGAACAGCAACTGAAGTAGTTCCAGATTTGTGGTGGGAATTCCTGTGTGTCATCCAAGTAGGTTGGGGGCAATCATTCTCAGCAAAACTAATTGCAAAAAATCAGCTTGTATTAACATAACCAAAGCGGCTTTCCTCCCTCACTCCTAATCCCCTTCAAAAGGAAAACATCACAATACACTTCTATTAGACGAAGCAGTAAGTAAACTAGTTTACCCAAAAGAGGGTGGAATGGGACATTTCTCCTTTCTGATTATTATTCTTTCATACCCCTCCAAAAGAACCTCTCCAGACGGGGTGATTGTGCAGCAAAATGGTTGATGTGCTTCAGTGTGGGCCAGTGTGAAGTGATGAAAACTTGGGCAAAAAATCCTAATTTCACCTAAAGGGGTCTAAACTGGTGATGTCTGACAAGGAACAAGTTATTGTGGTGAGAGTGGATGCCTCAGTGAAGATGTTGATAGTGTGTGACTGCTGTGAAAAAGGCAAACAACATACTAGAGATTTAGAAAAGTGAGTGGAAATAGAATTGCCAATAGCATAATACAATTATATAAATCTATATGTCTGTACAATTCTGATCACCTCAACTCAAAATAATATAGAGCTGAAAAGGATTCAGAAAAAGGCAACCAACAATATCAGTAATTTATCTATATGATATTGTTTGAAGATAATAAATTATTATGTGGGTCTAGCTGTTACTGTATTTATGATGACTATAAAGTCTACATTTTCTAATTAGTAATTAGTATATTGCAAACATGGCAATGTCCTCTTGTCTCATGCTCAAGTGGACGCCCTTCAATGTTTGCAGGCACTGAAGAAGGCTATGCAGTTCAAACGCTTCTGGCATATGTGTGTTTGTTTTAGAAGACCGTTGTCTTATATAATCTGCATGTCTTTTTCAATTTACTGAAATATTATATTTTAGTATATCATATGTTTATTGAACAGCTGGCTATTAGTTTGTCCATACAAATTTAATTTTCAAGTGGTTCTTTAAGTTGTAGATTGCATTTTAATTACTGACTACATTGTCTTTTTGTTTGCATGTAGTAGTATTGGTCAGGAAATACATTCTCTGGTTTGTTTCTGTTTAAAAGATTGGGCAAATTCATGAAGGATAAGGCCATCAACAGCTGCTAGACATGGTTCTACTTCCGCTGGTAGAGGCAGTATGCCTCTGGAGACCAGTTGCTGGGAAGAGTGCTCTTACTCTCAAGTTTTGCTTGCAGGCTTTCCATAGACCCCCGAAGAACAGGGTGCTGCACTAGGTGGGCATCTGGTCTGGTCCAGCAGGACTCTTAGGAATCCTACAAGAATTCTACAACTCCAAAGTCCAGAGCTCAATCCACTGGCCTAGAAACCCTTGCCCCATTATCAAGAAAGCACCCACAACCACAGATTGTTTTCACAACGTTTTGCTCTCCATACCAGGCCACTGTATGCCACTTCTCAGCCCCAGGACGCAAACACCACACAATCCTAATCAACACTGTTTCATCTTGGCATTCATACACAATACCCCAGAATCACATCAGTATGCAGCAGCAGAATACAGTGGTACCTCGGGTTAAGTACTTAATTCGTTCCAGAGGTCCGTTCTTAACCTGAAACTGTTCTTAACCTGAAGCACTTTAGCTAATGGGGCCTCCTGCTGCCGCCGCGCCGCCAGAGCACGATTTCTGTTCTCATTCTGAAGCAAAGTTCTTAACCCGAGGTACTATTTCTGGGTTAACGGAGTCTGTAACCTGAAGCGTATGTAACTTGAAGTGTATGTAACCAGAGGTTACATACTATCAACAGCAGCAATGCCCGCCCCCCACCACCTATTTTTCACCCTCATTTGTGGTAGCCTTGTGCATACACCTCCCACTCCCACATATCAGACATGCAAAAGTGTGGGCCATTTCAGTGCACCCTTAAGTGCGCAAGGGAAATTCTAGTCACAACTTCTCCAGCGATGAGGCCCGGGAACCGTTTCCAAGGACACGGCTCCAACGTCAAACCTAAGCCATGCCAGTCTTCTGAGCATACCCAGAGCGCAAGTTCTTCTACACTAGATTGACCACACTTGGAGCCCCCCTTGTGCTTTTAACAACGGTACAGAAAAGTACAGCAGGCGCGGGGGTTTTCCACGACTGTATCTCTATGCCAGGGAAATCCTACCAAAACACCCGAAACACCAAGGAACCCTTCCGGGTGGAAGAAACAGTAACTCAAATCTGAAGGACCGTAAGAAGAGCCTGATGGATCTAGCTCAGCATCCTGTTCTCACCGGGACCAACCAGATGCCTGTGGGAAACCAGGATTTGGGCACAAGAGCCCGCTCCCCTCCTGGGCTTCCCAGCAACTAGTATTCAGAAGCACGTAGAGGCAAAGCATAGCCCTCAACTTCGCGAGAACGTGTTTAGCCCTCTTTTTTAAAAAGCCCTCCAAGTTCGCGGCCACCACCGCCTCCTGGGGAAGCGAGTTCCTTACTGAACCCAAACCCACCCACCTCTTATCGGGGAAGGAAGCTAGAGGAGGAAGAGGTGGGCTCGGGGAGACGAGGGTCTTTCTTCCACTTCGCCTTAATAAAAATAAAAACTAAGCCGCCACGGGCCCTGCGAGCTACCTTTGCCCCTCTCCCCCCCCCCGCCCCCCGCGCGCTCGTTTCGCCCTTCTCGGCGGCGGACGGGTCTCACCTGGGGCGGCCACGCCGAGCAGCGGCCTCGCTAGGCAGAGGAGCACCCACAGGGCGCCCAGGGGCTGCATAGCAGCAGCTGAGCTCCGGCCTCGCCTGGAGTCTCGGTCTCTCTCTCTCTCAGGCGCCCCCTGACTGGGGGAAGAGCCCCGCGCTCGCCTCACCCGCCATTCACGCTCTCGCCTCCTCTGACGAGACGCTGAGGCCGCCCCGCCCTTTCGCCTTCTGCTTGGCCTGCACACCTCCCAGCGAAGGCCGGCCTCTTCCCGGACTTGCCTCGGAGGTTGGGGCGGGCCGCCGCCGCGGGGCCTGCTCCCTCGCACGCGAAACAAGCTGCACGCCCTCAGAAGGAGGAAGAAGAGGAGCCGGCCGCGGCCTGGACGTAGTAGCGGCGCCGGCCTCCGCGTTTGCTATTAGGCTGGGGGTCTCGGGCAGAACCATAAAGGGGAGGAAAACAGCCCTTGGGGGCCCCCGCTGGCTCTCCGCTCTGAACTAGGTTTGGACAGGCAGGCTGCTCTTCCAAGGGGATGAGGCCTTTAAATACACAACCTCCCTCTGAAAAGTAGCGGACATTGCCTTTTGGTCAGCTGCTTTGAATGATGGTTCTGTAAACAGAAAAGTAGGCTATAAATGCAGGGGCAGCGGTCACTTGCCTGGTGCCTCAATGACCCCCTGGAGCCACGGCATTTTAAGAGTTTCTACTGCCCCTGCCAGCAGTGGAAAAGGTGCCCCCTGGAAGGTTTGAAGCCCCTGGGGTGGGGGGCAGAAGACGAAAGGGATCAAGGAGGAGGAAGTTGGGTCTCACCAAAGGAGACACACACGCCCCAGCAGTAAAAGTTGCTATGAGCACAGGAATTCAGTGATACCAAGTTATACGACACATCCCTGCATTGTAGGGAGATGGTCTAGATGACCCTTGGAGTCATATATCGAGTCATGCCATGCTTTATGATTTCTGTGTACACATAAAACCATGACATGACTCACAAAAAATGGGACACTAGAGGGGTAAAAGTCCTAAACAGTCTACAGGTGGATGCCAGCAACCACCATACAGTGTAAAAATTATATTGTTCTTTTCTCTCCCCCTGCCACTTTTGGTTGTTGCGACAACTTTTCCGTTATGGCTGTTTGCTGGATTATATTATATCAGTGATCAATATTCATTATTTGCAAGGTTTTCCAAGTTCTGGCTATTACCGTTCTAGCTGCTGTTCATAAATGTGCTTTTAATTTCTGACTTCCTAATTGGCCCATATGTGAAGTATGTAAATTAAGTAAGGGTGAAGCCAGGGATGATTCAGATGTAATAGACATAGAACTGGCATCGTGCCCTGAATCTCTTGATGACTGCTCCCAGTAGCTTCATATTTTAGCATAAGGGGGGGGACTGGTCCCTGGCATCTCACAGCACAACTACCAGAGGGGCTGAAACATACGATAATCTTCCAACACTATTCAGTAAACCACAGTGCCACCAACTTCCAATTCTCTTTTTCCAGTTTATTAATATTACATTTAAAAATATTAACATTTTATTTCCTTCCCTCTGGCCTTTGTCTGCCAGAGGAGGGAGAAGACACTTCTTGACTTGGTAGCAGGCCAGGCAGGCAGGAGGACTCGGGGGAGTATGTGTGTATGCAGACATGTGAAGCATGGCGCTAGAAGTCCCAGCAGCAGCCCTGGGTTCTTTCCCTTTCCCTTAGTCCATCTGTTCTGCTCCCTCCTTCCCATTGTTTCTCTTCCTCCTACCAGAGGCAGAGATGACCAACAACTTGGGTGAATTCAAGAGGCTTAGAAAAATTCATGGAAGAAAAGGCTTTCAGTGGCTACTAACCATGATGGCTGGAAACTGCAGGAAGGGCAACTGCTGTTGTGTGCAGGTCCTGATTGTGTGCTTCTCACAGGCATCTAGTTGGCAACACTGGGAACAGGATGCTGGACTGGATATTTTGGATTAATATTCTGTTGGGAGCCGCCCAGAGTGGCTGGGGAAACCCAGCCAGGTGGGCAGGGTATAAATAATAAATTGTTATATATTATTATAAAAGTCTCATGTTCAATCCTTGGTATTTCCATGTAGGGCTGGGTCATCATGATTCAGAGATCACACTCTTGTTCCCTACCCTCTAGCCATACCTGTGGCTATGAAGAAACTCAGAGAACTTGCTCATATCTTTAGTTCACTGCATGAGTCAAATCATTTGGAGACTAGAGAAAGTGAAAGTGGGAATAAAAAAGGCAAAATGTATGTTTTCACTTTATTCTGCAACCACATATGTGGTGTGCATTTTACACAACACAAGCAACATGTGGTTGCTGTGAGAAACCCTTGCACTAGCTCCAACTTTGGTGCTCCAGCTGTTGCGAAACCCAACTTACATCAGCCCCTTCAAGCATGGCCAAGAGTTGTAGTTCAGTAGCACCTGAAAGGTTCCTCACACCTGCACTAGCTGGTTCTAAATTCCTGGAGACGCTTCCAATAGCTTCCAGATGCAGTAAAGAAAGCAGTCGTGGCAAGAGCAACTGCTCCTCGTGTGGCCCCTCATTGCATTTCATACCTTCTTTCCTCAGTCTGTTCAGTGACCTGCGTAGGCCACTGACATGCTCTCCCACCTCATTATTTGTAGAAGGGGGACTGGTAGAGTTACCTGTGCATCTCTATTTAAAACCGAGCATGGAGTTGGATGTGGAAGATGGCCAACCAAGGTAGAGCCATCTTCAAGCACCCCACAGCTGTTGCAGAGACTGTCATCAAAAATGGGGGGGGGTGTCTCTGCCAGAGGGGGGTGAGCCTGGAGAGGTGAGCCCAGCAGAGGAACCTATGTCTCTTGGACACAGAACATTCAGGAGTGAGCAGAAGATGGACCTTGCAAATTATCATTTTATTATATTGAAACGGAGGTTTACTTGAGAGGATAGGAACTGAAAGGAGGAGTCCTGTCTCTTGCCCCCATCCTCTTTCATTTCAACTGTTCAACCCATCCTCCTGATCCCAGCTTCTGTTTCAAGGTTTTCCATTCTCCTTCCCTTTTTGTGTCATTGTAACACATATTCTACAAGACAGCCCGGTTTTGTCTACTCGGTGTAGGTTTCTCATATTTGTATTCCACTGTAACGCTTTAGTTATTGCCCTAGTGCAAGGCGGTGGTTATGGTCACGTTGACATGGATGTACTCATGCTTTGTGTAACTTTTTCCTATGTATCACCCTATGTGCAATGTCAGATTCTGCCACAATGCATTTGTCCATCCTGAGGAGCTAAAAATCTACGTAGTTTTGCTGTGCTACAAGATCATCACTCTTACTGCTGGCAGTTTCAGGCTACATATACAGTAGAAACCTGTGATAACGCTTTTCTGGGATTGTTAAGCCCCAGACTACAAGCAGGGCAGGATGTGTTTGCTTCTCCAAACTAGCCTAGAGAATGGTTCTAGGGTAGCTTTTTCCTGGGACTTGTGGTATATAGTTCCTGAGAAGTTGCATTATATGTTCATACTATAGGTATAGACCAGGGGGGTGGGGAACCCCTCTCAGCCCAAATGCTACATTCTCTTATAGACAACCTTCTAGAGGCATAGGCCAGTGGTGCACCAGGTGAGGACCAAAAGTGGATGGGACAGGTGTAAACATCCCTCTCTATTCTCCATCCAGGCAAACAAGAAGCATAATCAGTGTTCCAGGATACATTCTAGCCAGGTACGCACACTCAAGGAGGTGGCAAAACAGGACTGGTGAAGAAGTGGGGTGGTCTGGGGAGGGTCCCAACCACCAAATAAAGAGAGGCCTGCAGGGCTGCAGTTGGCCCCTGAAAAGCCTCATTTCCTGGTACAGGCTGATTTTAAATTTAAACTATGAGAGATTGTGTCACATATGTTGATCAAGTTACAACGGCCCACTTGCCTGGAACAAAGATCAGAGCAGAATTGGATGTATCTGGCATTATTTCTTTATTTATCAACACAAATTTCCTTATAAATAAAACTCTTACCAAGTTGACATCTTAAGTGCCGTAATAGAAAAGTGGAGTACATTGTAACAGGATAAAAATTCCACTAGGGTAAAAAAACAAAACACAGAGTCTTAATATGTTATATTTATAGATTTTAACAGTACATCTTCAGATTTCTTTATCCTCACAATCAGATACAATTGCTCACTGAACTTAAGGACACTGCAGAGGAGTTCCACTCCACATCTAAATGCAATACAATGTCCACAAAGTATCAATACATGGAAACATAAAAAATAATCAGTTATGCGTGCAGAGGAATAGCACTGATTGTTGCTTGTCATAACAGCATCTATGGATAGGTGAGACTATGAGTCATGCATCATGTGGGTTTAGTTATTACAGCAAGTTGGTTTCAAATCTGATGTATTTCCTGTTTTAAGTCCTGAGATAACTATAAACCCAACAAGTAAGAAAGACACGGGGTGGGGGTGGGGATACAGCACAGTGTTACAAATGCCTTCTCAGACTCAAGTCCCATTGAGTTCAATACGAGGAAGTATGAATAAATATTTTTTGCTATGATGGAGTAGATTAAATAAAGACTAGAGTACCATACAAATCAGGATTGAAGGACTTCACACTTTTTAACTTTAAAAGGCACTACATATCAGCATCTTTAGGATTAAATAAGCATGGGAAACTTGGTTTAGGCATTATAGTTTCTTGGTCGATAGTGCAACCCTAGTAACACAACAGAAATAAAATCCCGTTGACATACATGCCAGAACACAAGTGAGCCCTTTACACTATGGTTGTCTGAGAATTCCACCAGAAACAGAAGTGGAAGCAGAAATTGCTGCAAGTTGCATGTTTGTTGGTCAGTAACAGAAATGTGAATATGAGTTATGTTTGCTATTGTTCTTTTCTTAATCTGCAAACATTATGTAAATAATTATGTTATTTTCTGAATTGTTTTTGACCTTTTCCTTTCACTGAAATTGATTACATAATCAATTACCTAATTAATTACATTAGTTTTGGCCATAGTGGTTAGCGAGATGAAGATAGGTTTTAGCGAAAGCTGAAATGTAGCAGAATGGGAAAAGAATTGATTTCAATGAACTGAAGACAGGATGGAAATGGCTGACTCCTTACATCCTTACTTTTGACAGGACCATTTCAGGATGCTCTCTTCAGAACTTGTTCATCACATGCACTGCTGCAGTTAGGCTTCTGCACTTACTTGATTTGAGGAGTGAAGTTATCACCCCTCTATTATTATCCATTCCAGGTCTCCCAACCACTGCCACAGAGTAGTTTCTGTTAGCAGACCAAGAGGAGCAAGTGACAGCAAAGGTTGCACGGTTCTTAGCCAGGGCAATTAGAATAAGATCCACTATTTGACTATTGATCCAAATCCCCCAAAAATGTTTATATAACTGATTTTTTTTTACCTTTATCCTCTGTATACTGCATTTTGTTTGTTTTTATTCCTATGGCTGGTAGCTGATGCAAGTAAAGATTCATTCATTCCACTGTTACTTGTTTTGCTGTCTGTTCTGGTGCAATTTTACATAATTAATTCTGATCTTATTATGTTATTCCACACTATTCAGTTCAATGTAAAAGAAATGCCATGTAAATGGGAAAAACAGTGATAAAGTATATATCATTTGTGGACTGAAACAGCAACAACAGTGAACATTGATTGCTGGATTGATTTCTGTTCTGGACAGGGGACAAAAAAGCAAACTGGCAATTTCCACTCCTGCTTCTGTTGGAATTACCTGACATCCATAGTCAGAACATGGAGTTATTTCACATATAAACATATGTAAGCATATACTTGCTTCCCCAGCCATTCATACCTTCTAGAAAACATATCAAGCCCCTGTCTCCACATTATATGTGGAAAGGAGGCGTCTACCTGAAAACAGATGGTGCAGGCATGCCAAATTCTCTCTCTCTCTCACCCACCCACACACTTACATTCTGACCTTCCAAGGTCACCTAATTTAGTTTCCATTAACTATCAGCAACAGTTAATACTGCAATACAATCATCATACACACTTCACTTAAAAAAAGCAACTATTTACACAAAGGCATTTTTGTTTTGTTTTTTACCAAGACAGTTGGGTGATAATATGCTAGGTAGGTGACCTGTTGCAATGCTGCTTATACACACATCCCCCAAAATCAAACATAAAGCTAAATGAGGGCCTGCACCTAAGCACTGTGCGGACCCCCTTTTGTCCCAGCTCTACTGGTAAATGGAGTTTGTAAACATTTTCTCTACTCCCCACATCAGCTAGCCATCTACTCAGAAGAACAGCCAGATGACACCAGTATAACTGCGCCTTAGGAACTCACATTTCAGCAAAAACAGGTATTCACTGATGGGGCTAAGTACACTGGTGTGTTAACACTGAATAAACAACGCTATGCTACCATTTGGACACTTCTAAACAGGATAGTGAATTGTGAAACTGAACTGTACAAACTAACTGAAATAACAGTAGCAATGGATTGCAATAATTGCAGTCACACATTCTCATAAGAATTAGCTTGCTAGACACCTATACAGACCAACTAAATTTGGGCACACTCTTAATGCGAGTGAAAATGCTTTCATTTCTCACATTGCTATTGGAGGATGCTAGTGAGAGTAGTTATCAGAACAAATCCATCTTGTTCACAAACGTTGTGTTCCCATTTCCCCCCAAGTATATATTAATTTTCATCATCCTATAAAAAGGAAACACGTTGGAAAGTAAATATATTCTGAGAAATACTGAAGGCCTGGTCAGTAGTTGCCGTTTGTTTCCCTGGTTGGCAAGGACTAAATGAAGAAATCACAGTAAAAACTACACTAGTTCCCAGAAAGTAATTTAACTAGGGATGTCTCTGCTCATTCTATAAAAAAAGTCTTAACTTTTTGAGAGTTGGCTAGTGATTTCCTTGCCCCAAATCAAGTATTTATTGGTGACCCCCTAATTACCATTTGACTTTTTTGATTCTCCAAGACTTAGTTTCTAAGATTTTTTGTACTTTTCATTACAACTAAATTGTAGGTAAGACTTTTTCTTTTTTTAAAAAAAACCTTTCTCAAAAGGAGTTTGCTTTATTTGCATTAAAACTGAAATGCACTAATGGTCAGGCAACATGTTTTTAACATACGGCAAACAAAAAATGTAGGTGGCAAATATCTAAATTCTGAAGGATATAGTAAGTGTGACCACCATTGAGAGAAAGACATTTTACACTTACTCTCCAAAGTATCCACGTGGCTGAAACCCTTTATCTGTTTTGAATATAAACTAATACTGGCTAGACTATATGTGATCTTGAATAAGGTCACATAAACAATGAAATACAACACAGAGACTGTGTTAAGACTGTGCTCTGTCAGTCACCTAAAGTCAACAACATGGTAACAATATTTGCATGCGTTTGGTTATAGCAAAAATTATTTCCCTGTGAAAAGCCATCCTGTCAGTACAGTGGTGCCCCGCAAGACGAATGCCTCGCAAGACGGAAAAACCGCTAGACGAAAGGGTTTTCCGTTTTGAAGTTGCTTCGCAGGACGAATTCCCCTATGGGCTTGCTTCGCAAGACAAAAATACCTTGTGAGTCTTGAGATTTTTTTTTCGCTTTCCCCCCCCTTTATCTAATCTGCTAAACCTTTAATAGCCTTTAATAGCCTTTTAGCAGCTAATCCCCTAAGCCTTTAAGCCTTTAATAGCCGCTAAACCGCTAATAGCGCTAATAGCGCTAATCCGTCAATGGGCTTGCTTCGCAAGACGAAAAAACCGCTAGACGAAGACTCTCGCGGAACGGATTAATTTCGTCTTGCGAGGCACCACTGTACATTTCGAAACTGCTGTAGTCTGTGTTACTCTGCTGTAACCTATAAATGTTCAGTAATCCTCACAGTTATTTATGCTTTATCAGCCAACACAGCATCCACAGTCGTAAAGTCTAGCTTTAGGATTGTCTTAGGATGTTTTTTTGTATTTAACATACACACTCACACACAAACATATATTACATGTTTGTAAACTTCATTTAAGCACCAGCTTCTCGTCAAAATGAAGTAAACATTTTGGTAGTGAAATCAAGTGTTCTCCATACCTGAGCCTTTGTGCCAATAGCAATACACAAAACTCAAAATCTATGGTGCAAGAACCAGCTGTCAGGTCATGTCTTGGCACAAAGTCTTTCTTATATGGAAGCTAACAGCAAGATGCATAAATTGCAAGTTGCTATTTATGCAACCCCCTCATCTACCCATAATAATGGCTTCTAGCCATTATTTTACAGAGTTATTCTGCTTTCTGTTCTTGGATTAAATGGGAGTCTTTAGTCCTAGAGATACCATCATCATTGGAATAGTTTCCTGAGTCTTGGCTGATCTCTTCCAGCTCTTTCTGGTCTTTAAAGTCGGTCAGATCAACTTCATTTAGAATGCTACTGTCAGCTATGACAACACAATTTTCTGTTGGCTCTTCTGAAGTTAGCAAGTACGAACTGCGCAAATCTTTTCCTTCAATGTTCTGCAGGTGGGAAAGTACACAGAAAGTAATGAGAACTACTGATGTCTACATATAGGGCGCTATAGAAAGCTGTTGTGTTTGGTTAGAATAATGTACTATTAATATTTATTAAGGATGAGGGTATGGTTGGCATATGAAACACTGAAAAAGATAATAAAACCCCTTCTTTGAAGCATTAAACAGGCAACACCAGTCACTAGAATACAGTCTGAGATCTAGGAACAAGCGATTTAGAACCACGGTACACATTATGTCTAATGCATGGCTGTCCACACCAAAGTTTGTACCCACATATTTAGTTTCTGCTTCCCCATCCATAATGGCTCCTAACATGTGCCCTGATGTCACAACATTTGACACCTCCCCGTACCCCTCCAGTCACTGATATGACACAAGTAGAGATGTGGACAATCAGTTAGATGCAGGAAAGTGATACTTAGAATTTTGTAACATCAGTATACAAGTTAAGCTCTCCTAGATGTCCTAGTGGGAGACGGGGAAGTTAACTGTGCAGCTTCTGTTTCTGGTAACAGCTGCTTCTTTCAATGGCACTTTGGGGGAATTTGACAAGAGAGAAGTAGTGGTAAAAAGACACAATGGAGGCAAAAGGAATTAGTACAGGAAAGAGTTGTGCTCAGGCTGCAATACAAGACTGTACACGCTGACTGCTATGTGGTGAAGGATGAATCTGGTTTCAGCTTGTAGCCCATTGACTAAATTGGCAACAGCCATGTGCATTATTACTCAAGTGCTGATTCCTTGGAAAAGCCTTCTGACGTACGAACAGCCAGGGTGCCCACCCGTCAATCACCCAAAGTCACAGTGACAGCAGGTAATAGGCTGTTGCGCTGAGCAAGGCTCTTTTGCAAGCCTTTTCAAAGATTGGTGTAGCTGTTCCCAGGGAGCCTGAGATCAGTGCCTATCTGCTGATTGGCAAGAGAGGTTTACTTTCAATCCCTAATGTGCAACTGGAAGTACCCTTTAAGGCTCCCTCAGGAGGTGGTGGACTCTCCTTCCTTGGAGGTTTTTAAGCAGAGGTTGGATGGCCATCTTTCATGAATGCTTTAGCTGAGTTTCTTGAATTGCAGGGGGTTGGACTAGATGACCCTTGGGTCCCTTCTAACTCTAAGATTCTATGATTATGCACTGACAGCCACATTTCCACCTGCCCCTCACCTGATATCACATAAGATTTCAGGTATGAGAGAGGTGGGTATAATTGGGGGGGGTGTCACCTTGCAGGCAAAACTGGCACCTATGCCAGTAATTAGGCCAATTATTGTTTATTATTTATTATTAACTATTGTTATTATACATTAAACAAAAGAGGAAAAACTAAAATAATGTAAGGAGTCTAAATCCAGGGTAGGGGGTGTTATACAGGATGGACAAGTGCATTAACAAAATGTCTAAAGTATTTCCCCCAAAAAATCCTATTTGTCAAGAATAATGGGTCTATTTGATGTTTATTCCTATACAAGAAAGAGGTCCACTACATAACAGCAAAGTCCTCAGGCTCAGCATCACTACTCAGAACTTTAGATGAGAAGCAAGTTTTTCAGAGACAACTATGTGAAAAGTGTTTCCATATGATTTGTCTGGAAAGTTTTATCATTGTGTGTTTATGGCTCCAGGCTACTTTAGAAGGAAGGTCGACATGTACATTTAAATAATGAAAACACCTATGGGCCGGAAGTTCTGCACTCATGCTGTAAATACATTATTGAATGCATTGTGTGATATCCGATGTTATTAATAGAATAGACCCACTGTAGTCAATAGAGGGAGAAGAGCAAGGCAGCAGGATCCCTGTGCAGTGCTGCTGCTGCAGTGGAACCAATCCGATGCTTCTGCTGCTGTGTCTGCACTGTGCCTGCACCACATTCCTGCTGCCTTGCTCCTCTCTGTCTCAATAAGGGCAAGTCAACTTTCACATTCGGTGAGATGAGAAAACAGCACAGCCACGCCAGCTGCTATTGGATGTTATACACAGCAAGATATAATAAAAATGCCATTTCTATACCCATCCTATAGATCTATAGGATGTCCCAAGTAATATGTCAGGCAGATGCACTACACAATATATTCAAGGGTAATGCAATATATACACCCCAGTCCAGAGCTCCTTGCATGAAGAGGAACTCCAGGTACACGCATGCCATTTTTGAGCCTGCAACAACCTATCTGTTAAGAAGAACACTGGGAATATCTCAGTTCGCGCACACATTCTCTTTCTCTCTCTGTAAATGGCAAATGTATGCTTATTGTAAGCACTGCATACATAATAAGCACCCATGATGTGATTTCTAGAATACTTGTCCTATAATTTTACTACTGCAAATAGCAAAGCAATAAAAGCCATATATACATACCTCTATGATCAGTGGAGGATGGCATGATGGAAAGAATGCATATTTGATCTGCTTGCGTATATAATACACAACACCAACTAAGACCACTATTGAAACAATAACGCCAAGAGTAATTCCAAAGACTTTAAAAATGACTGGATATAAAGATTTTCCTACAAAGAAAAAGAAATTAAAATGAGTTATATATTGAAAAAACTTCTGCAATAACCACTTTCTTAAGCTTATTTTTAAAGCCAGCAACTTAAACTTATGGCACTTGGAAAGTTGTTGTGGCGAGAAAAGATTTTGTGAAGGGGGGAGAGATGGAGATATAGCGCACTTGCTCACTCTCCCCTATACAAAACCTCAAAAATTAAATTGGTTCCAGTAAAAGTAAAAATGGTTTTATGCATGCTTTACATATAAGATACCTTTCCTTGTCAATCTTTCTTTGTAAACATTCCATGTTAAATAAAAAGTACATGCTTTTGGGATATTTTTCATAATTATCCCAATGTGCCAATCTTAGTTTACAATTAACTTCTGTTCAGTTACTTGAACTAAGCTTACAAATTTGTGTTCTATTCTTCATATAGTTATATACATAATCTGTATTGATAATGTAATAAGGGCAGGGTATAAATCTTACCACTAGCGGTAATAATACCACTAATAATCAAACATGAGCCAAGGTTAATATATTCTAAACCAAACGTTAAAAATTGGTGATGTTGCCTGCATATACAACCAAGAGATTGGATTGTATACATACTCCTGTTTTATGGTTTTATACGGAATTGTTGTTTTTTTGTACAACATAGAATTTCAGAAAAACACATCACTTTAGATTTTTTTAAAAATACAAAGCAATGTATCATTTTTTAAAAAATCAAACACTAAAAATAAGTATTTCATACCTTTGGCAGTTTTAGTGCATGTCTCACTGCTAAACTCGCTACTTTTATTATACGCTGGAGCAAATGCTTGTACTTTTAGGCAGTATAAAGTAGAAGAGCTCAAGTCTGGGATTATAAATTGTGAAGATTTATTTTCCAGTTTCTTCTGTACAACAACAACAAAATACATAACAATGTAAACCAGAGCAAGCACTTATTGAAAACAAAGCTTGAAGACTGACATTCTGACTTTGGGTGCAACTATATGGCTGTACTATAGGCTCTGCAAATTCCAGGTATACTGTACTGAGGGTCAAGAAAACATACAGCCCAGGGCTTGGCAACAACTGACAGGTGCCCGTGGGGCACTGATCCTTAGAACCTTAGTGCCTATGACTACTCCAACCAGTTGCAGCAGGCCTGGTTGTTGTATGTTGCTGAGCTATGCATTCTTTCAATCTCAAACACCTGTAGGATTAGCCAGAGATTAGCTATCTGTGTCAGATGGGTATCCCTCAGTGCATTTGGGACAGTGTGTGTCTAGTATTTCGTATGATGCTGGAGCACTTCACTACATACAGGTACATTTGACATGGAATTAGCTAGCCAGAGACACCATATTCAGCATAAACCTGAAGGGGTTATAGATGGCCTAGAGAAAGAACAGGAGGGCTACATTATGAGTCAATTTTTAAATACATGCTTTTATCTATGTTTTATTTTTTTTAAAAAACCAAAATACATTACCTTGTCTTGTGGTGAAGAGTCTGCCCAGTACCAACCTTGGTAAATCAACTTCTTATAGTGTTTACTCATCAGATTTTTTTCAGATTCTCCAGGAGAAGTAATGAAAATGTTAAGTGAATTTTCACTGGCATTAATCTTGACACTTGGTGGGCCCAGTTTAGCTTAAAAACAATGTTATACAATGTGTTAAAACATTTGAATTCAACAAAACATGTTGCAATATAACGCTGTCACTAAAGCTCGAGCACAAGGCAAAATCTCTGCTTCAGTAGAATGTAAAATGAATTAACTGATGGAAATTGTGATACTGTGGTATGTTAAGTTGCAACATATATACACACTGTTGTTGTTGTTGTTGTTGTTGCTATTGGTTCTGGGGGCAAGTTCTAAATCTAAACACATATTTTTGAGGACATCTGGGAGTTTTAGCAAGCAGCCACCAGGAACTAGTGATAGGTACCGTATTTTTCGCCCCATAGGACGCACTGGCCCATAGGACGCACCTAGTTTTTTGGGGGGGAAATAAAGGAAAAAATTTTTTATTTCCCCCCCAGGTGCGCTGTGCTAAGCCCGAAGCTTGGGGCGTGCGGAGCTCAGCGCGCCTCAAGCTTCTGGGTGCTGGCAAGGTCTCCACTAGCCGTGGGAGAGCTGCGCGGCTCTCCCAGGGCTAGCGGACCGCTGCGCTAATCCCGAAGCTTGGGGCGTGCAGAGCTCAGCGCGCCCCAAGCTTCTGGGTGCCGGCAAGCAGTCCGCTAGCCCTGGGAGAGCCGCGCGGCTCTCCCACGGCTAGCGGAGCGCTGCGCTAATCCCGAAGCTTGGGGCGTGCAGAGCTCAGCGCGCCCCAAGCTTCTGGGTGCTGGCAAGGTCTCCGCTAGCCGTGGGAGAGCTGGGTCTCCCATGGCTAGCGGATAGCTCCTGAAGCCTGGAGAGCGAGAGGGTCGGTGCGCACCGACCCCTCTCGCTCTCCAGGCTTCAGCGAAAGCCTGCATTCGCTCCATAGGACGCACACACATTTCCCCTTCATTTTTGGAGGGGAAAAAGTGCGTCTTATAGAGCGAAAAATACGGTAACTCCAGTTCATTTCAATGGCCCTGGTGCCATTGTGGTACACAAGAGGTTGCACAGCAGTAGAGCTTGCTGAACTTTCGAACTGTTGTGAGCTATAAGTTGTGAAGGTCTTAACCTTTTCTAACCATACAAGAAGAAAATGTAACAATGTGATGATGTATAGGCTGCTGTACAAGATTGCAAAAATTAACAAATACATACACAAAAAGCAGCACCTATAAATGATAACGCATATCAGAAGAAGGTGACACTTACTGTCTTCTATAGGCTCAAATTTTAGCATTTTAGACCAAGGTGATTTACTATGGCTATTCACAGCCTGTACTTGGAGATAGTAAATTCCAATGAAGTTGACGGAACGTGATAAATCACAGTATTTGGTTGTAACGTGTTCACATCCAGATACACTACGCCAGTTTTTTGAGATATCATGAGACGTCTGTGCTTCAAAACCACTATAAGAACAACAGAAGGTTGATTAAATAAGTACAATACCTGTATCAGCAGACAGTTCCTAACTGTTGATGTTTACTTGAATGTTAGCTCCACTGAGCCTCATGTGAGCTGCATGGGATTGCAGGGTTAATCAGACTTGGCAGTCAAATTGATCTGACACAATTGACAATTTAATATGTCGTCTTTTCATAGAAGGGACAGCAAGTAACCACCACATACTTCACCCAATCAATGACCTGCTTGAATCCTTTGGTTTGCAGTGTTCCAGCCCATGCAATGGAAGGATAACCCCTCAGAAATATAGCCCATAGCGGTGAACCTTTTTGGCCCATTGGTCCCCTGTGGTGGAGCCCACCTGCCTATCCTCTAGTATCATACTGACATCATGTGCTTGGCAGGTAGGTTGGCCCACATACCTGTGAAAATTGGCCCTTGGGGATGGGGGGAGATACCATCCAAGCAGAATTAAGCTCCTCACACATCAGATAATGGTTTGCAAACTGGTCCAAGCAGATTGCTCATTTTCTCAAGTGCTCCTGCTCAGAGCTTCACAACTTCCTTAAGTTACCTATCAGGCTTGCTTTTTAAGCATAAATTAGATGGAATGTAAAAAGCTAAGACTGAAGACAGGCATGGCAAGGATTCTTACTTGAGAAACTGTACAATGAAGCTCACGTTTCCATTGTACATATTATCCCAATGCAAAACAAAGTTTGTATTCAGTGCGTGAACCTGGAGCTTTTCAGGTCGAGGCAGACCAGCCCAAGCTATAAAAAGGAGGAAAGAAAAATTTACAAACAATCCATCCAGTTAGGTTCATGAACAATGTTACACGTTAATAGTTTGGAACTCCAATCTTATAAAGAAGCCAGGACCAAAAGGTCATGAAGCTTCTGAAACCAGAACCCCAGGAGTTGCTCAACAAACCATGCCCAGGGCTTCACGGTATTATACAAATAAATGCCACTAATATTATGCAAGACATGTTGTTTACAAACAAAAAGCAGGGAGAAGGTGCTTGTGAAAGCACAAGAAGCATCCTGCTTGATTCTGACCAGAGAATACCCACTTCAAGGAGATTTATTCCCCACCCACCCCCGCCCAGCACACTAGAACAGATTTGAATTGTTAAAATCAATAGAAAATAAATACCTTTTGGTGTCTGTATACAAATGTCTGGACTATTGAAAGAATTGTGATCAACCATATGTACTTTAGCTTTCATGCAGTAAGCAGTCTCTGGCTCAAGGTCTTGAATGGTTTGTCCTGGAAAAATATCCTGGATTTTTTCCTGCAGAAACAGACAGTTGCATGTAACATATTACGATTGTTGATTACTTCCATGGGCAGTTATTTTTATGTGAATCCAGAAAAAAAAGCTAAGATAAAATAATCTTTTATTGGGTCAACAATAATAATATTGGTATCATTCTTTCAGAAAGACAGATATACAGTATGACATCTATAGCTTGAACGAACAGATTGTATTTTATTATGTATCTGAAGGCAATCCTGTTTAGGGAAGCTTTTTATATTTAATAGACTACTGTATTTTAATATTTTATTGGAAGCCGCCCAGAGTGGCTGGGGAAACCCAGCCAGATGGGCGGGGTATAAATAATAAATTATATTATTATTATTATTATTATTAGAACATTTTAAAAACATGCTCAATCATTCAATGCCAGTTAAAGGACTTGGGATGCAAAGAGATCCATCTTAAAACATGTTGGTCTGCCACCTCTGTTTTATTATACTCAGCAAAGTGAATATCTGCTTAGGTCAAATTTTATCCACAACATAAAAATGGCACCATTGTGTGTAAGACAGAGCTTCTTTTTCAGTTTTTCTGTTTCTGCAATGAAATCCATCACTATATTGTATTAAAAAAATATTACTATCAGGAAGATAATCTGTACAACAAAGGCTCATCAGGGCAAAGTGGTCTGAGCATACAACAACTGCAGACTGCCCAACTGCAGACTGTCAATTAGCTTCTTGGTCCAATTTGAAGTTCTGGTTTTGACCTATAAAGCCTTAAACAGTTCAGGATCACAATACCTCAAGGACCACTTCTCTCCATTTGAACTGACACAAACCCTGTGATCAGGTATGGAGGGTGGCAATACCCTGCAGTGGCTCCTGGTCTGTGGAATGCTCTCCTCAGGGAGGCTTGCCTGGCGCCTTCATTACATATCTTTAGGCACCAGAAAAAAAACATTTCCCCCAGGCCTTTGGCTAATTAAACAATCTACAGTATAGCCTTTTAAAACTGAGTGTGTGTGTGTGGGGGGGGGTGTTATTGTTTCATTTGTTATTATGTTGTGTGTTTTTATACTGTAAACTGCCCTGAGGTATATAAATTTAATAAAGAGTAATAATAATATTGGTTTAAACATAACATGCAATAGGATATGCACATAAAATGCTGCATTTGTTATTTCTAGTGTTATTTATTCTATGGAATTCTGTTCATGCATTTTGATATAAGGTTTAATTCCTTGCCAGATGTAAACAGATCTAGATCCTGATGGGGAGCTGTTCAGATGTCTGGATTGGAGCCTGTAAACTACTTCCTGGCACCTCTAAAGCTGAAAGCAAGCAACTAAGCATCTCATGCATTCAGGTTACACAAGTAAGTTGAGATACTGGCAAAGAGCTCTCAACACAAACTGAACCACTACCATACCATTTTGCAGGTTAGCGAAAGCACTATGGAGTTCCATGGGATTTCTAAATAAATGATTATAGGAGTGCAGTTTTAGATGTTTAGCATTTTTGTTCTGGAAATGAATACATGTAACACATGATTTAAATGTGAAGGAATATTTCTGCAAAGAAAGCAAATCTTAAGTGTAGAGAAATTTAGCACCTGAGGATAGGATGAGTTTTTCCAGATAGTTAGCTTGTAGCTTAGAGACAGGTCCCACATTTTTCTTTGCTGGTTTGCTTCAGGACTGAAAATGATGATTTTCACATCTCCTCCATATATTGATTCTAACTGAACTCTTGGGGGACCGACTTGGGCTGCAGACCAAGATAACAACATAACTTAAGTACACTTAAAAGTTTGTACTATTCATATTCATATTCATAGTGCTTTTGATGAAGCAGCATACATTCTGATTATGGTGACTCTGCTCCCAAGAACAACAACAACAACAACAATAATAATAATTTATTTATACCCCGCCCATCTGACTGAGTTTCCCCAACCACTCTGGGTGGCTCCCAATCGAGTGTTAAAAACAATACAGCATTAAATATTAAAAACTTCCCTAAGTGATGTTTGCCACAAAGTTCAGTCTTGTATAGCTGTTTTACCTAAAAAATAAATAGCTAGTGCAGGGGGGATAGAAAAACTAGACCGTGACAGCGGCAGGAAGAGAGAGGGGCTTTAACTTTTGCCCCTGCCAGTCCCAGTTGAAACTGGGCCCCTCCTTGCAGGGTATAAAAGGTAAAGGTACCCCTGCCCGTACGGGCCAGTTGTGTCCAACTCTAGGGTTGTGCGCTCATCTCACTTAAGAGGCCAGGAGCCAGCGCTGTCCGCAGACACTTCTGGGTCACGTGGCCAGCGTGACGAAGCTGCTCTGGCGAGCCAGCACCAGCGCAGCACACGGAAACGCCGTTTACCTTCCCGCTATAAAGCGGTACCTATTTATCTACTTGCACTTAGGGGTGCTTTCGAACTGCTAGGTGGGCAGGAGCTGGGACCGAAAGATGGGAGCTCACCCCGCCGCGGGGATTTGAACCGCCGACCATACGATCGGCAAGTCCTAGGCACTGAGGTTTTACCCACAGCGCCACCCGTGTCCCGCCTTGCAGGGTATACACAATGAGAATTTTTCTTCCATTGTGAACAGCAGGTGTGAGGTAGCTGTGTCTCATTCTAACAAGGACCATAGCAGGGTCAAAGAGTAAGTAAGTACCCTCCCTGTGTGCCATGGATGGACTCCAGCTCACCCAACAATTATACGAGTGCAAATTACATAGCATATGTCACCTCTAGTTTGGCCCTATGGAGGCAAAGAAGCAATAAACTCCTTGCTCACCTTCCCTCCTACCTCCTGCAGCCGGACTGATTCTAATCCCACCCCTCCACCACAACAGACAGGAAAGGAGAGTGGAAGCAGGATTAGCATCAGCGTCTAGCATTCTTGGGCGGCTGTCAGGGCCCCAAGACTGAGCAGTGTCAGGTGGTGGCTGCACCTAGCTTTTTAATTTCCCACAATACACTTGACCTAGCACCACTCTGGGGCATCGTAGAGAATTAAAAGGGTGGCTAGTCAAAGCCACCCAGCACTGCTTGGAATGCTAACACCACAGCCGAAATTTGAAACTAATACTCTATTCAGTGAGTTCCCCCACCCCATCCTGGACTTTAAAACAGAACCCAGTTATGTGCCACCCTCCTCTATGAGAAGAGATTCCTTCACTTTAAAAAACAACCCATAATTCTGAACAGCTATTGTTTGCCACTTTCAGTGGATTGAGGCTGTGATCCTAAACACACTTACTAGGGAGTAAGCCTCAGAGAGGAACAGTTTGGTATCTGGAAGTCAGATAATGAAACAACTAGGCATTTGCAATTGGTTACCTGTCCCATATTTAACAACTGTATAAAGCGTAACTTGAATAAACTAGGCACATATTCATACCTTCTGTATAAGGAGAAAATACTAAATAAGCCCAGGAAGAGTGCTCTTCTCCTGTGTCTGCTCTTACGCTCACATTATAAAGCTGAAAATAGTCTGTTATAGCTGATGAAAGGTCACATTCTGTGATTCTTACAGCCTGACACTCGGGAATAAGTGACCAGCTTTCAGCATTGCTCTCTTCACTGTCTGATTCACTGAAAGAAAAAAGCAAAGCAGTCCTCAGACATTATGGATCAGTAAGCATTCCTTACAGTATCTTTGTGTAAAATTCATTTCAATTTTGATCCACAGCACCCGGAATGCAAAAAAAAGGAAGCCGCATTTTTATTTTTCCAATTCATCAGTATCAGTCTTTTCGCTGTGTAGTTCTCAACATATACATAGGCCGAGCCATACATATATGCCCCTGATTATAGTTGTCCGCTCGTTCATGGATGGTATTCTCATTCCGTCCGTCCCCCGCCCCTGCCAATTTTAATAAATAATAATTTTGGCAGTAGTTAAGAGATGTTGCATTAATCCCATGTCTTCTATTAGTACAATTTCTTTAACATATCCAAGTAGCAAAATTAGAGGATCTGTGGGTAAAGTAAAGCCAGTTATTGCTTCAATTTCCATTGCTACGTCTTTCTAGAATTTTCTAATTTTGGGATAGGTCCAAAATATATGCTACATCATAGCATTTGCAGTTTTACCCCTCCAACAGGCACAACTGCCTGTTCTGTCTATCTGGTGTCTTGTAAACATTTTCTTTGGCAGATACAGCAACTCATGGACTAGGACGGAACTCACATACTGAAGAAAAGCTCCAGCAATATTTCAAAAGTCTCTGTTACAAGTCGTTGATGTGAGTCACAGTACAACTGAGAACTTACCTTTGGTATTGAACTGAAAAGGTCCCATTGAGGCCACATGAATTATTCCAGAGCCATTTCAGAGTGATGTTCGTATCAACAATGAAAACTGTAACGTTCTGAGGTGGTTCCAAACATGTCAACCCTATGGATATTTTTGAAAAATGAAAATAATTATGTCAAGGCTATAATAGACACAACTGAATGCAGTGTGCCATTAACCACCTTCTGAACTTTACTGAAGAACTTAGTAAGAGAGCAACAGGAAACAGACATGAAATGCAAGTAAGCAGATCATAAATATCTGCAGAAAAGGAAGTGAAATATGGAGATTCCCTTACCTTCTTTCAGAGTAACCCTGTGTTGAGGTGGCATAATATTGACAACATTTCTGATTCTTATGTTTTCTGGACAAGGTACTTTCTATTCATGTCTTCTGAGGAAGTAGTCAGTTTTTAATGTTTGCTCCAGCAAAAGTCATCAGAACAGTTTAAAGCACACCCATGCAAATGTGCACTTGCTTTTTCAGCAGTATTGTGCAATTTGAAGCCTATTATTATTACATGTACAGCTTGGGAAACTAGGTCTTGGAGCTGATGCCTACAGAAAGTAGACTTTAGCTCTACTAAAGCCTCAGGCACTTTAAAGCATTATGCAGGATATCTGCAGGCCCTTTGTGGTGCTTTGAGGTCCCAACTACTAGACTTCAAAGCACCCAATCATCTGCCGTCATTGTGACATCAAGTGATTTGCAGGTGGGAGGTCCCACCCATCTGTTCACTTTGGCCTGCACAGCTAGGACCAGATAATTACCGTATTTGTCCACAGAGCACACAAAACTCCACAATTCTGGCATACCTTATTCCAAGAGATTTGTATGAAGAAAATATGTTATTTACAGTATTTGTTTTCTGACTCTTTCCTAATGATCTCTAACATGAAGCTCACCTTTTTCACAGCAGCTGTACATTGATTCAGCATTTCTATCACATTATCCACCACAACCTACAACATCCATTTCCTGGTCAGTCACTGGCCAGGTCTCATCAGTATATCTGTGAAGCTGGATTTTTTTTTTGTCCTAACATACATCACTTTTTACTTATTTGCACTGAACTGCATTTGTCATTCTAATTCCCATTCATCCAGACTGGAGAGATCTTTTTGGAGCTCTTTGCTATACACCTTTTTGTTTTAACCATCCTAAATCATTGGATATCATCAGCAAACTTGACCACCTTATTGCTCACCCCTAATTCCAGAGAAGAAAATAAGACTTTGAGTGAATTAGCTTCCTCATTAGTATTTCCCCATTATTCCCCTATTAAAGGGGAAATACACAAAGGATCTAATGAAACATTGGACTTCACTTATTTATGAAGTCCACATTTTTTTAAAAAAAACACACACCCAATATCCATGTATTTAAAAGAAAAAATTCAAAGAATAGGCCTAAAAGGGGACCAATGCCATCTAGTTTTACAACTCTTGCTGGAAGTAGAATACCCAGGTGCAAAAGGGGGCAGGGCTTCTGTGCCTTTAATAGCTGTGTGATTCTGCTGTTATAAAGTTATATCAATACATTGAAAAAGAACTTTTCTTCCTGTGACCTCTTGTGACCCATAACTGCTGTGTCAGCTTTTACATAAGAGGTATTTCCCCAGACTTTTTCGTGCCACTTCAATAAGGGAAGTCCTTGTAAATCTTTCCAGTATTTAGCAATCTGAGTTCTTGCTGCCACTAATAAAAACCTGACCAGTTTCTCACAACATCTTGATTTTTTCCAGTGAACACATTTCAAAAAGCAAGTTCTGGTGTCTTTTGTAATGGTGTTCCATTTATCTCTGAGATCTCCCAGTCTTCCCACATATGGGTGAACAACTCCACTTTGCCACATGGTCTCCGACAGATTGATGAGGAGGTTTCAGATATACATGACAGTCTCAAAAATGTTAAATACAACTTTTGAACCATTTGGAAGGATGTTTCTCTGAACATGGTTGAGGTTGATCCATACAGGAATTTATCCCAGAGACCGAATGCTCTTCTATTGTTATATTCCAATAGATTCCCCATAATGTTCTAAAACTGTTTCGTGCTTCCGGCCAGCTGCTACTGCAAATCATCTCTGCAATGTACTACTACATCCACACCATACCCTGAAATACATCTGTGCCCTCTCCAATTCATTGAAACTGAATCCTCTTTAGCCCTCCCGTCTAAATGTGCTAAGACACAAGCAGGAACAGGCAGGGCAATCCTTGTTCCTTCTGGGAACACTGTGCAGCCTCCCTCAGACAAATACTGATCATGCATTGGTTGAATACTTTGGCTGGAACACACAGTATCTGTGGTTTACCCCTTTTGCATCCGTTTGCTTCTTCATACAGTCAACCTGAACACCTACAGCTGTGATGTGAACTTCCTGGAAACATTTCCAATTCCAATTAGGGCCATCTTAATAGGATAATTTGCACTGGGAAATTAGAGTGATCTAATCTAGCATTTTTATTTAACTTGCAATTAGTAAACAATGCCCAAAGTATTGAAACTGCCAAGTCTCCTTATTACATTTTCAATTGGCATCCATTCACTGTTACTAAAGAGTTTAAACAAGGAGGGGAGGATGCAAAAATAAAGCACTGGAAAATTGTTTGCTGCATATCACTGACACAAAGAGCCCTTCAGTGATGGTTATAAGAAACAGACTGACATTATTTTACTGTATTTAAGGTAGCAACCCAAAGTACTGTATAAAAGCTGTATTGCTCCTAATTGTCAAGCTTCCCTTACAGGATACCACAGATAAGGACATTATTGTACAATTCTACAGTTGGCCATGCCAATGCATAGAATGGCCTTCGCCAACTAGATGTTTTGGGCTACAATTGCCATCCGCTCCAGCCAACATGGTCAATGGTTAGGGACAGTGGGAGTTGTAGTCCAAGACATGCAGAGTGCTCCTTGATCAAAGAAAGCTCAGTCCTGTCCTAACATGTTTTCTGGTCATTATATAGTGTCATCAGCATACATGGCACCTTACAAAGTGTCGTAAGGAAAAATAGGCATCTCCCTGTTCCAAGGAGCTTACAATTTAAACTAGACAAGAAGGGAAAACAACACCAGGAGGGTTGAGGGTAGAGAAGATTAATGCAGTCAAATGCAGTTCCAACACACTTAAAATTTGGGCTGCTTTGGAATTAGGATTAAGTGAATATAGCAAAGGCTGCGTGGCTTTTGAGAAGAGCACTGAAGGGGAGAGGTAGTATCACAGATATTTAGGGAGGAGCAGGTACACAACTGCTATAGTATAGATACACAAGTATCTACAGAACAAGATATTACACACATTTTAAAAAGCAGGATTCAAAGTTCTGCATGTTTTACATTATGGGTCCATACAGCTTCCAAGATCAGAGGCAGCACACTAGTCACAGGAGAACACCAATGAGGGAGGTGTTCTGCCTGTAAGCATCCCATAGACATCAAGTTAGCCACAGTGGTAAGTAAGATGCTGTGCTAAATAGGCCTTGGGTCTGATCCAGCAAGGTTTTTCTTATGTACTCATCATAACAGGGTGCAATATCTATTCACAAAAACACACACATGAGGATAAAGTTCTAGGACTAAATATAGAGTGCTGTTTCCATCATGCATGTTACTACTTCCAAGCAGCGCTTTTTTCTGGGGGGACGCAGGGGTACACATACCCCTAAACATTTTGTGAATCTCAGTTTGGCCTCATTGAGGGGCAGTATTTCAATATGAGTAGGAAAACGAGAGTACCCCTAAACATTTTTTAAAAGAAAAAATACTGCTTACAAGCTTTCACATCTTCTGCTCGTGGTAAAGGTCAAAACCCTGATAACTACAGCAAAGGGAAACAGCGGTTTAACATACAGCAGGGTATGCCCATAGCTATCCATATTTTCAGCACCTATTTTATTTTGCTATTATTGTGCGTTTTTGCAAGCTACTCCATGAAACACACCTCTTAACTTACCCACCCATGCTACTTAACCCGTGCCCCCAGTATGATCCCACCAAGCAGCTGCCATTGGTTCATCTGGTATTGTCTGCTACACTGACCAGCACGCAGGTCAGCTCTCCGAGGTTTCGGGCAGCGTTTTCTCCCGGCCCTGCCTGGAGATTCCGGGAGCGGAGTTGAGGGGGACGGACGGACCTTCTGCATTCCAAGCAAGTCTTCTTCCACCGGGCCACAGCCCTTCCCCCAAAAGCCACCGCAGGCAAATCTACGAGCGCAAGCGAAGCGGAAAGCGAGCCCGATTCCTGGAAGCCCTGCATTATCAGCGCGTGCCAGGGCTCGGAGCGGAGAGAACTCGCGCCGCCTTTCCTGGAAGCGCGTCTTCCTATCCGGCAACGCGAGGCTGCACCAAAGCGAAAGCCCTCAGCTTCGCTGCCGACCCTCGCCCGCCCCAGGGATGAGGGTCACCCACGAGCAACGGGGAGCCCAGGTGAACCCCCGCGCCCACCCCCAGTTCCTCTTGCTGAGAGAAGGAGAGAGGGAGAAAGAGACACACACACACACAGGCGTCCCGCCCTCCCGTCCTCAGTCCCGAGAAAGGGCGGGCTCGGCGGCGGCGCACAGACAGAGCAAGGCCCTGCAAACGCACCTGTGCAGAAAGGCGCCACTCCCAGCGTTGCTACGGCTACAAGCAGAGCGCGCGCCGCCTTCATGGCGAGCCCGGGGCGAGCGAGACGTCCCAACTGCCGAGTGACGTTTCCGCCGCCGCCGCTTGCCCCAACGCCGGCCCCTACCACGTGATCGCGACACGGTAAACAACAAGGAGGCTCGCCCCCGGCAGCGTCGCTTCCGCGCGGAGCATGCGCAAGACGAGCTCGTACAGATAAAACCTTGCAGAGCAGAACCCTCCTCGGGTTAGACGGAAGCTGGTTTGGGGGCTTTTGGAAGGGTGCAGGTGGGGGAGAAGGGAGGGGATATCGTTAGGTTTAACTGCCTTTGACGCAGCAAAGGCGCGTTTCGTATGAGAGTGGGATTCCCTTCGCAGAAAGGGAGCGGGGCTCGAATTTAAATGAAGTTCAATTCTTCAGTTCAATTCAATTCTTATTAGCCAAAAATCCTTCAGAAACACCACGAGAACTGTATAAACCAAACGTCCTCATTCAGTTGGAATACATTTGAAAGTTCTGTGAAAGTTCCTTTGAGACGAAAGCACCCCTAATAAGCGAGAAGTCGAAGGGCAAAGGAAGCCTGTGTTGGCATTTTTGTAAAAGAACTCATTGCATTGTGACCGATACTGGTTTCAGGAAGAAACTTTGTTTCAGCCACCAAGTACTGGGGCTACAAAAATAGCAGCTACATAACTAATGCACAAGTGTTCCAGGTAGCGGGAACTTTGAGCTCCCTCTAATATGTTCCATACATTTATATGGAAAAGCACTCTACAAATTTAAATAATAATAAAAATTACATATAATTCTGCTTCCCATGGGGAACAACACAGACATGAAACATGTTAAGAATTGTGGGGAGTTTCAAAATATTTCCCCAGTAAGTTTTCTTGCACCAGTTGTCTTCGCCTGTCTATTCTGTGATGAAAGTACAATTGGAAAACAAATGACATCTGCAGGTTTCTCAAGTTAGTCTCCAATACAGGCATAGCAAGTAGTTGATCTAATTTCAAAGGTCAATAGCAATACATACAAATATAAGTAAACGGTTAAATCTTCCTGCTAGATCAGAGCACTATATTGATTGTACTTTAATCATTAATATGAGTAAGGGTATGAATTGTTAAATTTGTTAGATTTGAGCATTGCATCCCAAATGTAACTATTAATCAGCTTCAGGAAGGACTGAGAGAGAACTTCCATACATTTATTCAATCAAAATAGGAGGTCAGGTACCATCATTAAAAATTGAAATACATGCCAAATATTTTAAAATAAATAAATGTCCTCTTCTGCACATTTGTCATAAAACATAGCTTTGTCTCTGAAGCAGTGTGCATTTATTTCAGAACACTCATATGCATGTAAGTGTTGTAATAAAACCTTGAGGTTATTTACAAAAAGAATAAAACAATAAAATTCTCAGTAAAAAGGCTAAAAACAACCATTTAAAATGGTAAAAAAACCAATTAAGATCAAGCAGCTATGCCATACAAAGTGCACTTCTACACAACCACTCAGAAGTAAATTCTGCGAATATCGGTGGGGCTTACTCCCAGGTGCATAGTAAAGGTAAAGGGAACACTGACCATTAGGTCCAGTTGTGACCGACTCTGAGGTTGCGGTGCTCATCTCACTTTAGTGGCCAAGGGAGCCAGCGTACAGATTCCGGGTCATGTGGCCAGCATGACCAAGCCACTTCTGGCGAACCAGAGCAGCGCACGGAAACACAGTTTACCTTCCCACCAGAAGGTACTTGCACTTGGAAGTGATTTCGAACTGCTAGGTTGGCAGGAGCAGGAACCGAGCAACGGGAGCTCACCCCGTCACGGGGATTCAAACCGCCGATCTTCTGACTGGCAAGTCCTAGGCTCTGTGGTTTAACCCACAGCGCCACCCGCATCCCATAGGTGCATAGTACTAGTCTAAATAAATGGAGATTACTTCCGTGTATTGGAAAGAATCCGGTGGAAGTTCGTAATGACCAAGGACTCGTCCACACTTCCACTTGTCCCATGTATAGAAAGCATGTGTCTGAGTGGTTTTCCACTTGTCCAGTGCATTCTAGGCAAGGATCCAAGTGATTTTGCCTTTGCTCCAGTGCTTTTCTCTGAAAACCCTGCTCTTTCGTGCTAGATCGGAACAAATGTCAATCCAGAGAAAAACCCAATTTGCTCCGATTCAATAGTAAACAGAGGGGTTTCTCGGGGAAACCGGTGGGACAAGCAGAAGTATGAATGAGCCCTAGGTTCTACTGAAGAGGGATTTAGGCACATACGAGCTACACATACGAGAAACTGAGCCGTTGAACAGGTATCCCCAGGTTGAAAAGCCAAGCTCAGGAGCTATGTTTCCAGGGCTCAGCAATAGCCAAAAATCATCTTGTTCAGGGACATAGTGAAACAGGACAGTGGATAGTTGGCTGGTTTCAGTATTCACTCCTCTCAGGCCCTGGCTTTGCATGCGCAACACTAATTGGTGTTCATTATATAGCTAACATTCAGAACATATGGAAACATGCTACTGTGAACATATGTATCTAGCTGGATAATGGTGTGAAGACTGCAATCCCAACCCAACTCTATTTGTGCCTTTAAAAGAGGCAAATGGATGCGCCAGAATAAGGTTGGGAAAGCATCTTGCAATGCAAATCGCATTGAAAACAGTGTAGATAGATGCCAGCTATACAAGATGTACATCAGATTTATACCCAATCCAGCAAGTGAGATGCACATAGGAGTTTGCTTACAGGGATAGATGTTCTTACCTAGATTCTATGTATGATGGTGTTCTTGAATACAGACACAGTTTAAAGCAAATATGGATCAGAAAACATAATACTATGGGAGCATCATTTTTTTATAAATCCCAGTATGTTTCTCATAATGAATTTGAACTATTCTACACAATGCACAAATCCACTTGTAATAAAAGATTTGGAACTTCACAATTTTGATATGAGTGAACTTGTTTAACTAATACTTCATTGATAGTTTGTTCTAAAATTAAGGCTTCAATATATAAAAAAATAAATCTTTAAAATAGATAATTTGTATTTACAAGATTCTTTAAAAATATATTATAACAGAATAAATATAGTTTTGAAAGATAATGTTCACAAAGTTAACAGTTTTAAATCTGTAATGTGCAAGGTGTTTGTTGCTTCCTTGAAAGTGCCACCAACTGCCTTCAAAACACACTTTCCACGTTTTTTTCTTCCACTTAAGAGTGTACCAGAGGCGTAAAATCTGAAACTTCTTTTGGCCTAAGCATTTCTTCATGAGAACCTTGGAGCAGCTGCTTTGCATTTCTCATTTGTTCCTCAGATTCATTATCGTTTTTTGACTCCTCTGAAAGGACAATTATCTTGTCAAAGGACTGTTCTTCTCCTTGTGACTGAGATGCAAGTAACTGAGAACTGTAAAAAGGCTTGCTTAAAAACTGTGAGGGGAAAAAAGAGAAGAAAGATGAAGGAACTTGTTTTTTTCTCATCATTCCTGCTGCTTTTAAGAGACGCTTTAAACCAGGCATAAAAATTTCCTATTTTCTGGTTGTCAGGAAAGACTAAAACATTAATCCAGGTGACTAACTGTCCACTACAATTCTAAGAATCTCAAAATCTCAATGCTTTTTCTTACCCTCAAGCTATAGATAGTGCCCTATAAACTATTATTTTTGAGGTGTCAGCATCATGGAAGAAATTCTTAAACTGAAGTACAGTGGGCAAATAAATAGTAGGTATTATTCATCCATATGTGGAAGAGGATCTGCATGGAGCTCAATGGAGCCATTGGAGTCCCATTCCCCCACTGGCCCCCAGCCCTATGCATATAGTCAAAGTGCACTGTTCAGTCATATCTGAAATGAGCAGCTTCTTTGTGCCTCACAAAGAGCAATTTGGTGAGATAATGGTATGTTTTGACACCGTAGAGAACTTCAGTGAGTGTCACCATCTGATGGGACATTCAGAAGAAAGGATTATGATACACCAATAGAGGAAAAATGACCACATTATTGCAGCTTTCCCATGATTTTTTTTTAACTGGGCTTAAACAAACCGAAACTATAGAGGGTTGTACTTATATTTACATATCTTGGATCTCCATGGAGAATAATTGGTTGATGGATGGATTGAGTTTTTAATAAGTTTTAGCAACAGATTCTTAAGTAAACTTTAAAGTACAAATGAACAAACCTCTATGAAATGTTGTGGTAAATAATACGAAGGTAAGAAGATGTATTTGGCCCATCGATAAACATGTAAAATCATAAAGCAGATGAAAGGTAACAAAGCCAACACTGATAGCAGGATAATAGTCAGCTGCACTGTATTTATACCTACATGTGGGGGGGGGGGAGGGAAAGAAACTGTTAATTCCTTTTGGAGTATATCATAGAGGTACATATTCTCCAACCCCTCACTTTCCTGTGTGAAAATTTAAATACTTCATAAGACATTCCACAATAACAAAATTACAACTAAGACAATATTTATATTTGTTGATAGGGGCACAGAAGAAATGAAAATAACATTTGGTCTGTTGTAAGCTTGTTTCATTTTAGCCAGCCATTTTCAGATGTAGAGTTCGTCTGTTCTATATAATAATTTTTTGTGCCTTCAAATCAAAGTCTGAGAGGCCTGACATGTTATAGGACATGGACCATGGGTAAAGTCCTTATGCACGTAAGCTTTTCACGTGCACCTGGACTAACTTAAATGCAGTTACCAAGTGTGCTGGGTGGTCCATTCAACTGCTGACAGCATGAGGACACCTGCATGCTAACATTCCACTTGCATGTGAATGGGCATATGCATTAAGAACACAAGAGTCTATATCAGCTCAGTGGACATCTAGTCCTGCAACCTGTTCTCATAGTGGCGAACCAGATGCCTATGGGAAGCCTGAAAGCAGGACATGAGCCCAACAACATCCTTCCCACTTCTGATCCCCAGCAGCTGGCACTCAGAGATATACTGCCGGACAGTGGATAAAGAACATAGCCACTGTGTCTAGTAGCCATTAAGTGTATTCAAACATGACTTGATCAAAATCTCAGATTGGCAAGTGCTGACCCTATGGCCCAAATCAGACCTTTGTTTTTGCTTCAATAGGAAGATGCCCTAGTTCTTCCTAATTTGGATGTGCTTCAGGAGCACAAAACTGAAGTATTAAAACCAAGATTCTTAGCTCATGCTCACTTACTTGAGTGTAAATGACATGAAATTCAGAAGGATTTATTTGTGAGTGACCGACCATGCATAGGATTAGCCTAGATGTTTTATATAAATCTAAGCACAAATCAGTGAGGTTTCACTTTAATTCAATCAATAAGTGGGGTGTGGGGTGGAGAAAGAGTACAGACTTTAAAAATGTCCTTTATGAATAGGTATTAAATCCATTAAATATTACCATTGTCAGTTGTAGTGATACATAAAGCGTTACTCCAGTCCCCATTTTTATTTAATTCAACAATAAATGCTTGAGCCTGAAGGCAATATGTTGTCCCAGGATCCAGATCAGGCAATGTTTTAGAAGACTGTGTTATATTCACATATCTAACCTAGTATGAAAGTAGGAAATTGACAAATGAGAATCTTAACAGCACAATCCTATCCTCCTTTCTAGGTCCTGCCCTTTACCTTAAATCAGAAGGCTATGCTTGGAAAGCTAGCTGGAGCCTACTGGCTCTGACCCACTTCCTACAAAACCTCTTATTGTTTTGTGCCACAACTTAAGGTTTCTGTACGTCAAAAAACATATGGCAAAGGATGCTGTCCCTTTTCAACCCTTCCCAGTGATGAAAGAATAAGGTGCTAAATCCTTATCTTAGAGAGGCCTGATTCTCCCATCCTACAAATCACTCATTACAAATCACTACCAGCAGCACACTTCTGTACCAGTAATCGAACGCTAGTAGAAGAGAATAGACTCCTACTGGAAAACTTACTTAGAAACTAACGTAGCCTGGTTGACCCTGTCAGTGCTATCTAATGATCAGGTTTAAGTTTTTGAGACTCAGAACTCACTAAAGCTTTCCTGTACTTGTTTATGTAGCAACATATTTAATCACCATAACAGATTCACTCTACCTGTTCACCATCATAATCTTTCTTCCAAATTCGCATCTTGTAAGTCACAAAACCATGGCCATAAAAATGTTTTATGGAATATTTGTCACCATCTCTAGAAACAAGTGGGTCTGTGATTTGTACAATCAAGACCCCGGGTGTTGTAGCTTCAGCTTCTACAGCAGGTGGTTCAATGATTGCTAAATGAAGTGGAGGAAAACAAAAGTTAACAAATTTGTTTGTTTTTACTTTGCTCTTAGATCCATTTAAATATGCAGTACACCATATAAGAAGTTTGCTTTTTTTCACATGAAAAAGTTCGAGAAAGTATTTAATATAGAATGAAACACTAGGGAAGTGGCACCTGAATAGTTGTGGCACCATAAGAACACTATATTATTTCTGCTTTTGCTAAGAACAAAAGCAGGAGTATGGAATGTTTTCATTGCCTCATCTTTTCAACTTCTTTTGAGGTTACATCGTCTCTGTTGAACAGATGGATGCAGGTTCAGTTTGTTAAACATGAATAAGAATGGTTCTTAATTTTGAGGGACTGATAGTTTATGCATTAATCGACTGTGCTCTACCAAAATGCCTCTAGTTATAAGCAGCTTCATTGCTATGACTACTGAATCAAATTTCTATGTCCATGACTGAGAACAGGTTTCCTGTGCATTTTCCCAGGAAAGGTCTGGGATCATAGCCTACATATGTTTTTTGAAGCTTTATGAGAGAGTATAATCAAGCACATCATATTTCTCATTATATCATAAATGATCTGCACTTCCTCTCAAAGCACCTCAGCTACCTCTAGTTGTTTCTTAATGGATGCCTTGCGAATCGATTACCAAGAAATAATGCCCGCAACTACTTTTTGGATTCAGAAATGAAGAAATAAAATATATACAGGCCCACTTATTCTCTGGCTCCAATAGCATTTGAATGGTTTCAGAAGTATTTATTTTGGTTATAAAAAGGTCCAAATGCGTGTCACATTTTATGCACACCAACAAGCTAACCATCATAATATTCCAAAACTGCAATTAGTAAAACTAGCTTGAGAGACAGAATGTGAAAATGACTGTGGGGCCATGTCCCCACCCCAACCCTCCAGTATTTTGACATAGCTATTTTGACTTAGCTTTCACAAGCCTTTCTCAGTGCATTGTTCAAACACAGCAGGGAAATACCCTGCTTTTTTTATTCAGAGCGTGGGTGTAGGAAGGGGAGTGCCTTCAGGGTAAGATCTATAGAGAAAGTTTGCAGATAGCATACAACTGTTTAAGTGGACAAATAAATGGGATCAAATTATAAATCCTTTGGGAACACTGATCAGGAACCTGTGGTTGTGGGCTTATAAAACTAGCTGCTGAAAGAGTACTTTGGGTGAAGTAATCCAGGTAAATCAGATAAATGGAAACTAAAATGAAAAGTGAAACTATTCCAAAGGGCACAACAAGCCAAAGAGGCCCACAGAAAGCTGTACAAGCAAAGGAGCGGAATCCTAGGAGTGTGCCAAATCAGAGCAAAGGTTGTCCATGGGAAACTCTCATAGTCTATGAAAAACACAGAGATTTTACTAAGTTGAACATGGTCTTGGAACTTATGCACAGTATCCAACATAAGCTGAGTCTACCGAGCATACTTAGGTAGATATCACCCTGTGCCTTTTTCTTTGCTCTAATTGGTCTTAACTAACCCTTCACCATGATGTTGTTCTAAAGAAACCATATTGTTAAGCCAGACAACACAACCTTTAAAAATAATATTCCAGTGAACTTGAATCTTCACTTACTGTCACTGAATGGTGTGAAGGTGATGTTTACCCAGTTTGATCGCTCCTCCTCAACTTCAGTTCTAACTCTTACAATGTAACTACCATGTATAGGGATACTTGAAATATTGCACTTTGTGACGTCAGTTCTTTGGCATAAATCAGTGAACCTATTTCCATATCTGTAAAAATGGAAAGAAAATCAATGTGTTATTGAGGAAAGAATAGCGCTCTCTCTCTCTCTCTCTCATTTCAGGCAACAATTCATTTTCAATTCTTAAAAGTTGTATAATCAATGCATCATTTGAAACATCTATCATGTGGTATCCTTGGGCAGCTCCCAGTGCCCTTACAGAGCCCAGTAGTGATGACTGCTCTGGAGACCCTTATCCCCCCACTCCCAGGCTCCACACTCTGAGCAGTGCTGAGTGGCTGCATCAAGCTATCCTTTAATTCCCCTTTATCCCCCTGCCCCAGCATCTCTGGGGCATAGTGAGAAATCAATAGGGTGCCTAGACCTAGCCATACCACACTTTTTAAAGCGCTGCCTCTACAACAGTCACCAGGGACCACTGATAGAGAAAGGTGCCCAACACAGGAAACTTTGGCCAAGGGCTCCACAAACCTGGAGCTGACCCTGGCACATTCCTTTTTCCCTCCCTTGCACCAAAGCACCCAAGACAGGGGGAGGGGTGGCTGTGGAAGTCTCCACAAGTACAAGAAGGGGGTCTCGGGGGGGGAGGGCGGGGAACTAGCTGTCAACAAAGAAGATTTGCTTTGTTCTATGGCCTCTGTGGTGCCCTTCCATAGATCATATGATTGTGCCCTTAAAATAAACTATTAAAATTATAAGCCATTTCACTCACACATACACTTTATACTGAACTGTGTAAGTCATGCTTCCTTTGTTAAAATTAGGTGGATCCCACTGGAGAAAAGTGTCGAACATAACTGAATGAAGTCTTACATTCTGAGGTTCTGGTACCATCCCATGCACTGTAAATACAAACATGATATGCTGTTTAAATACCCGTATGTGGCCTTGAATTTCTTTCACTGGTTGGAAAAATGCATTTAAACAATTTAGGATACAAATGTGGTTAATTCTTTCCTCCTACGCTTTTTAAAAAAATACTGTTTTTATTTATTTTCATGGTACAGAAGATAAATTTTGAGAAAACAATTGTTACAACAGTAAACCACAAGTAACTTGTCCTGATAAAATTACAGACTTTTATCATGCCATGTGTTAAAGTTTCGTTTGATTACCACATTTCCCCATGAGTGCTGGGTGGATTCCTGCCACAGTCTGAACAATTGATGTATTCAACAAACGTTTGCCATATGTTATAAAAGGTATATGGATTGTGTTTGCTCTTTGCCACTCTCACCTGGCATGTTAGTTTCTCAGCCAATGCTATTGACCATAGTCTGTTATACCAAGAATCAATGTTTTCATCACCGGTTTTCCAACATCTGGCTATCTCCATAACAGCAGCAGTCAAAAGAAAGACTAAGAGGTGATCTTTAGAATAATCATGAGCAGACGGGATCCTAAGCCCAAGTAGTGCTAGTGCAGGGGGCATTTCAATTGTTTTGCTGTATACCAAGCTTATTAATCCTCCTACTCTTAAAGCACTCTTCCCCAACCTGGTGCCCTCCAGATGTTTGGACTACAGCTCTCATCAGTTCCAGCCAGCAAGGGTGGCTAGGGTTGTAGTCTAAAACATCTGGTGGGCACCACGTTGGCAAAGGCTGTTCTAAATCGTCACCATCCATTTGTCATTGTTGCTACTTCTTTATTAAGATACAACCTCATCGGTATCACCTCACCTGTTGTGTTATTTTTGGTTCTGAGATTTACAGCATGATAAATTTATTCAGAAAATGAAGGTATGGCAGGAAGGTCATATTTAAATCAGAGAAGGATTGAAGGAAGATGGAAGAAAACACAGGGATATGTAATAAGGAATACTGAAAGATGGAAGAAAGCATCATATCAAGGATGTCAGAAATACAGAATATAAAAGTAGTTAACCAGCATTACTGAATACAAAACGCAGAGCAGCCAGCCCTGCCATTTGGCAGAGGGAAGCAAGAAGCAGGATACTCATAAGAGACCAATGAATCGTGGCATATATGTTACAGGAAAATGGAATTTGGTTAAATATTAGGAAATCTTTTTTCACTATGAAAGTGGTCTACGAAAGGCGTCAACTGGAGGTTATCCAGAAAGGGCTGAACAAACATCTCTTTGTGAAACTTTAGCATTTTTCTTAGAGTCAAGGGCTGCATAGATGGCTGAAGGGTGACTTGTAACTCCCTTTTACGATTTATGAGCTGATTTATGTCAATACTTGCTGAAACTTTTGTTTTTTAACTAGAAGGCAGAAAACAGAGGGTTTTTTTAAAAAGTAAAATACAAGAATATATGGTAAAATATGTTGTGAAATAGTTCAATTGCAGTCTGAAAATGCATTTGATCAGCAGTGAATTTTCAGTATCAGTTTACTCAATCTTGTAAAATACCATGATTGTTCAAGTGCTATGACTCGAGAATGAATCATATTATATTACACCCATCAGTTAGTTCATGGTGCATGGCTGTCCTTCCCTGTTCTTTGTACGTTTTTCAACTTCTCTTAGTTGCTACAAAATTGAAACTAGAAAATGTTCCATTATTTTCAGAGTGGATAAAAATGATCTTCAAAAGGTATTTTAATGTTGATCTCGTTATTTCAGCTCTTGGATTCATTGCCTATAACAACTGCAGGTCATTACAATATAGCAAAAGAAATATATCTACTACCCTGATCTTATGAGGCAATTTCACTTTCCTCCTTATATCTTTCTGATCAGTACCATTAAGTGTGGCATAAACCAGGGCTGGAGTACCTTTTTAAAGTCTGAGGGCCACACTCCCCTTCTGGGCAACCTCCCAGGGGCCACATGCCATTGGTGGGCATGGCCAGAGGCAAAAGTTAACAGAGCAATGAATGGGAAGTTTCTACACACATACCCCTAGCTACCCTCCATCCAGCCGAGCAAGAAGCATTGCCACAACCTAGTAGTTTGGCATTTTTAAGTTAGCCTCTGGCAACCTGGTGACTGGACTATAACTTACAGCTGTGCTGGTTGGGGGGCAGATGGGTGTTGTAATCCAAGATATATGAAAGCCGGTGAAGGCTGAAATTCCACTTATTTCAGCAGGATTTAAATGCACAAAATGTACCAACTACATTACCTTTCCAGTGCAAGACCACTTTTACTAAGTACTGTGAATTAACAATACAGAGCATTATACAATATTTTTGATCACAGTAGTTTAATTACTGGGTAAAAGCAATTGCAATGTATTCTTGGTAATGTATGGGACGCGGGTGGCGCTGTGGGTAAAACCTCAGTGCCTAGGACTTGCCGATCGTATGGTTGGTGGTTCAAATCCCCACGGCGGGGTGAGCTCCCGTCTTTCGGTCCCAGCTCCTGCCCACCTAGCAGTTCGAAAGCACCCCTAAGTGCAAGTAGATAAATAGGTACCGCTGTATAGCGGGAAGGTAAACGGCATTTCCGTGTGCTGCTCTGGTGCTGGCTCGCCAGAGCAGCTTCGTCACGCTGGCCACGTGACCCGGAAGTGTCTCCGGACAGCGCTGGCCCCCGGCCTCTTAAGTGAGATGGGCGCACAACCCTAGAGTCGGACACGACTGGCCCCTACGGGCAGGGGTACCTTTACCTTTACCTTGGTAATGTACACAAAAATGTGGGATTCAAAGATGTTTGGCTCTAGAAGTTTCCATATGAAAGAACTTTCTACAACTATGAATGCAAGATACAGAACGGACTATGCTATGCCACTATCTGCATAGAATAAAGAGATCCAAACTCATCTGTTTTGCCTTACAAGTGGGAATGGAATCAAGAGTCAGCATTGTCTGGTACCTGCTGAGGCTCACACTCTAGCAGGGAGCCCCTTGTCAAGCATCACAGTCTCCCTATCCTGCTGGTTCTCTTCCTTGCTGTTGCTGCCTATCCCCATGCCCTCCCCAAGCACTGACTGAATGAGAAGGAACCGCTGCCTCCATTCATCTTTCACTCTTCCACTGGGCTGACTGGTTGGACACAGAGGAATACAACAGATAACTGGGCAGTGGCAAGAAGGATGTATGCCCATTTAAATCTGTATACCACTCTTCGTCCCAAGATCTCAGGGCGGTTCACAGCATAAAAACACAGGATAAAAATACAAAATACATAATAAAAACATGGACGAAAACAAAACAAACCAGTAACCTCCATCTCCCTTCAAAAAACCCTATGAAACCCTGGAGCCAGCAATGTTTTCAACATGACTTTCAGTAGCATGCAGCTATAATGAACAGTTAGGTGCTTGCCAGTTTACACACTGGGCTATGAAAAAATAAGCAGTTCTAATCTCACTCCAGCCTTTGATTTGTTAACATAAGAACTGTCTTCTTGGATCAGACAGGGAGTTGATCATTCCGTCTCCAGCTGTGGACAACAAGGTGCCTCTGAGAACCTTATAATCAGAGCACGATTGAAGTATCAATCCTCTTTCATTCCTTTACACAGGCATTCCATTCAGCTGACTTCACTGAGAAGAACCATAACTGGATTTGTTCTCCATAAATTTGTTTAATCACTTTGTAAACAGCATCCTTCCACCTATTATAGGAAAATTTCGCAACTGTCAATCAGGGTGTGTGTAGTCAAATTTTGTTATCTATGAGAAATGGATGGTTGCATCAGAACTGACAACCCTAAGATTAAAAAAAAAGAAAGAAAGATGGCTGTGTAGCTCATAAGAAAAATTCCAAAATCTATATTAGGGCAACACCTTTATTAAGCCAGTCAAACTATCACAAGATAGTGTGCCAACGTTCAGATTTTCTAGAACTCTTCATCCAGACTATGGCAAAGAAAGGAAGTGTGGGTTCATGCAGGTGAATAAAAGATGGGGAGAAACCAAAAATTAACCCAATTAAAACCTGAGGTACCAAGCCCATATACTACCTGAATCTTGATTGTATAAAGGAAGTCATTACTGTGTGCAATCTCACATGTTCTACACAACTTCTATATGACTATATTGTCCCAAATAGTGCAATGAGAAAATACGTTCTAATTACTGACGCTGCTGTTCAGTTATGAGCTGTACACCTACAGTTATATTGGTAATAAAAAAAGACACTTGGTTTTAGTAACATTTCTATGAAAGCATCAATCACAGCTTTCTATTGCTTAAAGTCTTGGTGTTCTTTCACATATTTTAGTGTGTTTCCTTCTAGTTTCATCAGATAAACTGAACTATGGCTTGGATCCAGACTTGCATTAATGGTGGTATGCCACTTCAGCAAAAGGGAATTCCCCAAAAGGGATGTCTATTTTACCACCTGTATTTCCCTAAGAACTTAATCTGCTGATTCAGGCCATCTAATCCACAGCATCCTGTTCCCACAGCAGCCAACCAGATGTGTGGGAATCCTGCAAGTAGTTGGACGTGAGTACAACAGCACTCAGCCCACCTGTAATCCCCAGGAACTGACATTCAGAGGCATGATGAACCCAGTGCCATCCAATAACAGACGAAGCATGGGTGAGTAAGGCAATGAGGCGGCACTTTCTTGAGGAGCAGCCACCAACTGTTTTGCTTTGCTTGCTCACTGTGAATGACACCGTTGAGATCAATCCTTCCTGCTGTGTTACCCAAAGAGAGAGGATGTGTGATCAGGAAGAGACTTCCAGTCGGAAATAATAGGTAAGGCATCAGAGGAAGTGTTGATTGCAAGTGAAAGAGGAACGCTGAACAAATATGTGGAGGCAGCAGCTACTCCAGAAAAGAGGACTACTTGATCACCTGCCCTCTCTCACTGGGCAACAAGAGGATGGAGAAGAGGATTGGGCTCCTTAGGCCCAGTGCCTGTTCTTGCAGCACTAACATGGAGAGCACAGGGAAGCCAGCAAAGATGAGATTTCCACAACCAACCAGCTATGCTGCACTGCTGGGGGGGGGCAAGCAACTGGGCAGAGGTAGCTATTTACACTCTCTTTAGGCAGCGCCATGCACCTCATCCTCACTGCTGCTGTGTCCAAAGAGGATGAGCGAGAGGTGGGATTGAGTAGTAACTTGTCTTGTTTGCTAGCTTCCTTCCCTACCAAGCAGCACAGCTCAAAGGAGAAAAAACTGGGAGGGTGAGTGTGTACTCCAGGGGGCTTCATGGCTGTGTGTGTTTTCCCTCACCTGCATCATTCTAGCTTCCAGTGCAGGTCAAAGGAAGTGAGGAGAGAGTCATATTTACTGCTCGATTGCACCAGCAACAACTGCTGGTGAACTGCTTTTTCTTCAAATGTACAGTGTCAGTGTCAAACACGTTTCTTTAAAATTGTGCTTAATGTAAGGCACAGTGTGACCTAAAAAACTGGTTTAAGTTTCACGAAAGCTACAGCTGTTCCATCCAACTATGACAGGCACTGGAGTTTCTAAAGGGTGTGTCTGGTCACCGTCTAAGCCGAGTGGGTTGATTTAGAGCAATTATTTAGATCTCTAAGGGGGGGAGACAAGAGAAACCAATTTAAATCAGTTTCCCATTGATACTTCTTTATATGTTTCCTAAACAACGGTGCCAATCTGACTTGTAAACCATGTTAATTCACAGCTGCTTGTAAAAAAGCCAACAAAAGTTACTGACATGCAAACTACCTTGTTGAGAGCTGGCAGGGCAGGGATATAAAACTGCATTCCTATGCTGGGCATGGAAGAGGACTCCCTCCTCCAGCTGTCTATTTGGTTTATTTGCCAAGCACAAAGGAGGAACAGAGCAACCTGCCCAGCAAGTCCACTTGCCTGAATGAAATGCCTGGTCACTTATGGCAACCAACGCAAAAGTGAAAAAGATCATTATTACACTTTTGTTTCATTATTGCAACCAGATCCTATGTCTTTCGCTTCGGAGGACTGGTATGAATGAACTTAAATCATAGTTAAACTATGGTTTAAAAGGGAATGCACTGCATACATATTGGTGCACACAGCTGAAACTGCTGGTGCTTCACTCCTCTCCTGCTCCTGATGAGCTTCCAGGAAACAAGTTGTGGTCTAACTTAGCATTGCTTCCAAATCCAGGCTCACTGTTTGTTTAAAAAAAAAATGAGCCAAGAACAAACCTTGGTTATGGTTCATGGGAAAGAAACAAACCAGAACCTGAGTTCAGGTGCAATGCTATGCCAGACTATGGCTTAGTTCTCAGCAGCAGCAAGACCCACAGAAGAAGCGCCCTGTGCAAAAACACCCCTATGTGTTTCTGAGGCTCCGTGTATACACACCGTCAGCCGTGTGCATCAACATGTGTGCACAGCAGGCTACGACAACAAACCATTGCCTGGGAGCCTCCAATCTGCCTTTGATCTCATCCCCACCCACCTTTTTCTGTTTTAACAGTACAAATTCTACAAACACCTTCCATATCTCCTCAGAATCATTTCTCCTGCATGTTCCCTGTCTTACCTTAAAGGCACTTGTTAATTTATCATTAACATACAATTACACCTCCTTATACCATACTAATATACCTCTTTATACCATTACAGTGGTACCTCTGCGGATGGGATCCGTTCCGGACGTCCGGTTGGATCCCAAGGTTTCCGCAACCTGTGGATCGCTTCTGCGCATGCAAGCTCCACAAAACCCAGAAAAATACTTCAGGGTTTGCCGCATTCGCAACCTAAAGTTTACGTAAACAGAGGGTTACGTAACGCGAGGTACTAATGTATTCCATTTTATATTCTGCTTGCCCCTTCCACTTCCTAGCTATAATAATTTATGCTGCTGTCAATAAATTTGTGAGCAAGTGCTTCATAGCCTGCGAACCTTCCACCCCATCGTAAGTAATGCTACCTCTGGACTTTCGGTCACTTTTAACCCAGTGATAACCCTGTTATCTCCTTAAACACCCTTTGCCCCCCCAAAATGTACATATTTACACCTCCACCACATGTGGACATAATTCCCAGTTTCCTGGCATCCCCTCCCATATAACATCGAATATTCCTTGTTTATTTGATTTAATTTGACCAGTGTTGAATACCTTCTCCAAACTAATTTATGATAATTTTCTTTTATTCCTATAGACAACATTTTCAACATACTTTCACCCATATTTTCCTCCAGCTTTGACTATCTACCCTGTCATCTCCTTTCCCCACACCCCTTTTAATTGATCTTCTTGATCCTTCTACTAATATTTTATAAATCTCACTGGTTCCCTCGCCCCCGCCTTCTGATGACTCCGGGCTTGCCATAGGTCCGGAAAATCCCCGATGGCGAAGCAGCTCAAGCAGCTTAAAATCTGGGTTTGTTCCCAAACAATTTGGGTGGTTTCCTAAAAAAAACCCTCAACAACTTTGCGGTTGTGTCAGGAATTTTACTTTTCGAAATATAGCAACCCCCGATGGCTCCTGGTGGAGGGCAGCAGCCGGACACGTGCGCGGGAGGCGCAGAGAAATCTCGTCCCAATTCCGAGGGAAAACAGCAGCTTCTGGCCGGCCGCTCCCAGAAGTAACCCCGGGAAGCCCTGGACGAGAGGAGCCGCCCTTTCCTTACCTGACCAGAAGAGGCAGCTGCAAATGAGGCAGGGCCAGCCTCGTGGGTCCATCTCCCACGAAGGCTCGCTTCCCGAGGGGGCAGTCGATGCCCCCCAGAACTCGCCTGGGCGGACTCCTCTCTCGGAGCGGCTCAGTCACGTCCGGGCGCCTCCTCCTCCGACCTCTCCCTTCTCCTTTCTGCGCTTGGCTCCCCTCATAGCGCCCAAACCGCGCGGCCTCAGCCCAGCGCGGCCACTTCCTCGCGCTCGCTGTCTGGAAGCAGCCCAGGTGAACCTCGCTCCCCGGACGAAACACACGGGAACTCCCGCCTCCCGACGCTGCCCTGGGAGGCGGGAGGCGGCAACGGAGCCGCGCCCTCAGCGCCCCTGGCGAGCCAACAGCGCCCAGCAAACATCGCAGGTGCTGCTGCCGTGTGTCCCTACGGCCTATGAAGCCCGCTCAGGAACTGTAAAGAGGAATCATTCCCATCTGCCTCAAGCCATCACATTCTCTGAACGCAGGGACCAAACTAAGATAGGGGACTGTTTTTCATAGCCAACTCATCACAAGTCCCTCATAATTAGATATTCCCAGGTGAACAAACAACACTGAATTTATTAAAACCTCAATCGTCCTCAATCAAGAACATAAGAAGAGATCTGCTGGATCAGGCCCAAGGCCCATCTAGTCCAGCATCTGTTCTCACATTGCTCAGCCAGAAGCCCAACCAGCCGCTCACAATCAGGACCCGACTGCAGCCACACTTTGGCCACTTGTGATTCTTAGTGAATGGTGTTCAGAGGCACACTCTCCACGGCTACTATGGCCACTCAGCAGGGAAAATACCCACACCACCAGCAACCCAGAAAAATACATCGCCCTCTCACTGATTTGTTCTCATCCAGGGGGATAACTTTAGTCACAGCCAAGTACACGTGCCCTTGATTACTTGCTGCTACTGCTGCTCTGTGTATATAATAAATGGATAAAAAGCTGATTTGGCTGGCATATTGCACTTGGTGCATTCAGCCACATGCTGGGTAACTTTGCTGCAAATGTCTGTTTTCACTCTTTCATTTACCTGATTCTCTTGCATTGATATGCCACCTTTTCCCCCATCATGGGGCTGAAGTTAATGTACATGTTGCCCCATCCAGACAGCGGCCAGACCCAGATCTTATTTGCTTCAGCAAGGTGGTGGCCTCATATGCCTTCTGACATAAGCATGGAACTCCACATGCTTACTTGTATTTATTTCCATTTTAGTCCATCCCTACTTCAAGGAGCTCATTGTTCTCCCTGATTTTCCCCTCACAACAGCCCTGTGAGGTAGATTTGTCAGAAAGAATGATCAGGCCTAAGTTGCCCATTGAGTTATATGGTGGATGAGAGGAATTTAAACTTTGGTCTCTCTCGTCCTAGTTCAACAGTTGTTGTTTTTTTTGAAATAGTTTTTATTTGATTTTACAAGTATATAATTATAACAATACAACCATTCACATCCACATTTACAGATTCCTCTGAATCTCTGGAGTTCCCACCTCCCCTCCATGGATCCTATTATTAAACCTTTTCTACTGCATCTTTTCCAACACTCATCATTCCAAACAACAGTCTTAACCACTGTAACAAAATTTGAGCCTAACAAATCTAAGGCAGATTTATGTGTTGCATGCTATATACTTGAGAGAGAAAAATTGTGATGGACAAATGCAATCTGAATTTGTGCAGAGAATTTCTTCTGAGAGTCCTAATTTGAGGAACAGCACTACTGTCCTTGAGGTTTGTCATCTTTTTGTAGACCAGAAGATCTGTGCCATTACAAACAGGGTAGCAGGCATGAAGAAAATTTGTTCTGCTTTGCCTTGAAATTGACTTGGTTTGTACACAACGTTAAGCCAAACCATGGCTTAGCACAAACGCATGTGGGATCCCAGACAGAAGACTACAGCCACTGCACTCTTCACTTGGTCCCACTGCTGCTCCGCTACCATGTTTGAATGACGTGTTAAGTCAAACCATGGCTTAACCTAGGTGGTGTGGCAGCAGGAGGACTGAGGGAGAAATGCAACGTCCACTATCTCCTTTCCAGAAACCTGCAAACATGCATGCTCACACACTAATCCTTGCTTTGGTTTAGCATTATGTGAGAACTTAATGCCGCACTTCCTTGAGGAGGTAGTGAGACAGTCGGGTATCTACCAACTTCTTCTCAGTACAGTTTTTTTTAAAAAAGGAAAAGAAAACCAGCTGCTCTGTTGAAAAAGAAACTCAGACAACACAATAACTTGCATTGCAGTAGATTAGGAAAAAACTCACAAGATGCAAATACAAATATTCTCACCAAGAATCAGTGTGCATACAGTTTCGATGAAAAAGATTCCCCTTCTCAAAGACCTAACATTGTCAGTTAACATTCAGTTTCAGTGATTTCTTAAAGTTTAGATTTACAGGATGTTTTAGAAAGGCCCTAGTGGGACTCACTCCAAAGTGGTGTTCAAAACAATCTGCCCAGCCTGCCAAGCCATTCTTGAGACATTTTCCTTTGCCCACCCATGGAAAGCTCCTTCTGCCTAAAGCACTGCCAATGGAAGTCCCTCCTGCCATATTAGGCAGAATAATGAAATTAATAATCCCTCTCCAGAGATAGAATATCCAATTCTGGGGATAGAAGAATATAAGGGGAGTCCAGCTGGGTCAGACAAAAGTTCCATGTTGTCAGATATCCTCTTTCTCACAATGGGTAATCTGGTTCTAGGAAGACCACAATCAGGGCATGAAAATACCAGCCAAGCAACTGGTACTTATGTTATTTGCATTATTTATAGTTAATCCAGTAAACATGAAACAAACAGGCAAAAGTACAAGTATACAAATATTTAAAATTTCTGTTATACACTCAAATATTAAGTATGAGTTTCATAAAGTTCCTAGCAATATCTGTGGGTTACCTTGAACCTTATTGCACCAGTAAGTTATAAAAGCACTATTCCCCCCCCCCCAACACACAAATAATCATATGATTGCCTTGCCTCTCTACTTCCTATTATATTTCTGAAGGTCAATTCAGATGAGACTGAGGCACTGTTAGTTCTGCAGACCAGATGGATGGAAGGTTGCCTGCTTTTGCTGGAGTTTCACTTCCTCTGAAGAGGAGGGTACTCAGCTTGTGGGTATTTCTGGATCCATGGCTGTTGCTTGAGGCTCAGGTGGCCTCACAGTAGTTCATACTTATTTATTTATTGTACAGTGGTACCTCGGGTTAAGAACTTAATTCGTTCTGGAGGTCCGTTCTTAACCTGAAACTGTTCTTAACCTGAGGTACCACTTTAGCTAATGGGGCCTCCCGCTGCCGCTGCGTGATTTCTGTTCTCATCCTGAAGCAAGGTTCTTAACCCGAGGTACTATTTCTGGACTAGCAGAGTCTGTAACCTGAAGCGTCCATAACCTGAAGCGTCTGTAACCCGAGGTACCACTGTATATTCATTAATTCACACCCAGTTCCATGTTCTCCAATCCAATTTCCTGTTGGCTGACATGTTGCATTTGAACTGCCCTGTGATCTTCAGCTGAAGGTTGGTATACAAATTTAATTAATTAATTAATTAATTGATGGAAACCCAGGAGGCAGGGCTAGGTTGTCTAGGTTTGAAGGGGGGCAGGGAAAGTGCCTTCTGGTGGGCCCTTCCTTTCAGTGGGCTCTTGCAGCTGTGGCAGCACAGGATGATGCTAGGTCAGGGGCATTGTGGGCAATTCAAAGGGTTGCTAGGTCCAGCCTCCTAGTGCTTTTTGGAATGCTAGGACAAAAATTTTCTAAGGGGAGGCATCAACAGTGGGCCCTGCCAGGGTGTTGGGTGTGACTGACAACTGCCCAAGCAGGGCATCCAAAAGGGAGTTGTATGCAGTGTGTGATTTTGCTGCAGTTTGAGAAAGCAAGTGCAGGAACTTTGACTCAAGGCAGATTAAAACACTGCAGTGAGCACTATTTAAAAATGCTTGTGTGTGGTGGAAGTCCATGCGGAAGTGGTTTACTACGCTGAATACCACATAGTTGAGATTGCAGGCGCTAGGCAAGAATTTTTCCTCTATAGCCAGGCCTCTGGCTGCTTAAACAATCTATGGCTTTTAAAATGTATTTGTGGGAGGGGGTTACTGGTTTTTGTTGGTTATTATAATATTTTGTGTTTTCATTTTGTATTTTTATGCTATAAACCACCCTGTATTCTTCAAATGAAGTATATAAATTTAATAAAAGTTAAAAAAATAATTTAATCACAGATACTGTACCATATTGTGGGGTAGTACTTAAGAGTGTATGACTAGAACCTGGAAGACTGGGGTTCAGGCATGAAGCTCACTTAATCAGGTCTTTAATGTTGTGGCATCAAGACCTTGAATTTTCTCCCCTTGATTACAAGGCGCTGCCTCTGGTGCTTTTTCGGTGCCTATTGATGACTTTCCACTTTCAACCGGTCTTTTAACCTGAGCTCTTTCCCAGTCTGCCTCTGTATTAGAATTGCTTTTAAGCCATTGTTACCGTTTCCTCGCTTGTTGCTTGCTGCCCTGGGCTCAAATTTAATAATCGGTAAATAAATGAAAGTAAGACCCGCACGACAAGGCTTACATTCTTTTGCATTAGGCTGCAACCCTATCACCCACCTGGCTGCAAGTCCCCCTGAACTCAGCCGGGCTTAGCAGACACGGGGCAGAGATGCTAGGGAACAGGAGCAAGACACGCACCACCTCGTTCAAACGTTACTCGCAAGCAGGGTGTGCATTAAAAATTGTCGCTCAACCTCTTACAAACCTGACCGCTAAACTAAGCTGGCTTTTTCCAGGGGGATGAACACAGGAGGAAGAATTAAAAAAACCCCACCCTTCCTTCCAACCAGGCCCCAGTCAGTCTCGTCCCCCCCGCAAGCAGAGCAGACAAAGGCCCGCCTTCCCCCCTGACGGCCCGACCCCTTTGTTTTCGCTTTCGGATCCGGCGGAGGCGCCTCGGCTGCCGAGCGAGCGACATGGCATCCGCCTGGAGGAGAGCCTCGAGGGCCCGGCCGCTGCAGCGGCGCAAGCGGCGGGGATGAGAGCGGCGGCCGGGCGCTCGGGCGCGGCCAGGTGAGCTGCTGGTGGGGCGGGAGCGCTGCCTGCCTGCCCGCCTTCGAAGGCGCCCCAGTGTCCGCGAGGGAAGCGAGGCTGGCGGGGTCGGGTTGGGGCTGGGGCGGGTCCCCCGCGCAGCCTGGAGCTTCTCGGCGAGGCGGTGGAGGCCGGGACAAGCCGGGCTCCTCCGCCGACCCTCGCACAGATCGGGCCTTGCAGGCTGGCGAGGAAGGGGAAGGAGGGAAGGAAGTTAGCGAGGGATGGCGGCGCTCATGCGTCGTCTAGCGCCGCCTCGCGGGACGAAACGGGCGCCCATTTAGTGCCCCCACGCAGGACTCGGCTTGAACTCCGTGGGGAGACCCGTTTCCGAAGGAAATGGCAGCTGAAATAAACGGGCTGATCCCCTGAGCTGAAGCCTTAATGATGATGATTCATCCAGATGCTGGTTATTTGTGGCTGCTGGCTTGTGTTTAAAGTCTCTCTGGATTTTGTATTGTATTCTGTTTTGTGAGCTGCCCTGACCTATAATGAGGGAAGGGCAAGGTGTAAAATCTGTGTAAGAAACAAAGAAACAGTTCCTCCTAGAATATTATTTGTTGTTTTTAAGCCCATTGATTTCAGTGGGTTTCAGTGAGCTTAAGTTTGAAAGGCAGACGTGCTAGTAAGTGCATTGGACCTCACTGCTAGGATGAAGCCACAAGGCGGCTCATATATTTGGTATTAAAGAAGTATCTTATTCTATTAGCAAGTGTGGCTTAGTTTCTATGCAAATTCTGGCTGTGCTAGCAATCCAAAAGGAAAAAAAAGAAGCCTGGAAACAGTACTGAAAAATGAAGCTTTATCAAGTAATAATTGTGCCCAAGCCTTTTGCTTGCTGACAGCCTTCTTCAGGGGTATAAGATTAAGGTTCTGCTGACAACAGAAATTCTAGTCTGCTATTTGCCCATGGCAAATGAGGAAGGAACAGGTCACACGCACACAATCCATTCCCCAAACATCCTCATATGTTCAGATCATCATCTTGACAAACTCTGCCTTATCAGGGTTCAAGCATTCAGACCTCTCTCTGCAACGCAGGAAGCTCTGAAGGGCTGTGGGCGCGTGCAGAGATTTGGAGACAGGGTTTGCATGTGCTTCCCAAGCCTTCTCCCGCATGTGTTTGCCCAAAATTCCTGAAGAAGGCTAAACAAAAGTTAGCTTGTCATGGTAACCTTAATCTCTGCTGCTGAAGAAGTTTGTCATCAACCAAATGTGTGAGGCATTTTAATTGTTTTAATTGTTAATTAATTTAATTGTTTTAATTGTTTTAATTCAACCAAATGTGTGAGGCATTTTAATTTGTTATTATTTGAAATAAGATGGATTTTTCAGTACAGTACCATGTTTCTCTCTCTCCCTCTCTCTCTCTCTCTCTCTCCCCCTTTGATTTGGGGGGCTGCCCCCATTTCCCCCTTCGCTGATAGTTGGGAAGGCATTAAAAATCCGGTGGATGGATAGCTATGCTAAAAACGCCCTGGGAAGGACGTTATTGGTTTTTGTTCATCATGCTACTTACCTATGGACCTGCACTAATGGGAAGACGTCAGTGAATCTTGTGTGAATTTTATGTTAACAGTGTAGATCCTCTGGCCTTTGTGCCTTATTAGGTCTATGAATCTGTTTTCCTTAAGCCATGGTCATCTTCCCCACACTTAATGTCATATAGGCTGTCAGATGTGGCACAGGCAAAGTTGTCATTGCAAAGGAAAAAACTGAGATGCTTTAAGTGAGCATTGGATTGTTCCTTGGGAAGTGAAGCTTGTATTCAGCATCTTTCCTGCATGGCTGAATTTTTATTTTGTGGGCTGGTTTTAATTCAGGCCATTGTGTGAAGGAAATTATCTCACCTGACATTATATTATTGTGGAAGGGACCACAACTCCTTTTGCCTCAAAGGGCTGTTGGCTTGTCATGTGAAAGGAAGACATGTAGTGCAATTTAAAATGTGTTTACTGTACTCAAAATTGAGGCCCTGTGGTTTCATTGCCACTCACTTCCTGTTACGTCTCTTCTTGTGAAAGGGAAATGGTGATTACTTAAACATTACAGTATTGTCTTTAGATGTGTGAGTTTCACCAGAAACCAGGGTATTTTCCTGATGCTTTCAACCTTATACCAAGCACCTCATGTGAAATTTTTTAAAAGTAAGCTTGGTGTTTAATTAATTTGATGCCTTCTTAAGTGTAGTCTCAAACAGAGGACAGGAATCATTTTGTAGTAGAAGGGATATCTGTAGAAATAGCTTATGCTAGAAGTGTTGAGATGCAGCTCATTTTGTATTAAGGCTGAAGATATTTGAATGGGGAACGTCGATGGAGAGAGAAATCTCCAAAGGCTCCCTGCCTTCTTTCTCTCTGACATCTGAAGCAGAGATTAGACATCTTCCTTTCGTAATATGCTTCTGCAGTCATCAAAATATGAGCAGGTGTAGTTTATGCTGCAATTACTAACTTCTCTTAATGTGGGGTCACTCACTGATCAGATTTAAAAAGAAAATGGGACTGGCTGATTTAGAGGACAAAGCTTTTGTCAGGGTGCATCCACAAATGATATTTAAAATGGTGTTTACACAATCCAGGGCACTCAGATTATTAGAAAAGTCAGCTAGTAAAAAAAAAATGCACAACAGAGAGTCTCCCTTACCATATCAACTAGCATACCAGCAAAGGGCAAAGCAAGTTAAGGGTCAGGATACAATCATGCAGTAGATATTCCCCCCCCCCCCCCCAATTTGGCTTAGTCTCAGATTAGGGAAGGGATTTGCAGTGGCAGGAGGGATTCTGGAACCAAGTCTAGCTGCATTGATGAAAGAATGGAGGAGTGTGGAATTTCTCCCTTCTCACACTTCACAGAAAGAGAGAAAACATTCCTGCACACACTTGGGTTGTCTAAGGAATCTACACACATGTACAGCTAACTTAAAACTGGACTATGCTTCTAGCCAGGAACAGTTCAGGGGGGGAGAGAGACAAACATTTATTTTGCCACTTCAGTCTTTCCCAGGAATTGCATGATGGTGTAGCTGCAGTTAACAGGTGTTGCAGCTTGCTGTGTGTCTGCTTCTCAAGGACATCGCAAGGAACCATATCACTGGCCTACTGTGAAGGTATTTACAAAATGTTTGTCATAAACTAGAGTAAAAGATTACCTGTTTATCATATGGGCTGAATTTAGATGTCATGCTAAGCCATTAACTATGATTAAATAAACCCTGTGCACAAGCTCCATGCCGGTGAATAGAGCACTTCTGTTTTCTCCTTCCTTAAATGAGTAGGATCACAAACCACATCTAAAGCCATGCTTGAGATTTATTTATCACAAGCAAATCAACATTCAGAAGCCAAGAACAAAGCTTAGGGTCAGATCATGGTTTGGAGAGAACTAAATGTGCTGGTTCAAAAGTAACACAAAGCCAGTAACACCATAGTTTGTATTCTCACTTGACTGAATGAGGAGTAAAGCAGGAGAGCTGAGCCTATGAGTGCCGGTATGACATCTCATGTACAGGATCATTTGCTGAACCATAGTTAATGACTTAATATTCTTTCTGAATGTGGATGTGTTTACCTGTTGTCCAATTTCGTTGGTTATTTTTACATGCTGTGTTTCAAGCTGTTCCTGAACCCTATGAAGGGGATTGGCACAAGGTTGATTTCCCATTTGACAAAGGAGTACCTGTTTAAGGAAAATCCCAAACTGTATTGTGTGTACAAGAATACTCCAAGCCTGCCAGTAACTTTGCCTCCTGAGAAGTCAGACTAAAGATGTTACGCTGTATTTTAGTGTTAACCGTTCAGGTTGAACATTGTTTTTATCTGAAAAGAGTTTCATTTGATTGCAGATGCAAGAGTTACGTCAGCAGTAGGGATCACCCAGTAGGATGTGATTTTAAACTATGATGGCACTTTCCATGGGACCACTGCATTTCTGCAAACCTGGTGAGTTAAACCTAGAAAGAATTGAGCTCTTTGGGTCCCCATCACTTCATTTGCTTCTTGTTTGAGCAGCCTTCAGAGGCTCCTGCTTCTTCTTTGCCAAATAAATTTGATTCTCAACTTCTGCCATTTTCCCAATAACAAATCTACTCAGTTGAATCCAGGAGTAGCCAGCAGGGAGGTGAGCTCTTGTGGGCCTGGCCTCCAAGCAGCAGCAGCAGCAGCAGCATCACTGCCTGGTACTAGGGCAGAGCAGGAGAGTAGCAAGGCTACGGCTGTGGAGGTATGCAAATGGAAACAATAAGATGCTTCTGGCAGGGCTCCTGCACAACCCTGACCTCCACCTGCCTCCACACCATTCTGATATTTGGGGGTGATGCTGCCGCCATCGGGTTCGGTCCACCTTTTGGCCCTCCCAATCATGGCTGAAGGTGAGTATTAAGTGAAAACTGTGTAAGGGTACTTTTAACACACACACCCTCCAAAACGAGAGAAGGTTGGAGACTTTGCCCCCATATCCTTAGAGTTGCTGTAAGTTTAGACACGGAAAGCAAATCATTGAACTTGCCGACTCTGCAACTGTGGTTGCGCCACACATTTCTTCTGCAGATATTGTGTAAGCTCTTTCAGGTTTATACACTAGGCTATAAACAGAAGAAAGAGGATCCTTTAGTGTACTCTCAGAATTCATCAAAAAAGATGTTTCCCATTGTAAGCAGAAAAGAACTCTGTCTCGCACAGAGCAGAAAGCTTGTTTTACTGCCTGCCTGAATGCCTGTTTTTAAAATTTGAAGATCCTCTTTGTATTCTGAGCTTTGTACTGCCCCTCATTGATCTTAAATGCATCTGCATCCTGTTTGTTTGTGCTCTTCCTGCTTCTAGGATGCGGTTTTAAACTATGATGGCATTTTTCACGGGACCACTACATTTCTACAAATTTGGTGAGTTCAGTCTAGAAATAATTTAATAGTTTAGGCTCCCAACCCTCCTTTCTTGTCTCAGCTACAGGTTCTTTTTCTTTGCCAAATAAATTTGATTATTAACTTCTGCTAATCATAGATGGCTCAGTGAAGACAACTTTCACCAAGAAGTGAAAATACATCGAGACTGCCTGAGTCTCTTGACATAAGGGGAAAATGTACTTGTGTTCAGTCACTAAGAGAGATGGAATCACAAAGCCAAAACTAAGCATTTAAAAATTCCATTTAGGTCAATGTGATACACCTAAGGAATGTGCAGCCTCATCTGTGCGTGTTTACTCAGAAGCAAGTTTCACTAAATTTGTGGTTTTTGCTTGAAACCACAAGGAAACTCCTGTAACATCACGGTTGTGTCAGGAGTCCTGCAACAATGGCATTCCTGTTTTTGAAAGGCGTTTTAGCCATTCTTTGTCAGTTTTTGGACTTTCTCTTGTTAAAATAATATAAGAGAGACTTAAGTAATTTTACTGCAGTATGAGCTATGTTAGGCAGAAGCATTCTCCATCTGACGAATTAGAGCCATTGACCCTCCTCTCCCGTTTCAATTAATTATGTTGCAGTCTTTCAGATGAGTGGCATAATAAGGTGGTTGCACCTCTTTTTTGGAGGTGTATTTTTTGATTTTAATGCAACTACTTTCACAGCTGAACTGCCCAGCTAGTTTCCCTGCTCATTTTTGTATGTAGTTGTAGTATAAACTTAAATGGCGCCTTCAGCTGTATGCACAGTTCTCCTCTTTAAGCAAACACAACACGGCTTTGTGGGATGGTGGCCTCAGCCCCTGAGGTGACACAGCACTTATTGCCCTTTGATTCTGCGGACTGGCAGAATTAACACTGCTGTTAAAGGTGTACTTCAGAACTTCCGGGTTAGCGCCATCGGCAATGGCAGAGTTCCTCTGACTAAGAGGTACCCGCTCCGCGAAAATCGGGTCTTGCCACCGCGGCGAAGGCGGAGACCCTTTAAAAATCCCAGGCGGAGGAAGCCTGGGAACGTGGGATTCGGCTGACACCAAGAGCGCCTCCCCAGCTCGCGGGGAAACCCTTTTTCGGGGTCCCGAAGCGAAGGGGGGTGAGTGGCGCGGTGTTTTGAATCGACCACTATTTTTACGGAGTGAAGCCGCACAGCTGTTGCCGGAGAGCGCTGACTTTTTCCTGTGAACAATTGGATTTTAAACAACTACTCGTGAGTAGAATGGAAAATTGGATTATAAAACTTTATAATTTGGCACTGAAGCGGGAACGTCTAAACAGGAAGTCCGCCTTTCTGCTTTTGTAAATAGTTTGAAGCAAAGACATCGCGAGCTAAAGTCTAGAAAGTTATTTGTAAAGGACTAAATTTCCATCGGTCCAAACTACTAAATCCCCCCGGAAGCAGGAGAAGAGGGGGGAAATTTTGAACTGCTTAAGCCTGCAGGAGAGAGTGTAAAAAAAGATAATTTTCTACTGTCTTGAACCCGGAAACGGGCTGCCAAAAGACAGACGTATTGGGAAGGTTCATTGACCGAAAACAAAAGGTGTGCTGACAGATAGTTAAGAAAGAGAAATATTTTGACTCCAATGTTTCTCTTTGCACTCAAAAAGGACAAAACAGTTGAAAAAAGAAGGTAATTTTGTTGCCGGATATGCTTCTAAAAGGACGGATACAACTGGAAATTGTATCCCCTAGAGGGAGCCTTTGAAATTGCTGTTGGAGTGGACCTGGGAAACTAGCCAGCATTAGAGATTAAGGATCGTGAGAAATATTTTTTTTTACCTTGGACAAGAATGTCGACACAGGAAGCTTTAGTGTCTGCCTTGTGCAGGACAAGTGCTTTGCTGGAGCAGCTACATGCAAAGATGGATTTGATGTTTATTGCAACTGACAACTTTGGACAAGCAGTGAATACTTATACGGAAATCCTTCAGGAATCGACCCAGGAATTTGCACTGACAGGGCAAGTTGAGGAGAAGACAAAGAAGGAGGTTGCTGTCGAACCTCAAGTAATATATGTTGAGAGAGCTGTGGCCTTGCAGGATTATAAGCTGTTGTTTCTGATTCCTGAGCCTGGAGTGAGTGATATTTGGAGAGATGGAGTCCCAGCTGGATTGGAGATGGGAAGTGGGCTTCCAACGCAGGGATGTCCAGACCTATGGGATTTGGTCCTGGGCCAGGGAGAAACTCTTTAACCTTGGAGGGACATTGAAGCTCGCTATGAAACTTCCTTTGGATTTTAATGCTGATTATGGAGAATGGGTGGATCTGTCGAGAAGGGTTAAAGACATTGTTAAGTTGGAGTCTCTCAGAGATCTACTCCTCAGTGTTAAATGAAAGAAACGGAAAATAAGATCAACCGACGACAAAGTAAAGGGCAAGTACAAATTTGAAGAAGATCCGCAGAAGGGACATGGAGAAGAGCTAAGAGCCTCGGATATAAGATCGCCAGGTTGATGGACTAGAGGGAATGGTCAGAAAGGACTGACAGAACCCGAGACCGGGAAGAAGAGACGGTGGATGGAGATTGGAAGAAAGTTATAAAAACTTATTTAAAGAAACATTGTAAAGTTAATGAGCTTTAGGAAAATGTTGGAATGAAATTATTCGGCTTTAGTAGAAATGTTAGAAGGAGATAAGTTCAAATAAGTCCTAAATTTTTAGGGTTTTTTAAGTGAAAAATTTAAGGGTAAATTGTGTCAAGAAGAATTATTTAAAAAATTTGAGAAAGAGGGAAAGGATTTGCTGAAACAGTTAATTGAACTAGAATACAAAAAAGGGAGGTGTGAGGAAGTCGAGGAAATAAGTAAATGAAAGATAAAGATATGAAAATATCGGATCTGTTTTTTTTTCTTTTTTTCTTTTCTTTTTAAAATGTTTTTGTCTTTAAATGTTTTTTGCTTTTTCTTTTTTTATTGAGCTGCTGTACTGTTTTTTATTGTACCTTGTTTTTGTTTTTCTCTCTCTACTTTTTTCTTTATATTTGAAGTATTGTAATTTCTTTAATTGTTGTTCTTTTTATTTCTTTCTTGTAATTGTTAAACTTTAATAAATATCATTATTAAAAAATAAATAAATAAAGGTGTACTTCAGATTGAGATCCACTGCAGTACTGATAGTATAAAGGTAAAAAGTCCCATCTGAATAGATCTGCAGTCCTGCTTCTGGTTCACATAGTCCCCTTAGCCAATGCTGTTTACACGTGTTTATGATGTTTCTTTTTGCAAAAAGAATGAGGAAAAGGAAGGGCATGTTCAAATCAGGCTTTAACATGTATTGCACCGGATCTTTGTTTTTTGGTGATTTGTGTGCCATTTCCAAAAAATACTGCTTGGAGGATCAATACATTGTTTAATACATATCAACAAATGGAGAACTGGTATGAAAATATCCTATAAATTAAATGTGATATGTGCCGTCCTACAGATAATAAACAGGAAACCTTGTATATAGAGATACTATAGTAAGAAATGGAGGTCATTTCACTGAAGCACTACCCATATTTATTTACACCCTGTCAGACTGAAATTCCTCCCCACACTGTTTGACCATCCTTTGAGTATCTCATCCGTTGTAACCCCTTTCAGCCACTTTCTCAAAAGCAGCACATCTATCCTGTTTTAAAGCATTGATGACAGACAGAGATAATTCTTCAAAATCTAGGGTTGTTGGTTCATATGCTTAAATAGAAACAGTAAAATGGGTAAGGCAAAACAGCTTTTGGCGAAGGACCCTAACAACCATCTGGCAGCATGAAACTAAATAAAAGGAGCAGAAAGGCCAATATTTAGCAAGTCTTCTGTTACAAGTGTGATGTTGGGGAAGGAGAAAGGCCACCACCTTTTAAGGGTTCTGACTTAACACTAGCAACTCATAGATATGTATGAAGAAGAAGAGGAAGAGTTTGGACTTGATATCCCGCCTTTCACTCCCCTTAAGGAGTCTCAAAGCGGCTAACAATCTCCTCTCCCTTCCTCCCTCACAACAAACCCTCTGTGAGGTGAGTGGTGTTGAGAGACTTCAGAGAAGTGTGACTAGCCCAAGGTCACCCAGCAGCTGCATGTGGAGGAGCAGGGAAGTGAACCCAGTTCGCCAGATTATGAGTCCACCGCTCTTAACCACTACACCACACTGGGTGTATACTTTTCGCCCTATCTGAGCAGATGCTGCGCATGTTCTCACCCCAACCAGCTATGGGGGTCCCCATGCAGAACCTATAGTACTTCTTTGTGGGTGGGATCTGTCTGCTCTGATTGCAACAACAACCACCTCCCCATGGTCCACACAGACAGAAATTTGAACCTGCGGAATAAATTATGCTAATTTACATGGTACTTATGGCATGATTTATATTGATAGCTGCATATACAGAAACTTGAAATACTTTGGATACAATTAGAGATGTAAAAACTAGAAAGGAGAAAGATTGAAATGTGGGGTTGGAAGGAGATGGGGTATAGATTGCTTAGAACTAGGAGCCATAGAGGAGGAGAGGGGGAATAGAGGTGACTAGCCCTGCCCAAGATCGCCCTGACTTAACACACATTTTCAAACTTCTCCAAAAGTCCACTGCCACCTCCATTTGGAGAGATAGCAACAAATTTTGTCTTTTGAGTTCTTTTCCCAGGAAGTACATTCCACTCGGCATACAAACAGTGTTATGTATGTTTTCTACATTGAACAGATTTTATCCCCCCCCCTCATGTATATATTGTTTTAATTTATAGTGTACATCGGTGCTCTGATTTCTGCTCTGTGCAATTTAATTGGTAAGTATTTTCAAAGTACTTAACATTTGCTGCCAGGTTCACATTGTATTTTGTTGGGAATGAGCAGCAAGATACACAGCTATTTCATCATGTATGATCGATAAACTTTGTACATTCTATTTTGCCCCACAAGAAACATCTGCTGAACTCAAGTTGAAAATGAAGGCAGAGGATTTTGAGTACATTTTAACATGGGAAGCTGGAAATAATACAGGGACAGCCACATGCTACAATGTGATGTATAAAGAGAGAAGGTACCTATGCTTTTCCTAAAATATATTCCCACGTTTTGTAAATTATTATGAATGACTGATATTTGGTACAAGATCATTATTGGTTTGGATGTTTCTAGTTAAGGTCCTGTCATATGAAGAACAGAAACCAAGAGTTCTCTGGCAGCTTAAAGACTTAACAGATTTGATATGGCATGTGATTTTGCAGACTGCGTTCCACTTTATCAGAGGCATGAACTATTATCCTTAGAAGATAAATATACACATGGCTGTAGAGGGGGAAACCTGCACATGTGGGGTCACATGATCATTAAGTGCAATACGTGCTAAGTCAAGCCAAACTTTGATGGATGCAAATTAACAGCAATGGGGGGGGGTGTGCTAACAAGAATAAGAGTGCAATCCGGACCCCAGTGGGATGGCAGTGGGGCAAAGCCACACCACATCCAGAGTCCCATTGATTTCACCAGCTAGGGTGGAAGGTGGGGTCAGGGGCAGGAAAATTGTGTTTTGTTGCTGTGACAACTCCAGTTTGGAACAACAGGTGGGGCTGGATTGGGCCTGTTTCCACATCTGACTGGTAGCTGGGCCGGCATTTGATGCCTCTGGTAAAGTGGATTCTCAGTCATGAAAATTTATCCCATAGTAATTTACTTAGTTTCCTAAATGTTACAAGACTCTTTGTTGGTCTTGCTGCAATAGACCTGCAGTGCTATCCTTTCTACATCTTCTCAGAAGTCGGTCTCATTGCAATGAGAGTCCCAAGCAAGTGGGCATCTGACTGCAGTCTTAAGACAGCAGTCATGAAATGGTCAGCATGGAAACAAAACAGAAAAGATTCAGAACCAGACATTCACATGAGGCTGCATTAACTGTTATTTAGGTATCAAGCTGTGCTGAGGCCTCATAGGAGAACAGCCATTTCAGGTTTGTGTTTCCTATTGATGCAGCTATAATAACCAGCTGTTACTCAAGTCTGCCTCATAGTTCTCAGGAAGGTAAGAGAGATGAGACCTGGACTTGGGTGAGGTGACAGCATTTAGCCATTAGGAAGCAAACACCCCTCTGTTTGGTCAATTAACAAAGTACATTATCTGATTTGCACATAAACTAACATAAGGGAAGAGTCACAGGCTGATCTTCCTACAGAGTTCCTCACAGGAGACAGATAACAATAAATTAATCCTCCAAAATGCTTCTCTCCCCTTTGAAAGCTCAGTTTGTCCTTGGCTATCAAAATCAGCGGGAAGAAACCAGGTGCATGATTCTTCTTTCAGTAAGTCCAAGTAAGTAAGGCATATTTTAGTAGTCAGTACTCATACGTATATGTTTGTCCTTGTGACGTTTCCCAATCAGGGCAAACTTGGGGGCAAATTCCCAGGGGAAATCTAACATGTTTCTGAATGGAAGCACAAGTAATTGAATTCTAGGAGCGATTGGTAGCTGGTCCTGGAAAAGAAATTATGTTTGGGGGTTGCTCTCCCCTGGGAACTTGCTTCAGACAGACACCCTCTCTTCTCCTTCTTGCCAGGTCCCAGCAAAATGAGGCTCCAGTATCTGGGGAGCTGGCCATTTGTCCAGCTGGTGCATGGTCCAAAAGCGGCAAAGACCGGTAAGCACTCAAAGGCAAGCAGATGTTGAGATCCAAGGCAATATGTAGGAACTAGGCACAGTCCTCACACAAGATGAGATGCAGCGGCTGAGACGCAGACTCCAAGGCTAGGGCAAGGGCAGGAAACTGAGGCCCTCCACATCTTGCTCAACTCAAACACCCATCATTCTGTACCATCTGCTGTGTGGGCTTGGGCTGATGAGAGTTGACATTCCACAGCATGTGGAGGGCCCCAGGTTCTTCAGTCCTTGGCTATGCCTTAATGTGGCCTGGTACACAAGGGTTGGCTTTGGGGCCAGCTGACAATACTCAGGAAGTACTGCAGCCTAGAGGACTAACTTGAACTACAGTGTTCAGTCTTGGCTGGAGCCAAAGTCCCAGTGGTGCAGCATGAGAAAAATATACACCTCTGTTTGCCTCTATTGGCCTGCTGGTCAGTTTAATCAGGCCCCTGTGGGCAGTTTATTTCCTGGGGTAAAATCCTTTAAAAAGGTCAACAACTTCAATCCTAAAAAAAGGGCAACAACTTTGGGTCAGCCGTCACAGCCCTTCACTTCATCAAATCTGGCCCTCTTTGAAAAAAGTTTGGACACCACTGCCCTATCCCCTGTAAAGAAGAGATGGTCTTGGGATGTTTGTGGCAAAGAAACACAGGATGGAAATGAGAAAGGCAACCGTTAGGAACTGAGCAAGAAAGAGCAGAGGGAAGGAGCTACTTGGTTCTGGAGATAGACAGGACCTTTGTATTGGCTGGGGATATGCATCCATAAACTGGATAAATATTGAGTCATCTGCACGCTAAGAGAGGAATTGCCCCTCCTGCACTGCCTTCCCACAGACCTAAAAGCCATCTCTCTCACTCTGCCCACCCACAAATACAACCCTCTGCCCTTTTCTCATCGCTGGAGGTGGCAGTAGAGGAGTCCAAAGGAAGCATTTGTGAGTCGAGGACCCTCCACCTGCATAGAATTATAATAAGACACACAGACACATTATTTAGGTTAATGGGCAAAATTAGGCCACAACTTTTATTGGTTACAGCATATGAGTAGTATTGGCTTAGGCATTGGATTAAACAGCAATACACGACTCCACCCCACACAGCTGGGAGTCATAACAGGGTTAACAACCAATGGGAGGAGCTTGTTGATGCAAATGCAACTGGAAGCTCCCCCATGACGTCACCAAGGTACCACAGTATTTGAAAAGCCACCAAATGTACATTTGCACTGACATCCTTCTCACAGAATGGGACACTTCATATCAAATTAGGGGATGAGGGTGAGTAAATATATGCTTGATCTCACTCCGGCATTCTGGACAACTTTCATGTGACGCTTTTGAATTTCTGCTTTATATCCAGTTGGGAAGTACTAATTGGCCCCTTCTTGTTTCCATTTACAGTTATCCCAGACCGAATATGAAGATTGTCGCAGAGTGTTCCAATATCACACGTTCATTCTGTAATTTGACAAAAGAGTTCACAGATCCATGCAAGGCATACATAATTGTAGTGGATCAGGTCACAGAAAGTGGAGTACATTATTCAGCTATTCAGTTCAGTCCATATGCTGACAGTAAGTAATTTGCTCCTTATTTATGTTTGAAGCACATGACTTATGCTTCCTATAAGTCCTTGTCAACCACACAGGTTTCACACTGGCCAAGGCAGAAGGTAGAGGCCAGTTGTCAACCCCCACTAGGTCAGCTCCCAGCAGGCTCCAAAGCTGTCAGTGCCCTGCCCCACGGGCGGAGGGAACGCACTACCACTGGCACCATGGGAGAGGGAGGTACCATCATGGCTGCCCCCCCCGGACACGGGCCACGCACCCTCCCACTGCGAACAGTGCGCCACGCCCCTGGGACGTGCGCCAGCCCCGCCTCTGCCTGCTCACCGCCCCCCGGTGCCAGAGCATGCAGAGCCCTGGCACCAGCAACCTCATGCAATTCTAGCCCCCCAAACCCCCAAGACTCGCTCCTTCTTCAGTGTATTATTTTCAGTTATTTAGATCATTATTATTTAAGTGCCAAGAGGTCCCGAGGTCCTGACAAGCTTTATCTCCAGCTCTCTATGGGCATCCTCTTGCTTTTCAATGGAATGAATGGCAAACTACACCCCACTAAGATCAGAACACAGGACTAGGTGCCGTATTCAGAGCAGGCTTTCGGGAGCAGAAATGAGGATCAAAGAAGGCTGAAGGCCAACAAGTTAAGAGGCTTAAAGGTCGGTTTGGGGAAATTTCTAATCAATAGAAGCCCCGCCGTACCTATTTAGCCTTCAATCTGAAAGAAGCATACCTGGGAGAACGTTGTATCATTTCATTTGAGATCTTATGTCCAAGTTAGTAGTGCATTGGATTGTAATTTCATTAATTTCTCTAGGGCAGAGCTTCCCAGTCACATTGATTCCTTCTTTTCTTCCTTTCTTTGTTCAACAGCATGCCTAACACCACCCCAGTTTGAGATTTCTGCTTGTCCAAGCTGCGCAAATGTGACAGTGAAACTTTCAGCCTCGTTACTTCATGTATACCAAGAGCTTGATTATACGGTCACAGTGATAAGAGACAATGTCAAGGAAAAGGTCGGTTGCTTATGATTAAAAGGGAAATGGTAGACAGTATCAAAATTAATTCACTTCATCTGTAAGAAAGCTGCTATTTCTGTTTCTAGTTCAAGTATATCCAAACTTAATGGTTCTGCTTCCTGATCCATAGCCCTGTCTATCCTCCAAGGCAGGCCTAGAGTTCCTGTCTGGGTGGGTTTCACCCATTCACTTCAATGGAGTGGGCAGCTCCCCATGTTTTGTCCTTTCTGTGGCTGTTGACATTGAGATAGACCAGAAGGGCTGTATATATTGTTGGAGTGCCAGCAGGAATTGCTGGATTGAGATGTTTTGGATTAATAGGGTAGACCACTTCCCATGCCAGTACTTGAGGATTGGGCATAGCAGCAGCTAAACCAGCAGAGTCCAAAGGCCGGAGGCTACGTTGGTATTGCTGTGCCTTTGCACTGTTGCTGCAAGAAGAATTGGTAAGGCAAATATTTAGCAGATGAACAGAAATGATAATGTTACTTATATATAGCTTTTTGTGTTTCCAGAGCACTTTAGGAAACATTTTCATAGGTATCCTTTCAATAGCCCATGACATAGGCTAGTGTAATTATCCCCACATTCAATTGTCAGTCTTTTTGTTCTTCTTTTCTAGCGTGTTATCAATACAACCAGACAAGAGAGTTTCCACACTGTCATTGGAGATTTGAGTTTCAATACAAATTATTGTATTGCTGTTGATGTGAGAACAAGTCTAAATAATCAGTGCGCTCCGTCTGTCCCCAAATGCCTTATCCTCAGCTCCAATAAAATATCAGGTATAATGAATTAAGGGGTGGGGAGGGGTTGCAGAGAATTAATTTAAAATTATTATTTTCTTAATTTAAAAAAACTAATAATAGATTATTGATTTTAGTATTTCAAGTAATGGTTTAAAAAAAAAATATTATGAATTTTGGTAAAGTAGTGCTCTGTGTGCCCAATAAAACCAGAGTGTTTCACAATAGCCCCCATATTCACTTTTCTTTAATCACCTTCTTTTTATCTTACAGGTCATATTATATTACCAGCGTTGTTTGGCATATTAATGTCGTTGGCAGTAATACTCATTCTATTTGTCCTGTATAAAACCGGTGATATTTGCTTAAGAAGGAGGAAATGGCCAAGCGTCTTGGTATGTAGCCTTGAGACGGATTCTTTTTTTAAGATAAATAGCTTAATAAGCTCTACTGTATGTATGCTGTAGTGGTTCTAGGGGTTGCTCGTGCGTAAACTGGTGCAAACACCTGGCTGGGTTGCCTGAGTGAACCTTTTCTGTCCGGACAGCCACTCACCCGTGGCTGTCTCAATCACTGGCAGAATCCGTCAGTGGGCGTTTCTTAAACTTCTTCCAGCAAAGAAGCTCTTTGATGCCTAGTCTCCTCCTACTCTCTCTGCGCGAAAGTCTTCTGCGCAAGGAGGGCGTAGGCAGCGGAGGACCCCTACTCTCCCCGCTGGTCCCCGGCAAGGAGTCATGGGACCGCCTCGCCGCTTCCCCCATCTGCCCCCCTTCTCCACTGGTGCTACGCTGATTCTCTTCCCCAGAAGATGGGCTGCCTCTCCCAATCCCGGGACGCTCTCTGGAATCCCTCTGGATTTTGCTCTCTCCCTCCGGCACTGATGGCAGTTCCCTGACATATGTATATAGAATTTTATTTATTTTCTATCTTCTTTTCATGAAACGTTCATTGTTGAAAAGACCTAAGGGTCAGTCCCAGGGTCAATGCCAGTTTCATAGGGTCAGGTGATATGAGAGTTTGCCCTCTCTGCCTGGAGAGCTGCTGTCAGTGATGGAGAAATAATCTGACCAGTTTCTCTATCCTGTTAACACTTGATCCTCGCTGCGAGACGTGAGGTAACAGGGAACCAGGCAGAGGGCCTTCTTGGTGGCGGCGCACGCCCTGTGGAATGGCCTCCCATCAGAGGTCAAGGAAATAAACAACTACTGTTTCTGACCTTTAGAAGACATCTGAAGGCAGACCTGTTTAGGGAAGTTTTTAATGTTTGATGTTTTATTGTGTTTGAATATTCTGTTGTTGTTGTTGTTGTTGTTGTTGTTGTTGTTGTTATTTGATAGGACTTGTAATCAACAGCACCACAACATTTACATTTAGCCTTGTGTCCCGGGTATCTGGCCTCAAGACCATAAAAAGCTGGAATAAATAAGTGAAGAAAGAACCAGACTCTTCAGGGCTTTTTCAACAAAACCCCCTTTATTGAAAATGGAAGCAAATCCCAATGAAAGCCAAAAGATTCTTACATCTGTGGAGGGTTTCGGGATTAAGGCCAAAATATTGACATCCAATTAATATCTATTAATATTAATATTCAACTATGTATCACACCCCTATCTTTTTTGAAGGCATCTATTTTATTTTTCCCATCTGTAAATTTCAAAATTGTTTTTCTTTTCAGAGCATCACACCAAAATTAGACTATTCCCTTTTTAAATCAGAACCGGAAGAAGTGCACACCGTCCAGGTCACCCAACAAAGTAAAAAAAAAGTATGTGGATACAATTCTGATGAAGAGGACAGTGAAAGCGTTGCTGGAAATGATGATTTATATACTGCACATGGTTTTTTGGGGCAGACTTCAAAGTCCTGCTCACAGGAGGACAATGCAGAGCCACCGTCCCTAGACTGCTCATCCACTCTAAGTACAATAGCTGACCCCCAGGATGAGGAAACAGAAAACCTTCTGCTCATAGGCTGCTCATCTGCTCCAAGTGAAATGCCTAAACCTGTAGATGCTGAAGCAGAAAACCTTCAGAATGATATTAGCAAAGAAGAAAGCCCAACAATTCAAATATTTCATCCTTCTCCTGAAGTGGACTCCGCTAATGAGCCAGACCTGGAGTGCAGCAGCTGTTCCAATGTAAACTTAAATACTGTGGTGCTAGGAATATCTGGCAAAAATATGGACATTCTTGCAACATTAAGCCCTTTTGAAGAGGATGCAGCAGACTCGAAAGAGTTGTGTGTTTCTGATGCATTTGAACTGAAACATTTCACTGAAGCGCTAGAAATGCAGAACTCTGACATTCCTAACCTCTCTTGTTCCTGGCAAAATTCTAATGGGTCTGGAGAAAGTGAGTCATCGGATTCAGAAACGGACTGTATTGGTGAATACATGAGCAGATGAATCAATGAATGCTCAAGTTAGCATTTTTCAGCTTCCAGTAAAACAATGTATTCCCATGTCAAGGGACTGGGTGGGATCTTCTGTCTAATGCTATCAGTATTGTACAAGTACATATGAAAATGCAGCGCTGTTGTTAATTTCTGTAGCATTAATATGGTATGCTCTTCAATGTTTTTGTCTTCCAAAATAACAGAGACCTTGCCTGTCTTGAGGATGAATTTCTCTTGTTACAATGATCAACCATTGCGCTTGATCATCAAGTGTTCTTAGGCATGATACAACACTTTGCTGGTAATTGTTCCAGAATGGTCCTCCTGTTTTCCTGCCAGTGATCTTTTAGACCCCCAGGGTTCATAGCCCTTTATCTATACCTCAGTTTATTTTGTGAACCGGAATGTTTACTGCCATCACATTTAATATCTGTCAACTCACACTTGGACATGCACTTCAGTTGTCCTTTTCCACTGGTCCTATTTGTACCCATGTCTGTGTTTCTTTATGAGGATGAAGTAACTCTCACCCTTCCTTATATTATTGGCAAGCTTTAAACCGGTTCTGTGTGATCCTTTGCTTGACAAGGGCTCCAGCGATGTGGTTAGAAAGGAGGCAAAAAGGTATACTATTGTCCTTGAACTCTTCCTGCCTGTCGTAGTGGGATAATCTTTTATCAGTTTCTCATTCTAGAGAATCTGATTGTAGCAATGGTCTGGAATGGATGTTGCCATCTTCATAACACCCTTGAGTTGCATGAAGTTTAAAACCATTTAATGTGAAGACATTTCCCTCAACATTCCTGTAATCAAGACTACGGCCTTCTTCGTACTGTGCAAGATCATCATGCTGAACACAGAAATAATGGCTGATGGGTGATGAATGTACTGGGCCCCTGCTATAACCTTGTTGGGTCTAAAAAGCTTGTTGCAGCTACTCTGTGCAGGGGGAGAGGGATTTTGAGAAGAGATGTGTTTAATCACCATTTGTCTGCTCCACATTGTCCCTGAAGTGGGCAGGAGCCACTGGCCTTATTTCTGGTCAGGCAACTTCTGTATAGCTTAGTGGTAGGCTCATGAATGCGAGCCTTTAGTGTGATCAACCCAGTCCTACTCTGCCAAGAGAGATTCAGTGAGTGCCTTCTGTGCCAACTTTTAAACGCCTGTTGAAAATGTTTCTATTCCACCTGGCCTGTGCAGGCAATTGAAGAGTATATCCCCCACAATGCTGTACTGACGGTTGTTTTTAATTATTTTTGCCTTAACTTGGTTTTAACTTTTTATTGTTTTACTGTAGGGGTTTTTTTATATTGTTGTAAACTGCTGTGATTTTTTAAATAATACAATGGTATATAAATCATTTTTATAAATAAATAAGGCAAGAAGGCATAGAGTGAATAGCCATGCCATACACAGAGCAAAACAAATGTAACTTTTGCTCAATGGATTTGTATAGCAGCTCTCTAAACAGTTACTGTAAAGATGTTCCATGCAGAGGCACAGGAAGGGCTTATTTTAAAACAGCTTGAACATTAACCATTACAGGAAATGAAAACAACATGGGGAAAAACATCCAGCTAAACCTGGCCTAAACTATGCCAGTGTTTGGCAACTTCTGTTCCTGGAGTCTGGATGCATAGCAGCCTGTTAGCATTTTTCTTCATTTTAGCATTCTTTGCAAGCTTTATTTGCACGCGTTATTTTAAATGTATCCTCCCAACATTTTGGGCAGTCAGAAAGGCAGGAGACTTCTTTTTCGGTTTCTCTTTTGTGTAATTTCTTGGGACTTCTCCTACAATAGCGTTTAGGTTTTATTTTCCTCTTAGATGTCAGGTTCTTGGACTGAACAGTGGACTTTTCTGTGATCTTCTCATCCTCCTTGTCAGAACAAACTAAAACTCTTTGACAACCCCAAACAGGACACAAAATGGTTTAAACAGTTTCATTCCTTCACAGTGGGAAAGAGGAACACCCTTCCTTGCAATGTTCTGTGTGATTTCTGAGCATTCTGAGAACAATTGCCTGCTTCATGGGAGCAGACCTGCTGTCCAGTACTTGAAAGAGCAGGTTGAAGTTCTTGCCATAACTGGACTAAGGAAAATTAATGCCAGAATATTTTCTTACCCAGCAGAAGTTCTTGCAGTTACCTCAGTATTATATGTATTTTCTCTGTACCTATTTTAAAGGATTAATAATTTTGTATGTCTTGAAGTATCATAACTGTACTCACTTTGCACATAAGTTTTACTAAAGTAATCTGAAATTATTTTGTTCACTTCATTTTCCTTGTGGTACATAACCCTTTGTGAGGAAGGCATGGGCTAATCTATTGGGAAAACTGAGTTGCACAGCTAATTTTACACAGAGGAGACCTACTGAAACGAATAGACCTAACTTAGCCATGTTCATTAATTTCAGTAGACCAGCTCTGAGTAAAACAGTTTGATATTGCCCTGTGTCTGTGTATTTAACAAAATAGTAAGCAATAGTTATAATAATACAATGCAGTCAGCACAAGTGAATACCACACTCTATGACATTGCACATTATACATAGCCTTCATGCTTGCTTGGCTAGATGTGACTTTGCTTCAATAAGATAACATGGACCAAGGTCTGGTTTAGCTGCAGGAATACTCAACCTCATACTGCAGTGTGTGCCAAATCTCCCAGGGTTGCTTTGAAATGGTGGTTCAAGTAAAATGAAAGCCAGTTGGAAGCCCACATAGAAATAAGCAGGCACATTTGAGAAACAGGCCCACGTCAATTGCAGTCTAATTATCAGGGCTTGCCCAGAAAGGGGGGGGGGGCTAGAAATATATTAATAAAAATAATTAATTGTTAATTGTAGCAAGAAAGTAATCTGGTCACTAGCTATATCCTGAATTAAAGGGGGCTTATGATCACTTTTCCATAGTGTTTGGTGAAATAAGCAGTATAATACTGAAACCAATACGAAAGCAATGCAGATGGGGGAAACTAGATGTGTTCTCCGTTAACAGCTGCGTGCAAGTGTTTAACCGCAAGGCATGTGTTTCATGACTAATATAGGTGGTTTTAATGTAGGGCCTCCAGTCATCTTTTATTGTTTAGTGTGCATCTGCAGCAGCACAACCGGATGCCTGCATCTGCCCCAGTTGCAATGAAACCTGTGTCTCCCATATCGGGAGCCACAGCAGCAGCAGCTGTAACCTTTTGACAGTTTGACTTCACCTAAAAAGGCACAGGCCTCCATTGTCTCCCAAGACAAGACAGATGCCAACCAGTCTCAGATTTCTGATGTGCTGTCTGACTGAAGTCTCTCCAAAAACAAATCCATTAAGGAAGTCAATGAAAGTTATCATAAACAGGATAGGTCTCTGAAGTTTACAAGAGCAAATGCCTGCGAGAAAACGAAAGTGTTCAAAAACTGCCTCAAAGGAACCAACAGAGCAGATTTGGTATATTCCACATCAAAATGCCCTGTTTTAAGTAGTAGCCAATATCTACCAATGGAAAAAGAAACAAATTCTCTGCAGTAATGCAACCAACAGGGATTTATTTATTTATATAGATATTTACACCTGCCCTTTACCTTAAGGCAGTGATGGCCAAACTTGGCCTTCCAGCTGTTTTTGGACTACAACTCCCATCATCCCTAGCTAACAGGACCAGTGGCCAGGGATGATGGGAATTGTAGTCCCAAAACAGCTGGAGGGCCAAGTTTGGCCATCAATGCCTTAAGGTCACAAAGTGGTGAACCAAAATAAGGCAAATACAAACTGTTAGGAGGTGGGGGCATGGGACGTAGGCTGCACAGTGGTACCTCGGGTTAAGAACTTAATTCGTTCTGGAGGTCTGTTCTTAACCTGAAACTGTTCTTAACCTGAAGCACCACTTTAGCTAATGGGGCATCCAACCCACCAACCTAGCAGCCTCATTTTGCACCAGCCCTACCATCATCAAGGGCAGCCCCACTTAGAAGGTATGGCAGTAGCAGAGAGGAGGTCTCTTGACCATGGGCAACTGAGGCCAGACTACCAGGTCTGTGAATGGACATAGCTGGAGTGGGGTACAAATAAATTATTATTCACAAATCAGTCTATGCTGGACGTAAGTACTCCAAATAGGACTCCAGTGGCAGACTGAAATTCAGGAATACTCCCAGACTAGGCACCTGTTCCTTCAAGGGGATCAGTTAGCTATTTTACTACCTGATCTAAGGTGTGATGTGCTGAGAAGAGGAAGCTGAATTCTAGATTTCTCCCCCAAATATGTTGACTCTTCACAAACATCTGCCATAGTTGCAAATGGGAAGCAGTACAGTCTAATAATATGTGTGCAACCACAGCAATGATGAGGAACCATAGGTCACGCAGATGTTGTTTACTCCAACTTTCATTAGTCTGAACCAGAGCTCTCCAGAGCTACAGGAAACAACCTGCTGGGCCTTAGGAAATCTTACTGGCCACTCATAATGGCTCTTCCTGCTGTAAGTTGATATAGAAGATATAAATTATTCTGTATTTTAGAAAGATGGTGATATCAAATGACACTTTTAGGTGCTAACTACTCTTTATATTGAAATGCATAGTTAAGCCACAGAGATGTCTTTATGTTTTTTAAAAAGGAACCTCGTGGCTCAGGAGCAATTTAGAATGGACATTTAATAGTTAAGCTCCCTCACCTACACGTTTGAAAGTGAAGTGCAGTTTGAGAGGCTAACATTACACGATTGCACTGCTGTTGGGAATCTGATATAAGATGCACACTCAGTGCAAGTGTGTGGATCTTGCTCGCAGTACCAGACACCACACAGAAGCAGACTAAGGTCCAAATCTTTTTACTGTTGTAGAAGTAAATAAGCTTAGCAAACAGCTCTGGATAAAAGTTATACACAGAAAAGGAAGTTCCAGCTTGTAGGCTTTTCAGATACGGGTAGCTCAGTTGGTTAGAGCGTGGTGCTGAGAACACCAAGGTTGTGGGTTCGATTCCCGTAAGGGACAACTGCATATTCTTGCACTGCAGGGGGTTGGACTAGATGATGTCAGTGTTTGTAAAAAGCAAAAAAGGAGGAAAGGGTTCTGACCTCCCTTTGTCTCCTCAGTCTCCTTGTCGCCACAAAAAGAGTCCACGAGAATATCCTTGCAGAGTTTTATTCTTAAAAGTCTTTGTGCAAAACACGACTGAATAACTATACACACCAGCACTAACCAACCAACCCAAACACCAGCCTCAGCAAAGTAACATTTCTCACTCTATATATACAACTTGGTGCAGGCCGCTGAGTCATGCTGACCCAGCTTTATTTGCATTAAAGAAACAGCGGCCATTTTAGCCGTGACAGATGATCCTCAGGGTCCCTTCATATTCTATGATTCTATATACAAAATATCAACATTCCTCTAACACCAACTAACCAAGACTGAACTAGCTGGCATACATTAATCACAAATATAGTCAGGGCTCTGAGCCATTTGACCTTGCAACTGGCTCATTTGACCTTGCACCTGTGATTTACCTCACCCACGGGGTGATTTATGCTCATGAAGGAAATTAACCCCTTCCTACGTCCAGCCACTCCAACAATTGCTACAATCAGATTCTCTGCAATGAGAAACTGATCAAAGATTATCCCAGTGTGACAGACAGTAAAGAGGTCAAGTATATTAGCATCTCTCTTTGCCACCTCTCTAATTAGAACACTGGAGTCTTTGCAACGCAAAAAATCACAGAGCCAGTTTAAAGCCTGCCAACAATCTGAGGGTGAGGGAATGCTTCATACTGATAGAAAAACACACAAAGGTATGAATTGGATCACAAGGCATTCCCTAGCATAAGTTCACATATAGTCTATCTGAAGGCCCTGAACCCTCCAGTTCTCTGAATAAACAGGCATAATGAGTTACAACCCTCAGGGTCTTAGGCTATGTATTACAGATAACAGGAAATCCATTCACAGTCAATTAATTACCAGCGAAGTGCTTCACCATGGTCAACAACACTTGATGATCAAGTGGCACAGCTGATCAACTGTGATCGACAAATCCAACCTCAAGACGGAGGTTATATAGAATGAACATAGAACAGGATCGGAAGATATTGCGATGCATGTTTGCAATTACAGTGGTACCTTGGGTTACATACGCTTCAGGTTACATACGCTTCAGGTTCCAGACTCCACTAACCCAGAAATAGTACCTCGGGTTAAGAACTTTGCTTCAGGATGAGAAGAGAAATTGTGCTCTGGCAGCACGGCGGCAGCGGGAGGCCCCATTAGCTAAAGTGGTGCTTCAGGTTAAGAACAGACCTCCAGAACGAATTAAGTACTTAACCCGAGGTACCACTGTAATTCTATTCTAGAAACACAAAAGGCTGGATTTATTTTCCAGCTTTCACAAATGGTTGTCTCAGGAGTCAGTCAGCAGTAAGTCACACTGTGCAAGCTGGAGTTAACTCTTTATTAGCAAAAACACAATCTGTACAGAAGTGCCTGGCCTAATGAGTGCAGCAACTCATGCCTGGTAGGTTTGCGCCCATAAAGCAGTTGCTAAGACTGAAGGTCCCCACCTACCCACAGCTACCTAAGTCCTCTCCTCTCCAGGATTCCCCCCCCCAAGCAATCAGAGGCTATGTCTGCGCATCACCAATCTCTCCGCTGCACTTTTCATGCCCCTTCTGGTTCTAGGAGACAAGGGGAAGGGGAGCTTGTTGCAGTAGAAGAAAACACCAGGGAGCCTTCATCAGCCTGACTCATCTCTGTCTCTTGGCCTCTCTCCTCCCACCCTCCTGCTTCAGTCTCTGCCTCTGATTCTGGACTTCCCTCTACCACAGACTCTGCAGGCTCACTGAGCCCTGTTAGCTTGTGACACCTCTTCTCTGTCTTCTCCTTCTGACCACTCATTGTCCTCTCACCACCACTCCCTGGGCTCTGAGCCTTCTTCCCTTGGTGGTCCCCCAGCTGGTTCCTCCCATCATTTCTCTGCATCCAACCAGGCCATGACAGATTGTGGGTACTCAGTTATACTGGAAGCAGACTAGTAAGTGGCTTGCCCCCCGTTAAAAAAAAAAGTGAACAGAAAATGATAGTAATGCTGTGGGAATTCACAACAGTGCTGCATTTTCATATGTACTTGTACAATACTGATAGCATTAGACAGAAGATCCCACCCAGTCCCTTGACATAGGAATATATATCGTACAGGAAGATGCTATTCTTTTATTCATCTTTGATTCATCTGCTCATGTATTCACCAACACAGTCCGTTTCTGAATCCGATGACTCACTTTCTCCAGACCCATTAGAATTTTGCCAGGAACAAGAGAGGCTAGGAATGTCAGAATTCTGCATTTCTAGCACATCAGTGATATGTTTCGGCTCGAATGCATCAGAAACACACAACTCTTTCAAGCCCACAGCCTTCTCTTGGCAAGAGCTTAGTGTTGCAGAAGCAGTCACATTTTTGCCAGATATTCCTAGCACCACAGTATTTAAGTTTACATTGGAACAGCTGCTGCACTCCAGGTCTGGCTCATTAGCGGAGTCCACTTCAGGAGAAGGATGAAATATTTGAATTGTTGGGCTTTCTTCTTTGCTAGTATCATTCTGAGGGTTTTCTGCTTCAGCATCTACGGGTTTAGGCATTTCACTTGTAGCAGATGAGCAGCCTATGAGCAGAAGGTTTTCTGTTTCCTCATCCTGGGGGTCAGCGATTTTACTTGTAGTGGATGAGCAGTCTAGGGACGGTGGCTCCTCCTGCGAGCAGGACTTTGAAGTCTGCCCCAAAAAACCACGTGCAGTATATAAATCATCATTTCCAGCAACGCTGTCACTGTCCTCTTCATCGGAATTGTATCCACATACTTTTTTTTTACTTTGTTGGGTGACCTGGACGGTGTGCACTTCTTCCGGTTCTGATTTAAAAAGGGAATAGTCTAATTTTGGTGTGATGCTCTGAAAAGAAAAACAATTTTGAAATTTACAGATTACAGAGGAGAGAGAGGCAGAGAGGGCAAACTTTCATATCACCTGACCCTATGTAACTGGCATTGACCCTGGGACTGACCGTTAGGTCTTTTGAACAATGAATGTTTCATGAAAAGACGACGATAGAAAATAAATAAAAATAAATAAAATTAAATAAATAAAAATAAATAAAATTCTATATACATACATACAGTAGAGCTTATTAAGCTATTTATCTTAAAAAAAGAATCCGTCCCAAGGCTACATACCAAGACTCTTGGCCATTTCCTCCATCTTAAGCAAATAACACCGGCTTTATACAGGACAAATAGAGTGAGTACTACTGTCAATGACATTAATATGCCCAACAACGCTGGTAATATAATATGACCTGTAAGATAAAAAGAACGTGATTAAAGAACAGTGAATATGGGGGCTATTGTGAAACACTCTGGTTTTATTGGGCACACAGAGCACTAGATTACCAAAATTCATAATATATTTTTTAAAACCATTACTTGAAATACTAAAAGCAATAATCTATTATTAGGTTTTTTTTTAATTAAGAAAATAATAATTTTAAATTAATTCTCTGCAACCCCTCCCCACCCCTTAATTCATTATACCTGATATATTATTGGAGCTGAGGATAAGGCATTTGGGGACAGACGGAGCGCACTGATTATTTAGACTTGTTTTCACATCAACAGCAATACAATAATTTGTATTGAAACTCAAATCTCCAATGACAGTGTGGAAACTCTCTTGTCTGGTTGTATTGACAACACGCTAGAAAAGAAGAAGAAAAAAATTGACAATTGAGTATGTCATACAAAGGACAAATGCAAATATGAGGGTTGATGAAACACACTTGACTGTTACGTGGAAAGTCTCACCTTTCCATGAGGTCAATACACAACCTTGCACACTCTTTTGCAGTCAAAGCCCAGCATCTGTAGTATGGGGGGATAATTACACTAGCCTATGTCATGGGCTATTGTAAGGATACCTATGAAAATGTTTCCTAAAGTGCTCTGGAAATACAAAAAGCTATATATAAGTAAGATTATCATTTCTGTTCATCTGCTAAATATTTGCCTTACCAATTCTTCTTGCAGCAACAGTGCAAAGGCACAGCAATACCAACGTAGCCTCCGGCCTTTGGACTCTGCTGGTTTAGCTGCTGCTATGCCCAATCCTCAAGTACTGGCATGGGAAGTGGTCTACCCTATTAATCCAAAACATCTCAATCTAGCAATTCCTGCTGGCACTCCAACAATATATACAGCCCTTCTGGTCTATCTCAATGTCAACAGCCACTGAAAGGGCAAAACATGGGGAGCTGCCCACTCCATTGAAGTGAATGGGTGAAACCCACCCAGACAGGAACTCTAGGCCTGCCTTGGAGGATAGACAGGGCTATGGATCAGGAAGCAGAACCATTAAGTTTGGATATACCTGAACTAGAAACAGAAATAGCAGCTTTCTTACAGATGAAGTGAATTAATTTTGATACTGTCTACCATTTCCCTTTTAATCATAAGCAACCGACCTTTTCCTTGACATTGTCTCTTATCACTGTGACCGTATAATCAAGCTCTTGATATACATGAAGTAATGAGGCTGAAAGTTTCACTGTCACATTTGCGCAGCTTGGACAAGCAGAAATCTCAAACTGGGGTGGTGTTAGGCATGCTGTTGAACAAAGAAAGGAAGAAAAGAAGGAACCAATGTGACTGGGAAGCTCTGCCCTAGAGAAATTAATGAAATTACAATCCAATGCACTACTAACTTGGACATAAGATCTCAAATGAAATGATACAACGTTCTCCCAGGTATGCTTCTTTCAGATTGAAGGCTAAATATGTATGGCGGGGGTTCTACTGATTGGAAATTTCCCCAAACTGACCTTTAAGCCTCTTAACTTGTTGGCCTTCAGCCTTCTTTGATCCTCATTTCTGCTCCCGAAAGTCTGCTCTGAATACGGCACCTAGTCCTGAGTTCTGATCTTAGTGGGGTGTAGTTTGCCATTCATTCCATTGAAAAGCAAGAGGATGCCCATAGAGAGCTGGAGATAAAGCTTGTCAGGACCACGAGACCTCTTGGCACTTAAAGAACGATGATATAAATAACTGAAAATAATACACTGAAGAAGGAGCGAGTCTTGGGGGTTTGGGGAGCTAGAATTGCATGAGGTTGCTGGTGCCAGGGCTCTGCCAGCTGGAAGCCTTGGCAGCATCAATTAAAAGAAGTAGAAGCAGGGCAGGGCAGTGACAGCTTTGGAGCCTGCTGGGAGATGACGCAGTGGGGGTTGACAACTGGCCTCTACCTTCTGTCTTGGCTAGTGTGAAATCTGTGTGGTTGGATCTAGGACTTATAGGAAGCATAAGGCATGTGCTTCAAACATAAATAAGGAGCAAATTACTTACTGTCAGCATATGGACTGAATGAAGTATCTGAAGAATGCACTCCGTCTTCTGTGACCTGCTCCACTACAATTTTGTATGACTCGTAGGGATCTGTAAACTCTTTTGTCAAGTTACAGAATGAACGTGTGATATTGGAACACTCCGTGACAATCTTCATGTTTGGTGTTGGATAACTTTAAATGGAAACAAGGAGGAGCCAATGAACAATCAGTACTTCCTAACTAGATATAAAGCAGCAATTCAAAAGCATCACATGAAAGTTGTCCAGAATTCCGGAGTGAGATCAAGCATATATTTACTCACCCTCATCCCTAATTTGATATGAAGTGTCCCATTCTGAGAGAAGCATGTCAGTGCAAAAGTACATTTGGTGGCTTTTCAAATATATGCTTATTTTTCATGTGTAGTCTGTTTCTGAGATTCACCCCCTTTTCGTTGTTGAGAATAACTAGGCTTTTTTAGCAACTATAGCTAATCTACCATGTTTTATTGCTTTTTTAGTCCATGTGACAATGTGAGGAGCCAAAGGAAGCAGGACTGAGGAGGAAATGCTTCCTTTGGACTCCTCTACTGCCACCTCCAGTAATGAGAAAAGGACAGAGGGCTGTATTTGTGGATGGGGAGAGTGAGAGAGATGGCTTTCAGGTCTGTGGGAAGGCAGTGCAGAAGAAACGGTGGTGTACCTAGGGTCCCTTGTGCCCTTGGCAAGGAGATGTATTGGTGCCTCCGAAGACAAGAGAAACCATGGACCAGAAAGTCAAAGTTTGCTTTTCATCACCAGTGACTTCCTCCATGGCCATTGGGACTGCTCTGCTGTGTCTCCCTCACCTCCTCTGCAGTCAGTCAGTCAATCCATCTCTCTGCCTTCTTACCTCCCTCTGCTTACTGCTTTCCCATCCAGCCACTCTGAGCCAGAGTGTATCTCCCTGGCCCAAGGCCCTTGACAGGGGCCAACCTAGCCAACTGCAAGGTATACCCCTGGAAAGAGGGCAACTCTTCTCTTAGAATGCAGATAACTCAATATTTATCCAGTTTATGGGTGCATATCCCCAGCCAATACAAAAGTCATGATAAACTGGAATGCAGTCTGCAAAATCACATGCCATATCAAATTTGTTAGTGTTTAATCTTCCAGATAACGCTTTGTTTCTGTTCTTCATATAACAGGAACATAACTAGATACACCTATGCCAATAATGATCTTGCACCATATCAGTCATTCACAATCATTTACAAAACGTGGGAATGTATTTTAGAAAAAGGATAGATACCTTCTCGTTCTATACATCACATTGTAGCAGGGAGTCCCTGTATTATTTCCAGATTCCCACATCAATATGTACTCAAAATCCCGTGGCTCTATTTTCAACTTGAGTTGAACCGAGGTTTCTTGTGGTGGCGAAAAAGAACAGTTGTAAGTACTGGTGAGTACAAGGTTTGCCAATCATACGTGATGAAATAGCTGTGCATTTTGCTCCTCGTAAGCAACAAAATACAACGTGAACCAGGCAGGAAATGTTAAGAAGTTTAAAAGTACTTACCAAGTAAACTGCACAGAGCAGAGATCAGAGCACTGATGTACACTATAAATTAAAACAATAAATATATGAAATTTTAAAGTATCTGTTCAATGTAGAAAACGCTCTTGAAACTGTTTGTATGCAGAGTGGAATGTACTTCCTGGGAAAAGCACAACAGCTGAGATTTGTGGCTTTCACAAGTTTTGGAGAAGTTTGATAATGTGTGTTAAGTCAGGGGAACTTGGGCAGGGCAACCAATCACTTCTAGGGTATGTTCTACAGTCATACCTTGGGTTAAATATGCTTCAGGTTGAGCGTTTTCAGGTTGCACTCCCCGGCGACCCGGAAGCAAAGGAACAGGTTACTTCCGGGTTTCGCCACTTGCGCACGTGCAGATGCTCAAAATGACGTCAAAATGCTGTTTTAAAATGCTTAACTTTGGGTGCATGTTTTCAGCTCATTTAGCAGCTAAGCAAAAGTCTGTTTCCCTTATCTTAAGAGACTCAGGGACTCTAAGCATAATTTCATTTATTTATAAAAGCTGTCTTCTTTCCAGCCTGGCAGTTTGAGACTAGAAACTAGTTGAGGATCAAATTTATTTGGCAAAGAAAAAGGCAGCTGAGACAAGAAGAAAAAGAAGGGTGTGCTGTTAAATTCTTTCTAGATTTAACTCACCAAGTTTGTAGAAATGCAGTGGTCCCATGAAAAATGTCATCATAGTTTAAAATAACATCCTATGTGGTGGTCTCTACAGGTGGGTAAGCGCTGATGTGACTCCTGCATGTATACCAAACAATTTTTTTTTTCAAAATCCCAGAGAAAACAGTGATTCCAAAAGGATAACATGAAACGTTCTTCCAAACTGTCATTTAATATGGGTGGCATCCATTAATTATCTTTTGCCCATATGATACTCGGTCCCAAATCATTTCTTTCCCTCTCCTTCTGGATCTTGTCAGTGAAGGAAAAAACAAGGCAGACCCCCCCAAAGAAAACGAAAGAAAGAAAGAAAGAAAGAAAGAAAAGAAAGAAAGAAAGAAAAAAAGAAACCCCTTTGTGTGGGTGACAGAAGAGGCTAAGGTACCGAAAAAGGAAGCCTTAACCAATAATAATAGTCTTTATGAAACAATATTTATGCATCAGCCACTTAAGATTAAGGTTCTCTTGTCAAGGCAGGATTTTGTCACACTGGGGACATACAAGCCCCCCCCCCCCGCATGGACTTGCTGCACTTCAGACTTTCTCAGGATTCGAAGTGCATTCAGCTGAACATGTGGGGATGTTTGGGGCAGGGATTGTGGGTGTGCCCCTCTTCCCTTCCCCCCTTTCAGCCCATGCACATTCAGTCAAAATGCCTGATTATGATTTCTGCTGCTCAGTCTCACACCCCTGAAGAATGTCGCCAACAACGCCCTTGGGGCACGCTTATTATTTGATTATTATCCATTTTTTTCCAGGATTGATTTCGGGTTTTGTTTCTTAGATGCTAAGCCACACACTTTCCAAAAAAGATGCCTTTCATTCTAATACAATACGTATGAGCTGCTTTGTAGTTTGGCCCTAACAATGAAGGCAACAAACACACTTAGTGGCGCTCTCGCCATCCAAACCTGCGCAAGTTGAGCTCGCTGGAGCCCACTGAAATAAACATTATTTAAAAACAGGGAAGGCTTTTGTAGGGCCTTAATGACGAACACTTTACTTATCATGTGGATTTTATACTGTGCTCTTCCGTTGGCGGTTATTTTAATGTGGGTATAACTGTAAACTGATTATTTTTATGTTTATGATTCTATTGATTTATTGGTTACTTATAGTCTGTATAAGATATTCTGTTTTTTAATGTTGAATGTTTTATTATGTTTTTGTATACGCTGTAATTCGCCCAGAGTGATTGGGGAAACCCAGCCAGATGGGTGGGAAATTATTATTATTATTATTATTATTATTAACTCAGGGTGGCTCACAACACTGAATATGCAATGTAAGACACAATACAGTGGTACCTTGGTTCTCAAACGCCTTGGTACTCCAACAACTTGGAACCCAAACACTGGAAACCCAGAAGTGTTCCGGTTTGCGAACTTTTTTCGGAAGTTGAACGCGCTCTGTTTTGATTGTTATGCTTCCGTTTTGAGTGCCACACATCCGTTTTGAGTGTTACACTGAGGTCTGTCTGTTTTTGCTATTTATTTTGCGTTTTTGTTTTTGCAGCTCTTTTGGGGGATTTTGTGACTGTGTGGAACCCACTTCAGCTGCTGACTGATTGATCCTGTGACTGCAGTACACTGTCTATTGCTCTCATTTTATCTCGTTAGATGGTCAAATTCTTGTCAAACTGCTGTTTTAGGGGTTGTTTTTAAAAGTCTGGAAGGGATTAATCCATTTTGCATTCCTTTCTATGGGAAAGTGCGCCTCGGTTTCAGAACGCTTTGGTTTCGAAACGGACCTCGGGAACAGATTAAGTTTGAGAACCAACGTACTACTGTACAGAAATATGCAATTAAAGTAGCCTAAAAACACTTTAAACACAAGCCAGCAGCCATATATAACCAGCATCGCTCAGGAGATCGGCACGTTGATTTCAGCGGCTATTTCCTTCGGGAAGGCGGCGCTAGACGACGCATGAGCGCCGCCATCCCTCGCTAACTTCCTTCCCTCCTTCCCCTTCCTCGCCAGCCCGCAGGGCCCGATCTGTGCGAGGGTCGGCGGAGGAGCCCGGCTTGTCCCGGCCTCCACCGCCTCGCCGAGAAGCTCCAGGCTGCGCGGGGGACCCGCCGAGGCGCAGCCCCAGCCCGACCCCGCCAGCCTCGCTTCCCCCGCGGACACTGGGGCGCCTTCGAAGGCGGGCAGGCAGGCAGCGCTCCCGCCCCACCAGCAGCTCACCTGGCCGCGCCCGAGCGCCCGGCCGCTGCTCTCATCCCCGCCGCCTGCGCCGCTGCAGCGGCCGGGCCCTCGAGGCTCTCCTCCAGGCGGACGCCATGTCGCTCGCTCGGCAGCCGAGGCGCCTCCGCCGGATCCGAAAGCGAAAGTCACGCAGGGCGGGCGGGGAGGCTTATCTGGTCTGCGCCGCAAGTGGCCGGGCTCGAGGAGGGCGAAGAAGGGGAATTCTAAATACGTACTCGAAAGAGCCCCGTCTCTTCCCCTTGTTATGGAAACAAGGTTAGCTTGGTGGCGCAGTTCCATCCGCGAGGAAAGAAACAAGGTTATCCATATACTGTATACACAACCAATGAAATAAATATATTTTTAATGCATTTTAATGTGGTGTTCTCGGGAGCGAACTTGCAAAACCAAGCATTGAGCGGATGGGAAATGAGAACAGGCGGCGAGTTCTGCACCGCAGCTGATCACGGTTGGATCGGAGTGTCAAAAGAGCTGGTTTTGCCAAACATATTGAGAAAATGTACAAATCGAGAATCTCCAAATGTTTTTTTTAATAAACTCCACCATATATGGTGATTAAATTTACGTCTTGAGGTCTTCAAAAGTAGTTAAATGGGATGTACTAGATATCAGACTTGTGCCCCATATTGTGAAAAATGCAGGGTGAGATGTACATTTGCACCTGGCATTTGAACCTATATGTAAAATCAAACAGTCAAAAGTTCTCGACAAACGTTTGGACCATAGTTGGGAGCAAATGATAATCGTAAAATTATCATTTAACTAGTTACATCTGAGCAAACACTGATAGCAATTTATTTCCCTTCCGAAAAGTCACTTAGGAGATGATTTGGGGCATAGCTGCGTATGATTAGGCCTTAAGAATTTGTTAATGGAAAATGATTCCCAAAGCCTGCTTGAGTGTGTTCTGGCCTGTAGGCGGTGCTGTTTCTCTAGGAACAAATTCTCAGAAAATGCTACATAATTCAACAACCAAGTCCTTAATGCATTCACACAATAAATTGTATTTGATTTATGTTGTTCTATATTTCGAAGTCCAAAATAGTCTGGGCTTCGGATACCTGAGGAATGCCTTCTATATACTGCACTCTCTTGAATAAGATGGAGACAGGTGCCGACATTGTCTTTATTTCCATTAGAAATACAGCTTTCTTCATCCTTTAAGATGCTTACTCCCCTTGGGAAGTCCTCCAGCCCATTCCAATGAAATATGTAAGTGGCCATGAAAAAAAGACCTATCTGTTTTGCAAATTAATTACAAACAAATGCAAACTGTTTGGACAGCCTGTTTATTCAGCATTCATCCTGATTTGCTTGTGCAAAACTCATGCAGTGGTTAGATTGCCTGATTTTTACTAAGATTTTTTTTAAAAGAAACTATTAATTTTTAAAATAAGACAAAATATAAACAATATTAAACATACTGAAGGAAAGAGAGAGAAAAGGGGGAAAGAAAAATGGAGTGGGTAAGGGGGGGGGAGATAGGGAAGGTAATATCAGACTTTAATTCATGTGATGCATCTTTTATCGTCACAATCCAAGGCACTGAGGAAATCACCTTAGCCTAATCTTCTAAAACATAACCACTAAGGGTCTATGTTCCATTTCAGTTGAATTAATGTATACCAAAAAATTAGACCAAGTAGCATAAGAATGATCATAAATCCCTTCCATATAATAGTGACATTCTGGAAGAACCCTTAGAGTTTAAAAATTTTACATAACATTTCCACTGATAACTAAAACAAAATACCTCATGCTTCTTCTCTGCAATTGACACTGAAGCGGGAGCCTTTCTCTGTCAGGGATTCCATGTATGTTATGTGGAAACCTGCCCTTTAGATGTGTGTGTGCCTTTCACACATCCCTGAAGGTGCAATATATGTATTTTAAAATCACATAGGTTTTGTACTTTCAAAATGTTAAGCTGGCTTCTACAGTGCTATTATATACGCATCTCATCAGGATTAAATCTCACTGAGTTCAGTGGGGCATACTCCCAAGTAAGTCAGTATAGGATTACAGTCTAAGGCATCATTAACAAATTGTATTGTGTACCGAAATCTCTTATGGTTTACCTTCACTAAGTAAAACTATATACCTACCAGCTTTCCAGGCTGCTGCATCCTTCTGATGAAGCAGGCTGTAACCTACAGAAGCACATGCCACAATAAATTGTTTAGTCTTACAGTGCTACAAGATTCTTTTGATTTGTATTTTCCTGCTATATAAACTAACGTGGCTACCCTTCTGGAATTTGTTATTTGGTGACAGGAGTAGCCTTGCTATATGATAACACATTATACCCAATGTGAGACCATTAGTTTCACATTTTTTCCTGAGATGTTTAAACATAGGAGCCATAACAAGTGGTGTACATATCATCTGGGATTTCACCGCCTGCAAATTTCAAATTCAGTATGGTCCCTAAGGACTAATCAATATTGACGGCAATTATTCTTAGTACAACCAAACCAACTGCAATGGTTGTTTTCTCTTCCTAGTTCTCCTTTTATTTCCCCTTTTCTTTCAAAGAGTAAACAGAGAGCTTGTGCGCTTTTAAACCACCACAGTATCTCTTATATAGTGCAGTTGGGCTACCTAATAACTGTAGTTATTTTACAGTGGGTTTTCTTTTCCCAGTTCTGGGGAATAGCCTGCTTAATGATGCTGTTACTGAAGCTTTTTGACTGGAATAAGGTGTGGAATATGCATTTAGAAGCAAACTGCTTTGGACCACAGACAAAAGAAATAAAAAGCTTTCTGAGGTCTTCATAAAACAACTGGCATTGCATTATTTTCCATGTTCCAAGTTTTTTTCCCTGCGCGTTTCTCCGACTCTGGAGGACTACCCTATAGGAACAGGGGGAGGTTATCTGAATATACAACAGACCAACAAGGTCACAGAGGCAAAACCCAAGCATTATTGCACATCTAACAAGGTCCTGAACCCATAAACATGGCCGTGCAAGTGAGGAAGGACTACTAGCTGCAGTGCTGCTGGTGGCCACAGTGTTCGTGGCAACAGTGGAAGAGAGATCAATGGTGGTGGTGGGTTGGCATCAGCCCCATGAGGCCCTGGCAAGGCTCCTGGTTCCTTGCAGCTGACACCAGGTCTATCTGTAGCTGTGGCAGGAAGACCAGCAGAAAAAAATGAGTTGAGGTAGTCAGTTAAAATGTGCAGCATGGTGTACTGAAAATTAATGGAAAAGCAGCAGAGTTGTAAGAGCGTTGAAGAGCAGTGGCACCTAACGGCTGGTCCTCACAACCATTTCAGCATGTGGTGATTATGGATCTAGTTATCCTGCCTGTGGATTTAGCAAATTCATTCACTGCCTTGCATGCAGAATATTTAGCACTGGCATGCTACCATAAGGCACACTTAGGATGCCGTGTAGTGCTTCTGTTTTATCATCAGTTATGTTTGGATAGATACGCAGTTGTAAGGCGTTAGGATCAGGGCTAGAGCTATGTGGAAAGCTGTTCCACTTTAAAATATTTTTTAAAATTTCATCTGTGCAAGTTGTATGGGTCTGAAGAATTAGCTCCCCGTGGTCCCTAAAATTGGGCCACACTGTTACAGTGCTTTCAGTTCTGCCTTGTTTTCCTTCTTGTGAATAATCACTTAATGATGTGTCTGCAAATAATTGCTAATATTATAATAATGTAATTTACAGCTCAACTGGCAAGAGCTGACCATAGCCCTTCTACACACGTGAAAATAATTTTCAGCTCCCTGCAAAAATAAGCTTTGTTTCTGCCACACAAAGTGAAAGGAGAGGAGCTTAAAATAGTTCAGATGCGAACACAGTGCAAAAACATAAGATCAGGCTAATTTTCAGCATAATTTATGAGAAGATAGCCAAGATAAGGAACACTATATATTAGAACAAATGCTTAGGCTGGGTTACAAGGACTCCAAATTCAGAAGCAATTCCAGCTTTGTGCAACTTGAAACTATGACTTTGTGGGCATGATCCAGCCAAAATAAGTTTTTTTGGTCCCACTGATTTCAGCAAAGTAGATTAAGGCATGTGAGTATCTCTTCTGTTGAAAACAGTGGACCTTAGAAATGTTTAACTTGTGCCTGCAGTATGTATACATGTTGGTGTGAGGTGAGAGGGGATAGCAATTTTTCATTCTTTCTCCCACATCACAGAGGGCAAAATAGCGGAAGGTATGTTGCTTTCTCTTTTTGTTTTACAAAACAAGCCGCCCACCCCCTGGTTTTTAAGCCTTTGCCAGCTCTTGGAATGCTTCATGTTCCCATTTCATACAGAATAGTTGTGCCTGTCAGCTTTTGTGTAATTTAAGAGCTAATTTGTAGTTTTGTCAGGCAATAATTATTAACAGGGGTTATTGTGATACTTCAAGTAATTTGTGAATCTTATGTAATAAAGGGGCTAGATTATGGTAATGATGCATGGTTAATTATTGTTAGACTTCTGCTTTTGATTAATGCTGTTCCAATTAAGGCGCTGATGATGCCTTGGTGCTAAACACCTGGGCAGATTGCCTAATTAGCTGAAAGAAACATGTACAGTGTTTTCAGGTAATTCTTTTAATTTTTAGCAGTTGTTTTGTATCAAACATAGATGCTTGCTTCTCCCACTTTGCATTAAAGTGTGAGCAGCAGACCTCAGCTATGTACAGATATGTGCATGGTGATTATGGTGGCAAACACCATTGTTTCATTTTATTTTTGGGTGCCAACTTCTGAGTTGGAGCAGTAGATGTGTGAAAACTGTTTTCATAAAAGATCACTGGGAAAACATAGTAACAGACCCAAGCAAGTATATTTGAAAAAGTTAACAACAGCCCAATTTCTATGCATGATTATTTGGAAGTAAATCCCATTCAGGTCAGTGGAGCTTATGCAAAGTAAATGTACCGTACATATGAGCACATCCTTACAGCATTTTCACAGGCGATACAAAAATTACTAATTAATCTTACAGTTTGGGCAATATGCAAATTACATGATTCAGCTGAGTGATCCATTGGTTAATAAACTAAAATGTTTTAAATATCAGGCAGCCTTACCATTTATATTTGCTGGATTTCTGTGATTGCTCTGCAAGCAACTCTACCTGCTTTGCAAATGTTGAGATGGCAGACTTAAGTTTTTGCTCCAAAAAGGGGCCAGATTTTTTTAAAAAATTAGTGCCCCTAATGTACAAAACCAGGTCTGTTCAAACAAATAGAGAAAGGTGGATCAATGGGACATTTCAGATTATGACTGAATGCTTAGGACT